CTCTCGTTCAAGACGTTCCTTGTGCTGATCATGGCGCAGACGGAAGTTTTCAGATTCAGAGATCGAGTGCATAAGCTCTTGAATGCGCCCTGAGAGCTGTGATCGTTCTGTTTCAACCTCTTCAAGCTGTTGAGCCTTTTCTTCAAGGTCCTTGCGTGAACTTGCCATGCGCTCCTCGGCCTGGGTCATGATCTTTCGTTCAATCTCGGCCTCGGCATTCATGCGGGCCGTTTCGGCGTCGGTGAATCTCTCGCGGAGCTTGATCAATTCGTTTTGCAGTTCTTTCCTTGCCGTTTCCGCCGCAACTCTCGCCTCCGTAGCGCGACGCAAACTATCTTGTTGAATGTACATCTCTTTTTCTATTGTAATCTTAGAGTCGTTGAGCGTCTCATATTTCCGGGTCAATTGTGCTAGATTGTGTTCGGAAAGCATTTGCACGTCATCTCGTGACTGACGTTCTCGGCTGAGATCGGCTTGGGCCTGGAAGAGCTGACTCTTGAGATCAATTGCCTGTTCTTCTAGCAGCTTCCTACTCTCTCCGGCCTCAGCGTCCTCGGATCTCTTATTCTCCAGCAATTTCTTGAGGTCTGCAGCTTCGCGTTGAAGTTGATTTTGTTCAGAGCGCATGGCATCTCTCTCAGCTTGTACCTCACGGAGTCTGGATTGCATGTTGTCGTGGCGTTCCGCCAGGGAAGCCTTTTCGGACTCTGCGCTTCTCTTTTCTTCCTCGTGCTTCTGAACGTCATTTCGAAGAACTGCAATCTCACTTTCCTTTCGACGAAGAAGGTCTTCGTAGCCCGTGGAAGTACTCGAGAGCTCGGAAATCTGATCACGAATCGATCTGTTCTCTTCTGATAGATCGCAGATTTGTTTCTTGGATTTTTCGAGTTCCTTGGAAGTGTTTGCGAGTTTGATATCAAGATCTTGATCGGTTTTCAACATTCTGGCTTCCAGGTCTTGGAGCTTGCGATCTTTCAAGCTGAGGTGGCTTTGGAGTATGTTGATCTCCTGGTCTAATTTTTGAATTTGGCAATTCTTTCCAGAGAACTGGAGCTCCATTTCAGAAAGCTTGCTGTCAAGTTCCTTGGCCCGAGATTGCAGATTTTTTTTTTCTGACTCGAGTTGCTCGATGATCAAACCGGCCTGTTCGAGCTGAGCAATCCGAAGTTGCAGCTGGTCGTCGATTTTCCTTTTCGCATCAACCAGTTCATCCAATTGCTCTTCAAGGGCTTCCTGATCGGTAATTGCACCGGCAAGTTTCTCCGCGAGGTCGACTTCTCGGCCTTGCAGTCGCTTGAAGATCTCTTCCTTGTCTAACGCAAGTGCGCGCTCACTTTCCAAAGTATGCTGTATCTTCTGAATCTCGATCTCAGTCCGACGTCTTTCTTCGTCCAATTTGTTGCGATCCGCAAGATCCTGTTTCATCTTGGCTTCCAGTTGTTGGATTTTATCATCACGCTTTTTGACTTCCTTCGCATTTCTTGTGTCGCCCAGCAGCGGCTTCATTCTCGAAAACATGCGCCACCACGGGTTGCTCTTCAAGTCTAGGTAAGCGTGGAAGTTCTGTTGGATGATCCTGGTTGCCTCCGCACGGTAGAGACGCTTGTTGGAAATACGGCGCTGAACAAATCCTCGTGCCACAGACTGGAACTTGGACATGATAGCTCGGATGAGTTGATCACGTTTCTCTTCTAGGTCGGCCAGAACACCTGCTCTGAAGAAAACTTTGCTCCGACCAACACGGTACCAGCCCCGGTCCATGCCAAGCTTTTCCAGCATAGTACGAGCAACACTCTGTCCCTCTAAGTACCCCTTAGGCACGTTCTGGCAAAGGACCTCATAGCGCTGTCGGAATTCCGTGAATGTCAAGCGGTTCGGGAATCCGGTGCGAGCAATTCTGATGCCCTCCAGGACACCGTTGCATCGCAGCTGGTCTAAAACCAACGGAGCGTGCAGCATCTTTGGCCGCTTCTTATGATTAGGTAGGATACAGCGAACGAAATGAGGGTGAGTCAAGTGGAGTTGAGCCATCAAACTGGATAGTTGTTCCTTGTGCCTTTGGGCGACTGTACGGAACAAGCCTTTCTTGACGCGGCTTCTGGGGTGATTGCTAGCACCATCTTCCTCTAAGTCCGCACAGTCGGAGAACAGATTTGCTACGTGCGGTATTTTAGAGGCGGCCAGCAGGCGTGTAACATTGTCGTTGAGCGGATCCTTGTTCTTCTCAAGCCAATCACTCGTGTTGTACTCAACTTCTGCGGCGTAATGCGTGAGAATAAAGCCCTGGTTGAGACGAGAGGCGCGGTACTTTGGAGTTTTGCGGTCCCAGAGGCCGTGAAGCTTTTCTGTGAATGATTTGTCCGTGGCCTTGGGCATTACGCAATCCTCATCCAGACAAGAGAAAATGCCGATGGGGTTGGTCAACTCGATGAGGTCAATCGTTGGTTGCAGGTCTTTCCCGAAGTCGATGAATTGCCACTCAATCTGTTCCCTTGAATATTCTTCTTGCTCAAGAACAAACATATGGTGGTTGAAGAATTGCTGAAGCTTCTCATTCGTATAGTTGATGCAGAGTTGCTCGAAACTGTTGTTTTCGAAAATCTCAAATCCAGCAATATCAAGGACCCCAATAAAATAGTTCTCGTCGCTGGCCATCGAGCGGCCAAGCTGGCCGTTGATTCTAGCGACAAGGTTACCAAATCCCCGCTCATAGATCCCTTTTGAAAGTGCATCTAGTGCCATGCGGACCTGCTCTGGGGTCTGGACTTTCTCCACCCACTCCCGGCCAGCCTTGACACGTGGATGAAGAAGACCCTTGACAAAAGCTTCGGGCTCAACGCCAAGAAGATAGCAAGCCTTTTCCATGCTAGAGTATCCCTCTGGCGCCAAAGCTGCCTGGTCTGCGCGCACGCTCGCCTTCGCAACGCCCACATTTCCGAGGTGCAGAACTGCAGCAATGGTACGCAGGATACAGAGCTGATCCTCCTCGTTAAATTCCATAACATGGAAGGCCTCAATCAACGAGTTCCATTCATCCTGGTCAGAGACACCGACAATAGACTCATTTCCATCTCTCGTATAGGCAAAATCCTCAATCTGAAGGTCCGCTAGAAGAAGCTTCTCGCGCGTAATGCGGTCTGCGCCCTGAAGAAGCTGGTAGAAAACGTGATAGTTTCTCTCGTTAGGGTTAGGCTTGACAACTCTCGATTTCTCAAGCAAATACCAATCGATCCAAGCTCCCGAAATTTGGCCTGAGCGCGAGAACTCGATGCGAATGAACTTTCCGAACCGGGAAGAGTTGTGATTTCGGACCGTTTGGGCGTTACCAAAAGCTTCCAGGATAGGATTGGCTCTTAGAATCTGTTGCGAGAGACCGGTAAGTTGCTTCGCTCCAGACCGGCCATAAGGAGTATCAGAAGTAGCCACAGCAGCAAGGTACTGGATAACCTTCTTCGTATTCTCTGTTTTACCCGCGCCAGACTCTCCTGTTACAAGGATACTTTGATTCTGTCCCTCCTCGACAAGATTCCGGAAGGCCTCATCTGCCATGGCAAAAATGTGAGGTCTGCTCTCCTCTCTCCCACGGCCCTTGTACAATTTTATGTACTCATTGGTGTAGATTGGTAGCGGACAGTAAGGGTTGATTGTTACAAGGAAAAGTCCAGAATAAGTCTATGTAGTCGGGAAGTCAGCTTCAATCACGCTTTGGGCATTTTTCCAGGTGTGACAAACATAGATTAGGTCTGACTGATATCTGGTGTGCAGGTTATGCACCACAGACGCCTCGTTCAGGTGTGTGAGTTCTGCCATATCATCTGCCTTGTCAAATTTGGCAGGATTGACTTTGTCTACCATATCCGCACACAGTTCTTGTTGCTTTTTCAGTGTCAGCGCAGCTTATCGCCTTGGTAGGGTTGATCCATACGTCGCCATCATCGGTCTGCACCAACAGCCGCCCTCCTTCGGATTCCTCCAGAACCAGTCCCCGGACAAAGGCCTTTTGTGGGTCTTTTATCCACACATACTTGTTCCCTGAAAAGTCATTTTCTCCTTCGAGACCACGAATTTGATCCGCTCCCCGTCGTAGTTCCTCAGATTTGATAAAACTTGGCGCAAATGTTCCAGAGGAAGAATTGTTCTTGGCTGAGTTCGATCGCTCGCGATTACCACTTAATGATAATGTTGGCGACAATTGTGACACGGATGTATTGCGCAGATGACCTCTCGCTGATTCCAACCCATGAGATGGTGTGATGATAGCCGATTTTGGCCTGGCCTGTGGTAAATGTATTCTTTGTGAGGACGATGGGCGTGCAAACAGGCCGGCACGCTTTGGCGAGCCGTTTAACTGGGAGGGAAGCATGGTGATCGTAGTTCAATTGGACATTGTTTGAGCGCAGCTGTCGTGATCACAGCAAACACTATTTTCTCAATCTCAATTATGAGTGTGATAGGACACGCGAGAAACCAAAGCTCAAGTAGAGTACAATGAAGACGAGTGTAAGGCTGGTGAAAAGTTGGAAGAAGAGGCAAGATATTCGAAGTGACGCACCCCAACGTCCATGATGTTTGTTTACTCTGCGTTCCTCGGGTGCCCGCCGATTGCATGTGGCCCGTGCGTGTCACGTGAGTGACTCGATCATTTTCATCAAAGACGGCGCTCAGACTTTAGAGGCCACCCCGTATCTCAATTTTGTCGAGTTCAACACCTTATCCGTCTACTTCTCGTTTAAAAAGCTGGAATCCACAGTCGCACGGCCCTAACTTATTTCTAGATCCCCCTCAGATCTTTATCACATCTCACAGTGACTCCTAAATTGAAGTTCTGCGCATCCTCTTGATCCTTTTCGGGAAGACCTGCCGATACCTCTCCACCTTCTTAATTCTTCAAGACATCATGAGATTTGGTCTTTGAAACCGCAACCTCTCCTCAACTTCAGCCTTTCGCTTTTGAGAATCGTAGAGAATACATCTCTTTCATCCCTGCGCACAACATAACCATGTCTGACCAACCTCCCCCATACGGTGGCCATCCGAGCTATTCACAGCAGTGGCCTCCTGTATATCCCTCCATGATTCCCCCGAACTTGCCGCTCAATTCGGACTACTCTCAAGTGCACCAAGCACCGGCGATAAATCCTGGGTCGACTTTCGACTATAACATGGCAAATGTCAACGCGAATGCGCGAATCCCAAGTTCAAACGGTCCTGGAAACTCAGCATTCATTCCGCCCCAGTTTCCAATTTTCAACCACTTCGACGCGTCACAATTTCCGCCCCCTTTCCCTCCAATGCCATTTCCTCCGATGAGCTATCCCCCTATGCCAGCAGGGTCCTCAAATCCTCCAATGCCGTATCAGGGCATAGACGGACATTCCTCACACCAACGATCAAATCCAGGCGTACATCTGAAAGACGTCCCATTTCTGGCCGATAATCGCCGTGAAGAAGGCGAAGTTAGTGAGGAATCGGATGAAAGGTCTGGACAACCAACGGCGCGTAAGACTACGCGCCAGTATTTGGACCTGGAAGAGGGAGAAACCATATCTTCTAGCGCACAGTCCGCTAGGAGTAGTGGGTCACGTATTGCTCTCGTGCTTCCCTCCGTTTAGTTCTGTTTTACTAATAGGTAGGATTTAGCATACAACCCTCCTTTGTCAGTCCCAGGAGACGCTACCATGGTGCACCATGCGATGCAATCTCATCGGCAGGGCCCACCTGCCCCTGTCCCTGCTCCTTCACCTCAGAAATCTGCGGCGCAGCTGCGAATTCAAGCCCAAGGCGCTTTGCTTAGCTTGGCGCCCCACAATATCCGCTACAATGAACTGGTCGCAGAGGGTGTCAACCCTATAATCTTGAGACGCCTTTACGAAGAAGTCGGCATCAAGGTCACCACGTCATCTGGGCAGGTTCCAGCAGTTCCTGAGAAAGCCTCCACCGCCGCTGTAGTTGCTAGCAAGGGACTAGTATCTAATAAGCCAGCCGAGGCGACGAAGATAGCACCAGAGAATCACAGCAACACGAAGTCGGATTCGTCAGTGCCCCGAACTTCTGCCCCTTCCGCCGCTCCTCCTTCTAAAGCTGGTAAGCCTTTAGAGCGAAAGGAACTTATCGCCCGGATGCTGGCTGAAAAAGCTGCAAAGGCGATATGCAAAGAGACTTCACCAACTGGCAGTGCGAAATCCGCCTCTGCCAAACCAGTTGATGAACCCTGTCCAGTTCAAAAGGAACCCCTTGTAAAGGAGAAGAGCAAAGCCCAGACGGAGTTGGCAAGGCAACGAATTGAAGAGCTCAAAAGACAGACCTTGCTGAAGAATCAAAAATTGGCTCAGGCAAATCTGCCAACGACCCGGTTAGAATCTCCATCGCCAGCTATTCAACACCCGCTTCCTCTTCGGCCTCCTATGCCTGAATCTCGTCGCTCTGTTGGGCTTCCAGGACTTCTTATGACTGGATTGGAGCAGGAGCCGCCACAAGAAACTATTGCCTCTGAGCCGGTACAGGTGATGGACCATGAGTCAACACCGGTGTCTCGAGTAACCCAACGCAAGCGGCCTCGTGCTTCCGATTTCGATGAGCCTGTTGCACCTCCAAAAAAGCATTTTAACTCGGCTGCTACTCGGTTCGACACTACCGACAAACTCATCATTGCAATCAGCGACGATGAATCACTCTACGGCGATGACGAGGATGACAACATGGAGCTGGATTCGAGCTCAGAACAGGAACCAGCGCCGATAGTGACCTCCAACATCGTGCAGCCTCCAGCCCAAGCAAATCCTCCTGCCACCCGAGCTTCGACAGCTACACCACAAGGTCCTTCTAGTCTCAGTGACCAAGGAGACATTCGACTTAAGGATATGGAAATTCAAGCCATGCGCCGCAAGATTGCGGAGCTGGAGCTACGAAGGAAATCGAAGCTTGCTGCCAGCCGAACCCAGTCACCTCGCACCCTGGATGACTCTGGGGCATCATCGTCCGGTGGACATGCCGGTGTGATCGCAGCTATTTCTGAAGAAGGTAATGTTTTTTTGTCATTCTTGTCACACACAAACACACTCTCTCTTTTGTCTCTTGCCCGGACATTATCATTATTGAGTATTTTTGAGAGAAAATTCGCGCTTCAACTAATCATCGCCCAGACTCTTCAAAGACTAAACCGACAACGGCCGCCCCTGTTGTCCATCTGAATGCAGCAGTCGAAGGCGCTGCCACCCGAGAACCAGTTGAAGTAGCCTATGCTGAGGAAGTGGCAAACGGCCCAAACGGTAGCACTGCACAGGTATCGGCTTCAATTGAGTCCGATTCTGCTGGGTCAGCTATGGAAGAATCTGATGACACCAGCAGTGATAGTTCCGATTCGTCTAGTGAGAGCGATGATGAACCTTCTCCCTCGCCAGCTCAAGCCGATATCGACCCTGCTACTGTGCTGTCACCCTCAAGGCCCATGGAGATTGAGTCTTCAGAGCGATCTGTGTCTCGGAGCTCGCCCTCTGCGTTCACCCGTCCTAGTGCAACTTCTGCCGACGAATACGTTTCTCGGCATCATCCTAGCGAACAGTCTCGGCGTGAAGAGTCTGCGGAGTCCGACGGTTATGAGCCCCCAGAGCCTGATGCTGAAGCACAGTCTGAAGGCTCGAGTTACAGCCCTCCTCCATTCAGCCCAGCTCTTTCCGGTCTTGTAGAAAACACAGCAGTCTCGGCACCATCATTTGACTTGACTCAAGCTCATGAAAAACTAACAAGCACGCCTCAGGTGTCAGACCCATTACCTCGGTCTGATTTGCAGGTTGGCGCCCCTGGCGTATGAACATTGCCCTTTTCAGAGGAAGTTTCTAGTGGACCCCGTACTAACCCCTATCTAGACTAAAACATCACCCGCCACTTCGGAGCAAAGATTCACACCGTACACCAGCCCACTGCGAACGTTTAAGGCTTATCGCTACCACCCGCACTATGCCGAAGACGTCCCGAGTGGCTACCGCTCGCTAACTTACAGTCACAACATTGATTCCATGAAATACATGTGTCCATATGAGTTGGCCGGGGGTGTATGCAATGACCGATCCTGCGAGTTTCAGCATCTTCGAGACATGACTCTAAGCGGTGCGTCGACATGAACAACGTGCAACACCCCACCTCGTCCTCGACCTCCCCCACCGGCGTATTGCACTGTCTAGTCTGTGTTTTATCTTCTGTTTATTGCTCTACTGCCTTCAACTTTGCCTCTGCCTTTGTTTCCTTTCCGTTCAACTCATTTCCCATCTCTTTAATTGCCCTGTTCGAATGCTGACCACAGAGTTGTTAACCTCGACAGACGACAAGATTCTCGTCCAGATGGGCTCTGTCCGGGAGGGTCAAACCGAAGAAGAAAAGGAAACATATCTTGCTGGTTTGAAAGAGATCATCAACGACTTACGGCGTGACAAGGTGAAAGATTTCAACACTGTGGCCTCCGAGATAGCCGCGTACCGTAGGCGCTTCCTCCAAGACCCGTCGCGTGTCTTGTCCCTGTAACAATCTCCCAACCACATTCATCGGACCCTTTAAGAGTTCTCTTCAGGTGAGCTGTCTTCCTTCAGTCTTGTGAACACCGCCATCGAAGCTTTTTCGATGGCGGGGGAAAAACATCATCACAATACAAGGACTCAAGACAATCCTCGCCATGGCCCTGCCACCATCCATCTTTCAATGCAATATCCCATGTCACCGCCTCTTTCCAATGCTCCCACGTTTGAGACCTGCCATTCCTCTCATCATTAGCTGATCCGGTGTTTTCTCCCCTGCTTTCTAATTGCATTTCATTTCATCTATGCGATTGGGGGTCTCGCGCTTTTTGGGCCACTTTTCTTTCTCTGTTTTTTTGTTGAAACTAGGCTCTGGGCCTTTCAATGCTCAGTGAGCTGACAAAACGGTGTGGGGGCGTCTGCGTCTCAGCTGCTGGTCGTAACTTTGGCAATTTCGGCAGTCTCAGGAGCTCTGGCTACTGCTAATCTGCACACCGAAGGGTGCGGTTATTTATACCTTTAGAATCTCGGCGGGTTTTCACAGAACATATTCATAGCAATCAGTCAATCTGTAGTTTTTTTTTCTGTCCAACTATTGGCATAGTTCCATTTTCTGTAATGAAGTACTGGTAATCTTGCAACTGGCACGGATTTTGCAGAAGTCCCGAGTCAGTTGATTGGACCTCGGAAACAAATCATCAATTGAGGTCCTGGGAAACACGCTACAGCCATTGACTCATTCATGCGCAGGAAAAATGAAAACAAGGAAAAGACTAATTCCACACTGAGTTAACACAAGAAGGAAGCAGTGTGTTCCTCCGGTCACTGGATGCTAAGTATAGCGTGCAGAGTCCGGTCGGAGAGATGGGGGGCCAGGGTTGGTATGACTGTTTCAAGAAGATGTAGATATTCAGAAATAGAAGTAGTTAAGTGACGGAGTATGTACGGTGGATTTGAATTTTTACTATTGTCTCATTTTATCAAAGAAAGCAATTCTATCATGTTTTTCCTATTGCAGAAACATATGTATCCCAGTTGAGTCAGGGCAGGCAGACCAGCGGACCAGATGTCTAAAATTCTTGCTGATTGGCTTTGGGCTTTCTCGCTTCCCGTCATTTTCTCTTCTCTTGCGTTGTTATTGCATATGGAGCACATCGAAGGTCGATATCGCCATAGAGCTACGCCAGAGGTAGATCCCGCTCGAGAGTGAAGCTAGCGACCGGGTAAACATTGACAGCGTAAGGAAACAGCCGAGGAAAATACTATTAGACGGGATGAGTAGTAGTTATGGTAGCAATTTTGCGACAGTCTCAAAATCGATGGATGATAGGCGCGCACGTACAAAGTATTGTGGGAAAGCCAAGTAAATTCGGTCCGGGGCGCACAGTCCAGCACAGCCTCGACAGGAAGTGCCCAGGTGGGGGCTACGACAATAACATAGTTGGGAGACAGGATATAGGGAAGTGAGAATGATATCATAGAACATGCCACAGGGGCTGAGACTGTGTCAGAGTAAGAAAACAGGCCGCAAATGGGGGGGCCCAAGTGACGACGAAAAGGGTTATAAAGATCAAAGAAGCAGAGCACAAGGGATGTTAGATATCGTCTACCTTAACTTCCGAATACCAAGACCGCTTCTTTAACTATGGCCATGAGGCTGTTTGCTGCAGATGCCAGGGAAAAGGAGCGGTAACAAGAACAGGAGAAGCACTGGTTCATCTTAGCTTGCATGTAGACGACATCACTCAGCATAATAGGCTCCATTTTTGACCGAGCCGCAAATTGTCCTGATCAACCTTGATCAACCATGACACTGAAGGCTGTTCCCGTGAGGCTCAAAGCAGGGGGTTTGCTGCACGCCTCGACTATCTCGATGACTCTACTGCTTGGCACACAAGTGAGGAAGATTTATGGTAATCATCGTAACATTGATTCCATCGTAAGCCAAAAAAAAAACATGTCAAAAATGAAAAGGCCAAGGCAGATAGACCCGGGGAATCCAGCCCCACTGGCCCGCCGCTAAACCAAATCTGGAAACCGCAAGTATACAAAAAATTCTAGTCTTAACAAAAAATGAAAAGCATTACACCATATAAGCTCATGATCTATGACCCGCTTTGCATAACAGAAAGCATTCCAGAAATAAGAAAAAGGAACCCAAAAAAAAAGAAGCAGCAAATTTCGGAGTCACTTTGCCGGGTCAGCTTCAAGAACCAAATGCTGAGTGAGCATTGGAGTCACTTACCATTGTATTCGTAAAACCCTGTCTCGGCCCGCGGGAAGTCGTTTCAAAAGGTCTCATTTTACCTCCTGGCATTTGCTGCAGACAGTGTGGTTGCAGACCACGCACCTGGGTTGAATGTTGTAGACCTTAGGCCCGTCTCCGCATGAGCAGCAGATGTACATGTAGATCGCATTGTACCTTGTTCCAGGTAGTGAGGCCGCCGAGATACCTGTGCAATCAACCCGCGATAGAGGCCGTAGTCCAGGAAGCTCTGGCACGACTATGGACATTGCTGTGGTCTTCAACGTTGGGGTGAGAGGTGAGTGCATAGAGACGGCAGTTGGATATGCGGAGATCAGATTGCTGTTGTGGGAGTGCGCGTGCAAATGCGAGTGGGAGTGGATGCTCATATTGTCAGGGAGCTTTTCAGCGACGCATTGAGGGCAACGACGGGTTCCGCACTGTACGCAGGCGTTGTAGAGAGAGGAGTTGTGAGGTCCAAAGTTGCACTTGCAGCAGTACCACAAAGACGCCATTGCTGTAATGGGTTGAATAGATTGGATTGAGATTGGAGATAGGATGAAAGATTTGGTGGAAAACAGAGAGTCGAGCTTCTTTTTAGTCGTAAAGCGGGAGGGCCTAGATGAACTGATACTTGGAGATGTTGGTTGAGCTTGAGAATGGAATTGCATTTAAGCTTAGGAATCCACGAGATCTATATACCGTGAAGAAACCAGAGTACATGTAATAGAACCAGAAGCGCAAGGCAGCGTTCCTAGAGCAGTCAACAGCCCGGGCTGCCTTGCGAGATCAAGATCCGCATCGTAATTGGCCAAAATCATCACCCGGGTACTTATTCGGGCAATGGATGAAAGCTGGCCCTAGTTGCACATCATCCAGGTTGCCCAGGGGAGTGGCTTAGTGTACTCCGGGGGCTCTGTCACTGTTCAGAGCACCCTAGTAGCGCCTAGAATGTCAGAAATCTATGAATCATTTTCGAAGACCAGGCGTTGAGTCAACGGGTCCACTATTGTCCGGGGCTAAGCAAATGCTCACACCGTCTCGAAGGCCTGGCTTACCTGAGAGAATATATGTGTGTCAACGGGTTATGGTCACTCGGGTACCCCGAAATTACGGTCTAAATTCTACATCTCGAACTCCCTTGGATATTGTTGCCTGTGTAAATGAACCAGGTCAATTGGTTTCCACGGCCTGCGATACACTCCACTTTTCCCAGGTTTTCAGGCACCGGCTGCTTCGAAAAGCAAAATGAAGAGTCATCCATCGATCGAGTCAGGTATTTACAAACTCCGCACACTGGGCAGTGTTGCCTAAGTCACCCAGGTTAGGGTTTCTCAACACCTGAACATGATGAAAATTGAAACCCCCGTTTCAGAATTGTAGTTTTGGACATATTTTGGGGTTATTTGCAAATAGCAGATTGCGACATACCGTGAAACCCGAAGGCTGGTTTCTATTTTAAATTCTCACCTGTGAGTCCGCGAAACTTCCATACCATGTGCCTTTCCAGTTACTATGTCCAGTTCTATCGAATACAACCGTAACACCGTCAGGATCTCAAAAGAGGTTGTAGCATGAGGTGATCTGACCTTGTTAGGCCTTATCTGACAGTCGCAGCTGATATGGATAGAATGAGTAATATTAGGCCGAGCAATTGCGGCATTTTGCCGTGTCAATATAGTAGCTGAGGTCGTTGGACTAGGGCAAAAGGGGTGTTTCAAGGTTCTACCGACGATCCATGGAACCCCCAAACGGGAACGAACCCCAGCCTGGGCAGGGAACCCCATTACGTCAGGTTTGCACTGTTTGATTCGACGACCATCCGTACGCTCCGTCCTCACAGTCCACCGATGGCATGCATTAAATCCATGCATTTCATATTGTTGTATTGACTCCGCTTACATGGCGTCTCCCGCGCAGAAGCGCGCCAACGTCGTAGTATCCAGGCTCATTCCACCTGTGCTACTCGGCGCAGTGATATACGCTTCCTACGCAGTCACGAAACCGTTATGCAGTGAGTATTTCGCAAGTTTAATCAAGAGTCTCTTTACCAGGAGACTAATAATGTGAGACTTAGTTGACTATCTAATCCACCCGTTATCCTCCTATAACAAAACCCCCCGAGTTGGCGCTGGCGCCGCGATCATCGCGATCTATTACGTCCTTCTATTTCCCATGGTCGTTTCATACACGCATCTTTATTATCAAGTCCTGTGGAATCCCGGATACCTTCCCCTCGGTGAACAAAAAGTGGCGGATGATGAGAATGCAAAGCAATCGAAGCGCCGTCGTGGGAAGAAAAGCACGTGCAAATCCGACCCCGAGAAGACAGACCAGGCGGACACAGATGTGGAGAGAGGCTCAGTCTCAACTGCTGTAGACACGGCAGTCCAATTAGGTATTGGGTTGGAGAGCTTCTATACAAAAGATGTTTTTGTCTGCCAGGCAGACGGCCGGCCCCCATGGTGCACTACCTGCAGTCAGTACAAGACAGACAGGGCGCACCACTGCTGCGAGCTGGGTCGGTGTGTACGCAAAATGGATCACTTTTGTCCTTGGTATGAAAGTAACGACTGCCTGCAAACCCAGTATTCAGCTGACAGAATGCAGGGTTGGAGGTGTGGTGTCCGAGACATCGTTCAAATTCTTCATTCAATTTGTTGCTTATACCAGCATATTCTGTGCCTTTGTACTCATCGTGTGTGCTTATTTCACAGCGGAGATTCGACGCCAGGTGAGACTTGCACGAGCCACCACATCAACTCAGCGATGCTTGTTGCTAACCCTTCAACTAGACCGGAGGAGTAAACCCCCATTGGTGTGTCTGCATTGGACTGTAAGTGTCCACCTACAGGATATAAGAACATTCACCGAGTCTGATAAAAACCTATAGGAGCAGTTTTTTCGCATTTTTTGCCGCCGGAATGACCCTGAGCTCAGTCCAAATGGCCATCTTCAATATCACAACGATCGAAAACCTAAACCGACGCACCGCCGTCTGGACCCTCGCCATCCGTGTCCCAGAACACCTCCTCGAGAGACTCTGGGTAGTAGAGTCCCCTTGGGCCCCGACATTCCGCATGGTCTCCTACCCACTACCAGCACCGACGTCTTCAACCAAACCGCAAACAACAAACCTTTCCCCAGACGAAGACCGGCACGTCTTTGCTATCATCCAAACTCTGCCGGGCGAGAATCCCTTCGATCTAGGCAGCCCATTGAAAAATCTCCAGCAGGTCATGGGATACAATGTATTTGATTGGCTACTGCCGATCAAGAAGAGCCCATGCGCCGACCACAACAGCATGGAAAGTCATTTTGCCCTGGGACCCGTGGTGACCCGCTTGCGGCTGGAGGCTGGACTGATTCCGCCGCTCGAGAATGGGGCTGCTGTTCCGCAGTCTTCACATTCGGGGCGCAGCCACCGGGAAAAATCTCCTAGCTATGAATAGTTCGGGGCGCTTGGTATGCTCCGCACATGTTTTGGATACCTTTATAATTAATGCACTACCTCTTAAGCATACACAACATTGGCCTGGCTTGGCTGTATTGAGCGGGTTTATCTTCCGAAAGGCTCCGCCGGCAACCGTAGGGCTGAGTGTCATCGCTATGACGTATAGACCCCCCGAGGTCGGCACTTGATTGACCTCTTGATAATTGAAAATTGAGTCATTGAGTGGCATATAAGCCAAGTCAAGAAAGAGTTGGCGACAGTGTGTTCTCCCAGCACGTTCCACACATTTAATCTGTTTAACTCGGCCAATTTGGCTCAACATTCCTCTGCCACCCATGTTCGTACATGGTTTCTAGTCCAATGGCATTGGACAGGAGCAGTAGATTGAAAAAAAAGCATCCTATAAATAGCTATAAATCTAATGCCAGCAAAGTCCTCCACCACCAAGTGTCTCAATCCTGGCTACATGTTCTTGGCAACGTTGCATGCATCTGTAAATCTCACCTTCATATTTCAGTCTCCTAGGCCTGCTAGCAGGACACTGTAGGGGAAATAAGTCCTCATGGATATTCAGAATCGGTCCAGATGCCATCCATCTCTGCCTTCCATAGAATGTCTCTTCATTCTAAACAAATTACTGTCTATCTTTGTCCTTTGTATGACTCCTTTCACTTGTGGCCTTTTTTCGGATAGGCGTATCGATCGCATTGCTAACACGGTGTCCAAATGTTCTCCAAGGTCAAGGTAATCGTCTATAGTATAAAGCCTATGACCTCTCGATGCACCTATGCCCATTGACTGTAACCAAAAGAACGACCAAACAAGAGGAGAAAGGAGATGGAAAGAAAAATTTAAAACACCCTAAAATGACAGCATCCTCGCGTCTAATCCATCCCAATTTAAGGAACATTCTCTCTGCCGCAAAATTTACACTCGGAATGCGAGCAAATCGGACACCTCCCCTCTGACGTCAGACTAGGGTTGACCAAATTGTCGCATCCGCAGCACCTCACCCATATTGTCATCATTCTCGGGGCGCTAGTAGACAGGTAGTTGGGTATGGATGCGAGCGCGGATATATCATCTGAGAACGCAGCCAGAATTGATTGTGCACGATGCAACAGCGGGCTTCTCATGGCATCGGCGCAAGAGGAATTCTTAAGCTGGGGCAAGCGCCAACCGTGCGGAAGATGAGTTGAATTTTGTCCTTCAGCGTTGGTCTCGGTATACGAGAACTTGCTGGGCATAGTGTTGGACATGGCGCAGAGAGACGTTGTGACTTCAAGTGCCAATGAGTAAATCGACTGGTAGGGAGGATAGTTTGGTTCACCAGGTCTTGAAGCCTTGGAATGTGAATTGAAGGATTGGAACTGTAGATGGAGTTGTATAAAGGCGAATTCGAGGCCTGGTCGCACGAAGCAGTGAGAGAACAACCAAAAGCTAGCGATAGGCGTCCCTTAATACATAGAAACATTGAGACATCAAGATACAGGCGCCCTCTATCAGGGCTCCCATTACAGCACCGAACGCTCAAGTATAGAAGCCTGGTCGAAACTCAAGATGAGCAGGTGCGACTCAAACAGCTAACTAGCAACGACAACAGACTCGAAACCTCAAACCCAGGGAAGGGAATACCCAGAGGGCCAAGAGAGACAGCGAATAGCAGTCGGCAGCACTTAAGCAGCGGTGAGATGAACGCAAAATCAACCAGCTAGAGCGATGGAGACAACGTTGCGGCGCCCGGCTGTGTGATGCTGACATTTTCACCCGCGACCCGGGTCGTGATCGGCTAGCACTGCACCTAGCAACCCACGACCCCGGGTGTCAAAATCTACGATCTAGCAGATACGATCATAAAAGTACAATGTACTAAGTTGCTACTATACAGAGAGTATGAAGGAAAGAGAGATATAACACCCGTAATACCATTGAGCCAGAGCCCGTATGACACACTCAGAGATTCAAACGCCGCCACAATCAGTGGCACATGGATCGTTCAAAAAGAAATTCCCGTCTGTTGCTCTACAAAATTAATGCTAATTAGCATTAAGAAAAACTACTCATAGGACGTAGTTAATGAAACGATGAAAGGCTATCGCTCTTAGTGGTTTAGTAAAACCCTCTGCTGCGTAATGCTATGTAGGAATGATTGTATTTATAAAAAAAACCAACAGAACTAGATGACAGAAATCTATGGGCACAACAAGGTATGGTACGATCAGTGGATAGGCATAACCCTCCCACTAAAATCACAAAATTCGCTTACTTTCCAATCTATGCGGACAAAGCTGACCAAGCTTTACGTTGCTTCGCTTCGCTCAGCAAATAACATAGATCTGCCAAAACGTCGGGCTTCAGCTGAGGGAGACCCGAAAGATTGACTCAGATATATTCAGGCAGAAGCCTCAGTCAATCAGGAAGACCACCATTTTTATCTTCACATCTACAGCACATTCTCTATCAGGGCCCTATCAGGATTAGGGACTTAGGGAATTTTGAGGACTCTACTCCGTAGTTTCTATTCTAAAGGGTTGTAATTTCGGGCCTCCCGTCCTCGAGCGGATAGCCCCAGAATTAAGCAGTGCCAAGCCTTTTTTTTACTTACTTGGAACATATCATACCTAAAAGGGTATGCGCAGCACTACAGCACCAGATTTCATTCAGTGCTGCACTTTTCAAAGCCTGAGACTGCTGCCTAGCATTACCTGCGACTTGGATATCATTAACTACTTAAACTAAGCGAGAATCTCACGTTCCGCCCATTTTCTATTTCACCTCATCGATCCATTACTGCAGCTCCACCCGGTCTCAAACCCTCCACACATTGAACCCTGGGTTGAAGAGAAACGACGATACCCAGGTATTTGTGCTAAGTCTTATTGCATGCGAAGACGATCTCTAAGTATTTTATAAAGAGAGCCATGAGGATCAGCGAGACTGAGCTGGTGGAACAGCTGTTCCTGGACTTTACTGGGCAAGAAGCGGTCCAAAAGGATACCCGAGGATTTCCGATCGTAGAACTCTGGGCTAGCGAGTACGGGAACGCTATACGGAAACGCAGATTCGGTGACGCTGTGTGGGCACGCTACCATCTCGACGGTAGTGTACATGATGGAAAAATTGAAGACACAAACAAGACCGTTCTCCAGTTGACCGAGGAGGATGCACTGGATTACAGTGTGGGCGATCCAGACTTTTATGCCGAAGCGCTATCATCTGTCTATAAGCGCACTCGTGCCTCGGATGGATATCGTGTGACTCATTGAGCTACTAGGATTCTAGAAAGGACCAGATTGTTCCTCTACACATTTTACATGTATAACCCTTAGTTTACCGTAGGAGCTACGTACTCCGAAGGCAAGGATGATTGATAGTCGATGTGTCACTAGAATGCATAGCATGGCACTACTCACAGCTTGTCAGTCTCTTCGAAACCAGTGTTAATTCGATTAACCCTCGAGCCAAGTTCTTCTCGACATTTTCTTTTTATCACGTTTTCTTCTGCGGGGCTATTGATAGGTCCCAAGTCTACACGCGCTGCCATCGATGCCCAAATGTAAAAGCTGCCGTGTCATCCTTAGTCCTGAACCCTCGTGCCAAATTCCCATTGCTTGTCAGCAGTATTGGGAGCCACGTGTTTCAGGTGCTCTTTTTCTTGCTCTCTTTCTGATATTGAAAAGGTTTATGTTCAATCCGGAAGAAGAGACTGAAATGATGTAGACGGAGGGTAATGCAGGAAGTCATTTGTGAGTAGTTCCCCGTCAGAAACTACGACTAATCTTCCATCCAATCTTTCCTAGAAGTCCACTCCTGCGATTTAAGCGCCGGCCAGTAATTTCTGTAGGGCGTACTCTCGAGTTCAAGTGATGCATCATGCACCGCTACTGATCTAACACCGTTGAAGATCGATCGGATTCTAAGATAACTTTGAGGATCTTACGTCTCCGTAGATAAGGACAGCGTCTTCCAGATGAGTTCCCAATATCAAAGAAAGCTATGTTCGACTCTCAACACAAGACTATCTTATATGTATCGGAAGATACATCACGTGGCAATCTGTCTGAACTAAGAATGCAGGATGACTTCGTGTCCGGTGGGAAAACGATGGGAGAAATTTAGGACCGGTTTTGGTTTCTGGGAAGCGGTCGCTGGTTACCCGGACAGGTTCAGTGTGAGTATTTCTACCACACATACCCACGAATCAAGCGAGGTGGATCTCTGGTTGAAATATGAGGGGTGGCCAGGGGTAAGATGGGTTTGTTGGTACTTGGGGAACTATCTAAGATTATCTTTTTTTTTAAAATTGTGTGCTCAGTGCCTAGGTGCCACCTGGGGCTCTTATCCAGATTAGACCTGCGTTGTACATCGGGTTCAGCCACGTCGAATTATCCAAGTGGGATTAGGACTTAAGTCGAGACAGTTTATTTGGATAGCCTCAATTGAAAGATGGTCATAATTAGCTGATATTGTTGATCTCCAACTGGAAGACAAGAAAGATAAACTCCCTAGAAATGAATGCTTTGATGAGGAAACCTTAAGGAAAACCTGAACAGATCCTAGGGTGATTTTATCCATGGCCTCCTTCCCATGAAGAGAGGAGGCAATTCACCCAAATGTACTCCGTACAGGCCCCTATTAATCAAGTTGGGTACAATCGATTTCAGGAGATATGTTGTAGATGCTGTTGTTCCACTCTTACTTTGACCATAACTGAGCTTTCTCCAATGCGGCTCAAGTGATGTCTCAAAGGAAGTTCGGCTCCACAAGTCCACACATGATACGTCCCAGGGCTTTGCCCGGGCGCAAAGATGAGAGAGAGCTTTTTGACCGCCTGTCGGTAGAGTGTTGTGCATAAGAAGCAAGGGGATTTGCTTAAAGAGTAAGAATAACGCATGGCATCCACAGTGAGGTCCCAAGGTTTACATTCGTTGGAACGGATTCGTATATTTTATATCCAGTCAAATTACTCCCTAGATCTCTAGACGTTGTCTTCGGTCATCCGGAGCTTTCTCCTCATCAGAACTGGAAATCTCTTGGCATTCTTACTAACCTTTCCTGGGACCCCTAAAACCCACCTGTGCGTCATTGTTCACACGTTTCGTTTTAAAACACATTTCTGAATCTCCTCTTGGAATTGAAGTTGGGCAACTATTGGGCTCCGGGCGTGTTAACTTTTTCGAATTTGAAGATTTGTCTCCGAATCAACGGACTACGGCATTTTTACATCGACTCGGATTGTGAAAATAGTCCTCTTCCGACCGAAGAACAGACCGTCACACCTGATTACAACCGGTCAGGTATCACCATCTGCGTCCATCACATCTACAGTCACAGATCCAAATGTCGAGTCACTACCGAAATTTGTCTCCTAGTCGAGTCCGACACTCCATGATTGATCACATGAGAGCGTCAACCGGCATGGTAGAACTAACCTCCTACGACCCTTGTGATGCGCCTAGGCGCTACGACTACACCGAGTACCCGTCTGATACTGGATACGTCAGTGCCTTTGGGTACCACTCAGGACGACCATTGAAACTCGAAGCCCACCAAGTTTCCACCCATCGAGTCCGTGATTCATCTGCATCAGCCAAAAAACGCACTGAATACAGCGTCCAGCCCCGCACCAGGCACAGAAGCAATACATCAACTGTAGCGGACTATGAGACACTAGTGCGTCTGGCTGTACCTTCCACATCACATCAGCATCTCTCACCCGTGCATCACTCAATTCACCGGGGTGCACCAAGCCCTCTTCCTGAGATAGTCTCTGCTTCCCCTCGGCATCCCGCACATCGACGAATCCACAGCACCGACTATGCGAGCGACACGGGCCATATCGACGCACGGAAAGATGACAGATACAGGACTGATCACAGTATACATCAACACCGTGGCCATCCGCCACCTCGCTCACCACGCTATCCAGCGTACGACGGGCTGAGAAAAGGCGACGACATTGATGACTTTGATGCCTACTCATACACCAATGCTCGGGAGCAATTCGAACGGGACTACCCGGTCAAGCCACGCCCTCACGGACCGAGATACTCGCTCAGTAACACCGGTGTGGAAGAAAACCTGCAGCGGACAGTGCGGAAAGACCGCCACCATGGCCCACCCCCAACATCCCGGGGCCTTGACAAGCTCGGGCGTGAACGGCCACGAAGCTCAACGTATGGCAAGGATGACCATCGGGACCCGCACAGATCGAATGAGAATTTCCATGATCAAGCCCTAGTCACCGTCCCTCGAGACTCTGACGCTGAACATCCCTCCCGACATGACGATCGTCGTCGTCGCCGTGCCGAAAGAGCGCGTCACGCGAACGATCGGGAGCACCTCTATACAGAAGATTACCACCCCAAGCTACATGACGTCGGCCCGCTGGCTACCATAGGACTTGGAACAGCGGCCTTGGGAGGGGGACACTCCGACATGTCAGACTTTGAGCACCATCGTCCGTCACGACGCAAGCACAGACGCTCAAACAGCGAGCATGACCGCGATGCCGTTCAGCCCCCATCGCGCCAGCTTATAATTCCAGCCGATGAAAGAGTCAAGCAAGCCTACCTGGATCCCACCAATGCCCGTCGCCACGGTCGATCGCGACGACACTCTAGGCGGCGGACGCACAGCGAAGATGCCGACACGTCGGATGAAGACCTGCGAAACTACAGGCGTGAGCCCGCACGTCATAGGCACAGCAGCACCGATACCGAAAGCGACCGTGACCGGAACCGGGTCCGCAGTCGGGTTCGCTCGCACCACAATCGAGACCGAGACCACTCGCATGGGCATCGCTCTTCTCGCTCCCACCGCATGCTGGAGGATGGTTACACAACTGAACCGCGACGATCGCCGCCGGCTGACATGGCTATAGATGACCCCAGAAGACCTATTGCTGTCGATCCAGCTGCTCCAAAGGAGCCTGAGGCTCCCCCCAAGGGAATTCTCAAAGCTCCACGCCAGGCATTTCCAGAGGAACCTAACCCGGTGAGGGAGGGGGTCGCTCCCCTCAAAGACGCCCATAAGCAAGGGATCCCGCCGGGAGCTCGCTGGACAAAGATCGACAGACGGCTCGTGAACCCGGAGGCATTGGAAGTGGGCAATGAACGGTTTGAGGAGCGATCGGATTATGTGATTGTGTTGAGGGTTCTGAGCAAGGAGGAGATTCAGCAGTATGCTGTAAAGACACAGGAGATCAGAGGTAAGTCACGCTGCGGTGTACATCCTAAAATAACATTTGGATTAGAATACTCACAATTGAATTGCATAGACATCCGCCACAAGGAACAGTTGCGCGAGAGACGCAAGTCCAGAGATGAGACACAACGCCACGGCCGCCGGGGCGAGGAGTCTTCCAGCGACGACGAGGATGAGGGCGAGGAACAATCTTGGAAGCAGCTCCAAGCGGCCCCTCCACCCGCACAGCAGATGTCATTGCCGTCGCGTCCACGCGCGTCGACCAACTCAATGCACGAGGCTGAAATGCCTAGAATAAGCAACATTTCTGCTGCGCCGGCATAAAAGCATCCTTCACTACCTCCAGATTAGGAGATTATCCGCAGGGTCTGGAACTAGCCTCGAGCCTGCTTTGGAACCACAATGGCGATCGTGCAGTGCATAGGGGCGAGAAAACTGTCGGTTCCCATGTTGGCTCTAGCAAATGCAACTAAGGCACCTATCCCTCTGGGGGCGAAGGCCATGCGACAAGCCCCTGCAGGCAAAAGCAACCACCCGTCCAAATTACGCAGCTCCAAGGTCCTCGGTACACACCCACCTCAAGAATCAGGTCGTGTGTTTTCCTCTTCCGGTTTTATTTCGACTTACACTGCCTCCACACAGTCCGCGACTGTCTTGTATGCACTCCCTACGCACCTGCGGTATTGTTTGACAGGACGTCCAAGATTTAAAACGCCAGCACATGCGGCGCAACAGGCCACTGGATTCTTCCCGACTTAATCAGGCTTTTCATTAATTGCGGAACTCAACGATGATCAGTCGCTAGGCCACCCGCGACATCCACAGTCATCCCATACTGGACTAGATCCAACGAACACGATTCTAACTCCGAGTTGGACGGCTCATTGGATGAATCGCCGTGACAAGCTTATTTATTTTTTTTTTGCTTCTCGCATGTGCTTTTTCTCAGCTTTTGTGTTACTCTTACATCTGGATTGGTCGATACGGCGGGGTCTGCAGATGTAGTCATATCATTACATCATCTCGATGGAAAGAGAGAAGGAAGATAACAGAGTCTGGAGCTGGACTTCTCCACCCTTCGATGTTCACTTTTTCGTTAGTGTGTGCGCCTGCACCCATGGAGAGCATGAGAGCGCTAAGGAAACACAAATCAAGCGCCCTTCATGAAAGGCGTAGGAGGGGGGAAATTTCCAAGTAAAAAAGCAAAGAGGGCCATATTTGAAAATGCAATTGTGTCAGGATGGATTGCTTTTTGTTAACCCTTTGCTTTGTTTTGTACAGTATGGAGTAGTTCCCGGATGTCTGCCATTCCATCGGGAATCATCCAAGAGCGCCTAATTCAAAATATCTTCCACCTCCACTGAGGAACAAGGAAACAAACTACTAATCCCGTGGCGGAAACCGATTAAAAAACAACAAATTAAAAGGGGGGGATTCAGATTATCGTAGTTGCATAGTGGCTGCAGATTTTAGACATACAACATGCGCCACAGGCAAACAATTGGAGATTTTCTGTGTTGGAGTCTTGTCGGATTTCGCCGATGCTCTTCTGGCCGCTCTTCTGGCAATATTGGAAACTCACTCATTGTGAACGGTGAGGCGTTTAACTGTCCATCTACAGGTTTCTGATCGACAAGTTCTTACGTCTTCGGAGGAAATATCCCCAATATGACATCGAGTACACACTTTACCTCGAGATTATCTGGAAGAAAAGAAATGAGCTGCCCCAACCCCTGTTCAAAGCTCGTCTTACCTTCCCTTATTGCTAGCTTATTATTTACCCGGGTGAAATAGTAAGGCAAATATAGGATGGGATGGGTGTAAACAGTAAGGATCCATGGTTACAACTACATTGTCCGGAGTCCGCGTTGCCCCCCCCCCTAACATCGGGATAGGTACCAGTGTTGGTTAGGTATCTATGGGCATCTTATTCCATAGTACCCGTACGGGATATACTAAGAGCACCTACCCAAAGAGATTTAGTGGGGTTGCAGGAGAGATTTGAGAAAACTCAGCGACCCTCTCATCACATCAGGTCAGAAGTCGCCGAGACCACGGCCGGTTACGGAATGTACAGAGGTTGTATGCGGGATTTAACATGCCTCATGTACTCCGTACACAAGAACCAAATTCTAAAAGCCTGTGTACATAGCATGTTGCAAAGCACTGCTGCGATGCTGCATACTGCACCAAGTACTCTGTGCCCCTTGTACGATTTACGATTACTGGGGAGGCAGCCATCTGTGCTCCGTATGTGAAATCACATCCAGCATGAGGATCCAAGCTTTGTGGAGCTAACCGCTATCCGTTAATGGACGACGATGAGACCCGGACGGTAATCTGGATCCGCGAGTCATGGGTGTGGCGAAGGGAGGAAGAGAGAACAGGACTCCACCTGGCAAAGTCAGTACGGAGCACGGATTACAATCGTGTATGATGCTATGCTGTATCATAAGCTAAAGCTATTTTGGAACCTAGAAAGTTGATCTTCATCAAAATCAAACACACGGAAGATGGAGAGAGAGAGAGAGAGAGCTTGTTTCCGAGCGCAGGGCTTTCGGATCCGTGTGCTTGGCTGCCGGGATGGATCTTGCCATTGTGATCAAGATATTACATTGTAAAATCCTACGGCAGGGAGTTGTCCAATCTGTATTCGTTCCCAGAATTTATCCGTATACAGTGCTTACCTCTGATGTGGAGATGAAAGGGAACGTGCTGATCCTTGATACGATCTTCCGACGTCACAATGCGATTTCTGATTCCCGATGCTTGTTTTGGGGGCATTCCGTAACTCCGACTTCCATATGGAGCGTCTCCGAATTGATAATTAAATGAGATCAACTGTTCATTTGGTTCATGTAAAAAAATTGCGTTTTGGCCTTTGGGGCAACAAATTCAAGATTGGTCGATAGGGGTACAACTCTCCTGAACTCGTCGAAGATCGGCGTGGCACATGGGGGCAAAAGCCCCCCCAAAAAAAAAGAAAAAACATAACCGCGCTCACTTGACCTTCCTCCGCCTCTCTCTCGATATCTTGACACATCTGATCTTGTTTATTGTGTGGATTGTCATTGGGCCCGGGAGGAACGAATGAGTTGCGATCTACTCCGTATACTCCGCAATTCGCACGGAGTGATGATTCGGTGCGTATTACGTACTCCGTATCTCCGGGCTTAGTTATAGGACACCAAGTCTCGATTATTCGGCGTGGTGCGCAGACAGCTCAATTTATGCGGTTTATTTTTAATTCCCAAGCAGAGAACCGGTGTGTGTACAACATATGACAACTGTCCTTGTCGCCATCTCTGCAGCGATCAGCCTCAAAAATTTCCACGCCTTTCACAGATGGTGAGAGTCCTTTTTTTTTTTTTTCCATGATCCGAAATAGTTCGCCAACTCCAGCCACGCGACGGACTGCCGCACCCACATGCACGTTTTTAACACATTCCTCCACATGGGATGGCTCACAAACTCTTAGTTTGCGGTGAGAACTAACTTTTGAGTATTTTGGCTTTGGCTTATGGTTCAGGCTAGAAACCTTTTCAAGAGTTCGAAGGAACACTCGGTGTATATGAGAGTTGACGCAAAAAGACGAAACTCGTGGATTAACGACCATATATCGCAGTTGCCGGGAATTACAAACCCTACAGGTATTCGCGTGTTTACCACCATTCCTGCCTCGGCCCCCGGGTTTTGATCTCTTTCCCCGATATTCCCCAATTACGGCTTTTGGCGGCTGAGGCCGGAGTACGGAGTAGGGCCGGCGTGGTAACCTTCAATTTGCGTGGCATTTTGGTTGCACCAAGTGCCTCGAGAAGTCGAAAAGCGAGAGCGAGCTCGGCTAAAAATTAAAATTGAAAAAAAAAAATTACACTCCTATCGCACGTTCTGTCCGTTCTTCGGATCCGGATGGTGGGGCCGTTGATCCTGCTCAGGTAGTGTGTCGCGTCTATGGAGTGTGGATGTTCAAAATGACAAGTCAAGTACCGTTGACTCCGTAGGAGTTGATGGGAACGAGGTCAGAGAGAGCCGATGCGACATATTCGAGTTGTGCATATCTTTTGGGGTAATCCCTTTTCCTCTTTTCGACGCCATCCCGCTTGTGCCGAAGGGGGCCTTATCCGTCTTTAAGGCGATCCGGAGTGCGGAGAATGTCGTGTTTTTGTTTGAGAGATATATATACATATATATTTAATTAATTCATTATTGATGAATTTTTCAATTCTAATTTGATTGGCATCGACTGGGCCCGTTAATATTGGTGAATCATAATGAATCATACGGTGTTATGACATATAAGCATTAAATACAGGCCAAATCTTCCAGGAGTTGAAGCCGTAGCCCTGGGGCAGATCATTGCAGACTGATCAGACTAAGCAGGGGCAATATCCGCATGGATGAAAGACCAGGGTGTGCCAACTTTAATTTGGGAGCAGTTGAATCCTGAATCTTTTCAGAAACATGTTTTGGTGCCTACGACATAGGAAATAATGGCTCGATCGCGAATGATTCCATTCACCTCGACACCGAGTTAGGACCTATGGATCCAGCCGATGTAACCATGGGGACCTCTACCAAGCAGCTAAGACTTCAACTTGACTCCCTTGGATTATAGCTCGACCCGCGATCTACTAGATTGTGGCTAAATCCCCTCATTGGCCCCGTGTCCATTGGCGTACCATCATTTCCATACTCCCGTACACCGTACTCGGAGCCGAGCGTAGATATTGAGCGATCGGACATACCGGTCTTGATACCTTGCCGAGCTCCGATGGGCATGTACCTCCCCAGAGGACTTTATCTTCCAGGATAAAGTAAAAATCCTCGCAGAAATTCAAGCTACCTAGTTCTGGAAGTGAGGAGAGAGAGAGACCGCTCACCTGCATCGCCGAAGCTGCAAGAAGCAAGGGTTACAGCCCAACGTGGGAGTCTACTTCTTCAAACTTGGTTTTTGCATAAATTCTTCTTCCGATCAGAGAACGTGGAATCGACTGACTGAAAAGATACGGAGGACTCAGTCCCGGGTACTTGTACGTCGGGGGTTCATACGCCCGACGGGTGATGACAACTTGCTCCGTGCGGAGCACATCCTTTCTCTACTCCCAGTCACATGTTCTTTGGCGCCAGCGAATGCGGTTGAGCCATCTTGACATGTAATATATGCAGACAGTACGGAGCACTCCGTACGGAATGCGGAATCCGGAATCGCTTGAGGCCATTTTACTGCTTAGTACAAGCCACCTGATGACAAAGTGGCTGTAGGCCCAGCGTCCTCTTGTTTGATCGGGGTGAGGGTTTCTCCCGCATCGGAGATGCAAATCTCTTATCCAAACGGTGTTACTCTCTCGCACAGGCCACCTATGATCTTTGTCCCAACATGACATACGATCTGGATCGACGAAGAGATCGAGACCGACGGAGACCGGCAAAAAGAAATTAGTTCCACAGTTTAGCGAAGTCCTTAACCGTCTCGGCAAATAGGGCGCCGTGCTAGGTGGAGAGACCTCACAATGCTCTGGACCGTTCCAAGTCCATAGTCGATCCGGGGCGGCAGTGGCACAATTTAGAGCGGAAAAGGGGGCCAGGATTGTCGGTTGATCCGCCCAGGGGTTTACCCTCTGGTTCGTCCCCGATTGCGTCCCCGGTCAGCCCCAGCCACTTTGACATACCGTGTGTGACAATTGAGTGTCAGGTGGACTGACGTCTCGGATTGGGTTGGGATTGAGATCTTCGAGAGAAACCGAGAAAATCAAACTAGCTATCGTAACCAGTTCTAAAACATAGACAACATACCTCATGCCATAAGTTGTAGTCCGCCTGGACTATGTGGGTCTCGCTATCACAATTTCCTAAGCTTGGAGACTCCGAAATTACCGTGTGGGACTGCGGGTACGGCTTAACGGAAGACCGCGGGATCATCGATCACAGACGACGCTGATAGTCCTCCGTGGAAATGGGACCGTTTCTCTAGCCCTATGTCGTAAGTCTTGAAAAAAAAAAAATACAAGGGGGGGGATGCACCCGTGCACTTGATTTTAGCTCCACGCCTCAGGGCTGAGTCTCTTAGTTCCTGAGAGATCAGGGTGTGGAGGTTGACCCCTCCCATACTGGACGATCTATTGGATAGAACTTCTTTGGTGCATTCCCTTCCTGGCTTTTCCGAGCCTTTATGGTGTAATGGAGAGACTAGCCTGATACTGGTCAAAATAGTATCGACAGTTTAGAAATTCATTTTCCTATTGTTTGGTTTTTCGATCATCATTGTGCATGGTCCAGTAAACCTCCGAACGTGGAATCCCGTACGCCCCTGATTTCACCTTCACGCAAAGCCACTGCGCAACAATAATCAACACCATACGTTTCCTTTGTGGTTGATCAAATTCCAACGCTACTCTACATGGTAGATTGATTTCTATTCTAAAAGGAGAGCTTCACGAGCCAGGTACCCCTTATCTACGCTAGAGTGAAAATAGAAACTCAACCCTTTTAAACCATAGTTGCCATAGACGTTTACTGTTATGACCACCGTGGATAGACCAATAACCTCCGAGAATAATTAATCCACGAGTCCTTTCACTCGTGCCGGGGGTTCTCCACCCCCGAGGTACAAAGAAGGGTACACAAGGCTCGGGTAACAGAGCATAAAAAAAAATTAATGTGATCGAATCGAGAGCCACTACGGAGTATTTAGGCTGGAAAAACGGGTGCCTAGGCTTAAATCTTTTAGCGTCCCAGCCATTTCACATGAAGCACAGGGGCGAAAGACCAAAATGCTTGAACGGATTCAAGTGTCCTGCATCGGCCGGTATTGGAGGCCGGAGAAAATGGGGGAAAGTTACGGCTTACATCGATCATTTCTTTTTCCTTTCCCGCTCTCACCTTTCTTTCTCGTTTCCTCGAACGGATGAAAAAAAAAAGAAAGAAAGAAAGAAAGAAATGCCAAGATGGACTAAGATGCGGCTAGATTAGTTCCGGGATCCTTGGGGGCGAATCTCAACTCGATTGGCTGTCTGAACGGACCGATGCTCTTCTAGCGTTAGCGTCAAAGAGAGGGGACTCGATCTTGCCTGTCATTCTGGGATATAGACGCATCTACCAGAGTTAGTTTTTCCCCTGAGATTCTGTCGCCAAGCAACACGGCCTATAAAACATGGAGTACTCTAGTTCATGAGATCGACAGGGTTGCACAAGTCCCACGAACGCAGACCAGCCAAAGAGGGGAAAATGGCGATGAGCGCCGTTAGACTTGTTGCGATTTTATTTTTGAAAGCTGAAATTTTCTCTTTAGACAATTGGGCCGTGGAAAGAAGCAGCTGAGAGATCGGTGTAACTTGGTAAATTTGACTAGTACGCGTCTTCCCAAAATTCATAGATTTGATTTCCTTCCTTTTTTTTTTTTTTCTATTTACTCTTTTCACCCATTTTTCCGCCGATCTTGAATATACTCCGAGAATTTCTCAGCCCAAGCCGTACCTGAAACTGGCCTCTGCACGATCCGAGGGCTACGTCAACTAGCTTTCTTTTTTAGCCTCGAGTCCATCCCGAGGCCCACACGCCAATCTTCATGGGTCAGATACTCCGTAAATATTCTAGACTTTGTGGGTCTTTGGAGGGTATTCGATCTTTTTTTATGAGCAAACGGATTTACCCGTAACCGGTTGAGTGTCATGTACTAAGGGAAAGTAGAACATAGGTCACTTTTCTAGTGTCCTTCATACTCCGTACGCCGTGCGGTATAGGTAGAGATGACCATTAGTTTTTTTTTTTTTTTTGTTTTAGAGCCTATGGGGCATAGAACTACGCAATCCCCATGCCCTATACATCCCAGGTCTCAGAGTTATTTAACACTTTCGAACATCTAAAATCATTTACCAAGTCCTCAATGGACGTATCACGGTCACTCCACCGGATCCGAGAAGTCCAAAACCGTTGCGGCAAATCCCCTTTGCCCTAGTTTATAGATTTACACATCCTTTCCCCACTTGCACGTCTCTTTGTCTGCATATCATCCCCAAGCGTCTAATTCTCTCTTTTCTTTCATGGCCAGACCGATGACACATTTAATTTTAAAGAAGCTCGGATGTTTATCGGACTCGAGGTAGTCTCGTGCGCCCATCCTAGTCCATAATTACACCACTTTGCCGCTAGTTACAAGATCCTGATACATGGTGAAGTCGTTCGTTTTTTTTTTTTTTAATTCTGTTTTTCTTCTTACCCAGATTGGGCTTTTAATCTTATTCTTTTTAAGAGTTCTCTGCTTTCGTTTCCTTTTAATTCGGTTTTTCTTTCTTTCTCTCGTGATTTTTTTTCAGATTTTCTCTCTATTTTTAAAAGGTCCTTTTTCCTTCTAGCCCTCTTTCCGTCAGAAGCTCGAGGTTTACAAAAAGGAAATACAAATGGAGATGGGTGCAGCTAGATAAATCACCCTGGACCCTCCACTTGCCTTCACATTGACCCCCCTGAACCCCAGTCACCTAGTGTGTCGCGCAGCGTTCTGTTTAGCCTCAGTTCGGGAACAGCCTCGTGGTTTACACCCTTTCATTTCATTTATTTTTCTTTTTTTCTTTCTCCTAAAGGAACCCCATCCCAGTTCTTTCTTTCTCGGTCTTGTACTCTTTCCTAGCTTTGCAAGATTCTGTCTTGGGCCGTGAGAGAGGTCGTTCATGACCGGCATGGTACAGCCCGACCTTGGTCCTCTAGCGACGAAGTACAAGGAAGATTCTATTGACGATCCCGTGAGTTTTATTTCCATACGTATCTTGTTTTTTTTTTTACTTCCAAGTTCCCGTTTCCCCTATAGATTGTGTGATGCGTTTCCTGCTTCATTATCATTTCGAACTTTCTTTTCTATGTGGTTGTCGGGGAGCTCTAGGTCCATGGGACCACTTTCTCAGACGCTTGGATGTCCATCACGCCTTTGGAATTGGTCTTCGCTCGACTTGTCTCTCTTTCCTCAACCTGGATCTTATGCTGGATGGGCAACGTTGTCATTACTCCAACCAGAAGAGTGAACCCGACTCTGATCGATTTGGCATCTGCTGGCCATGACTTGTGGAGCTCTGTCCCAGTTTGATACATCTCTACCGGACCCACCAAGGCTATTGCTCTGGCTAGAGCCTCACTTCGACCAAAAAGAAATTAATTGAGAGGAGCAACACAAAACAATGCCTAAAGTCCGTGTAGCGGCTTGGGAGAGCTATTTACATATTCCAGCTTTGGGGTGCATTGTCCCCTCGGAAGAAAACATGAATAACAACCCCCCACTCGCAATATCAAGGGCACACCAACGCTACACAGATCCGTGCTCTTCTTTGATCCTGGACGGACTATCCTGGTTATACCCTGGCCTATTTGGTACGCACCTAAGGCCATCCCTGTTCGAGGATTTCCATTGATCTGTGGCCCAATCCAACCCCTCATCTTTCTGATGATGAGATTCTGCATACCTGCAAGATTCCAATTCCCACGCTAGACCGGAGGAGTGAGACGCTGATGTCACTCTGGATACTTCTGGCTGGGTTCACCATTTCCTTCTCTTTCTTTCCTACGTCCACGTTTCCAGCTTGTAGCACCGTGCATTTTTCTGGCTCGAACCTTGCTTGTCGTCTCTTTCTGGCAACCTTTCGGGGCTGGTAATCCAAGTCCTAGTCGCTGATGTTTGACTCTGCTATAGCTTCGACACGGCAACTCTACGCGACCTGGATCTCATCAGTCTCAGATAATACAACCTCGATCAAATCTAGCACCACAGAAGCAAGGTCCTGCCTCGCCTGTTCAACCCTCTCTTTCTTTTCCTCCTACCACCTACCCTCTATCCCATCCATTAGGAAGCGGAGTACTGCACCACCATAGTCCCTTCGGACCGCCATCTCAGGAGTCCCCCTACTACACCACCCATTCTCACTTTACAACGACCCCGGCGTCGGCACATTACCCCTCGAGTGGTAAGCCCAGTTCTATTCTTTAAGCAGTTGGTGGGAAGTTGTTGGCGTGAGAAGTGACGCACTAGTGCTTGACTTTCAGAAGGCCGTTGGCCATCCATGTCATGTTAGCTTATCAGAAACATGAACTAATCATGGAGGATTAGGGCCACCTGACCTCATGGCATCTACCGCTCAAATGCAGAGACCTTATCCCTCCATCTACCACACCCCTCAATCAAGCTCACCAGCTTCGGTAGCTTCTCAACCACATGAACAACATGGCCGCAACATGTACTCGCAGTCACCACAGATGCCACCACAGATGTTCAGCTATCCTCCATATTCGCCTATGAACCCAGTTCAGCCCTCGCCATATGGGGCTCACCATTCTCCCCAGCAGCATCCGCATCCTCTCACAACCCAGCCATTGATGATGCCCCCTCAGAAAGCCCCATCCCAGTTGCAATCGCATCAATCCCCCCACCTCCCTACATCTGGCATGTCTAGCAGCCCCATCTTGAAACTCGATTCCTCCCAGCACCCCACCACTCCACAGCAAACAATGCTAAACCCTCCTCTCGCGGCAACCAGCAGCCACGCAATGTCTGCCAGCAATCCCCACGCAAGCCCACCACTGGGTGGCACCACCTCCAGTGCAGCACCAGGCCCCATCCCAGCCACGACCCCGCTAGTGGTGCGACAGGACAGCAACGGGGTGCAGTGGATCGCCTTTGAATATTCCCGAGACCGAGTGAAGATGGAATACACCATCCGGTGTGACGTGGAATCCGTCATTGTGGACACGCTCACACATGAATTCAAAACGGAGAACTGCGTGTACCCGCGCGCCTGTTGCAGCAAGGACCAATATCGCGGGAACCGACTGGTCTACGAAACAGAATGCAACGCCGTCGGCTGGGCGCTGGCAGAGCTGAACCCCGCTCTGAGGGGAAAGCGGGGATTGATTCAGCGTGCTGTCGACAGCTGGCGCAATAGCAACCAGGACCCGAGACTGCGCAGCAGACGTGTTCGTCGGATGGCTAAGATTAACCGAAGACAGTCGGTTCCCGCCCAGTCTTCTCATATGGCGCAGCAAGGCCCTGCTGGCCCTGCTGGTCCGCCTGGTCCGGGTATGAGTGCTATGCCAGCTCCTGTTCCCCGCCCGACTTTGGGACCCATGTCGATGGGCCCGCCGCAGATGCATCATCATCATCAACCTGATGGTAGTCCCCATGAAGAAGTTAGCGGTATGTTTCACCACATGTGATGTGCTTTGTGCTTTAATCAGTCACGGTTGTTGTTTTTTTTTTCTTATTCGTTTCGTTTTCTTTTCTCTTTTTTTCCAAAGAGCGAGGGGGGGAGGGGGGTGGAGGTCACTCATGTCTCTTCTCCTTGGGGGCATTTTTCTTGTTGGACCAGATCTATTTCATGTGGGTTTGTGTACATGGAGTCTGTGTCGTGTCTTGTCCAATCTGTGGGTGTATGAAGATGTGTCAACGGTTGTATGAGATGTGTACTCTTCTCTCTCTTGTATCCCTACCTGGCCTGCAAGTCTGTGTTCTTATCTGTTTTATTTCATACCCTGTTCAACTCCACTGCCTTATCGCCTCTTTTTTACCATTTGACACCGCGCTTCTTGTGCCTTGGCTCTCCTTTCCTTGGAACTGAACCTCCTCTCCCCGACATGTCAAACATGGAGTTGTACAGCGTAGGCTAATTCTCCCTCCCCCATAGGCACAGAATACCCAGGCCACCGGAGCCTGGACACACGCCTTCCACAGCCCTCAATCGCGGACCTGCGCCCTGCCCACATCTTCCATGACGCCCCAACAACCCTAATTTCAGGCGGCAGCGCCAGCGGCCCCTCTATGCCCCCCCCTCCTCCGCGACAACAGCCTCACCTCACTAAGCCGCCACACAATCGTCACCTCCGCCCGCATGGACTCGGCCGACCACATCGACGAACAAGGCCCAACAAACGACGACCTCTTCAGTCAGCTCCCAGACGGCAAACGCCGCAAATTCATCCTAGTCGACGACCCACAGCGTGGCTGTCGCGTCCGCGTCAAGGTCGTCCTTGACAAGGTCAACATGGACGAGATCCCAGACTCCTACCGCGAGTCCAACGCTGTCTATCCACGCACCTACTTCCCTATCCAGATGCGCGACGAGAACCACGTCGTCCCCGCTAAGCGGTTTTTCCGCGATGACGCCGAGCAGGCGGATGATCCCGAAGCACCAACCATCGGTCGCACGACTGTGCCTGCGCCGTCGCTTGACGCCGAGAACGAAATCGAGGTGCCGAAGATCTCTCGCAGAAAACATCATAAGGAATTGATGCTTAATGACCTCGGCTACCGTATGAGCTGGAGTCAGAGTCGTGTGTTTGCGGGACGGATGTTATTTTTACAGCGATCTTGTAAGTGGATTTAAAATCTCGTTTTCGTAATTTTTTGGTTTTGGTCTGGTGTTTTCCCTACAACATCGATGTTGATGTCTCACCCGAACCCGTCACCACGTGCCCATGGAACCGACTGCGGCTGAGACATATGAGAGACCCCGGCTAACCGTTTGCGAATAGTGGATGCCTATCGCGATAAAATGAGAAGCAGTATGCTCGCCGCGGGCCAGGATGCGGGGGATATCCCAGATCATTTTGATACTCGTCGTGGCAAGCGACGGTTCCTGGAGCGTGGGCGTCGGTTAGGGTCTAGTTCTGAGAATGCGGCGCGGCGGAGTGCGGAGGAGGTTGAAGGTTAAAAAAGGTTGAACCTGAGATTCTTTTTCTTTTCCATTTCTTGACACTTGTCTTACATTTGTGATTTTTGGGGGGGGGGTTGGATGATCTTTCGTTTTCGGTCAAGGAATGCGGCGTTGACGGTTTGCGGAAACACAAGAAAATTCCAAAAACAGAACAACGAAGGGATCTGATCTGGGACCCTCAGATACTCCGACATTTTATTTAACGAGATCTATGTGTTTATATAGAGAAATCCAAAGTGACAGATAAAAATAGCCACGTAAGGAGGTCCACATGGGACCCTGGAATGTTAAAACTAGAACGTTCATACTCCCAATTATAGATGGACGGGGAGGGGGAGTACATGTGAGATCGGACATCAAAGCTTTTCCCGTTGTCCCGGCCACGCCTTATTTATCCACCCATGTACTCTCTGCTCTTTGGAATCTTTTTTTTTAATTCATCTCCAAAGTCCCAGATCCGCATTTCCTTTGTCTCGGATTCGGTAGATTCCAAGTCTGCATTCAGTCTCAAATTCTGCCTTGGCACCTTCTCTGCATTTTTCTCCGTTCGCGGATTCCACTGTACATCTGAACTTCTTATTATTCCACGTCTAGTCCACGCAGACACCTCAACTCTCTCAAAAATACAATGGACATCTCACCACCCCATCGGTATTCCCACGGATCCCGCGAGAACCACGCCATCACACCAGACATGGACAACCTCGGTCCCAACTCACCAGGCGGCGGAATCAGCGGAATCGCCCTAGGAATTGCCAATACACACAGTCGCGAGAGCGGCATCGAAGCATCTCAAGGCGCAAACGACGGATACACCGGCCCCGCAGAGCGCGACTTTAACACTACCGGCTCCGACACACCCTACATACCTTCAACAGGCTATACCAACGCCGACTCGTTTCATCCAGAACATGCCCACGCATCGAATATGGCGAGAGGCGGCGCACTCGCCTCGCCCGCCTTGCAGACGCCCAGTCAATCGTCGGGGCATCTGAGCGATCCCACGCACAGCACATACCAATACCCCGCACCGTATGCGGGTCTCACTGATGGACCTTATCAGCGTCATTCAACGGCGTACAGCAATGGCGACATCTCCAATATTAACCCCGATGACATCGCCGATGATGGGGAGGAGGACTTTGCTCCCCCCCGCACTCGTGGTGCCTCTGCAGCGGCCGGTGCGACTGGTGGCGCCACTGCTGGTGGGATCCTGGCCGGCCTTTTTTGGTCGCGAGAAGAAGGTTGATGTCGCGTATAACTCGGTTCCCGGTGGTGGGTTGGAGGCCGGCGGGGGGGGGAGCGGGGAGATCACTGAGTAATGGAGTAGACGGGCGCAAGAAGATGGGCTGGATCGTCGGTCTTGTTCTTGGGTTTGTGATTCTGGGTGCGATCGTCGGTGGCGCGGTGGGCGGTACAATTGGTAACCGGCATAGCGAGAAAAAGTCGACGGCTGCCGGTGCGGATACTGCTACAGGTGATACGACGACCAATGGGGATCTTGACAAGGATTCCTCGGAGATCCAGGCCCTGATGGGTAACCCGAATCTCCACAAGGTCTTCCCAGGAATGGATTACACACCGTGGGGCGTGCAGTACCCGGACTGTCTGAAGTGGCCTCCGTCACAGAATAATGTCACCCGTGACATGGCTGTCTTGTCGCAGTTGACCAATACGGTGCGTCTTTACGGGACGGACTGCAATCAGACTGAAATGGTTCTCCATGCGATCGATCGTCTCGAGTTGACGGATATCAAACTTTGGCTCGGCGTGTGGATTGATTCGAATACCACCACGACTGAACGGCAGATCAATCACCTCTACACGCTTCTAAATGATACCAAGCACACCCCCATATATAAGGGTGTCATTGTTGGTAACGAGGCCCTCTACCGCGCCGGCAATAGCAAGCAGTCTGCGGAAACGACCTTAATCTCGTACATCAGAGAGGTGACGACGGAGGTCAAGAACCGCAATCTGGATCTGTTGATTGCAACCTCCGACCTCGGCGATAACTGGAATGCGCAGTTAGTTGAGGAAGTGGACGTCGTCATGTCGAACGTCCATCCCTTCTTCGCCGGTGTCAACGTCGACGCTGCGGTGGGATGGACATGGGATTTCTGGCAGACCCACGACGTCTCCTTGACCAAGGGCACGAATAAGAAGCAGATCATCTCAGAGGTCGGATGGCCCAGTGGTGGCGGCAAGGACTGCGGTGGTAGCAGTGTCTGTGACGACGACACGCCTGGTTCTGTCGCCAGTATCGAGAACATGAACACTTTCATGTCTGACTGGATCTGTCCTGCGCTGGAAAATGGAACCGATTATTTCTGGTATGTTTTGTCTACTCTTTGTTGGGCTATTTAGGTTGCTAACACTCTCCTCCAGGTTCGAGGCCTTCGATGAACCATGGAAGATCCAGTTCAACACGCCCGGAAAGGAATGGGAGGACAAATGGGGTCTGATGGACTCGGGTCGCAATCTGAAGAAGGGCCTCACGATCCCAGACTGCGGCGGCAAGACGGCATCATAAGATGCTATGAGATCCGGCCGTGGCTCTCTTATGGAATCATGATCATGAATTATCACTTATGTGCATACGCATCGTTGTTTTTTTTTTTTTTTCGTTCTTGCTTTCGGTTCTGCACTGGCGTTGGTCTTTTCTATCTCTGATACCATTCATTCATCACAAGGGAATTCCTGAAGATCTCCCCTCTCATCTTCGCACCTTTCCCCGGATTTACGCCTCTTCCATTTCGATTGAAAATCTCTGGGTTCCCTACCTGGCGGTCCATCATATGTCCTGTCTTTTCTTATCTTTATACTGTCTTCACCCATTGCTCATCTTCGGGCATGGTTTTTACCTTACATATCTTGTGTGGTACTATACATTCCTTTCGTTTCCGTGTATGAGGGTGTTTTCCCAGAGGAAATTTGTCTTCTTGGGACATTCACGGGGATCATTTATGCTTGTGTTTTTGCCTTCCAATAGCGATACTATGTGTATATTAGCTATTTTCAGCCTCAATGTACATAACAGGTCACTCTATCAACTCTCGAATTTCCTGGAACTACCTGTAAGAACTGTCGTAAATGAATGTATCTACTCGCTTCTTTCGTTGACCACCGTCATTTTCCAATCCAAGCAACTGCCCCCTTCCAATGTTAGCTTACACCAGACAAGGAGAGGTCAATGATTGAAGTACAACCATTAAACGGAAGGGGGAAACGTCCTCGGAAAGTTCATTGAACAACAGAGGGCTTTCTCTGTGGAAAGGCTCTAAAAATTATAAAAGCAAGGAGTTGAGAAAAGAGCTCCTTGTGTTGATGCTCTTGACGGACAGTGGAGAACTTGGAAAAGTACAGTCAGTATCCACAGAGGTGAGGCTAGGTGAGGCTAAAACGGCCCGATCGGTTCCCGAAGGAGCTCCTTTCAGACGGTCCGCCCGACACGCTTCGTGCCATTGGACTAGGACCGAGGCCCTAGCCCAGTTTCAGACTTAAATAAGCTACATCAAAGACCCAATCAATACCCTCAGGGTTCCCCGTTCACTGGACAACAGAAGACATATGTGGCGTATGAATCTGGAGCTGAAGGTCAAAACATTGAAGAATAGTCAACAGTAACCACGATGTGCAATGTGGACCTGGAGTGATATGAAGGAAGAAAGAAGAAGAAAGAAGAAGAAAGAAGAAGAAGAAGAAGAAGAGAGAAGTGGGGGAGGGGGGATGACTACCTTCCCTGTGACTGAAGGCCATGGGGAACTGGGGTGCGTGACGATTTTTGAACCAAAAAGGGAAGGCACCTGATTGGGGAGGTGCCTGGGTGCTTGACTAACCTTGAAAGGCGCATTGGAGAAAGATGACATTTGACTCAATCTCGACAAAAGAACTACCCCAACGCCAATCCCAGGTGTACCTGTCTATAACCCTATGCATCTCTATAAATCAAAATCCCCATGACACCAAAAACTATAGATCTCACTCCTCACTTGTGACTTGCTCGATCCAATATAGTCTCATATTCCAAAAAGCATGCTCAAGCAATTCAAATACCGGCAAGCAATACGACCCAGCTCCATCCACATAACCTTGCAGTATACCACCAGCGTCCGTATGCTCAAGCGGGCCACCGAACAACAGCCACGGTTTCGAGGGCAGCAACATTTCAAGATGTTTTCGCTCTGCACCGGGACAGAAGAGCATTGTGTTCGCGGTGATGTGCGAGAAAGCCTCTGGGTGTTTGATGACTGTTATATTCAGGGCTGCGAGAAGGGATTCATCTAGTGTGTTGAAGACAGGGTCTTGGGCATAGACTTTGAGATTGGAGGAATGGATGCCTGTGAAGTGGGTGTGTGGTTAGCTGGGATATCATGGTTATGGGTATGTGAAAGTCGAAGTCAAGAGGAAAATCAGAAACCAATCCCATGTAGATCCAAAGAAAGATATCCAAAAATGAAACCAAAGCAAAAAGACTAAAATCCAAAAAGATCGGGATACGAACAAGCCACTTGATCCTTAATGCTGGCCAGCGCAGCAAGCTGATAAAGCGATACAGAACGCCGATCAACCCATCCATCACGCAAAAACCCACTCGGGCTCCCAAGCCCAATGCAGACAATGGCGTCGACGGGACAGCGGGCCGGAGCGGGAGTAGTAGCATCAGTCTCAATAGCATTAGAAGAAGAAGAAGAAGAAGAAGAAGAAGAAGAAGCTTGTTCCTGCGCCCTCTTCAACCGTTCATCCAAAACGCCCGTCAACTTCGTCCAACTCTCCGAGCCCTCCCACCTTTCACGATGAGTCTGGAATTGCGCCTGCAGATCCGACAGCGTGAGTCGACCCGGTGCTTCTGCGGGGGTCAAGGTGAGTTCTTCAGGGTGGCCAATAGATATCCCGGACTCTGATTCCTTGATTGCAGTTGTGCCTCGCGGACATGTGCGCATAACGCGCCGCACGTTGCCGCCGCTCGCGACATGGGTCCAGCCATCACCGTCGGTCACTTGGGTTCTTTTTTGGGTTGGTCGTTTTCGGCGAGAGGTGTGGGATGTGTGGGGCATTTTAAAATATATAGATCTATTTATATAGATATTGTGATTTTTTTTTTGAATGATATATTGACATATACGGGTTTGGATTTTATGGCAGCCTTTTTTTTTGGAGATGCGGGGGAAATGCTTGGCGGGACTCCAGGCTTACTAATTAGACTGGCAGGGACAGGACACTATTCCACGTCCAGGTTAGGGTGAGATAGAGCTACATAACATATTCGGGGCAAAGAGTGAAAGGCTTTGCAGCAAGGAAAGCCCAGCACAGAACTTAACCTCTGAGCACACTCGTACATCCTGTAAGCGCTCAACTTGTTTCCCCGAACGTTAGCGTCTCCCCTCGGCGCTTCCACCGCTGGTCGCTCAGCAAATCATCGTGTAGTATCACCCTTTAGGTGATGGCACTTGCATCAAGCTGTGATGATCCCAGGCTACCCCTGCTCTTCATCACTACCCGGAGCCAGTCATAGATGCCTCACCATGCAGTCTCGGTCACATCTGCCTTCCAGGGGTTTAACTTGTTCGCCCGAGGGAAGGCTGGTACCCCTCAAAAAGACCATTTAGCCCTCGGGAATCATGGTTTGGTCTTGGTGTTGGAGTTTCAATGATTTTGGTGTCCATTTTGCCATCACCGTTACCCTCCCTCTCCTACCAGCTTCATTGATCCAGCGATCGGATAAATTGAGTCCAAGACTGATCCAGCAACAGCCGAATAATTTTGGTTGGGTTCAACTCTTGCAACTTGACACCGTCACTGTTGTATCTCACCATGAGCTTCACAAAATCCATATCGCGATGGGCTTCTGTCCTACTCCTACTGTGCTTGGGTCTGGCACATGCCCACACCGTCATCACTTACCCTGGTTATCGAGGAAACAACCTCCACACCAACGGCACCGTTGCGCAATCTAATGGTCTCGGGGTTGCCTACGATGTAAAGAATGGCTCATACATATTCCCATACGGCATGGAGTGGATTTATCCCTGTAAGCAAAGACCGATGTGCTCGTCCTTACACATCAATCGCTGACGTGAATTTTTCCAGGTGGTGGCATGCCCAGGTCGACCAACCGAACCAAGTGGCCCGTCAGCGGTGGTGCCGTCGCCTTCCAGCCGGGCTGGTTCCCAGGACACGCCACTGCCCTAATATATATCAATCTCGGCTTTGGGGAAATCCCCGAAAACATGAGCCACCCCGTCGTCCCGCCCTTCCAGATCGTCGGCCCGACCAACAACCCTTACCCCGGTACGGTGTGTCTGCCCCAGGTGCCCCTGCCAGCCAATGTCTCCGTCAGCCCGGGTGACTATGCCACGATTCAGTTGGTCGAAACTGCCAAACATGGCGCTTCGCTATTCAATGTATGTCCTAGCCCCCTGATCTCTTATCCGACGAGCAAGATGCTGACTTGTCTCTAGTGCGTGGACATTGAGTTCGCAGAAGATGGTGATCCGTCCGTGGAGACAGTGACTCGCGACAATTGCTTCAACTCATCGGACATCAGCTTTGAGTACATGTTCACCACCAGTTCCATTGGTTCAGGTGCGGCGATGCTACAGCCTCCGAAACTGTCAGCAGCGGCTGTCGCACCGCTATTGCTGGCTGTCACCTTCGCCGTGTGCATGTAAATATGCCGGGCTTCCTTTGATTGCCTTCGTGCGCTCCTTAATTTTTTTTTTGTCTTTCCTTTGCGCCATACCCCTGGTTTTCATTAGTCTGTGACGCTTCAAAATCAGTGTTGATGATACTACATCTCTATGTCTTTCTGAAATGGACTACATAATTGACACTTTGGATCTCTTTCTGGCGTTGAATGGTGTTTGGGCTCTATTTCCATAGTTCTGCTGAGCGAATATAACCTGTCCAATTTGCTGACGATCTTGTGGAGTAGATTTCACCCTCCGTATACTCCCATTGCCTTGATCCTATGCCGTGGTATCATATAGCTCCCAGCACTACTAAGTCAATGTGTCCTATTGCTCATTTAAATTTGCCTTGGTTTCAAGTTTGTAATTGTTGAGGTTTTGAGCGGTTCTTTTTCAGGATGCGGAGATGGCCTTCCCCCCACCTGAGCTCTCCCGATAAGCTCACACAACAGCATGCCCATCGAAAGCAACTCTCTTGAAGCTGTATTCAACTCGGCGAAAAACAAGTTGATTCACTTCATTCAATCCCATCTTTTTCTTTCTTGCAACGCCTCGAGGTTCGAGGTTTTATTAATGATGACCACGCTCCGGATTTTTACCCGGGGAACCACTAGAAGAGAAGGTTGAACTAGAAATGTCCGGAAATATCGCCTTACTTCCCAAATACCAAGTATCTCTTTGGATAGAACCATACCCCATGTCAAGCCCCGCTACAATGATGGAGCTATTGCGGACCGAACTTGAACTCCGAGAGAATACTCAACGCAAGGTGGCCTTGAGGGAGGATACACAGGGACTTCTCAAGTTATCCGGCACCCACGATATATCGATTCGCAATCAAACCTTATGGAGTAACTTTTCGAATCTTGTTAAGGAACATCGGATACTAGAGCGGGAATGGTGGAAGGTAAGAGGGGTGATGAATAGTGACTTGGAGGACCCGTTGGATCACATTCAAGATCTGCCACCAAGATGTATGCCACTGGATTTGAAAGACAAGAATATGCTGCAAGAGGTCAATCTAACTAGCGTGTGGATATCTACCTTGTCTTTCAAATTTTCTTCTGTGCGGCTTCTCCAGGATAATTAGAATGCCGTCCAATTCAAGAGCCCTATGAAGATGAGATTGCATTTTATAAAATTGCATGAGTTGTAGGGCGACCAATTGTCCCGACAGAAATAGAACCCCATATCATCGCACGGTCTCCAAAGTGGCAGAGTAGAGAGTAGAGAGTAGAAAAGGAACCAAATTTCATCATTGAGGATTTAGCACCTGCCTTTGCTCATCTACCTTTCTTGAATTCCTTCGACTCCAATTTGACAATTGCCAATAAAGTGATGTTACGGTGGTTGACGGCCCGGACCGTAAATATACTGCTCTCAAGTACATGAAGTGTTCTGCATGGTTTCTACCCCCAACAGTTTCTGGCTCGTTCAAAAATAGTCCCACGTTTACCACAAGTGGCATTTTCAGTCGTGAAAAAAAAACGACCACTATGAGATTCGAACTCACAATCTCCCGATTACACTTAGAACTAGGAGTCGGGTGCCTTAACCATTAGGCCAAGCGGCCAATCTGTACGGAAGTCCTTCTAATAGGGTTTATCATCAGACAGGTGACTTTGGCAGGTGAATCAGAGCGCTAGACATTCCGTTCTCATCATGACAAACCGTCTTCAATAGACGACTATCTATTTAAAGATCATTTGTCCCTATGTCCGATTTAGCAGTTCTTGCATCTGACATTATGGAGTCTCATGTATCGTATCAATCGTACGATTTTAGGCCCATGAATTGTTCAAGAAAACAGCCTAAATCCTATTAATATGCACGCCCTCTGGAAGACGTGCTACTTCTAATCCGATTCACGTACCTAAGACAACAGTTTCATATCTTTTTTGCTTGTTTTCAAGTTAACCTTTAGTTGTTTTTCTAGATAGCATTCCTTCTAGGTGTAGTAAGTCGAAGGATAATCATACGCTGTAGGACTGCCACCAGGAGTGAAGATGACAGCACGGAGTAGATATACCGGGCCTTTCAGACAGCAGGGAAACCGAGCAAGAAGCAGGGAGCAAAATCAGGTAACTTCTGATGCCATTCAGAGCTAGGCGCTTAGACATCTACTGACAGGATAGGTAGGTATCCGTTACCCTCGTGATACATCGCTTCCGATCACCAATTTGCAACACCAAATGAACAACCCTCGTTTGAGTCATTACCTTGTCAAGTGTTATCTGACCACCAAGTCCCCGACGTCATGTGGCTCGAAGATACTCTTCACCTTTGCGCAAATCCAACATCTATTTACTTGTCTCGGACTTTGACGAGGCGATATATTCACTTTGGAAGGCTGGATGGGGTTTTGATTCGCAAGGACCACGAACAATCGGGAATGCGAAACTGGAACTCCGGCAAAAGCGACTGATTGCCCCAACCAAGACAATTCCCGTTCCTCTCACTCGTGTTCTGACGATGCGATGTTGACAGCGGACTCAAAAGAGAATGTATCATTTCCACCACTATCAGGCCATCATGAGGATGAGATGTTGCTGATTCGCCTATCGTTACACTCATGTGCCCGCCCTCAAAACAGCGATCGTTCGCAGAACAAAAGAAAGATGAACATGTCAGTTTCACTTTGAGATATTGGTAGAAGTGGAGACAGGCACTATCGAATTTAGAAAAAAATACCAACGGTTGATTTTGAGATGCACGATTACAATCTTATGAATGATACCCAACAACACTTGACCGTGGGAGTGTTTTGTTTTTCTTCATCGTCTAGCCTTCAGATGCAAAATTCACTGTCGGTGGTCACCGGGATTCAGAATTGGCATGTGGACGCGGTGGATGTGTAGTCGAATGTGCAAATCCAGAAAACCAACCCACATGCCTACAAACACATCACCAAGCAGAGGAAATGATCTAACCCCTTGACATCACCAGCACAGCAGGCTTATTCCTCCCGACGCAAATTTTTCTCACTTGGTATGCACAGTATAACAGAAGTATTAGGTAGATTAAATTGTGTCTCTTGGGGACGAGACCTATGAAAACAGGTCGGAAAAAAACCAAGACGACACACCATCTTGTTGTAGAGCTCACCCGGCCTAAGGAGGGACTAGGGTTGAGATATAAAGAACGTCAATAATACAGGGTGGGAAGGAGAAACGAGGGTATCATGGAAGCGAACAACTCCAATGGGCCACACCGGAAGATCAAAAAAGAAATTGCAGGAAAGAACAAAATAGAGAGTAGAGCGAGAGTGTGTACCCAGTTATGGGGCAAAGTTACTCCAAAAGAGAGCAAAGGGCGCGGCAAAAGTGGAATATAGGCCACACCCAAGACAAAAGACAAAAGAAGATAGAAGAAAAAGGGTGAGCCAGAAGAAGCAAGCCAAGGGGAGAATATCTGTCATTAAAGATTAGATGCTGGCGAAGATAGAACCCATTTTGAAGGAAAGCCAACTGTGGTCATCGTAGGCCACAAGTCTTCCCCCATAGAATAGAGCGAAGAGAAAAGAGGGAAGGAAAGAAATGAAAGGAAAGGAATGGAAACAAAAGAGAATTTAAAACAACTTGAGCTGAAACCTGAAAAAAGGGTATCTGTTCAGTCGTCTGACTTAAGGAGGAAGATTAAAGAAGACAGTGAAGATCAAGCGCATAGACCGAATGCCTTCCGGAAAAGAGGAAATCGTTTCTTTCGTCCCGAGCCAGCAATCACGACATCGCGCACTGAAAGTCCATGGTTATCGGGGGTTGTCACTTCAGAGGTGCTGTCACTGTTCGGATCCGGTCTTTCGTGGGGTGCCCCGGGCCCATTCGCAATCGGAGATGCACTGTGAGCACCATTCCCATCGAGAACGGTGCTTCCACTTTGTGCTGCACCTGCACCATGTGTTGGCAGCGCGGGATTCTGTTTTTGAAGAGTAGACGATGAGGCGCTGTATGGTTGTTCCGCAACTGGCTGGAGAGACGCTTCTTCCTTGGGATTGGAGTGAAGAGGCCAAGTGTCCGGGCCTGTCGACTGGCGTTTAGAGTTTCTCTTCACCAGCTTGGCCGAGCGAGGCGATTCAGGATTCCCGGCAGACACTGTGGTTGGTGTGATGACATAGTTCTCATTCACCATCCCCTCACTGCGTGGTTGATCGAGTTCTAGATACGACCGCTCTAGGGGGCTCTCGATTTCAGTTTGGAAAACTCTATGATCCGGGTTCTTGGGTTTCTTGATGCCAAGCCGGGTGAGAAGTCCTCGCTTCCGACCACCGGGAGGCGCCATGATGAACTCCTCCAAGTCTCTCTGCGACATGCCACGTTGTTTGGCCACAGCTGCCATTCCAGACATGTTTCGGGCGCTCTTTCCGCGGGACCCGGATGGTGAGGTCATTTTATGAGATGCAAGCACCGGTAGTGCTTGCTGCTGGGCGCTTTCTTCTGAGCTATCTTCCAACTCTGTCGAGTCGCCATCGTCGGCACCTTGGCGACGGGGAATACCGCGGACGGGGCGTAGCTTATTGCTTCCAGGCTCATCTTCATCGCTGGAATCTGCGAATCGACTGGTGAAGACCTGAGGCCGGGCTTCATCCTCGCCATCTGAATTTGCCAACCGAGTTGCTCGCGCTGACCTAGGGGGCGCCTTGGTGAACTTCGCTCGCGGTAGGGCCTTCTTGTTCGTCGAGAAGAACGAATATCGCTCACCTCCAGTAGGTCCTCTGAGAGTCTTGCGCATTGCGCCGTTCGAGGAGCCAGATGAGAGAGGACGATGTTCAATGGGAAACTCATTGCGTTCCGTTGGAGATAGGACTCGAACGTTAGCACCAGCAGTACCGGCTCTCATTGTCCGTCGCATGGAGTGGGTATCCGGACGCGGAGAAGAGCGTTTGAAGCTACTTGAGGAATCACTCCCATTCGATACATTCCGGCGGAGAGTATCAGGGATACCTGTTTGCCCTCCTAGACTGTGGAAAGTCGGACCGACAGACAGTGTACGCAATTTGGCCCTACTACCTTGCAGGGAAGCATCGTTGCTCGACCACCGAAGATCCTGTGTACGAGACGCGCCATCCACGTCTGCCGACATAGGGCGGGGTTGCATAGTGCGCTGTGCTTGGACGCTGCCATTTTGACCAGTCACTGTGCGAGTTTGCAACTGAGTTGGTACCGGTGGGTATGTAGAACCAAGTCCATGCCCAACCGAAGAGGCTGGGAATTCCTCTACCAGGCGGTTGACCGAGCCATGCGTTGGTGTCACGGAGTGCTCCTCAAGTGGTTGAACCGTCACATCTTGTGATTGACTATCCAAGATGGCGGCTCTACCGATAGGCCTCGGTGTTGCGTCCCTAGATTCGCTCACATTCTCCTCAATCAGTGCTGACCTAGGGGCTGATCGGCTATCGATAATGGCATTGATGGATCCATACCCATCACCGTCCATATTTTCCGCTGCATCGCTGTAGATGCTATCACCAGACTCCTCCTCGGTATCCACATCGTCCAGCCTTGGAACAGCGCTCGCCACGGCCTGAGCGGTCGTTTTCTTCGCACCCGAATCAAGAGTGCGGTCTGTGCTGGAGGGCGCGAATCCTCCCGGAATCCTATACTGGTCCATGCCATATCTCTTCAGGTCGAAACTTTGATTGGTTCCATCTGCTGGTGGCGTAGCAGGCTCGACAGCAATAGTAGGCACGGACAATGTTGAGCCCACGCTAGAACACGGCTGTTTCTCAGTGATATTGTCGGTGAGTCCAGCCTCTCGCTTGTTGGCATCCGAGCACAAAGTATGCAAACTGCCGTTGACAGACAACTTCTCCAGAGCGCCTAATCCGCTTGGTTGGAAGTATTCCTTTGAAAGTGATATGTCTGGTCTTGGCGCCACATCAGATGCAGATGAAGGGCAGGACTCGTTGTCACTAAAATCCGGAATTGGTGATCTTTTGAGAGCACCACCTCGGCTCCCCCGAATGCTACCAAAAGATGGAAGAACTTTACGGGGTTTGATGACTACATCCCAGTCATCGTCGCTCGCAAAGTCCGCGGGCGACTTCTTCTTGCCAACACCGAGCCAATTCGTACGAGGCTTGGCTTTACCAGCAGGCGGGAAATCAGACGTATATTCTTCCGGTGAGGTAGGAGGGCTAGCTGCTAGATTGACGACTTCAGCTTCATCATCAAAACTGACCTTGGCAGATTTTTTTCTAGTGTCCACCCGGGATCCTTCGTCTGAAGCCACTGAGGTGCCATCTGATAGTTCGTTCGATGTAAGAGCTCGACCGGTTACTCCAACCCTCCCATCAGGCGACAAAGAGCCTCCCCTTGGATGTTTCAAGGCTGATTTGACGGGAGATACTGATCTGAGCGGAGGCTGGTGAACTTGATCATCGGTTCCAGCTACAGAGAGCAATCTGGAAAAACGAGCAGTTCGACCTGGGCTGCTCGACTGACGGCGTGGCTGCTGCCCTATTTGCAGTCCTGACGAGGGTGATGATGATGATGGCATTGGCGCTGCCTCTACGTTATCAGCAGTTGGTGATGCACTCGTCGTGCGCTCTCTGCCTTTCCGTATGGGGATACCTTCGACATTCAAATCGTCATCTTCGGGCTCTTCTCGAACGGTAGATGGCCACCGCTCAGGAACGGCTCGGGAGGATGGGTGTTCACTTTCCGCGCTCGTTACAACAGGCATTGTTTTACCGGTATGTTGGTCTAGAGCATCGGCCTCTTGAGGCGAATTTCGCACGTTCCCAGTCTGAACATTCGCACTTGGCCTTTCATTTGGCACGCAAACCGCTTGGGCCGCAGCACCTGCGGAGCCAGCCAAATGACCAGATTGGTTTGCAACAAAGCTTTCCTCTAGACTGCCAGATGGCTGTGTCCTTGGTTTCCCTTTTGGAATTTTGTCAGATATTTCAGCGATCGATTCTTGGATAGCATCGCGAAGGCTCATCGGAGTATTCTCAGGCATCGCAATTGACGAAGTAGATCGCGAGCCCATGGGGTATGAGAAATTCACCGAATTCCGACTAGCTGATCGTTCCAATTCTGGAACTGTCCCAAGGCCAGTCACACGTTGATGTGTAGCTAGCTGGATCGGAGACCCTCGTCCACGTTCCCGATCCACGCCCCTCATCCCAGCACGCGGTGGAGACAATGGAGGCGAACGTATCGAGGGCTCTACACTCACCGTACGTCGGTTCGGCAGTTTCCGCGGTGAGAACTGCGTCGGGAGGGAAGGTAATGGAGGCACATCGATGGGTGGAGGTCCGGACCCGACAGGCCCGGAGCTGGTAGCTGGGCGATGGGGGGACTGGTCGCGAAAAGTGCGTGCGCTCATTGAACTATTGCTACTGGAGCGACGAAGCGTCGTACTCAGGCTGGCCGAGCGGCGACCGCCAACGGGGTTAACATGTGAATGGGTCGAGCTCCGTCGTTGGACCATGCGTTTTGTCTGGACATTTTCAACGAGGGTAGGGGTGGGTGTGGAGTTGCGGAGCGCTGCTGCCGCTGCCGCGGAGGACAAGCTGGCTGTGGAGGGTTGAGATTTTAGGAAAGCATGGCTGGCGGCAGACTGGGCGGATTGCGCGGCGGGTGCGGAGAGTGGCTAGCGGGAAGGAAGGGGAGCTGTCAGTCTGAATTTCATGCATAGGTTGCAGGTACCTGTTGAATTGCATCAAATCCTGCAATGACTCCCATTTGAAGATAGGGAAATCTGCTATCCTTGGTATTCGACGCGTGGAACACACCTGATGATGGGCAGAGGCACTTCTCTTGCGACGACCGAAGACCATTGTTCTGAGTCTTGGGCCTTTTCAGGGACTAGAGCGCGTCAAAGATCGGATGGCCGGACACTGCTTGATGCAGCGCCGGTATCCGAAATTGTAGTGGATGACGGGAATGTGGATCTCCAAATGATGATGCGATCGGTAGCTATGGGAAGAAGTGGGAACTGGGAGATTGAGAAGTTGAGGGGGAACAACTCGGGAGGGATCGACCAAATCAGGGACAATCAAAAACAAGGAGACACGCAGGCAACGCCAGGTAAGGAGAGCTAAACAAAAAGGGAGAAAGGAACAAAAAAAGATCCAAGCCGATCAAGGCAGATCCAGGCAGATCCGAGATCGAGAGGAACTTGCGTCATGACTTTGATGGGCCAGGCACAAAAACTTGGTTTACCGCCTTGGTGAACCTTGGACTTTTTATGTGGATGCATTGCTTATTTATCATGTATATTATTATGTATTATGTCTGTGGGTACGGAGTACATAGGCATGACCTCGGTGTTAAAGTTGTTAGGATTTCATGCAACCTACTTGCTAGATCCCTTCTTTTCCCATCTAGATCCTGACACTAAAAATGGCCCTACTATTAACCCCCCTTTCTCAAAATCTACATTCAAGAAGCCGGTAAAACCCCAGGGAGCAATAATCCATTGAGAATCCTCCTCCACGGCTTCCCCAGAAATCACGCACTCATGCCGCCGCGCGGCTCCAAACCAAGCAATGAGAAAGTCGACCTAGCAATCTTTTCTCTATCCAAACCGGTGCGAGATTTTGTGTCGATGATACACGAGCTAGGCTACCGTTCCGTTCGATACATTTCCGGCCACGGCTGTGGCTGTCAAATTGTTATCAGATACAATTCATGAGGCCAATAATCAGCCTGATAGACAGTACAACTCCATCTCAGAAAGTAGGCATCAGAAATTGACAAGCGCGGCAAGGGTAAGCAACCAAATCTCGAGGGATTTTGAGGAATGGAATTATCACATGGTTGGAGCACAACAAAACCCTGACGGAGGGGCTTATGCAGGCGGTAAGCTGCTTACAAACTACAGTCACTAGCACTTGTCACGAGCCCTGCGAAGCCCTGAATTCAGGACCACCCGAAACTTGTGACTAAGTACGAAGTCTCTGGCCACTAGATTGTATGTGCATGCTAAGACATTGAGGTCGGCCTTTCGGGTTTATGCGATTCATAGCTTTCAATGGATCCTGATGGTTTTCACTCGAGAGGAGCGTAGCAGTGGATACAAAATAGGTCCTTTTCTGTATTTTCCGGGAAGCATTTCAGAGAACAAAAGTCAAGAGGACCATATGTACATGTATCTTCAATAAGACATTAATTTATAGAGACACTTTACATTAAAAGTGAGCCAGAGTTGGTGCTGACACAGCTGCCGGTGGCATTTGTATCCTTCATCAAGTAGACATAAGCCTCGGCGACTTCGTCGGGCACACCGACTTTGCCCAAAGTCGTACCACTCTTAAACATCTCAGGTACTCCATCTGCACCCCAGAGCGGGGTTTCAACAACGCCAGGGCTGACAAGATTTACCCGGAGAGGCTTCAGGTCCAGCGCGAGGTTTCGGGTCAGCCCATGAAGACCAGCGAGGTACCCGGCCATCAATGAAAACCCAGGGCTTGGCTTCTGAGAACCTGCCCCTGTAGTCAAGGTGAGAGACGACTTGTAGCTGGACTTCAAGAATCGAGGGGCAAGCTTAGCAAGCAAGACCGGAACTGCAAATCGAATATGGCCTGCACGCTGGATGGCTTCAAGGTCAATACTGTGCAAAGGTTGAATTGCTAGACTATCACCGGCAGTGAAGACGATGTGATCAATTTGGCCAACTGCGGAAAGGACCTGCTCTAAGCCTCTCTCAACATCCTTTGTAGAAAGATCCAGGACGTGCCCTTGAACTTCAACGCCAGGGCTTTCCCCTTTCAAAGCCGCAATGCTCTCGGCAATACGTTTTGCGTTGGAGGACACGATATGGACTTTGGCTCCCTCAGTGAGACATTTGGCAGCAACGCCATAGCCAATTCCGGAAGAGCCCCCGAAGATGAGAACTGTGGAGCCTTGGATGGAAGGCATTTCGTAGTGATCTTTCGGAGAGGAATCAGTTCCTCACACAGAGTTGGGGGCTTTAAGATTACTGTCAACTTGGACGTTGAGTCTCTTTTTATGTTTTTGCTCTCATTTGAATTACCAAGCAGAATGCTCAACCATGGAACCTTGGAACTTTATTCCATCTTCAGACGGAGATAGGAACGGCGATAAGGGCATTAGAGACAACCGAATATGGATGTAGGAAATAGTCCACTGAGGCACAGAGTGACATCTATCGATGGCCCTGACATTTGATTTTGCGTAATGTATATATGGTGGATCTGACTTTGGTACATGAATGCTTGCATTCTCTTTTTACTACTGGATAGTACTTGGTACCTTCAACCCATGTAAGCTTTATTGAGTGTCTACTTGTGCATTTGCGTTACCACTCTCATTGGAAGAAACAAGATAGTCTTCATGATACCGACTGACCGTTTCAACCTCAATCTACGAACGAAGCCATTAACTTGCTAGACAACAACAGCTTGGCAAATTACATAAAATCTAGATTTCTTCTCCTTTAGGTGTGTCAAAAGCTATTCCGTAATGATTCTTCGATCATGATCATGTAGAATGAGTTGTACTCTGATGGGATGTTGCATCCAGATCATCTCATGAGTCATCTGCATCGACCCACAGAAAAAGTTGTACGCCAACACAACTGTTACCCAACCTTTAGATCGATCAGTCATGTTTAATGGAAACTATCTGACAAAAAATACCTGGGTTCTGTGTAGATCTGAGGGGGAAAAATGACGAAGACAAAATTTGAGACTGTCAATTTATCACAAAGCGCTGGATTGGACAACTCATGGACCTCCGGAACTGCAATCCATGCCAAATGCCAGTGTTCCGGGCTCCGGGTTGGGCCTCACACTAGCGGCTGTTGGATGACCAGCTTGCTGTTTAAACCCGTGAGTATTGTTGCACGGGTTCCCAGGGAGAATTGAATTGGTTTATTATTCGCATCGCTGCTGAGGGACGGCATGCGAAAGACCTTGATGCATTTGCTTGGAAGAAGCTCGAGCCACAATTTGCTTATGTCCCGAGCAAGCTGGAATGGGGTATTTATCAGGAGCCAGATGCCATTGAGGAGATGAAGAACGGGGTTTCGTGCGCTAACCTGCGTCTCTTTCAGCTTACAGATAGGGTTGGGCATTGGAAACCCAAAGAAACTCCAGAGGTGGCACGTGTGATTCTGAATTTGATCGAAGGCTTCCACGATTGGTCAGTTTGGAACTGTACAAGAGAGGGTTAGGAAGACACGTGAACTTTATGACAAGAGTTCGGAAACATGCCTGATGTCAAGCTGTGGTCAAATTTAAACAGCGAGTGACCTGCGGAATCCTCTATATGTAAAGTCCTTGCTTATCATCTGAGAACAATTCAGGCAGAGTGATGGGGTTCAGATAATTTTAAGCCGCCTTCAATATTGTTTGACCTGTCCGCCTAAGTACACAACAGAATTTTACGCAGAGTTGACAATCACCATGCAACCCCTGCAAAAACTAGCATCATCCAGTTTCCTTATAGAACCTGTAGATAGAACGGAGTCGCCCAATCAGTCCGGTTCCCCAGAAGCAGCCCCTCCTGCAGCATATCTAGTGCTAATTTACCTGCTCGCTGCTTATTCTACCACTATGAATATGGTCGCAGACACACTAGCCAGAGAACTCCACACCGAGCCCGATCAGACTAGCTATAATACCCCTCCTATACATCGGTACCTCAGGAACACCGAAGAACCGCGGACGAGAGATTTTTCCGACGCAATAAATCACCAGAATTTATATTTTGACCACTTCCCGCCTAGTGCCCCGGCACATTTTACATTACTGGTAGTAGGATAAGTGGCAAGCGGAATGTGGGCCGAGAATGCCAGACTAAGACGAAAATCTACCATACTGCCAGCTGAGTTGCTTTCCTTTAAAGCGTACCTCAGCGCGCCATTTCCAACAGGTTAACCAGACCAAGTGCCATCATAGTCAGCGCAAGGATGTTGGGAGTTGACGAACACAGCACGGCATTTTTGATCACAAACCATAGCTAGGCGGCATTTAGAATAAGAGAGCTTGAATCCCTTCGTATCCAGCTCCTTGCACAACTAGCGATCGGAAAGCTGGCTATAACGCTACCAATGGCGATGTTCATACACAATCTATATGGGCCTATAATTAAAGCCATCGGGTCTGATGGGGCTTCAACTACCAGGCAAAAGACACACTGTGGGACCTAGGTACTTTCCAGCCACGCCCCCTAGAGAATCAGAGTTATCTTCCCGCCGCCGTCCTCTTCGGCCTGGGCTCCCAGGAGCTGGGCATAGCCAGCAATACCCATTGGTGAATGGTAAATGCCAGAGCTCAAACGCCGGTTATGTAGGAAATTGCAGTGGGGCTGTGACCGCACGTATGTTTAACTCCGGGAAGTGCATCGTGCTCTCCGCTATCCTTTTTGTCAAAATACAGGATAGAACACGTGCAATGGCAAATTCATCTTGCAGAGGAAACTCACAGGTCCTCAATTTACATTTTTGGAGTCACCAGTGTAGTGATAGAAAATTCGAGATAACTGGTAGGGCATGACAGAGTTCAGCGAATGGGAAGCGGTGCCTGGAAACATTCCAAGGCTTACCATGGTTGTGAAACACGGATCCGGGGATCTGCCGCAACTTCAATTTTCACTTCAAATGACGGTGAAGAAAGGATCAGAATAGTCAAAATATTGACCTTTTAAGGGGATCAAAGGTAGCAGACCAGAAAAACCTATTTCTCGCCAAGCCAATAATATATGCAAGATAGGTATCTGCACAACCTCAATAAGAGACAGATAGGTAAAGAAGCGGAGTGCTTGTAGGCAAGTGTGGACAGAGGCTTAAGTTTTGTATTATGAGCTAGTTACAAGGAGATCAAGACTAATTGAGTACAGATAAATCCATTCAAGTTTTCACCCGTACACAAAAAGTTGCTTACATGAGATCGTCACACAAAGGAAAATTAAATCACACAGACGAAAGGAAAAGGAAACGAGCAACTCTTCATCTCACCACGGATGAGGGACTAGCGTGTCCTGTCCCCCTTTAGGTGAGACCTAGAGATAGAGGGTTTATAGACGGGAGCCGTGGATGACCTTGTAGTCGACGACGAGCTCACGGCCCCCATCGTTGATGACAAGAGCACGGACGGAACCACGGCCGTCAGAGAAGGCTTCGCTGATGCGCTTGAAGAGGTGGCCCTGGGGGATGACATTAAGACCCTGCTTGACATCACCGTTCTCGGTCATGGCGACGAGGCGGTTGTCATCACGGAGGTCCAGGATGCGGTAGGTCTTGTAGACGGGACCGAGCATGGTCTGGACAACCACGGAAGGAGAGGGGTTGGCGATGAAGCTAGACTCCTCGTGCAGCTTGCGGGTGAAGAGGTCAACACCAAGGTAACGGTGCTGGCCAGTCTGGGGAGAGACCGAGATACGGATCACCTGGCAAGGGCGGCCCTGAAGGATCAGGATGTCGCCAACGCGAACAAAGTGGCAGGGGATGGGCACGGTCTCGGCAGCCGCGCCACGGTTGCGGGGCTCGACGACGCGGACACTCTCACTGGCAGCAACGACCTCGCCTGAGGCAGTCTCTTCAATCTCGGATTGGGAGAATGGGTGCATGACACGGTCGGCGGCGCGCTCAACGCCGCGGCGGAAGGAGTGGTACTGGCCTTCGTCGTTGTAGTAACCCATTTTGCGAGTGGAGGTGATCTCACTGGTAGTGGACTGAGAAACTTTTACTTGGGTCGGGGTGGAGTACCGAGCACGGGGCTGAACTTCACGTAGGTAGACGTCGTCTTCCTTGTAAGAGTCGGTCTGGGGTTCAGAGGTCCGGTCGTTCGAGATTTCGAGGGACTGGGATTGGTAACCGTAGGCGGAGTCTATGGGCTGACGATAACGACGGTCGTCAGAGACGTCGAGGTCGTTGGAAGGAGAGGTACGTGAACGGTAGTCTCTTTCAGTGAGGTCGATTTGGGTCTCGACGACTTTATCGTAGACTTGAGTATGGTCCTGGTATTCAAGAGAAGATTGTTGGTGACTGGGGTAGCTGGAAATTGTCAGCTCACATGCATGGGTGCCATAAACATATAAATAAATTAAGCCAGTCACCGCTAATTGAAGTGGATCAGGTTTTGATGACACGTAACGTTAGTCCTCGACCAGATCCGTAATCCCTCTAAACCAAGACAGGAGATCTCACAACAAATAATGATAGATCAGCTGCAGGTCTCCACTTTCACAAGTGGATCCCTGAAGGTTGGGGGGTAATTTTAAAATAATTAAAAAAAGATAAAAGGGAAAAAAAAGATCAATACCAGGAAAAACAGTTACATACCGTTCACGAGTAAGCTCAACTTCAGGGGCGTAGTTGTGCGAAGGCTGGTGCTCGTACTGCTGCGATTGCTGCTCGTACTGAGAGTGCTCTTCTTGAACACGAAACTCGACTTCTTCCTTTCCGTGAACAGGAGCGGGAAGGGGAGTAGAATCTCGAGTATCTTCCCGTTCGACGCGCGAAGTGTGATCGAAATTGACTTCTCCCTCTACTCTAATCTGAGTAGTTTCAGAGACAGCGTCACTCCGGTACGACGACGGGAAGACACTGAAGGGGATAGGGACACGGGCGTCAAAGTCCAGATTGACGGACTTTTAAGCGTCTTTTCTCGAATGCCTTCCGAACTGTCGTTAAACAACTCGAAAGACTAAACAAGAAAAGACTTGAAAGGGAAGTCTTTCTCGAGGTTGGGGGAAAGGAGAAAAAGAGAATGTCCTTTTTGTCCTGCAGTTAGATGATTGGAATGGAGGGGAAGAAAGATAAGCTTAACAGATGAAGAATGTTAGATTGTAGGAATGGAAGAAGAAGAGGAAATAGGCCAGCGTAGTTGGCGAGCATCATGATTATTTATGCCAGGCTCTTTGTTTACGCCGCCTTGCCGGTTTGGGTTCTCCGCTGATCACCGAGGCTCACTTTCTCTCCTTACTGTCTCTCTACGGTATTTGAATTGCTCAGTTAGGGTTGTACAATCGGTCTGGTTTAATTCTCTTCATTCTTGTTCTGGGTAATGTCTCTTAACCCTCCAAGAGTGCAACTCCATGGATGGATGCCCCGAGCTCTGCAATACACATCGGGCCCTTTCACACACGGGGGGGGGGGGGCTGGCTAGCCAGTGCGTATCATCACTGCGCCACCGGTAATATCTCCATAGCAACCTTTGGGTCGAAGGACATCTGGCTCCTCTTGGCGCCGATCTTGTTTGGCTCCATCACATCGGCACAATTGCGTTGGGGTTGCGGAGACCCGTTCAGTGTAATTTCCCTCGGCTTAAGAGGCGTCTTTTTGCTTCGATTCTGCAATTTTATTATTTGCACAGCCATTGACCCATTTCTGACACTATTCAAATCTGACACACTATCCATACCTGACACTACTCCTGACATTATTCACAACCCGCGTTACAGGACACGGGACATCGATACCAATACCAACACCAGTGCACTTCTCCACTGGAAATTGATTTATCGAGATCATGAGACCCTCTTTTGGATCCCTAGGCCCGGCCCAACCTCTGCGAGGTGCCAGTGCATGCAGCTCGCGTCTAGGCCGTACCGCTAGAGAGTGGGAAATGTGTCACATGTCGGGTATTTGGGGGGGCTTAATGTACGGAGTACTCTGTACGTTTCTTACGAGACATCTGAGATGATTACGGGTTAGTGTTTTGACTCGAGTTACACCATTTAAGTTTCGTCCAATAGAGTGGCGTTGGTAGTGTGTCTTGTCTATACCCCTTTTCACGGAGTCCGTATCCAGTGGGGCGGGAACTGGATCGCTTACATTAATACTCCGCAAGTGGACTTCCAAAATCGAAATCCACCTGCAAACCATTACGGAGTTCCACACTACTTTGATCGAAGCTGTCTGGAACCCCAATGTGGTACTTTTGCGCGTCCTTTTTTTTTCAATAGTCAAGCCTCGTGATTTCGGACGCCATACTCCATACAATTATTTTCAATTATTCCACACCCTTCAACGTTGGATGACGGTTCCACCGTTCCTCCTACCATATTTGTAGTTCTCTCACATCCCTACGGAATATGCAGTACTCCGTACTCCGTTTAGAATCAGCATGCGGAGTATCTCTCTCCGGCGTCAACGTCGCTGTACGCTACATTTTAGGTACACATTGGGCTGCTTTTAGGATCGGATGATTTCTTTTGGTAGCTAGAAGCTCAAAGGAGATCGGTATAAAAATAGCACCTCTATTTAAATTACCATGCTTCTCTTATAGAAAGAAAATAACCCCAAAATTGTGAAACAAGATTGCAACCTATTTTGGAACACCGCTATGGCGCTCGATGGGTAAATTGTACCAAACTTTGCCGTCTTCTCGAAACTTGCTAGGGTACGAGACTGCTTGGGAACATGGGGGTATACAAGATATTTACAAACAGTTGACGTTGTCACTATATATTCCATGACTTGTAAAGATGCTTGGGCCAGTTCCAAGCCCAAACTCTCCTTTTCATCCATCCATGTAGTCTCTAACGAAGCAACAAAGGTATACGTACTTCTTTCATGGCCAAAGTATCCACTAAGGCATAGGTGAATGAATCAAGCGAGTAGTAATCTGCCTATATACCCAAAACTATGTCCTTTGAGAAATTGCAGCCGGAATGCCCCCGAATCCTCGGATGTGTCCGGTTCACCGAAATGGCCCCGTGGTACCTGTATTATACCTCGCATCCCTATTGGAATAGACCACAGTAGCTCGAGGAACATCTTGTCTATTTCAATGACGTAGCTCTGAAATTATTTTCTTTGCACTTTCTATGACGTTGGGCGATATGCAGATGTCTGATTGTCCGTATATTGCCCGATCGGATACTACATCTGATCAGACCACAGGACGACCAGAGGTGACACTCTTTGCCACCTCATCATCCGGTACTCTCCCTTCTATAGTGCATCTACTAGTAACAGGTCCGATGATCGCATCGAGCTTTCAGCTTGATGCATGGACCCCGCACCAGATAATGCTACCGTTCCTCGGCTTCACAACCGACTGACGATCTTTTATCCGCTACTAATACTAAAACCCAAAATTTGCCCCATCCACCGTCGTCAATTTCCATAGATCGTGTAATCCATCCAACATTTTTACGTGCTAGACCAATCTTCGCGACATCATGTCCAACGGCCTGTGAGTTTCCATATTACCCCACCATCAATGAGATGCAGATGCCAACGCAGAACCTGTAATGGATATCAAGAAACAACCCTTCTGGTATACTATTCGTCGCGGTTGGGCCGGTATCCCTAGTCAGTGCGCCTGAGAATTGGCTGTTGTTGCATGCTAACCAGAAAAGGCACTCGCGCCTGTAGCGGCTGCAATCACAAAGTCAGAAAGCATAGTTCAAAAACTCATCGAGACAGTTGTGGACTCCACGGTAGGCATCGATGTAGCGCCTGATCGTGCGATCCCTGCGCTTGCTGTTCTTTATGCATTTTGGACTTACATCGGCAGCGGCACGTTGTCTGTTGCCGGGCAAGCCATGTCCAGACCCCACGGTCTGGATAACGATCACCCTCGGAAGCATCGCGGGAACATGGAGGGCCTCCCACTGCGTCTCATGTCGGCTCCTCATTCGTTGATTGAAGTTTTCTCGTTTTTTGCGGCGGGGGCATGCCTCGCTCAAGTACTGGCCCCTGATGATCAGCAAATCTTGAATCTCCTGGGGCTTCATGTGTTGTTGAAAGTCTTTGGTTTTCTGCCCTTCATATATCGTCGGTTTTGCTCCGGTAAGGTCACTGTCGCATATGCTGTCTATTTCTGCTCTTATCAGGTTTCTCTGGATGCTTGCGAAACCGTGAAAGACCCTGCCCACTAGAAGGCAAGTGAAATATTTGAATGAGGTATTCTGGATTATCAACCCAATTTATAGGTGACTGCCGGTTAACTAGTTGGTGGAGTTCAACTCGAGGCGTCCCATCCAGATATCTCCAGGAGAAATGAGAAACCTTGCTCAAACCGGTGAGGGTGTTGATTCCAGTTAAGACTCGGCTTCTGTAATCCGGTTGACTAGAATAGACATGCGTACTTTTTTTTTTTCTTGGAAGTCTAGACTTGTTACATATCACCTGTATGTTCAATCTCGATGTGCACTGCGCATCATCGCCGGGCCATCAGTGCCGATATGAGTTCGTCAGCTATAGAAGCCGAACAGAACTCTTATGGAACACAATTACCCCCCAATTCCAAGCCAACAGTGTAATGTGCATGGCAGTGTGAGGTAACCGAGTTGGAATTTGACTTTGAATATGGTCGGCGATTCGATCTTGCGCTTGATGCAAAATAGAATGTGCCGAGACGTGCAAATGGATTCCCAGGTTGTTTGGAACGGCCTGTCAACACAGTCAAGCAGTATGCTCACGAGTGAAACATCTGCAATTGAGAGCTTTAAATGAGTTGGCTCGCTTCTTCTTCTCTCTCTCACACACAGACATGGTATCGGTGTATGCTCCATGCTTGGCAAGAAACACACCTATTGTCCAGTAAATATCTTCGATTTTTCATGAAAAAAAAGGAGTTGTACTATTTCCACTAGAAAAAAAAAGGAATTTCTTACAAACAGACGAACAGCCATATATAAGCCCTGACTTTTCCCCGAAACACCAGAAATGAAACCCAGGCACCAGGACCAAAAAAAAGACAGATACAAAAGCCAGACAGGAAGAGGACCTCTTAGAATAAACATACCGAATAGCAAGACATGATAGTCATAGCGAAGCTTGGGCGACAAATAAACATGTAGAAAAAAAATAACATGAGCGATGAAACCTTGGAATCAAGAAAGACGAAGAGTCGCCGCTAGGTACAAGTCATCCTTGCGTTTCAGGATGATCTTGACGCCGGACCAGTATGGAATAAAACGAGGAAGACAAAAGAGAACACGACAGAAAAAAACAAGTGAGATGAGGTCTAGTGTACATCGATAAGGCGAGAAAAGCGTATTAAGATGGGTATCGTGATGCGAAGCAGCGGATAAGCTCAAAAGATGAGATGGCGCGAGAAGAAGAGGGAAAGCAGTTGGGTGATAGCGGAGGAGACTACCGTTCTCCAAACTTGCCGTACTCCTGCTGCCACTTGAGGAGATGGCGAGTGAGCACGTCCATCATCTCGACGCTGCTGAGCTCCTTGAAATCCCTGTCATGGGTCGTCAACGATTCGCCGTAGCCGCCATCTGTGGTTGCGGGGCCAGACTCGCCGCCATCGCTGCGCGTGGATGGCATGGCACTGTCGATCTGATCGACCATGCTCTTCAAGAGCAGGCCCTGGGCCCGGTCGCCGTTGCCCGTAGGTGTGGAGGAATTTTCGCTGGCAACAGCCATCTCCACTTGCATGCGCGAGATGAACTCCAGGATGGCCGCTACTCGGCGCTTCATCTCGTTCATGGTTGTTCGCTGTGGGTGCATGTGGCGCGGCTTGCTTGGCCGTCCTGACTCCCCGCCGTTGAGGTGTGCTCCGTTAACACCGCTGTAGCCAACTCGAGGGGAGTCCCCGCCGATTTCGTGAGACTGACCGCGGCGCGGCGAGTTCGCCATGTACACAGAATCTCCATTCCCGTTGGTGTCCCGGTCTTTGGTATATTGGTTTCGTCCAACACGACCGCGACGAGCGGGAGGTCGACCGGATTTGCGGGTTGACGGGCGAACAGGTGTCGGCTCTTGGGGAGTAGGGGTGTTGGGGCTTGCTTGGGACTGTTCAGGCTCCGGCGGTGCGGTTTTATTTGGGGATCCGATCTCTTGCTCGGATTCTGTTATAGGCCGTATCAGAAAGTGAGCAATTGGGTACTGGGCCTGTGTTACTTACCGTCCCCCTTGCGCCGGTTTGATCGTTCTTTCCGACGATTCGCCGCTCCAGGAGCCTCTGTCTCGGCCTCATCGTGTTCGTTCCGAGAATCTTTCTCCAACTGGCCTCGAGAGGCGGCTCTCTGTCTACGAGCCCCGTTTACTGCGGGTTTGGGTTTCATCTCATCATCAGAAGGCGGGTGAGATGCTATGTTGCTATGCCTCGAGACAGAACTAGGTGAGGATGAAGTAGTTCGGGGACGTTTCGATCGTTCTCTGTTCCTAGGTAACTGATCAGCCACATTATCAGAGCTAATGCCATTCGGCCTGGGAAGACGCACGTCACACTGTCACTGCGACTTCGCTTGCCCAAATTTGTGTCCGTCTCATCTGCATTGCTTTTGGTCTCAGCCTTGCTTTCTTCAATTGCACGTCGTATCAATTCTTCTTCGTCATAAGCAGCATCCCGGCTGTTCATTGTTGATCGCCGTTTGGCGTGCGCGGCGGCACTCTCACTGTTCCGGGACTTGGAATCCCTGGAGCGCCGTGAGATCTCTCTCGATGAGGCACGGGAGGACGGACCGGGGGACGGGACCACCGCCGGCATGACTGGAACATCAGGTATCTCAGGCTCAGTTGGGACCGGGGCCGGAGCTGGGGCCGGAGGAGGTGGAGGCGGTGGCGGCGGAACTGGTTCTGGTGCAACAGGAAGGTAGGTAGAGGATTGTTGTCTACAAGATGGTTAGTACGCTTCTTCAAAGTGTTTAAAATAGCAGCGTGGAGTAGTCGTTTGTATCTTGGAAGTGCTCGGCGGGTGATTGTGCGCTCGTCTGCGTCGGGAAAACAACCCCTTCCAAGCTGCGAGAGGAAAACACAACCACCGGGATATAGGATTGACGAAAAATGCCGGAAGATCGAAGGCCAACAATACTCAAAGAACATCGAGGTCTCACTTACCCATGAGGTTCGTCTATGATCTTGTGCAAATCCTTCCTGCATTCCTCGCAGAAATATTCGTCGGGACTCGTAGCCTCGTCCATGATCCCAACACAGCCACCGTGTTGCCAGACTTTGCACAAGTCACACTGGATGAACATGCTTCCAATGTCATCTGACATGGGATCAGATGGATCAGTGGGGACTTGTCCCGACTCCAGCTTAATGGTGCCGCGACCGAGGGCCTCGCGACGAGAAAAAGGCAAGCCTGGATATTCTTGCTGACCGCACAGACATCGAGTGACTTCCTCCTCGTCGTCATCTAGGTCATCCTCGTCTTCTTCGCGGGGTGGATCATCGTCGTCGTCATGGGCGCGCTGGCGCTGCCGCGTATGTGGAAGGTCTTTCGAGCCACCCTCAGCATCCTCGATGGACTGAGAGCGGTGACCAGTTGATTCGTTAGAAGAATGATTTTTATTATTCGATCGAGTGCTTCTCTCTCGAGTAAGGGAATTTGAGGAGCTAGAGGAAGAGTTGGTGTGTTGTAGAAGGGCAGGAGAGGGCTGGGAGGTGCGAGCCCGAGAGGAACGTCGAGGCGTCATGGTGGGGGAAAGCCGAGGATTGTAGGAGAGTTTGATCGAAAGCTCTGAAGACAAGATTAGAAAAAATTAACGGATTTTCGAGACGTTGGCTGGTGTAGTTCCAGCAACAACTCGAAAAAAGCCGTTTGCGAGGGAGCTCTCGCGCGCGATTGAGAGCTCTTTGGGAGGGTGCAGTGTCAAGTCAAAAGGAGCAGGACAATTGAAAATCACAGATCTGTATAAAGGCGTCACAAGGCTCGATAAAGAGCCCGATGACTACATAGTCCGAGAAATGATTCCTTGTAATGGCGGGGAGGAAGAAGAGAAGGAGAAAAGCGCCGGAATGGGACTCCAAAAGATCCAATCGCCGGTTTCCCCGCTCTCGACGCCTCTCGACGCGCGAATCTTTCGACACTCATGCTCTTCGTGTTTCACTTCTTGTTTTTCATTTCTCAAGGAGGAATTTGATGCTGTTTTTTTTGATTTTGTTTCACCATTCTTTCGACCTTACTTTTACTGGGTGCAATGGCTTTGTGACCCACTAATTGGAGGTTGCTTTTTTTCACTACCACAACGGGATGAAGCAACAGGAGAGTCTAGAAGCGAAAGAGAGCTAGCCAAGAACAACAGTACAACATGCAAAACTGTGCAGGGCTGCCGGAGTTCTCCTTTGAAAAAATGATGCGATTTTCCCCAGTGAAAGATAGTAGAGAGCACTGTAGAAAGAGACCAAAAAAGGTCCTAAGGTGGTTTAGTGGCCTTGGGAGGCCTAAGCTGCAAAACACAATTTTGGATCTTCTTATGCTGCAGGAAAGAATTGAAACAACCGATCTTGTGATTCCTATCGTCTTGACTTCCGTCAATCCGGATCAACCTATGTACCAAGTGTGCATCTCATTTCGACCGGAACCCGTTTTCGGCGTCGGCAAGACAACCTAGATCTGGTTGCAAGGTGAAACATATGGGATCGGTTCTCCCAATCATTTTTATGATGTGGTTGTTCTTCTGAAACGTGCTCCGAGGTGCATTGGTGGTTGGGAAGGCGAGATGAGGCTTAAAGCAAAGCCTCGCGGAGGGGTCAAACAGGTCTAACAACACCCGATCGAGGTTCGTTGGGCAAGTTAGGGCTATGGTTAGTGGTGCGATCAGTAAATTAATGGCCCAGAATTCAAGCAATCCTTCACAACAGCTCTTAAGTGCTGAATTCCCTATGAATGCAGGTACCGGTAGTACCTATCTGGGAGATGATCGGAGAATGGGATAGATTGAGTAATTTAGTTGTATAGACCAACGACCAAAGTGGAGTACCTGATAGTACTTGGAAGATAAACCAAATTTGTGCTCCTAAATGTCCGATCTGCAGAGTAGTTCTTCAGAATCAAATGCCTAAGTACTAGGTTATGCCACTTCTCCCCGAAGTTATCGGGTAGAGGATTACTAAAAGAAGATTAGCGTGTTTTTTTTAAATTCCCGTGACTTGTCTCTTTCTCTTCATATCTCTCAACCCCTCTTAGTAGTTAATCTAGTCGTTCATTTGCCTTGTCTCTAGCACTGATTCTGGATTCAAGTTTGCCTTACTCTTCGACCTAGGACCCGATCCCATCGATCTTGAATTTCCAACGTGCTGAGTAATAGCACTGTTTTGTGGGTAGGTTGATATTCGTGTCTCCGGGATTGTGGACAGCAGAGGAACGCGGTGATTGGATTGAATCCCAGTTATATGTTGACCTTACCGCCTATACACTTCTCGGTGGGTTGCTATTGAAAGGAAAAAAAAGCTTATGCCATGCTCCACAGAGATTGAAGACATTACTTCCCAAATCGACCCTCGGCACAACTCCCGACCTTTGGATTATTGGCACTTTCACAAGCAAATATCGTGGCGGGGGATCAAAGGACAAAGCCAAAGGGCTGGAAAATCATCCATATAGCATCGTCAGCGGTTGATGGCGAGCGTGGATACCTTGCATGATGACAGCTACATTGAGTATGTCTGCTCAGGGACATCTGGTCCGGATGATCGGGAATTTCCCAATTCAGGACAACGATCAACTAGTGGACTGAATACTGACGATGCCATGTAGACGGGGTGTTCAATTCGTCCCCTGATACACCCTCTACCATTTATCCTGATCGTCTGATTCGTCCTCTACCTAGACGGACCCTCCGTTCCCGCCTTTCTTCCGATGCTGCCGACATCATATTCTATCCTCCTACGCCGCCGGCCTCTCAAATATTCTATGGTGTCTCTGCGGACTCCGAAGAAGCGGTGAATGAATCCAAAGTGTATGTGCAGCAGACCGTGGAGACTGAACTGTCCCCAGAGGTTGACACCCATGAATTTGAGATGTCAGTAGAGCTGGAAAGCGGTGATGAAGGCGGTCCGATGGTTGTGCGGAGGAGTGGTGTTATCCGGAGATCTTCGATGTCACCTCCCGTGTCTGGCAATCCACATAGCTTCCCTCACGACACACCGCAGGCAAAGTCTTCAACGGGGGATGGTTACGACGCGTTTGAGAACACGAACAACAAGAAAAAACGAAAGATACCTACACCCGGGAACCTGGGAGGACACCACTCTGCCTTGTCTCCGGAGTTCGCCAGTATGGGGTTGGCCAGCTCAACCCCAGTACGGGTTCCTACCCCAACTGATGCCACTGGCACATATTATGGGAGCGGGAACCCTGCATCCCCTTTAGGAAGTGGGATATCTGGTTCAGGAAGAGGTCGGTTGGGACGTCCTACTGTTCGTAGCAGCAGCAGGAACCCGTTATCGCCCAATGCTCAGCATGGATGGCTGAATGCCCGAACGCCTAATCGGCGCGACGGGTTGATGTCATCCCCTGGCCCTTCTGGTATGCTTTCCCTCCATTTTCCCACTATACTGTTTGTTCTGACGTATGCACCAGGTGAATCTCCTTCTGATCAGGGAATTATCTCCACCGCGATCGCCAATGCCGCAACACACTCCTCCCCACCCCGAGGTCCCAGTAATGTCAGCCTGTTAGAGAAAGAGAAAGAAAATACCACTCCGACGAAGACACAATTCACCTTCACATGTGAGTCTGACTCGTCTAAGGGCATGGCGATGCAACGAAATTATTCAATTCCTTATCGATCCCCCACTTCACCACTCGGTCCGGCAAGTCAGAAACAGAGGGGGGTCTCCACACAAGGGACACAAACTAGCCCCGTGAACCACCAGGCCCCACCCGATACCCAAACACCGGTTCAAGGTGGGGAGCCAACTCCCGTGGGCCCCAAGAAGAAACGGTCTCCAAGCAGCAGCTACGCACTTTCTGCACGTCAACGCAAGGTCCAGCAACAATACACGAACTTCCACCATCCTCCTAGTCTCGAAGACATTTGGATTTGTGAATTCTGTGAATATGAGAGCATCTTTGGGCATCCACCCGAGGCCCTAATCCGACAGTACGAGATGAAAGACCGCAAGGAGCGCAAGCGACTTGCGGAGAAGAAGCGACTTTTGGAAAAGGCCAAGATGAAAGGTCGCAAGACCAAGAAGGCGACCAAAAACGCATCGAAGAATGGCTCACAGCACCCTTACCAGCAGGGATACGACCGTGCGTCGGTTGACCACTCCTCCGCCGGTGGGTCAGGTCTTCCCGATGATGAATACCAAGGACCTGAATATGATGATGAAAATTCGGCGGTTCGACCTTCCGCCCCTGAGTCCCTCTCCGACCTCAAGCCTCCACTGCCCACTGGAAATCATCCGAAGATCGCCGCGTCTGTTCAAGGTATCAAGGGTTCTGCGGATTCCGGTGCAAGTCGGCCTGCGTAGTCGACCAACCGCATCCCCATAGCTGTTCCTTGGCGTGTCATTTTGCATTCGTTTTTCTTTTCGGGTTGACTTAATTTTTTTGAGGATGTTCTCGGATTGTTGCATGGAACGAAATCCCCTCTCAAGCATGTTGGTATGGCGAGCAACTCATCGGACAAAGTTCCTTGTTGGAGTTCCTGGTTATTCTTTGTAATTGTAATGTCCATGGTATGTATGCTCTGAATCAGATGTGAAATGATCCAATGTCCATACTTGTAGCCAGCATTCTTTTCCTAGACCAGACCCTCTGTATTCCGCACATGGTAAACTACTAAAAATAAAGCAGGGACATTTTGATTGGACCTCGAGCCTGCACTTTGAAACCATCGAGTTGGCGCGCGCGAACTGAAGCTACTCCACCACGATGTCAGGATTATGAGATCTACAAGACCCAACATGTTAGCTTTGTTCCAAGGTTTTAGCTCTTGATGAACAGGGGTGCTCGGCATTCGATTTTGATCTACCCGTTTCATCTTCTCGTCCCCGACTCATTGTCTTTGGATGAAAGACGACGATAAACAGTGGAGAACCCCTAGAAGCGCGCGCTCAAAGGAGATGCGTTTCATCTTGGGCTGCAGATGTTAGAAAATAACAACATGGGGCTTTCTTGTCAAGTTCTGACGAATATGTACCAGGGAGCAAGACTAAGACTGACATATAAAAGCACAGCGCTGGCTGTGTTGTTGAAATCAGACTCGCCTTTCATTCTATTTTCATGCTTCTTTCTTTTGTTCACTTCTGTTTCTATATGCTTTGAATACGACAAGCAGCTTTCTCTTTGTCCTCCTATCAAACTATACAATCTCGACAATAGCTTCATTCGTCTTCGTCCCTCCTTCGAATTTTACATTTCTCTACCTGTTAACATAATCTCTTGAAGCACTTCTATTTTGCTTTCTCATCCACACCTCACTTCCAACTACACAACTAGATCCCCACATCACCAAAACCAATCGAGATCAAATGTCTTTCCTAGCAGTCCCCCTCCTCAAACTCGGCTACAATCAAGCCAAAAAACACCAAGCCAAGAAAGATCTTCAAAAATACCAAAACGCTGGCATCTACCCCCCCAGCTACCCACCGGAGCAACACCCGATGAGCAGCTACCCAGCAGGCGCCACGCCCGGCACAACCCTGCACTTCGAGTTGCCCCCGCAAGAACCCAGCAAAAGCGCCCAGCTAACCGTCATGTTCTTCTCCGGTCTCCGCTTCCTACAGTTCATCTTCGGTCTCACCGTCATCGGCATGTACGGCAAAGACGTCCACCACGACCACTCAAAGCAACACACCTGGCACTCGAAATGGGTGTACGCGCTCGTCACAGCGTTCTTCGCAACCGCCACTGCAGCCATCCATCTCATCCTGCCGTTCGTGATGCGCAAAGCTAAGCCCGGTGCTGGGCCGGGCCGGGCCCTGCTGCTGCCGCAATTTGCGTGGGAGTTTGTCGTGACCGTGTTGTGGTTGACGCTGTTTGGGATCTTTGGGAAGATGTATATTGGTGTTCATCCTGTGGAGGGCTCGAGTTCGCAGACTGATGCTACTACCTCTGCGCTGGGTGATGCGTCGAAGATCAGGCGGATGCGCCATGCTGTTTGGGTTGATGTTATGAACTTGGTGTTCTGGATTATGACTGCTTCTTGGGCTTTGGTGCGCTGGCTGAAGAGTCGCAGGTCGGCTGTCACTGGGGATGCCATTGATACCGAGAAGGGTGAGAAGATTTAGGTGGAGTTTGAGGCTGTGAATGTCGATGTTCGCTTTGCTGGTTGGTTTGTGTTGGGGGATAGATGCCTTCATGACATCGGATGGAAAAGGAGGGTAATCAGCATGCGCGTTCGTTTAGTCTTTCTTAATCTGGCACTTGGGCTCGGGAGTCACGGTGTACAGTGATTTTTGTGTCTTTCCGTGGAGGGCGTTCTTCCAATACAAGCCATAAAAGATCGTTTTTGAGACACATCTCGGTGGCTTCGTTGTTTTGAATGTAATCTCATTCGTTGAGGTTTATGGTGTTTTACTATGCAAACGGTAAAGCAGGACACTTGGAGATCACTATTGATGTTTCTGGTATTGGATTCTCAGGCTAGCAAATTCGATACAATGAACGAATGTCACCCCTTGGAGTACATAGGAACTCGCATCTCCGGGGATGCTCTCCCCGTCAAGCATCCGGAATTTCTGAGATCAGCTCAGCATGCTCCGAGACATGGCAAAGTAAATTATGCTGAGACCTGGCGAAATCAGCGCTGAGACCAGTGTGCCTTGCTCAGAATTGTGCTCCTCCGGGTCAAGGCTCTGTCTTTCGGTGAGAAATCACAACTTCACTCCCTTCATCCCAGACGACAGCAACGAATCCTCCTTGGAAACGGGGAAAACAGCGGGCTGTTCAGCTGGAAGGTCTTGATCGACATCCTCGTGGTGCGAGACCAAGTTCTTGAAAGGCTGCAAGGCAGGAAGTGTCGACTCAAGAGCATCGATGTCCGCCCAATCCCCCTCAACCTCATCAGGAGCAACAAGCCGCGGACCACCAGGCATGTCGAGGCGGCTCTCCATAACGTTGAACGATGGTGTGATTTTACAGAAGTCATTGGGGCTCAACATCGGGTGCCGGAGGGAAGAAGCTCGCGGGAAAGGTACAGGGGACGGCTTGCATGCAGCTTTCACAGCCTTCGCGGCTTCCATGACAGCAGGCTCATCAAGAAATTCGTCGTCGAATAGTGGACCAGATGGCTTAGCGGGTTTGGGCTCAGGAGCAATCTCACGTCCCAGATCACGCGCGATCTGGTCTTCCTCGTCACGGAAGCTGAGGTGCTGCAAAAGACCAAGCTCTACATAGCTGTCTTCGTAGACGGTGTTGGCACCATCGGCCTTAATAGTTGGCTCAGAGCGCCGGCGGATGGGAGGTGCCGTTTTCGGAATGGATGCCTGTGAGGATTTCCGATGGCTGAAGACTGGGCGGCGGCGTGGGCCTCGTCCATTACGTGTCGCAGTAAGGTAGGTCTTCTTGGGACCTTGCTGGCTCGCGTTATCGGAATTGGCGGTGGAGTCACTTGCTATGGACTTATTCTTGGAACCGCGGCTGCCAACCTTGTCTGGCATGAGAGTAGACTCGGGATCTATTGGGGTCCCTTTGCGACGCTGATGACCCACTTTATCTGGGGCGCGGGTTGGCTCCTCAGCCATGCTTGCGGTGGGAGAGTTGGAGGGGTCAAGAGTTATTATTGTGCCGAAGGGAGTGTCAAGGAGCACCCGAGTTGCTTTCTGTGTTTCAACCTTTGAAGGCTGCGGCTTCTTCAACATTGGGCTAGGAGAACAGGTTCCGGCAGCACCGCCTGACTGGTTCCCATTGATGTGCTTACAGGAACCGTCAATACGGGGTTGACATGGTGCGATGTGGAGCAGACTTGTGTCTACCTCTTCTTTGTCGGTGCCAGGCAACGATGAGACGGTCACCCTTTGTCCGACTAACCCTGCCGGTGCCTTGATGCGTAGGATTAGACGATCTAGGACATGGGTATTCAAGCGGCTCGAGAGTCGTTCAGCACCCCATATCCTCCAGAAGAGATGTTCTAGGCGATGTTCGGTCTCATCCTTGCTGGCGAGGTAAGAGGTCGAGTACGCTGTTTGTTGTCAGTCTGCTTCTCCACCACGAAACCAGGAGTAGGGAGTGTTACGTTACCTTGCCAAAGGTTCTTGTAAACACCATTGTTCAATGTATCCTGCTCCGGGGTTTTGCAAGGCGTCACACTTGACATGGCCACAAGACTTTGGGGGAGCTTTGGCTCCATCTCGGATGTTCGTTTCGGTAGTCGAGCTTCAGATGATACCGGAATGTTGACTTTGCACAGAGAAATGTACGGGATGAGTGACGTGCGAATCGACAAGATTGAAGGGTCTAATCAGTGATGCTGCTGAATGGTGCGTGGACCAGTCGTGCTGATGTAAAGTCAAAGTGCGATTTCATCCTTCGTATTTAGCACATACAGAACGCTAAGGGAACAAAAGGCAAAAGAGCTCGACGGGTGAGCTTCGAAGAGAGACGTATTCTCGGGTTATTCTTCTCCGTACGACTTTGAAGTGGCAATTCGATGACTTTGGATGACTTTGGATGACTTTTGATAACTTTTGATGACTTTGGAAGCTTCAAGATACTCCAGGTTGAACTTGAGGCTGCGCTACCACATCAATTAGAGCCTTCGAACACGCTCGAATTAGATAAGAAGATCATGGCTGCAAATTCTTCCTGCACTCCACACTCCAGAAACCGAAAAAGAAAAGAAAAAAAAAGAGAAGTTCAGGACTGAGAATTTGAGTGTACCCCAGGGTTCGCCCTTGCCTTTAGCGGTCAAGGTGTTGGGGGGGGGGGGGGACCCCCTTGGATTTGAAATCGGACTGATGAGATCTTGAATCTTCGACCTGTTGATCTATCTTGGATCTCTCCTTCTTTTAACCAAATCTTCTAAACTTGGTCTTTCTTGGGAGAACTGGCTGGGAGTGGACTTCACTGTCCTGATAGATGTGAACTCTATCTACAACATGAAAGACAAGGGACTACTATTCAACAACTACAAGACTCAAAAACTAGAAGAGAGGTCCAAAATAAAAACACAGTATCCTCGTTACATTCCAAATTGCGCGTCCTTTTGCAAGCAGGGGTGTAGTAGTGACAGCCCTATCGGCGGCCGACTTTCTAAATATGACACAGCACACCCCAGTACCACCTGGAAGAACCCTTTAGAACAGATCAAGGAGCTTTGCCGAGGTGACATTCACATCTACATGCCCCCTTGATTCGGTACATCTAGTAGGGGAGCCTCTCTTAAGGATGTGGCATGCGGAGAAACCCCGGGGGAGCTTGTGATTGGGGGGTTCTCCACTGTTAATCCACTGCAAACGATATAGAAGATCCAGCGTGAAAAAGGAATTATGGATTCCAGTTCCTATTCTTGTGCCCTACAAGAGGACTTGACAAAGTAGATATCCAAGCACTGAATATCGAGAACAGGCGCAACATCCTGTATAGTCTTGAAGCGGCCTAGTGTAGAGACTGCCGAAATAGGAAATCCCGCATTCTCACTAAATTTATTGCCCACATTTATTGCCCTGGTTTGTTTATGCAAATGAGCGATTCTCAGCTTGAAATTAAAAAGTTTAGACCCTTCCAGTGGCTATAGCTATGGACACACTACTTACTCGCGAGGCTGAAGAGAAACAACTTGTCCACCATGAGAAACAACCCTCTCATCACCTCCGCGAATATTTATATGAGGCCACATCCCATCCAGCACAATCTGGACGGAAGTAGATACAATAAAAAGCCAAGCTAACAATAGCCGGGCGCTTCAGACGCGCAATGGTCTATATACAACCGAAGGTCTCTCCGTCCTCACGGACAGAAAGGCGGGCAAAAACAATCAGTGCGCCATGAGCGAAGTACAAATGATTCCAACAGACAGATCATTGATACCAATGGGCATAGACGAGTTCGTGGGTGCGGCAAGATCGTTCTTCTACAACCTTTGAGTGACCGGTGGTCATCTCGACACGGAAGATAGACCCCAACCGTGAGTCTGTGAGTAGCAGGATTTTCGGCTGCGACGGCATTAAAGCCATGCCGTTTATGGTCAATTTGAGGCCATAATGGGAAATTAACACTGAGCTGTAGGGAAAAAAACGTGTTCCAGATTAATGCGGTGAGCGTGTTCGGGATAACAATGCTGGGTTTCAGAAAACCCTATCAGATTAATCTCTAACATTGCACTGCACATTATGTGCGTGATTCCCATCACTGCGCAGTGGTGCGAGCTAGCTTCGTCTCACGATCATCATCCCCACCCTCACAGGTCCTCTTGCGCCTGTTGGTTAAAAGGTCAACAGCAAGCCTTTGTAGCGGACTCATCAACCATTTGGACAGCTAACTTTGAGATTGTGGCTTTTCTGCAATGATTCCAAAATCCGTAGTCAAGTTGGGGTACTGCCTCAAACCATCTAGGGCGCCTGAGAGGGCACTTCGGGTTGTTAGACGGCAAAAAACCTGCTGCGTCGATCTCAACGATGATAGGAAGCTCTTGTGTCTCAAACATGCTTCGTCGCACAAGAAATAATCGTTTCAGACTGGATATGACACTGAGAGAATGAGAAGCTATGCCACTAGCCTGGCTGCGGTGCGAGTGGGAACAAAGCTCCAACTTTCGTAGCCGGCCGGATTTTCTGATTTGATGCAATTCTATCCCGTATTGCGAGCCAAAGAGCCGGATCAAGTGTTAGGTTGAAAGCCGCTCTAGCTGTCTCAGGAACATCAACACTCGTCGGATCATTTCGTAGCTCGGGGAAAAAAGAGCATTCCATATCGAAGACGAGGAATTCCAGGGAAGGAAAATTGTCCACACGCTTCATAAAGCCGTTATTCTTCTCCACTTCTGCCTCTGCGCTGGGTTTTAAAAAACAAGTTCCTTCGACAGGGACAGAGCTCAGCGTATCAGTCTTTAACATAGGAGAGCTGCTACAGTGAAACGAATCCACGTCTCTAGTCAGGCAATCCCGGCAAGTTGCACAATCTCCGGTTGGAGCCTTCCTCTTCAACCCGGGCAGTTTTCAAAGTTGTAGCTTAGAAGATTGTCTCTCTTTATCTATGCAAAGATACCCATGGATGCCACAAGGATCCCGATCGAGAGGCCATATCTACCTACCTTGGATGTTTCAGGCCACACGTAACAATTAAAACAGCCACCTTTGGAGAATCATAAACAAGAATCGTCAACCACTTGCACGAGATACTCGTGATACCTGTGTCAAGGACAATTGTAACGGGGAGATCGGAACCTGTTTCGCAGGAATACCCAATTCCAGGTCATGCGAAGTGCATCCCGGAATGGAGGTGAGTCAGATTCGGTTTAATTTTTTATACGTTGATTTTTGAATTCTGCAAGGAGGTGCTGAGATTGCTAATTCGCCAGACAAGAAGTGGATGTCTCGTATTTCCGTTGCGATGAATTGGGGGTATAGACCGGCCACCATGCATCTCTTGTTCTGGAGAGAGATTTATTATGAGGGGCTCCCCCACACTGCATGTTCAAGCTACTCCATTATTGAAGATGGAAATTTCCCTAGGATTTTGAACCTTGTCACTCTCACATAAGAAATTCAAGTTGGGAGAGTCTTTCTCCGAAATTTTACGGCTCCGAAAATGCAAACCACAATAGGACGAGGATCCCGTAACTCACGCCATTTAATGTGAAAGGGTCTACCTCAAATTGACACCGTGAAAGATGAGGTAGTATCATGTAGCAGAGAGATCACAAAGAGAGATTAAAGTGCGCAGATAACGTGCTTAGGTTACGGTGTAGCCCCCATCAACGCGGAGATCCGCCCCAGTGATGTACTTGGAGGCATCACTGAGCAGGAAAGCCACGGCACCCATTAGGTCCTCCGGTGTACCCATCTTGCCGGTGGGGATAAGAGAGGTCCAGTGGTCGCGAAGCTGAGGGTTCTCGTCGAGAATCTTGCGGGTTCTGAATGGCGAAGATAACATCAGCAACATTTTCTGGCAAGATTTCTCTAACGACAAGCTTCTCCTTGTTCACATAGGAAATACGCACAAAGCAGTAAGCATATAGCCAGGGCTAATGCAGTTAACACGGATATCATGGCCAGCCCACTCCACAGCGAGCGAAGCAGCCAGGTGGCGCACAGCAGCCTTCGCGGCATTGTATGGAGCCTGGGGCTGGGGAACATTAACAATGGCACCGGACATCGAGCCGATCATGACAATGCTACCGGGTGCCTTGCGCTCTATAAGGTGCTTGGCAACACTGATAGCGAAAAGGTATGTGCCATCAACATTGACGCCCCACAGCTTCTGCATACGGTCAAAGGGGTAGTTTATAGCCTCGAAGTTCTCGGTGAAGCCGGCCGATGTGACCAGGTTATCGATCTGGCTGTGCTTGGCTAGGATGTCTGCCATGGCGTTGTTCACGGAGTCGGGGCTGGCGACATCCGCATAATGAGCGGTGACATTAGGCATACTGTATGGAGTCAGCTCATGAGGCGAGCTGGAATCGTAGGTCAATGGACTCACTCTTCCAGGCCGGGATTCTCCTTGCGGAACTGCTCGATCAACGAGTTGGCTGCGGACTCGGCTTCATCCTCTGAGATAGATGTTAGGATCAATTGCTTGCTCCGGTTATGTTTAGTGGGGTTGAAAAAAAGATACTGTTAAGATCAACGATAGCTAGATCTGAGCCAGAAGCGACAAGGCCTTGGCCCATGACCAACCCCAACCCACGTGCACCACCAGTCACCAGGGTTACTTTCCTCTCAAGTGAAAATTGGGCTAGAGTACGCTTGGAATGTATGCCCCCGCGTCCCTGGGCCACAGGTTGAGTGGGCATCTCGCTGTCGGGAGGGTATTCAATCTGTACGTTCTCATCAGTGCGAGCAAATTGGCCCTCCTTATCGCCAGAAGCACCCTCGGGGGCTTTGGTCGTAGCAGAGAGGATGGGGTTCGTTGAGGGGTCATCGTGCTTTCTCTTTCCGAGTGAAGCAGTGTATGAGAGAGGGCGAATGAAGCCCGTCGCTGGGCGAGTAGCTGCAAAGGCAGGACGAGCGGTGTTCAGAGTCTTGATGGCATTACAAGTGACTGCAGACTTGAACATTTTGAAGATCGCAACTTCAGATGCACTGGAGCTGTGAAGGTACAGGGTTGGAAGAGACGCGATGTATCATGGGTGTACGGGGAAATAAAGAGGGAATAGGTACTGGCAAGAAAGGTCCAGCAGAGGGTGAGTACATTTTAATAAGCAGGTCATCGGACCTCCATTTTGATTTTCTTTTTCTTAAGTGCAAGAGCAGGGGAGTACGACAATTGTGATGAAAACAAGCTAGATAGTAGACGTGGAGCGTATCAAGGTCTGCAGAGCTTTTCATCGAAGTTAATCACTAGATCCATTTCGAAAATATGAAAAAAGCAGAAGACAAGACCGTATTGTTAGATCATTCCATATGCTCCCTAAGATGTCAGCTTGATCTGAAAGAGCTACACGGTCAAATGCGGCCTTGCCCCCGAAGTGCAGTAGGCCAATTAGGATCTCTGATGTATGAATGTGTGGTCATCTTTGTGTCATGCAGGTTGAATTTTTGCCGACTAGGGATTACCCTGTGAGTAAAAAATTATACAATGCATTTTACCAGTAAATAGTGGTCACTATTGTTTTTTGTGGGGATTTGTCCCCCCCCCCCCCCCCACCGTTTTGTATCTCCTTGAAGCAAGCCTTCTCGCGCTTTCGTAGTTCAACGGATGCCGATAGGGTTAAGTGCTTCAAACGAAATTTATCGGAAAAATAACTGGAGCTGAAACTTGGCTGGGCCATTGCTCTACATGTAGGCATTCTGTTGATTCAATTATGGGCAGGCCCAGAGGTCTGAATTCGTGATGTGACATATTCAATGATTAGTCAAACACCAAGCATCAAAAAAGCCTTGCCACCGGACTTCACTTGCACTCATTTCGTCCCTATCATCAACAACCTTCTGGTATGTATTCACACAACCGAAAATTGCAGGAGCGCGACCAGAAAGATGCTAGCGAGCTTCCTCGGTGTTCCGCCGGAACACCGCAACGTGATGTACATGGATCTCCTAGTGCGCAGAGCGCATAATGATCCCTGGGATGGACATCATGGGCTAGCACCTAACATCCTCTCCACGAACACGAAAATCCTACACAAAGCCAGGTCACTGCTCTATGGTGATGATAACTGTTGTGACCTTTGGAGATGGGCGGCGGATTAAAGAACCCAGAGATGGGCAGCTCTTCCAAGAAGTCACTACAGCCCAAAGCTATCGAACAGTAGCTCGAGCTGTGTAGCACTCTAGTACAATGCCCGTCGAGGCTCCAACATGTGTTGAAATTTCTCTACTTTCTTTGAACACTCAGGAATAGCGATCAAATTCAATCCACTGTGGAATAAAGCAAAATATATACACGCAGAGCCGTTCCCAACGCCAATGTGATTTACAATGCATACAATGTAGTTCAATGGATGGGTTAACTATCGCTTTCTTCATTGCGGCATATTTAAAAACGAAGACAAAACCCTGTGTGCCTTGATACCACAAGTCCCAGTCTACTCGGACTCGGTGAATTCCACCAGCGGTGTTCCGCTTTTGCATTGATCCTGCAAGGCACATGTTAGCCAGTGGTTTTTGAATCTCTAGTAATTATAGGATCATGGAGTCTTTTCCTCTCCCCAAAATTAAAACTCAGGTAGAACCCCCAACCCCAACCCCAACCCCAAAACAGCCCGGACAGATAACCAGAAGGGCGCAAAAATTAAAACAAAGACCCAAGTGAAACAGAAAATATTTTACGCGGGTCCGGGGGTTTCTAGATCAAAGTCAGGGGCAAGGTGCGTGACTTACTCCTTTTTTATGCACGACCCGTGCAATGGTGCCCCGTTGTGGACTGCGAATGACCGTCTCCATCTTCATGCTCTCGATAACAACCAACGGCTGGTCTTTCTCCACCACATCTCCCACCTGCACTTCCACCCGCAGAACTTTACATGGCATTGGGGCCAAGACACTGTTTGTCACATCCTTCAGTCCCAATGCCTTCTCCATCCACTTAGCCCGGGGCACCGTGAGCCGGTACTGGGTTCCACGCTGGAATGCGATGATAGTGTCCTCGTCTCGAATAACTGTTGTATCTAGCCGGGTGTGTGCGAAGAAGGATGTGACAATTTGCGACGCTGAATCAAGGCGGCTCACCACCTGTTCGAAGACTCGTCCACCGACTTGCACGTTGAATGTGTCGTCTGCTGTCTGCTGCACTCGCACACTGAACGTGGAGCCGTCGGTGGACCCTGGACCACTATTCTCAGTGAATGACAACTGTCGCTCTTGGTAGCTAGGAGTAAACCCGATCGTCGAGCCCGCAACACCTGCTGAAGATCGCGCCCCTGAGACGGTGTCACGGTGTAGACAGGCCAATGCGACCTGCGCTAGGACTTCCTCCTCAATAGTCGTCGAGGGAAAGAGCTCTTCACGGTGCTTCTCGATGTAGCCGGTCTCGACCTCACCAGCGATGAAATCCGGGCTCTTGCAGATGGCTTTTAAAAACTCTATGTTGGTCACGGGTCCTGCGACTTCATATTCTTCCAAAGCAGCTGCCAGCTTGCGGAGAGCTTCCTCGCGATTTGCACCGCGCACGATGAGCTTCGAAATCATGGGGTCATAGTGGGCCGAGACTTCGTCTCCTTCCACGAAGCCTGCGTCAATGCGAATGTCCTCCGAAGTAGCCGGCGTTCGCACATGGAGTAGACGCCCTGAGTCAGGGATAAACCCCTGCTCTGGGTTTTCGGCGTAGATTCGGGCCTCGATGCCATGGCCACTCTTGGCGATACGCTCCTCCACTTCTTCTTGTGTTAGAGGAAGCTTGGCTCCTTCAGCTACCAAAATCTGCCAGTGGACAAGATCCTGTCCTGTGACCATTTCAGTCACGGGATGTTCGACCTGGAGGCGAGTGTTCATCTCCATAAAGTAAAAGTCCCCGGAGTCGTTATCAAAAATAAACTCCACTGTACCAGCACCTTCGTAACCGACGGCCTCTGCAGCTGACCGCGCCTTTGCCCAGAGGTCCTTTCTAGTTGCATCAGGGAGATGAGGCGCTGGAGATTCCTCTAGAACCTTCTGGTGTCTCCGTTGAATACTGCAGTCTCGCTCTCCTAGTGCAACAGAGTTTCCATGCTGGTCTGCAAATACCTGGACTTCAATGTGCCGCGGTGTAGTGATATACTTCTCCACCAGCACATTATCATCTCCAAATGAACTCATGGCCTCTGACTTAGCCGACTCAAGCTGAGCTTGAAACACCGCCTTGGAACTGGCTATACGCATGCCCTTTCCGCCACCTCCTTTGACGGCTTTGATAAGCACCGGGTATGTGATCTGGTCCGCCTGCTCTTCTAGGAAGACTGGATCTTGATTTCGTCCATGATAACCTGGGACACATGGCACACCGGCAGCTGTCATAATCTCTTTGGAACGACTGTTATGGCACTTCCGGTAAGAATATTGAGCTTTCAAATAGCGTAAATAAACGTACCTTTTGTCACCCATGTCTTCAATGGCCTTATACGGCGGACCAATGAAGACCAGCCCAGCTTCGGTACATTTTTGCGCAAATGCAGAGTTCTCACTCAACTACATACCAGGCTCTTAGTTAGGATCACATCTAATGTCAAAATGCACATAGTCTACTTACAAAGCCATATCCAGGATGTATTGCTTGACACCCTTCTTTTTTTGCAATCTCAATAATTCTATCGCCATCGAGGTATGCTGACACCGACCCCAAGTTAAAGGCGAAAGGAGAGCTCAAGGCGTGTTGAGCTCGGCTATCTGGGTCAGTGTAGAGTGTGGTCACGCGAATCCCACGCTCCGCGGCAGTCCGTCCAACTCGTCTAGTATGTCGAAGTTAGCATCCCCAACTCCACTCAATTCCGTGTCCAACATACAAAGCTATTTCTCCTCGATTGGCTATAAGAATCGAGCTCAACGACTTGTTTGCTTTTTTTGCGTCAGTGGCCGATGATATAGCTCGTGATGTTCTGCGGGCCGCGGTCGGGGTTAAGCGGGGAGCAATGCGGAGAAGAGATGAGAGGGTCATGACAGTGGGAGAACGACCTTTCCAGCAATAGTGAGGTCTTTACAGTAGATGGTTTGTATTACAGTGTAAGCATAATCAACGTATTTCGAAGGGATAAAGTAAAGAATGGGAAATGCTCAAGGGTTTGGAGCTCTTGTTAAGCCGACGCAAAGCGAGATTGCGGGGAAAGCCGAGAGGGTGACCTAATCAACCTGCGTCGACTCCTGAGAGGTTTGCATAGTTTGCATATTAGTTATGCCTGAGGCAACAATATTTCTTGGCACTCGGCCAAGTGCCGCGTGCTTTTTTCTTTCTGTGGGCACCATGCGATCCGAAGTCTGCCAAAATCATGCATGGCTGGTCGATTGGGCAAACTACAGTGTAGCTGTTACCAAGTGAAAACGTGATGACGGGAATAACCCCTCGTTGAAACCCCCTTGGGCAAAGTGGGAGGGTTGGGGTTCTGGGGTGGATTACTTGGGACACACAGTTCCTTCGAGAGCAATCCTATGATTTTCTATGCTGGATAAATTGGAAGAAGTCCATAGATAGCACTATGAAACGATCTTCTCCATTTTATATCGGATTTTAAACACTACGCTTCAATCTTGTCAATCTTGGAAGTGTTGGTTATAACATAAATGGTGTTGTGATATAGTGAACTCTCATCTCGGCTCCTATGGTGTCCAACTGACGACTCCCAGGCTTCCAATTTATCTATGAAGCCAAGGGTGACAGCTTGAAGGGATTACAAGACAGCGATAAGCTTTCGGGTCATCTTTCGGGAGATACAAAAAACTGTAGATCTATCTCTTGCCCTGCAAGTTTCTGGTATTATAGTAAACTCACTGCTCCCGAGGGCAATGTCAAGTGTCAGCTCATTCCTTAATAGTGACAGCAATTTTTCAAACGTGGATATCTGTTCGGATCATACTTGTGCAAGCTCGGTGACATGCCCCGGACAGAACTTCCTGTATAGGAAATGGCTTATCAGGTGAAGCGCACTGACTGCCCAGGTGAGTCAATCGAAGCCGCTACAGCTTTGGCTGCACCGATTATTTAAGGACGAATTTCAGCTGCAATAATGTTCTTCTGGCTCGTAGGTCATAACTCTTGTTTTTTAAATTCCAAAACGAAGGCAAATACCTTGTTAGGTTCTATCTATTTGGCTCACAATTTATGCCCATGATGAGTCCTTTCAACGTGTTGAAGCAAGATACCTGGGACTCTTCCCAAAGGCTCATCAAGGAAGATGTATTTTATCCAAATGTATGTGGATCTAGTCAATTCTCTACGCTTAGCCCGAAACTTCACCTCCAAAATCTGACCCAACAGGTGCACCTCAATTACATTCCATCTCCAAAGAAATTTACATTACAAGACTTGCGTCTAAGCCAGAGTCCAACTGCATCCCTCATTGCGGGAACAGTACCCTTTTCATTATTGTCAGCCGAAGGTGTCAAAGCCTACCGAAGGGCTCTGTTCCAAAAGGATGTCATAGACAAATGTGCCAACTCGCCATTCCCGGGGACTTTGGTTCTTCGTGGCGCGGCGAAGCAGTCAAAGTTTATTTATGACTTTTGGACGCACCCCGAGACAATGAGGATTGTGTCCGAAGCAGTCGGTGTGCCTTTAGAGGTGGTGATGCCAACAGAAATAGGGCACACTAACATCCAGGTTGAAGGCACTACCATCGCAGAATTGTCCAGCAATCTGAAACCTGAGCCAGCGGTAGAAAGGCTTGAGCTGACTCCCGAAGACCGAGCTTATGACCCTTTGAGAGATGCTAGTGCTATCATTCCGTGGCAGTAAGTTCAATCCTTAGCACCTTCCTTGGAACACTAACAACACTGATTCAATCAAAGCTACGACTCATATCCTTATGTTTGTGTATTGATGCTGAGCCATACTGAGGGCATGATCGGAGGCGAGACATACATCAAAAAGGGAGACGGGGAGGCTCAGAAGGTGTGCAAGAATCCGGATTCAAAACGAAAGGCCCTCACTAATCATACACTGGGAAGGTTGAGGGCCCCCAGATTGGTCATGCTATCATGCTCCAAGGCGGCGAAGTCTGTCATCTGGCTGCCCGGGCAAAAGGTGTGAAGGAGCGAATATCAACCATCACTTCGTACCGTTCTGCCACGCCGAAAGTTTATGACTCCAGCTATATCACCAACGTCCGCCCTTATGCAGATACGAACACTCTCTATCCTGAGTGGATACGATACCGCTTGCGAAAATTGAGAGATGAGCTTACCCATCATCTCGACGAGATGGAGAAAGAAGAAGACGCGGCCCAAGAGAGAAAAGATATCCAAAATCTTATAGACCAACAGATTGACTATTTACAACGAACTTCTCGACAAATGGTTGATCCTGAATATACCCAGAAAGTTTTAAAGAAGTATGGCAAACCGTCATACTATGAGGCCCCTAGAATTTGGGAGACTGTTCAATCACTGCCTGAATTCCAAAGACTTGCATTAGCCGCAGATGAGGAACGACGTTGGCGGCCAGAGAGTATCTATTGGACGGATCTCCTGAGATCCATCGAAACAATTCGGTTAGGGAAACCTCTTCAGGGTGCCCTAGGAACAGCTGTGCGGGAGAAGACGAGAAGGTACTACATGGGAGATGAACTTTTGCGACAAGGACTCAATGAGGCATTCTTGGATTGGTTGGGATGCTCAGGTATTTGGGAAATTTACTGCAACAACATTTGATTGGAAGAGAATTGAGTCAACTATCAAAATGAGATTGGAGACTTATCAACTTCTTTAGCGTGTATCTGAAGTTATTCAATATTTAATTTAATACCTTTATATCTATTCTATGAGGAATCCAAGTATTTTCATGAAAGTTTTTTTTTGTGGTCACTAGACTATCCGAAAGAGAGGTGCCATGCCCTCCCCCGAATCATATCGCAACATCAATTACTAAAACCCTTTGAGTTGGTCGCTGGACAGCCCGAAAGAGAGGTGCCATGCCCTCCCTCGGACTGTCCAGCAGTAAGTCCAGTTGCCATCATTCCACAGAGTAGAACTCAACAATCATCTCCTCCGACATGAATTTGAGGCCTCGTTAAAACCAGCTGGAAGAAACCCCTATGGGATAAATACAACCAGCTGGAAAGAGTACCTCGTACATAGGTTAAATCCAACATCCTCCAATTTCCCTTTGATTTGCCTTGAATTTTATTCATTGATTCGTTGTCTTGGACTTTTTTAAGTGTTTTGAGGCATTCATCACTTTCCTCCACTTCGATCTGGAGTGTTTTTTTTGGTGTTTTTGGTGGTTCACTTTCATTCACTTTGATCGGGGGTTTTTGGTGTTTTTGTCTCAGGTTCATCCACCTTGATCATCAATCTGATTTTGGCGTTTCTTTTTGCTTTGGGATATCGATGTTGGCCATACCGATAGTGGAATTGCTTTCTTTGGTTGTTTTTTGTTATTGGATAATATTATTAGTGTTTTTTTTTGGTCGTTTTCTTTGTTTTCAAATGGGAGTGGTCCTTTCGATGGGCATTTGAAGCACGGTTGCCGTGCCTAATTCCTTCTTTGGGACTCGTTCGATAGGCGCTTGAGTCTTTTGTTCCTTCGGGGCTCATTGGCATGGGCTGCCATGTCTGTTCTCTTCTCCAGCGCGTTCGATGGGCAGTTGAGGCCTCTCGTTTCTTCGGTTTCTCGGGTGGCACGGGTTGCCAAATTTGTTTTCCTCTTCAAGTTCGACCGGTTCGATTTCCTCCACTGGATCTTTTCCATTCCAGACAGCAGTTTTGAGCTGTGGTGTTGTACCACGCTGGTATTAATGACATCGTGGTGAAGGCCCAACCGAGAGAACGCCACGTGGGAAAGGCTCCCGGTAGAGAGTGAAGTATTCACCAAGAAATGTTCAACATAGTTGAACTTTGAGCCAGCAGAAAACTCATTGGGAAGAGCTGCTAGTCTAGATTGGGATAAGAAAGACATCCACAGGAGTTGATTGAACCAATCCCACACGACGTCAACTCCAGCTGGGGGTATGTCTTTCATACATTGGAGTCTCGTGACAATTATCAATCATCAGGCAGGCGGATTTAAGAGCCCGAATGATCAGTTCCAGATGAAGAGCACGAGTGCCACAGTCTCCACCCAATACATCAAACCCGGGTATCAAGAATGCGAATGCTCGGTACTTGAAGAGAGACCCGGGCCCTGGATCTCTCCCAAACACAGGCGAAGATGAGAGGAGTGAGAATCCAGGTTATCCGCCACCAACAAAGACTGCAGGGGTTGCAATCTCCACTGAGGACACCAAACCCAGACATGGGAATCCGCGGATTCTCCGCACTTGAATAAAGGTTAGGGCCCTTAACCCATACCCAAGCACTGAGGTGATGTGGGTTTCAATTTCAAATTTCAACCCATACAGGTAGTGTCTTCCAGAAGGATGTAGTTGATTTATTAAATTCAATCCTCTTCAGCAGGTGGGCGTCCCAATGGGGACGAACGATGGGGATCCTGCCGAGGCACATCGTGTGGGATGGTTGTAGAAGGAAAGAAAAAAGGAGGAGGGAGGGGGGGAGGGCTAGTATATATATATTAGTATGACGTAGATCTTGAGAACTTCCGACATCTATTCAAGCAATCGACATGTATTCTATGAGATGAGTGGCCCGCACACTAACAGGTGACAGTCTTCAAATGGACCAATCCATTCAATAAATTTGAAGTACTATGCCTTTTATAGTAAACATTTTCTTTATCCGGATCGGACCTCTAAACTATTGCGTGCAGTTTTCATGTAGTTGTTGGCCACTACTGCATACAGAACGGAAGGCGAAGTCAAAAGTGGACGCAGAGCACGAGACCTGATAGACATTTCGTGCAGAGGAAACCCAGAGAAAGCCCAGAAAACCAAGTCTAGAATGAATTAACATAAATTGTATCATAAAATCCGAGTCTCCATCGAACTTTTGTACAGCTACATGGATGCCTAGTTTCTCAGGCCTCAATATGCTTTGCCTTCTTATATGGCAGGCTTATCCCAAGTAGCCCCCGATGCTCAACTCTCTTCAGCCTTCATCGTCTTCCCCGTGGTCAAGACTTGAAGACAGAGCACAACAAAGTTGAGGGTGAATGCTATGTAGATCACTAGAGTGGAGAAGCGCCAAGGCTTATGTTAGCAGGATTGTCATCTTCTTCAATGCACGATCAGTCCGGTCTTCACTCCGTCACGTCAGCTGTGCAGCCTTGTTTTGCTTGCGCTATAGACATCTTTGCTTGATTTGCTTTCGTTCAGTGATTTTCATTCACTTAGCAGACGCCTTGTCGAAACTCTCGACACCTAATCTTTTTCATCTTTTTTCCCCCTCGGCGTCCACTCCAAGATGTCTGACGACGATGAGTACTATGAATTCGAGGATGAATACATGTACGAGGATTTAGTCCCAGACATGGTCGTAAGTTCAATCCTAGGGCGATGCCTCGACCAACTCGTGCCATCAGTTCCGCATGACAACACATCATCAATTCAGACCCTAACCAAATCGGTGCTTATCCAGGACGATCTCGCCGCTTCCTCATACTACGAAGCCGCCCTATACGAGGACCCAGGGATTGATGTCGAAGACTACTTCAGCGACTGGGACTATTATTCAGACGATTATCACGACGATGATGCAACCGTCGAACAAAGCGCAGAGAGAAAGAAAAGGACCGCGATCGCAGCGACAGCACCACGACGAACCAAGACATCTTCCCGTCCAAAGGGTCACATCGCCAAAATCCCACCGTCTAAATCACCTTTGGTGCCAGATACTGCCTCTTTCCAGGGCGTGGTGTGGAAAACACCTGCGTTTGACCGGGACCAGGACGTCGCCATTTTGTATGAGCCGGACACGGGAGACAAGGTCGCGCTTCTAGAGAACTGGCGGGAGGTTTTCAAATCTGCCCAGCCGGCGCTGGATAGGTCACGCCTGAAAACGCGACACGTTGAATCCAAGCCCGTCGATCCGTCGCTGGCTGACGATGAAATGTTCGCTGGTGACGGCACCGACGATGAGCCCGATAGCGAGGACGAGATGTCCGGTGTTGTCTCTTCGGATACTTCGGCAGTTGATGCTGGGGATGCGGGGGATGCTTCAAACACAACCCCCGACCCGGATCCGGACTCTTTCCGCTCGATGAAACTGTCCTCACCGCCGAAGGTCGTGATTCCGTTGAAGAGGGGGTGGAAGAGGAAGGCCGTTGCACAGAAGGATGACACCGATGAGGACACAGCCTCACCTCGTCCGAAGAGGGTTGCGTTGCGGAAAGGCGGTGATGAAAAGGTTGCGAAGCGTGCGGCACCACCGGTGCGCAGATCTGCGAGACAGAAGAAGTAGGACCGTTGTGTTGGAAATGTTTGATGTAGGGACATTTATGATATGTACAACGACTAGGATGAATTTGCATCTACTCTGCAAAGAGATAGCATCGTCCAACATGAAGCAATTTTTTGTGGATAATACTTTTATTTTAAGCATACTCCTTGTTGAATGCGCGGCCAATGACCATCCTGCGGATCTCACTTGTACCGGCACCAATTTCATACAGCTTCGCGTCCCGGAGAAGGCGCCCAGCAGGGATCTCGTTGATGTACCCGCTTCCTCCCATGAGCTGGATGGCATCAAGCGTGCATTCGGTCGCACGTTCAGCGGCGTAGAGGATTGCGCCGGCGCAGTCCTGAGTGCGGACGGTCATCTCACCAGGTTCCACGGCGGCGTTGTCTACCTGCCGTGCCGTGGCGTAGGTGTACGCACGCGAGGCAGCCAGTTTGGTGTACATGTCCGCAAGCTTGCCCTGAATCAGCTGATTGTGGGCGATTGGTGCACCGAATTGTTTGCGCACATGAGTGTAAGGAAGGACTAGGTCAAGTGCTGCTTGCATGATTCTTGTGGGTGTTAGAATGTCATGGGTGTACTGTGATATGAGATGGCTCACCCCAATGGTCCTGCACTCAGGACGAGTCGCTCTAAGTCCAGACCCTCCATCAGTACGCGGACACCGCGGTTCAGCTCACCCAGGAGGTTCTCCCGTGGAACGAAAACATCCTCAAAGATTAGTTCTCCTGTGTTAGAGCCACGCATACCCAACTTGTCCAGTTTACGTGCGCACGAGAAGCCTTTGAAGGTCTTCTCGACCAGGAACGCCGTGATACCTTTGGAGCCTAGTTCAGGCTGTGTCTTGGCGTACACGACAATATAATCGGCATCGGGGCCCTGTAAGGAAGGGTGAGCAATCAGGTCGGAAACTCCAATACCATCTATACCACCGGAACGACTCACGTTGGTAATCCACATCTTAGTTCCGTTCAAGAGCCAGCCTCCATCAACTTCCTTCGCCGTGGTCTTCATGCTGACTACATCGGAGCCAGCCGAATGCTCCGACATTGCAAGAGCACCGACCTTCTCGCCTGATAGGAGATCAGGAAGAAAGCGCTTTTTTTGTTCTGTCGAACCATTGATAGAGAGCTGGTTCACGCAGAGCTGGGAGTGGGCGGCATAAGAGAGACCGATGCTTCCTTTTTGTCCAGAATGGAGGTTAAATCGATTTTTTCAAATGACTGTATACTAGAATACCTACCAGATGCTCGGCTGATCTCTTCCATCACCACACAATGTGCCTGGTAGCCCATCCCCAAGCCACCGTACTCCTCGTTGGCTGTGACACCGAGGAACCTTCATATCTGTTAGTATGCTGTATAAGATGCTCCCTTCCCAAAGAAGAGAACCGAGCAATTGGGAGAGCCCATACCCAGCATCACCCATCTTCTTCCACATTTCTGCTGGGAACTCATTCTGTTCATCTGTCCGTGCAGCAACATCGGCTGGTATCTCTCGCCCTGCAGCAAGGTTAGAAATGCGACATGGACAAGAGCCTGGCGCAATCTACTTGTGAAATCTTGCACGCGTTCTCGTAGCTCTAGGAGTTCCTCCTCGGATGGAGGTTCAAAGCCCGTGGGGTGCTTCGTTGAGATGGAGCGGAAACATGGGGTGAGTGCGGGGATGTGGTTTAGCCGCACCGCACGCGTTGATGTGCGAAGGAGAGAGGGAAGGGTCAAAAAGGCCATGGTTATGTGAGAGATTCAATGCAGAATACAAAATCCGAACGGAATGTCTTTGGGGAGGTGGACTTCTTAAATATGTGCAGGAGGTGCGGTAGTCCTCGGCGCGCAATCAAGGACAAGGTTGTTACGCTATAGTTGTGCACGAGTTTCCCACCTTGGAACATGCAATCCTTCACTTTTTATTTTGAACTTCTAGCTAGTTCCATGATATATCTCCAGATTGGTATTTGTATTCTCTTCTCTCTCCAGCTCGCTAAATTTCCAACATCTTTTGGTCTCTTTTGGTCCTCTCATGGGAATGATGATGGCCCTCGGGTACAAGCGGCAATCGTCGCACCTCCGCATTTGGGGAAACCCCAGTTTTGTGCCTCACTTCTCTTCTGCTGTTCGCTGTTCAAGTGAGGTTAAATACTTTGAAAACTCACAGTATACCTATACATACCTCTTCGTTTCAACTTGAGCCGAGCTCTGCCATCCTCTTCTCAGAATCAGCTACACTCCACCCTCTTCCCCGCAATGCGTGCCCCGTCCCCGCTCGTCCTTTGGAGCTGGGGCTCACGACCCGGACCACGCAAATATCTCCAGCCAACCAATACTACGCGACCATTTTATAGAACCGTAGCAAGCTATACACATCCTCACCATGCCTCAGCCCTCTCCATCCTCCCCACAGCAGTGGATACCTCCTCAGACGAGTATCGCGAAAACAGCGAACAAATGCAAGAACTCTTAGACCGGATGAACAGCCTACACACCAAAATTGCACGCGGAGGACACGACAAAGCGCGCGAGAAGCATATCGCACGCGGCAAAATGCTCCCAAGAGACCGCATCTCCGCCCTAGTCGACCCAGGCACCTCTTTCCTCGAGCTATCAGCACTTGCAGGACACGGTGTCTACGACGAGGATGTTCCAGCGGGCGGAATAATCACCGGCATCGGGATGGTCGAGGGTGTTAACTGTATGATTGTTGCTAACGACAGCACCGTCAAGGGCGGCACCTACTATCCCATCACAGTAAAGAAGCACCTCCGCGCACAGGCGATTGCACAAGAGAACCGCCTCCCCTGTATCTACCTCGTTGACTCTGGTGGCGCAAACCTGCCACACCAGGCAGATGTGTTCCCAGACCGCGATCACTTCGGCCGGATCTTCTTCAACCAGGCCCGCATGAGCTCCCTCGGGGTCCCACAACTGTCCGTTGTTATGGGTCCCTGCACAGCGGGCGGTGCATATGTACCTGCTATGAGCGACGAGACTATCATCGTTGAGAACCAGGGCACAATCTTCCTAGCAGGCCCGCCTCTCGTCAAGGCCGCGACGGGGGAGGAGGTTTCCGCCGAGGACTTGGGTGGCGGCCAGTTGCATTCGAGCATTTCCGGAGTAACTGATTACCTGGCTGTCGACGATGCACATGCTCTTGTCCTTGCTCGCCGCTCTGTCGCAAATCTCAACTACCCTACCACGACAATTCCGCTCCAGCTGGAGAACGGAAATGGAGATTCGCTTGTCGTGAAAGAACCGCTGTACGACCCTAATGAGCTAAACGGAATCGTGGGAACGAATCTACGTCGCCAGATCCCCGTCCACGAGATCATTGCGCGAATTGTCGATGGGAGTGAATTCGCCGAGTTTAAGCGTGATTATGGCTCGACCCTGGTAACAGGCTTTGCCCGCATTCATGGCCACCGTGTCGGTATCGTTGCTAACAACGGAATTTTGTTCTCCGAGTCCTCGCTCAAGGGAGCGCACTTTATCGAACTATGTGCGCAACGGCGAATCCCTCTTGTCTTTTTGCAGAATATCTCAGGCTTCATGGTCGGCGCCGATGCTGAGAAGGGCGGCATCGCGAAGAACGGTGCCAAGCTTGTCACTGCCGTTGCCTGCGCCGATGTCCCCAAGTTCACAGTTGTGTTTGGGTCCAGCGCTGGTGCTGGTAATTACGGGATGTGGTAGGTTTTTCTGCCTGGTCTGTCTCTAGAATTTTTCTAACTGCTATTGCTAGCGGTCGTGCCTACTCGCCTCGTCTTCTCTTCATGTGGCCTAATGCTAAGATCGGCGTTATGGGTTCTGAGCAACTCTCTGCCGTTATGAAGGCTGTCGGACGAACCGCCGATCCCACTTTGAAAGAACGCATTGACCGCGAATCCGAAGCGACCTTTTCATCAGCTCGTTTGTGGGATGATGGAATCATCCCACCGTCTCAGACGAGGAAGATGCTGGGCTTGGGTCTGGCAGCTGCGCTTAGTGGCAAGGCTGAGCCCGATGTGCAAACCAGGTTTGGCGTGTTCCGGATGTAAAGCACCGACAGGTTGGAATGAGGCATGCAAAATTTCCCCTAGCATAACTCCGAGAAAACATTTAATGGAAGACGCACGTTCATAGGCTACTGACTCGACATGAGATTTTGGAATGGTGAAATGAAAGTATGTAGTGGACCATCACCTTGTAGAAAATCTTGTAGTCTACAGGCCTCTTCCAGGCTATCATTCTTTAGTCGGGTAGGCCCTTAGAGCTGTACAGCACGGTCCAAGGAGATTATCACAGGAAAAGGTTCGGATCGCTTATGATATCCAGTACTCTATTTTCACACCTTTCCATGTTGATGGCAAAAGGTTCCGCCACATGCCAAACATTCAAGGGATCTATCTAGCACGAACCCATCAACCAAAGGATTAGAGCAACGGGATCAAAAGAAAGCACTTTTTTCCTCCATCTCGTGAAAAGCTTTCGTCTTTTTAGTCCAGATCAACCAAACCTCAAATATATCAAATATTAAAAAAAAGGGTGGCACCAATAGTGAGCAGCCCAGAACAAAAGAAAAAAAAATACAAATCTGTAGCAGTGAAACAAGGTTTTATATGGGGGGAGCGGAATAGACATGTTGGCAACAAATGGAAAGAACATCCGTGTCAAGATGTATTATACCGTCGGGTGGTAGATCGCAGAGGGTCGTATCGCATGAAAATAAAATAAGACAAGGGTCCTGGTCAAAGGGCCCTTCAAATTGTTGAAATCAAAGGATAACACACGGTCCGCGGCGATTTCTTGGCCGGCGATTTTCTTTCTTGCGGTCATGGCGGTTCGAGCCATCGCGCTTGCGGTTGGGATCGCTGTTGCTCCTTGAGCCCTCAGAGTCTTTGCGGATGATCTGGCGACACAGATCGACAAAGACTTCGTTGACGTTTGCGCGGCGCCGGGCAGAGGTCTCGTAGTATGGGGCGTTACCCCATTTTTGGGATAGGCCAAAGGCGCGGGCGCGCGGTACGGCGCGGTCTTCTTCCAGATCAGATTTGTTGCCCACGATCACGATTGGGACGTTTTCGTCGTCTTTGATTCGAATGATTTGTTCGCGGAGCTCGGAGAGTTCGTTTAAAGAGGACGTGCTAGTGATGGAGAAGACGAGGAGGAAGCCTTGGCCTTGCTTCATGTATAGCTCTCTGTAGATAGCGTTGTTAATGCGGTGTACTTTTCGCAAGGTCCGTCCGCGGAATCTATCGTGGTGGTGGATGGGTTGGGGACTAGATTTACCTCATTGCCGCTTGTAGGTTATTAGCTTTGACCTCACATGATTAGATGTGCAGATTTGAGAAAGACTTACTGAACTGTTCTGTTCCTGCGGTGTCAAGACTTCGAAAATTTAGCATCATGCCATTTCCAAACCACCGAGTTACTCACATCTCCAGTATACATTGCCGACCCTTTTAAGCTTGGTTAGTGAGGGAGCTATTTGCAGCACATGGTGGACCACTTACGTCTACCTCAATCTGTTTCCGGTACGAATCCTCGATCGTGGGGTCGTAGCTTTCGATCCAGACATTTTGAACGAATTGGGCTGGAAGGGGATTGTCGATCAGCTTGAGGACTCAGGGCAAGGCGGGGAACACAAGGAACGAACCTGTTAAGCAACTTTTTCCGACACCTCCTGTAATTGCGTCGCATGGGAATGCCTGTGGTCAGCCTGTGACCTATAGGGAAATCTCAGGAGTCGAGGCTCCTACCAGCACCCAAAACAACAATATGGTATTCGCGTCTAGACAGGGCGCAAACAAATAATTAGAACTGGCTCTGGCGAAATTCCAGGAGTCTTCATGGACTTACTGCGGCCGCATTGAGAAATATTGATCTTAGTTATTGATTCGGAATGGAAATCAAAATAGCTCTCGAGGACCGAAGGTCAGGTTTAGTGTGGATCCCACGTGGTATAAATGACGACCTCAAATCGTCTAATCGTCGGTGGTGATGAATTGGCCCATCAAGCACGTTGAATGATTCAAGTATATGGTGTAGCTCGCTCGGGGATGGAAGAGCTTAGAAGGGCGGTACGCGGGTGCGGTTACATGGCCCGCCTTTTCGTGCACGGAATAAGGAGATTCGAGGGATTTGAGGGATTTGAGGGATTCGAGGGATTCGAGAGAATGCAGGATCCACTGGGAAGTATCAAAAACCTGTAAAGTAATGCGAAGATATTTGGGCGTTTCTGCAAGAATTTTGCGAGAAGAGGGGAGATGGTCTGACAACAGGAGTTAGCCAATTGCCCTCTCTTTCTCTTTTTAGGCCCCGGACCTGATCACATCATATGCCGAGATCGTTTCTGGTGGTCAGGCACTAACTGGAAATGTTCTCTGTCTTCTCGGCACTGTTCGATCCTTTCTTATTTGGGTCTGAGTCTTTTTTTACTCTTTTCTTTGCCGTTTCCAATCATCTCTACGAAGACAGGTCACGTGATCGATCTGTGGATGTCTCCCGGCGTTGAAATCCCAAGTTCACTTTGAAGATACTCAGCATCTGTCTAATTCTTCCCCCCCCCCTTCCGTATACAAGATATTTCATACTGATACCTCGTGTGGTGTGGAATTGGAGACAAGTTCCATAATTGGTCAATTAATTGGCGGGACCTCGGGAGAAGAAGGATATGCATCACATACCCCCGAATGGACCAACTGCTGCAGGGGAGGCCCACAAAGGAAGGTTTCATGATGGAATCAAAAAGTTTGAAACGCAAACAGAGTACATCTTTATCTGACATACAGCCCTCGATGACGGCAAAAAGCCGCGTACGTCATGTGTAGGATTTACCTTGTAAATAAATTGTGAATTGAAAAAAGCGAACTGATTCTGATTTAGTACGGAGTTAAACGATTGGGTTGAAATATCAAAGCATTTCTAGGCTAGCACGATTAAAGCTTAAGACTCGCTAACTTTTAACGCCATATGTTTCCCTTAGCCCCTCAGTTAGGCACTTCGGTAGTATGTTTTAAAGATTTGACTATATCCGCATGGCTTCCAGTATTGGAACTTCTGATAGAGAGGGCATTAGTTAGCGATACACTGATCTGTTCAAACTAACAATCTACTTTGTGCAGTTTCACACGGCACCCACAGTGGAGACGTCATGTGTGTCACGTGATACACACAAGCTAGCCTCTGTCCTCTTGCCGCCAGCTTGACCGGTTGCATTCTCACCATCCCTCGCTCCATTGCCATCCTAATAGTTCTTCGATTTGTTTCCCCACAAACGATACCTTTTATAAGCAAAAAAAATGGCCTCTTTCCAGGAGCGTGCCCAGCACTCTATCGCTCAGCTTGACAAGGAGGTACGTTTCCGGCCACTGTTGTGTGTCTCGCTGGCGCTTCGGATCTAGCTTTCGCCTCATGGCTGCAATGCTTCTGGGCGCCAGCGACCACAGCAACAGTGACTGCAATTAAGTTGATTGATATCTACTTCACTGTTCTATCTATCGCAGTGAGTTTGAGCTGACATCTGTCATTTTGTAGCTCTCCAAGTACCCTGTCCTTGCCAACCTTGAGCGTCAGACCAATGTCCCCAAGGTCTATGTCGTCCTGGGCCTTGTTGGAATCTACTTCTTCCTGGTCTTCTTTAACATCGCGGGCGAGTTCCTCGTCAACTTTGCTGGTTTCCTGGTCCCCGGTTACTACTCCCTGCAGGCGCTCTTCACCTCGAGCACCAAGGACGACACCCAGGTAAGACAATTTTTGTAAACTTTTCCCTGCCATGCACCAATCCGCTAACTTTGTCTTTCTTCACTCTCACAGTGGCTCACGGTATGTTCACATGGTTTTAAATCCTTGTTGTCGCAATCGTGCGGAAGCATGAGATCACCGCCGATTCGGGGTTCTCATGCACCACCCACGTGACACAATTTTGTTCACACACGACCAATGATTCTAACCCTTGACTTGGTAGTACTGGGTTGTCTTCGCCTTCCTGACGGTCATTGAGAGCGCTATCAGCGCCGCTTACTGGTTCCGTATGTGCTCATAGGACGCCAATCTTGCTGCTATTTTGCTAACTGATTACAGCCTTCTACTACATCTTCAAGTTCGTCCTGATCATGTGGATGGCTCTTCCCCAGACCAGGTATGTCAATTTCCCATGGCGATTTTGAGGCCAGTGGCTGACCTCTGTCGCAGCGGTGCCCAAATTGTCTTCCACTCCTTCCTCCAGCCCGTGGTTGGCCGCTTCTTCTCCAACAACGGTACCTCCTCCAACCTCCGTGCTCAGGCCGAGGCTGCGAGCAAGGCCCACTCCACCTAAACGGGGTGTGGTTTAGCCTCTCAGCGGAGAATCGCACGGGCAATACAAGCTCCGTGGAACCTGCTTTTGCGTGGGTCGCGGATCCGATTCTCTGTGCCCGGCAGGACTCCAAGCACGAAGTGAAGTGGTTGGCTCAAAGCTTCGTTGCTATGATTAAATAGGAGCAGTGCACTAGCTGGAACATGAAATAGAGAGGACCCGAGGAAATGTTGCGACGGGTCCGAGGTTGGATGTGCGCTGAAAATGAGAGCGTTTTAATCTTGGTTGTTGCCATTTTGTCACATTCGAGTGGATTAGTTGTTTAGTTCGTACATTGAATGTGGACGCCGTTCTTTTCAGATGTTGAGATCTACCTAGGTGCATTGTCAGGGTGTATCTTCAGGGTGCTGCGCTACGGGCCGTCGAGCTGCGTCCCTACGGAAGTACAAACCAGTTCATGTCCCATAAGAGTCATTTGATCAGTATCACCCGGATCCTCTTTGGTCCCATTGCCTTTTCAACACTTTGTGCACAGCCGTCCTCTTCAATGCTTGAATTCTTCTGATAATGTCCACACGTTTTGTCATTCCGATCAACATGATAGTTCTTCTCAATGTGTGTCTCGCAATCGTTCTCCATATGCCAATCAAGTATCTCATGTGGCTACTTAAGCGTACAAGTTAACCGCCCTTCAAAAGTCTGCTATTAGCTCAAAAGCTGAGCGCAAACAGATCCTCGAGAAGGTTGTCCGACGACTAACTCTCTTCCTTCCGACGGAGCTGCTCCAAGAATTTGGCGCCTCGGTTTACATCTCCAGGCCGAATTCATATCACAGATCAAAGACTAAAGTCCTTTGATGGTATCCTGCTCATCAAGTCAACAACAAGCATCCTGGCAGCTTCGGATGCCCAATCACTAAAGTAGCTGTCTCGAAGCCAACTCTATCGTACGTTGTATGCCGAACATGACAGCTGAAGAGGCTTTACAGAGATACCGCCTACCACCCTTCTCCGACGATGATTCTAGTATTTCCTGTAAGTTGCAAAGTTTTAAGCAAGCAAATGGGAATTATCCCACTTGCGGACCGTGTCAGAATCAGTCAAAATGTCTTTTAGAGTCACGAAGGAAGTTGAATCGATCGGTATCACCATGATTAATCCCCAAAGCACGGATGTAACCGAGCGAGGGTCTGCTGGTAAACCTCAACATCCTTCGGCTCAGCATGCCTTGCTTGGCCGATACGCCCCCATCAAGCAACTAATAACATGACCATCTTCAGTGAGATATTCCAGGAACCAGGGACCAATTTCACAACTCTTAATCAACCGATAGGCAGAAGTCTCGCCTATCAATCATTTAATTTCCCAGTGAAAGTGAGCAGATTCGACGACACCATCCTCAAACTAGGGGATTTTTGATTTCGTAAACGCCAGTTCGAAGTCTCCTACTCTCTCCAAGATCCATACGATCAATATGGGTATTACGCCCTGTACACTCACGCCAGGAAATGAGGTTCGAATGGCGCGTGCAAAGTGTGGTTCGCCAGTTTCTGTGAATCTGGACCCTTGTCCATCATTCCAATTGCCCGTATGGAGATCGGGGAGAAGTGTGGCTAGAGCTAGGCCGAGGCACAGATCATCCGGGTTCCAGATGCCTTGAGCAATTGTCATATCTACCTGAATGACCCATTAATTAGAAGTCGGAGATTGCTTTCTTCGTCAATGTTGGCTTCTGCTTGGAGCAATGAGATGCTTCTTTGGGTCTGCATTAGGGAGTTGGCATATTGCATGGAGGGGCTGCTATATCTGCATCTATATATTGGTGTGGGGGGATCAGATTCAAAAACATTATTGGTCTAGAAGTACAACTTTGCTTACCATGTGCAGGGTTTTTATGCAGGGTGCAGCTACCACAGAATGCAATTGAGGAAAGACTTCCAAAACAAATTTCAAGATGGTCTGGCTGAAGAGACATTATACACCGAGATTGCACACCGTTCTGGCCTCTTTTGCCTCATTAGGGCCCAATCGATAGCCCAGGATAGGATTTCGTGTTGATTTTCGTAATTGAGCAAAGAAACAAATCCAATATGTACTTACGCTGCCTTGTAAACAGAACCAGCCCAGCCCGTTCAAAAATCCCCTCAAAGAAAATACCCAAGCACTGAACTCCAAAGGGCCATCACTGAAAAACCCAAGCACAGCACATGAGAGAGCCGTAGACTCATAGTAATAGCCCTTTTTAAAATTATCTAACAGATCATTAAATCGTATCGAGGTTGATCGCCCGCGGCCATATTCCATTGAAGGAAATTAGAAGCAACGTGTCCGGTTGGTTGAACAGTAGTCGGAGTGGGAACGTATCAGACTTGGTGATCGAGGTGTATCGCCCAAGCTCTTAGTCAAACTGCTTAACTCAGTAGAGCCTTATGCGATTTCCCCAGCCATCAGCGCGAGGGTTGACGACAATCCGGTAGGGGAACGGATTGGAATCGCTAGTGGTGATGGGCGGAATATGATCTTTATCTCGATTTACAACGCTCAAGATTTTCAAAGCTGCCTTTTGCAACATGTTTCCCATTGCCTTGCGCACCTTGGCTCGTTCTGAAACCAAATTAGTTCTGGAAAAAAGGGGCCCGGTGATTGTACCTACCGGACTCAGTGCGCGGTGTTGCGATAGTCACATCAAGTGTCCAAATCTCCCAGCACACCTCTTCCTCGCCTTTCCCTGTCAGTCCACCGAACCAGTGCCCCGAGCGACGCCGTTTCTTCTCGTAGAACTCGACTGCAATCCGCCCTCGGACGCCCCCGCCCCCTCCGACGATCTGGCCATCCTGCCCGCCGGCTGCGGAGGACAGATGCTGCCGGACCAGAGTCGATACGCGCGATTCAATTAGTGTCTCTAGATCTGCATCATTTATAGCGGGGAGTGTGAAATCAAGCACATCAAAGGTGACCGGCCGGATAGAAGGGAAGTAACGGTGGAAAAAGATGAGGTTCAGGACACCTGGCAGGACGTAGAATTTAGTAAGAACGTGCTTGTAACGTCTCCAGCTCACAACTTACCCTTCAGTACGTCTCGCACATGGGTGGTGTCAGCGAAGATCTCCAGGAAGTACTCCGGAGGGGTTTTGCGGGGCTCCATCCCCGCCATGACGCAGCTCGCAACCAAGCCGGTTGGGGTTGGGTGCAGTCTCAGACGGTTATTGTTGGGAGAAGAGAGAATAGTGTCGTAGATACAGAATGGAGGGACAATCAGTGAGCAAGTTGTTGTTGCATAAAGCTGGAGGGGAGTAAGGTGGAGTGATGACTCCACGGCTGATATAGCAAGGGGGGCGGACCTGTATCGGGCGTAGCCGACTGAAGCTTATCGCTTATCATCGAACTGGGGGGGAACAGGTTTGAAAGAGATCATTTTATCTTGAAGTACGGGGTATGCGGAGTATACGAAGAGCAATGAGAAGAGAATGGACAAGAAAGAGACAGCCAGGGATTAGCGGGTTGTTGCGGGATGGCTTTGCCAAATCCGGGGGAGAGCTCTAGTGGGACATAATTGACAATTCAGAAGAAAGGAGACGATGAGTTCAAATTCTAGAGGTAGAGTATATAGTTGGCAGGTTGCAGGTACTTTAATTGTCTGTGGTGCTTTAGAGGTTCGTTTCACTCACATTGCATGATAGTGAGCTCTAGCCGAGGCCTGAAATTGGCGATCAGCGCCCGAAGCCTCTCTTCCCCATCTACTGAACCCACCCATCTCTTGCATCTACAATGAACTGAAGTTGCCTGTCATTCTTACTTCTTCCCAGAGAAGCACCCATCACAAATATGATCGGTGCGACGAGGCGCTGGTTCCAGCGCAATCGCAAAGGTCTTGCAATCGGGGCTGGGGTGATAGGAGCCGGTTACTTGGCCGGGCAATATGTGCTGTCCAAGATCTCCGAGGCACGGGAGCGCATGAGCAGTGATCGGATTGCTCGCGAAAAGTCAGTTTCCCTTGATTTTGATGACTCCTATCCCTCCGCTAGCGAGCACGCGAGCTTGCAACGGGTGCAACCCCGACTAGATACCCCGAACCGGAATCACTTACCCATGGCAATAGTCTCCGCCGACGATTCGAACAAAACCAGTCTGATTGCACATACACTGTCCTTGCCTTATTGCCGACCGCCACCGAGAATATTATTGATGCCCTCCCGGTTGAGGAGTTGACCAAGGAGCTGCAGCAGAAGCGAGCAGAGAGGTTGGCTCGGCTGAGTGCAGGGGAGGCAACTGGGTCCGATCAGAGCTCAGTGTCCCCGAGTCTACCGGACGATGATCGAAGGAGCCTCTCTAGTTTCCAGAGTGAGGGATATTTGCACGCAAGCCAGGTCGGGGACTCTTCTTTGAACTTAGACGGACGACCTCGGCCTAAACGGAACAAGACACAGCTGTGGAATGAGGTGAAAATATCCTGTGAGTTTTTTTTGGCAGTTTTGATCAAAAACCCTAGTCCATCAGACGCTAAGGATTCCTAGCTGTCACTCGGTCTTTTACTATGATCTACACTCTTTCCTTACTTACTATCTTCACTCACATCCAACTCAACTTACTCGGCCGTCGGAACTACCTATCAAGCGTGATTTCCCTTGCTACACCACCTGCCAACACCTCGACAATCCGTCTTGAAGACCACGATGATGAACTCACTCAAACATTGGGCGATGACTTTGAGACCAACCGACGTTACCTCGCCTTTAGTTGGTGGCTGCTTCACCGTGGATGGAAGGACCTAATGGGACGAGTGCAAACAGCTGTGGAGGAATTGTTTGGACCTTTGAATCCACGCGAGGATATTAGTTTGGCCAAACTTTCTGAGTTGACCTTGCAAATCCGAAAGAGGGTGGAAGGCAGTACCGAGGACGAGCGACGATCTCAGAGGTGGCTTTCGTGCTTGCTTCCCCCGGCAGAGGACGAGGAGCATGTCTTACGCGAGTCGGGCGTGGAAGGCGTAGCTGACCCGTCCTCCTCCCAGACAGCAACGAAACTGCGACAACTTCTAGATGAGACAGCAGATTTGATTGACTCTCCGTCTTTCTCCCTCGTCCTCACACTTCTTAACAACGAGGGATTCTCAACCCTTATCGATCAAAAATGTGCTGCTGACGCCTTCAAGACGTTCACCTCCGCACCAGAGACTACCTTGCAGTCCTTCGATTCAATTGCCACTGTTGTGCCCCTGGCTGCTAACTCCGAGCGCAAGACAAAGCTTGCCAACCTCCTGGCCGTCATGACTCGCCAGGCACATGTGATTGGCAATGGTGTCCACCCACCTAATGAGTATCTGGTCGCCATGGACCAGAACGTGCGTGAGCTCGAAGCCTTCTCTGCCGTGGTCTACAGTTCGAACTTTGACCTCGAGCTTCTTGGTGTCAAGAACGAAACGGCATCGACCAGAGAGACAGATGTGATCGATAATGAAATTGCCTCATCGTCTTCCCCCCAAGGTATCATAGAGAAGGAAGTTGAAGCTGATTTAAAGGCGGGGAGCACCGAGCCACAATCACGCAGTTCCCTTCCCGAGGAAACAGTCTTCAATGAGCCTGAGCCTTTGGCGGACTCAGCCTTTGAGGAGGCTTGGGGCAAGGCCACGGATGACGAGAACACCTCCCAAACAGAGGAAACCCAGCCGACCCAATAAAACAATGAAGAAACTTCCACCACCGATGGCGATTTGTGTGATTCTTTCTATCACCTGACACCTTTGTTTTCGCATGTCGCTATGGGGTTCTATTTTCTCTGCATACAATATCTTGGCGATAGAATTGAGGGATGCTAATGATACATGCCAGTTCAATGATCATTTTCTAGTCCTAATCTCTCAGATAGTCCTATCAGTATACCACAGCTATGCGTGTATTTACTTTCTAGAACCAATCAGGCATGAATCCGTTGTGATGGAATCTTATGCTCAACTCAGGCCGCTAGCTCCCGAGGGATTACATAAGACTATTTAGCCGCTCGGCCAAACAGATTTTGGCAAGAATCGAAACCGATTCTCGCTACAGTGGTGTACAGATCAGGCCCTAAGATCCTCTAGGGACTACGTGTATTTGTACTATTTTATACTCCACATCACAGTAGACTAGTGTGGGTGGGACAGCGGGGGTCTCATGCTTGGGGATAGTGGCGCCGAGATTATCAGGATGCTAGGATTTCGCGTGGGATTATGGAGCCTCATTGGGTACCTGGGTATCTACGAATCGGAAGCTTGGAAAATAGCTGGACATCTCCGCTACCACGTACGGAGTAGATTTTCTGTACGTTACAAAGTACATCGTTCATCAAGTTCAAAACTTGTTTATTTTCTCCCCACTATTACACTTTGGTCTGCAAGTCAATGTAACCTCAGGCACAGGCACTTTTCCAAGGTTCCTTTGTAAAAAAAATTTGGATACGCTGAAACATCTTGACGTCACAACCAGACTTCCAAGGGTTTTTCCTACTGCAGCCTCCGAGATCCACCAATGAGCTCATATAGCCCACTTGTGTGGCGCAGTCTTGGTCGCGCATTTGAAATTTTGTCGTACTGAACTATAGCGTTCGTGTAATGACGTTTTTCAATGGGGGGTTGGAGCATTGGCTCTTTTTTTAAGGGTCAATCCAATTATGTATCAATACAGCCCTAAAAGAAGCAGAGTCAATAGCTAGACGAGTATACGGAATGAGAACATTGCTCCCGGCTGTTGGAAATTACCCTGTGCACACAAGTTCTCTTCCAATGTTCTCTTGCAGGGAAAAAGACCCCCGCATCGTGCAATCAATGATCAGCCCGCTATCATCAGGCTCGGTCCCGATCATGCACATGGCTGATACTTGAACCTGGAGTGGAAAGAGGAGCTTGGGAACATGCACATAAAAGCTCGCACATTTCATCATCAGAGATTTTGTGCTTGTCAGAAGCGGGTATGTAGTTTACATGCAATCCAAAATCCAGGCCAGCATTTTTTTAGCGATATAGCATACGCGGCAGTCACCACTCAGATAATCGGATCGTACTAATCAAAGAAGTCTTGGACATCGATTTTTACCTCAGCCAAAGAAGCAAAGACGACCAGGTCTAGTCGCAGATGCTGGATATTCTAGAATGCTGAATAGGACTCTACCGTCTCTACTTAGGCTGCTACGTGGGGTAATCGAGTCGGCTGCATCTCTACATCGGCTAGGGTATCCAACGATGTAGACATCGCAACGGGGCATCTAGATCAAGACCATTTGCACCAGCATTACGCATGTCTCGCACGAGTAGCAACGGATTACCATCGACTTAAAGGTGCTCAAAGTCTCGGATGCTAGCCGTCATGCCATGATTTCCGAATTCTTCACCTAACCCGAAAGTCCTTGGAAACGAGGTGTTTGTTATAGGCACTGTAGACTGGCACTGTCAGGAGCGTAATCTGGGTGCATTGAGGTTAGGGGCGGTTGGATGGTGGAGTTAGTTGATGGTAGCAGCCCTTGTGCGGTAGCGTACGTCGGCAGGGAGGAAATTTGGGAGGTCCACGACTTGTACCATCGTATCAAACATTTCCACAGAGGAGCCGTTAATCTTCAGTGAGAAAAACCAAAGATTCGGCAAAGTGACCATGTTACTTTCAAGCATTCACGTGTTCAGTGGGAGGCGAATGTGTAGAGTTGGCATGTTACTGTAGCATCGATCCACGAAAAGAAAACCGGACGCACTTTGATATGAGAGCCGGGGAGAGACAACAATTGAAGCTTGGGGACCGTGGAATGTAACCGTATACCGTAAGTTACCCAGCCTCAGATGTGGCTAAGCCATGTACTCCACCCGCCAAACTGTGTGGGAAAGTACTTCCTCCGCCGTGTTCCGTATCGTCCAATCACTTTACTCTACCAAGGAACGGCCAGTCAAAGTCCTCAAGGTTTCCCCCGATCTGCCCTGCCTCCCCTTAAGGCCTGCCTATCCCGATCATCCCTCCACATTCGAGATTTACTGGCCGACTCCAGGTTTGTTGTTTGATTTTTCTGTAACTTCTCGCTTTCATTACTGTCGCCGAGGTCGTCTACCAGTTGAGTTGCAGGACTTCGTGTGTGCGCTCGTACCCCGTCACCTTCGCCTTTGAAACTACCCCGACGATCAGCCCGAGGATCAGCCCATTGCACGTCTACAACGCCTTAACATCGCTACCTACCTAAGCACCCCCCTCCCCCTCCTCCTCCCCGCACTCGGTCTTCCATTTAAGACCTTCCAAAGGGGACCGTGGCGGCTGCATACTGCAGTGTGTACTGAGGCCGCATTATCGTCCTATCCGTCAGCCGCGCGCATCGGAAACTCAGCCTTTCAAGTCATCATCACGAATCTAGATCCAGCACCCTGAAATCAAACCTCCGTGTACTCACGAGGAAACCCAACTCTCACAACGGCGGCTCTATACGTTGGGTTTCAAGACTGGTGATCCATTTCGCCCAACATGACTGACTTTCGAATGCCCCTCCACCAAGCGCCTCCTGTACGGAAACCCCTCCCTGGTGCCCAGCACGGGTATGTTGGATATCAGCCCTACGATTCTTCACGACCATATCTTGCGCCCCATTTAGCGAGTCCCCAGACCACGCATAGTCGGACTCGAACCACATCCTCCAACGTGTTGCCCTACTCGAGCGGCTCTCAACATTACCACGGCGCTCCTCCCCCACCTCCTATTCCCCAAATGACTTATTCTCCTCATCCACCCTCTCGACGCATGTCTAGCACCACTACCTCGACCTCGTCTACCGGCAACCACCCGACGGTACATGCGGGGCATGGTGTTTCTGACATCCGGCGAACCGCCTCGTCTCGCTCTGCCAACTCTCAGCTTGGATATGTAGCCCTCATGCGGCGGCAAAAGGCTACTGTGTGGTGTGACCGGGCACAACCTGAAGACGCCAGATCACGCGAACAAGCCCTGCGGGACAAGAAGAGAGCGTACCTCGAAATCCATGGCGCAGGCGCTGGCCGGGCAGGAACATTGGCTAGTGGCAAGATCCGGCATGGTTCTAAGGGAGCAACTGAGTTCTCACCTTCAAACTTAGTGGGCGCTAAGGTCCCCGTTCGACTGAGTGCGAACGAGGTCGGCGACGGGGACGATGACACCCTTAGCAGTGATGGTGGCGCAATTCACAGACGGACCGGCAGCGGTCGTAGCTCTCTGGGAAGTGCCCACCGTTACCCAAGTGGATACTCGCGGCCACAGGGAACGATGGGCAGTAACAGCACGCCCCCGAACGAGAAGACCGACCTTCCAGAGGTTTCTGAAAACACACCTGCGGAAATCCATGAAGAAGAAAAGAGCCGATTGTCATCTCTCCACAAAGATGATACCGCGACAACACACAGCAGCGAGCAAGAGCAAGAAGACTTTGTTGGTGACATGAAAGCCCCGAGCGCCGCTTCTGCGGCAGCCGAGAAAGCCCAGAAGGCAGCCGAGTTGCGACGACGAGGCAGTGTAGATGAGCGAACCACTTCCATGACCAATGTGCGACTTTTCGTCGCAAATCCCGATTCAGACAGCGACTGAGGCTCTTGTTCTCATATAGTTTGCCAACTCTTCATCCTTCATCCTCTTCTTTATATCCCGCTTCCTTCTCTCTTTTATGATTTCTGCATGATATCTCTTAATGCCTCGTCAATTGCACATAATACCTATCTCGTTGCAACTCCACACCTGGCCCCATTCGGCAAATCTTGATGTTTTAGACCAATGCGTCCTTCTGCTTTGTCTATATCTTTGCACGTTTGCTGTCTGATTTACCCCTTCTTTTCAAAGCGCCGCATCTCCTTTTTTCGTTCTTTTTTCTTCTTTCTTTTCTCAGGTTTCCTTTTTTCTTGCTGTATATCCTCGATGGCACTACTAGTCTCCATAGATTGGCTCTTTGGTGTGCTCTCTGAGTAGTCCTTCGTCCTTCTGCGGCTGCATACGAGGCCATCCCATCCTGGTATTGGTTATGTGGCCCAACTTCTCTTGATAGAGATGTCAATTTCAACCCAAAGATTATCTCAATTTGTCTCGTCTACAAAAATAACTTGGAGTGGCATGTGGCTCTAGTTGTAGCCTCGCTGCCGTTGCATAGGCTAGAAGTGCAAGGCAATCGAACCACAGTCACAAAAGGAAGTACAAAAAACTGTGCTCATTCCTTGTTGACCTTGGAATTCGAAAGCGATGCCATAATTTGTTTATTCAAGATCCCACCCAAAATATCCCGGGTATGTCCCTTGGGCACTTGGGCTGTCCGTAAACCCAAGTTATATAATCACACACGTGCTGATCGGTCGCGAGCGCGAAACGATCAACGCGTCTCAGTCTCGGCCCAACTGTCACTGCTGTGCTCCGGACGTTCTTTAAGCAACCTGGTCGATCCTCTGTGATTTAAGACAACTCATCTAATTCGAGTGACGCCTGTCATCTTTCTCTCCATTTCGCGCTTTCCCTTGGTTGACACGACCTAAGCCACCTATGAACAGAAGTTGCGATCTATCATACGCAGCCTGACCCCATCCCCCCTTCCCTCGCCCACCTGCACCCCCGAGACCTCGGATTCCTAACCAGCTCTTTGAAACAAACCTGGCGTTAATGGTACTCAGCGCATCTCTACCACCAATGCAGTCGGCCCCGTCCTTTCCTGCACCACCTTCATCCGGTCCCCGAAAACGCTCAATTCACGATGTTGATGATGCCAACCTGCCCCCGCCAAATGTGAAGCGACCATTGACTGGGTTCGCCGGCAGAAATCAAGAAAACCTTGATCCATCTATCCCCTCCCAGCCTGACGACACTATCCCCCCGCCAGTTGAAATCAAGCGTAATCTTCCACCTCCCCCCTCGGTCGAAATCGTGATGAGACGAACACTACGTAAACAAGATGAAGCTGGTACTGGGGGATTAACTTCGGCTCCTACCAACACTGCTTCCAATCCCGAGCCTGATGCCCCGTCCTCTAAGAAGCGCAAGGTAGTCTCTGCTGGCACAGATTCCAAGCAACAAGAAAAAGAAGCTAAAGAGCGCCAAAAGGCCGAGGAGAAGGCAAAGAAGGAGGAGGAGAAGCTGAAGAAAGAAGAAGAAAAGGCCAAAAGAGAAGAAGAGAGGCGTTTCAAGGCGGAAGAAAAAAAGAAGCGCGATGCCGAGCGCGACGAAGAGAAACGTCACAGGGAGGACGAAAAGCGCAAAAAGGACGCCCAACGTGAAGAAGATCGCAAGCAGCGAGATGAGAAGAAAAAGGCCAAGGAGGACGAAAAGGCTGCTAGAGAAGAAGAGAAGCGCAAAAAGGACGAGGAGAAGGAGAAGAAGACGCGGGTAAGTGCCAACCATAATTGTCCTCACGGGAAGATTTCCATATGCTAAGCGTTTCAGTCACAAATGAAATTGAACTCTTTTTTCACTAAACCACCGGGACCTTCCGCTTCATCGGGGCAGGTGATCGCCGCTCCTTCGCCTAAGAAGGCATCCATCACAGCCGATTTCGCTCGCGAAACTCGTGCCGTGCAGTCAGACTATGAGCGAGAGTTTCCTGCCTTCTTCCTACAATCCCATACCGTTGTGGCACCTCCTCATCGGTTTGAGCGTGATTCCGGTGCGCTCAAGCACGTGCGAGAATCCATCGATAGATGTCTACGCAACGAAAGTTCAATCCAAATGCATCCATTCCGCCCATCAGAAGTCTTCCAGATAATCCCCTTCCATCGTGGGCGTCAGCCATCGAGTTCTGTGAGGGACATACTGTTTCAACTAAATAAATCTGAAGACACACCTCAGCCTACTCAAGACCAGAGCAAAATGCCGTCTCAGATGCCACAAGAACTTCTACGCAAGGTCACGATGAAGTCCCTCAAGTTTGGCGAGGATATCCGCCCTCCCTATCAAGGAACTTTCACTCGTCGCGTGTCTGAGTTATCCACAAGAAGACTTGCGCGAAATCCCTATTACCGAGGGCTGCCGGATACCGATTATGATTATGATTCCGAGGCGGAATGGGAAGAACCCGAAGAAGGCGAGGAACTGGACTCTGAAGAAGAAGATGAAGGCAGTGATGAAGGTGAAGATGATCTCGAAGGGTTTTTAGATGACGAGGATGATGCTCTTGCCGAGGGTAAACGCCGTCTCATCGTTGGTGATTTAGAACCTGTCTCTACCGGAATCAAGTGGGCTACCAATGGAGTCGAGCCTGAAATGGAGGTCTATCGGATGCAGCCTATATCTGATGCGGTCAAGTTCCCTATCGACCCCTTCTCGACTGCATACTGGGAGAAACCCAATCCTGTGGATCAAGTAGCTGCGAAAGCGCGACCTGTGACAGCCATAGACGGCTTCCTTGTTCCTGCAGTCCCTAAACCAGTGGTGACGGGCAGTGGTTTACCTCCCACTTCGAAAGCGAAACGGCCATTCCCGCCAGACCAACTTGCTGAATTCAAGGATGCAGTTGAAGGCAGTGATCTGAGTAAGATAGGGTTGGTCGAGATCTTAAAGAAACGGTTGGTTCCCACGATGTCCGCTTCTACTGAATCATATGCTAATGAGGATGGATCTAGATTTCCCAAAGTGTCCAAGGATACACTGAAAGCCACCCTTGATCAGGTTGCTGCTCGTGTGGGGCAAAAAGAAGTTGACAAGAAATGGGTTTGTCGGTGACATTAAGATTGATTTCCTACACGAGTTGCCTATGAATGGATTTGGGCCTCGGCATTTGTAATGCCTACGTGAACGATTCACCTGATCTTGATCATACATCTTTGCTTTTTTTTTATAAAAAAGAGTCAGGGTATCCCGGGTTAGCTGCATTAATTCAAGGTTGTGCGCGTGTCGTGGTATATAAGCCACAACATCCTTGCAAGTCATATTGCCACTCGCCATGTCATGGATTTCTCAGATCTTCGACCTATACGATTTAATAGGCTCTACGATCCATCCTATGTTGTACATATGTGTAAAATAGCTAGAACACGTAGAGAAAGTACACGTCTATCAAATCTGAGGGGCGCATGAGGGGCGCATGGACACCTCACTCCTGCACTGCCAACGCATCGTCTGTTGTACTCGGTACCTGTCCCTAGCCCTGGAAAAACAGACCAGTGACAAGTCTCTTCGACTTGGCTTTTAGCACTTTTGTAGTCTGCAACTGTCCGTTTCGAGGATTCTTTTTGCTCTCCTTTTCTGATCTTGTTTTTGTTTTATACTCTGAGAGTTTTATTAGTTATTCTTTGATTTTTAAACCTCCCTCTCCCCTCCGTTTTTTTTTAAAAAAAACCCTTTCCTCTTCCCCGCCTTTTCTTCTCACGCACTCATCCTGGAAGTCAACAGTTCATCCGATCGAGTGCATCGTCACTCTGAGAACCTGGGTTTCGCGTCAGAATGCGATAGGGATTCATTAGCTAGTGGGGGTTTGCGACTGTTTGTCGCTAATGGCAAGATGGTAGAACACCAAGAGGATCCATCCTCTTTGCTTTCTACAACCAGTACGTCATTATGTTGATTTTTACGCTTTTCTCCCTTGAATGAGGTTGGGGCGTGGAAAGAGGGGTGCTCCTATCGTTATACCCCCTATTTATGATTGCAGCCCAATCTGACCAGCTCCAGCCGAGCAAATACCTGCTTTCCCCAAGGTTAATACACCATGTGACTTGTCGCATCGGGCACAAGATCCTGCGTCTGTGCCTTTACCTCCTTCACCTCCGGGATCGCCAGTCATGTCGCCCGCATTCGCACTCGAATCTCCGTTAAACGTGGGGCCAGGTGAGTCAGGTGGCTCGGGCCGTGCCAGCTCGAAGGTAGAGGCTCCTTCCAATGGACACAATCCCGGGCCCGTGGCGGCTTCTATAGTACCCGTGCCAGTGGAAGATGTGTCCCAAATTTCATTCGAGGATTTTGCCACCCGTTACCACCAGAACCAGCGCAAGCACGCCCAAAGGAAGCGATTGGAGAACCGTCTACGTGCTACCAAGGTGTCCATTGGTGTCTCTGCGCGCATGGTTCGTGTCGGACTGATAGCACAGCGAGGCCTTGTTGAAGCTCTCCGCCATGATGACAAGGCCAGTTTTGTCGCTCTGTACCATACACTCCAAGACCTTCAGGAACCATGCTCTGTACCTGCTCTCAACGATGGCCAGACTGACTCCGCGGACGAACAGCCATCCCTAGGAACTGACATTGGCCGTTTCCCGGATTTCCTTCATCAGCTGAGCCCTCAGTCCCGGACTGACTTTTTGGAGATTTTGCGGCTGGTCCGCTCTGATCCCCAGTTTTTGGTCGACCGGCTACAAAGCCTGTCTTCATCCCAATTGGCCGCTTTTACTTCTCCTGCCACTGCTTTGGATACCAATGATCCCACGTTCCCTTCTACCTCCAGGGCCCGTGCCCAGTCTTTCTTAAACAGATCCGCTGCATTCAAGGACCACGCATATGCCTTTGAGAGGACTGACCCACTTTCTATACTTCTTTTTAACGTTTTTGCTGCTCCATTGGATGCAGAGATGCCTGAATCCCGCTTGCGTTTGGAAGTGTGGTCGTCCGTCTGCGCTCAACTAATATCCAACGGCAGTAGTAGATTCTATCCTCTTATCGGCCAGATCCTTTCTTCTTGGACCACCGGCAGCACCTGGAAAGCCCGCCCCAAATTTGAACTATACCTAATGGACATTTTACAAACCGGTGCTTTTCTCCTAGAGCCCATAGCCACACCACCCGGGCTGGATTTTTCCATGGACTCCCTGGACCCCATGCGAACGGATGTTGCGGAGGAATTCTTTGCTTCTGCCGTGGATGACTTGTTCCGTGTACTTGATGACCTCGATGGCGGCTTTCCTCATGCCGTCTTACAGTTTGCAAAGGCCGTTTTGCGCAAGTTGGATAATCCCGAGACCCGCCGTCGCTTCTTGGAGTTTTTATTCCTCCAGTGGTTCTTTTCAAAGTTCCTCTATCACGCATTGACATATCCTGAGGTACATGAGCCTCTAACCCTTGGTAAAATTGCGAAGCTGACTCCAACCTGCCATTGCTCTGATAGACACACGGTCTTCTCTTAGACTTTCACATCAGAAAAGATGCCCGCGAGAAATTGTTGAACCAGATTGGGCACCGTGCATACGCTCAAGTTTTCGCTGTTTTGCGTTCAATGTACGTCCTCCTAGCTTGAACTCTACAGAGTTCGAAATTGTTGCTGATATATTCAAGGCATCATTTCTCCATCCCTCGTCCGATTATCAAGGGCCGTCTCGAAAACATGCTCTCTCGATTCCAGGACACGATTCCGCCGGAGGTATCGATTGACCCCTCCATTCCCTCTCTACAGGCATCACTTTCTCACCGACGAAAGTCACCTTCGACTTTCCTGATGATGTCTGCTTTGGATGTTCTCACACTCCTAGACACTCTTTTCCACCAGACCCCTTCGTCTTTGCATTCTTCACCAGCCTCTACAGGAGTTCATTCTTGGCCATCCAGTACACCATTATCTTTCAACCTCCGACCGTACTCACTTATGGACTCTGAAATCGCTCGTTTCAAGCACGACACAAGCTCATACCCCACCTCACATGATGGTTCCATATTCTCAGTGGAATCTCGTTCCATCGTAGTGCCGGAAAATAGCCTCTCTGAACAGGCTGCTCGCATTCGGTTCGAGCTAACTGACTTAGATCATCCTAATGAGCGGTTGGGCTTAGAGCACCCCTCGGACGAGCATTGGACTATCTTCTCTGTTGCAGCGGATGGCCATGGCTTAACATGGAGTATTCTCCCTGATAGCAGATATGAAATGCCCAAAGGCCCGATTATAGAAAGTGAAGAGGACGCAGAATCCACGACTCTAGGGCTGGAGGAGAATCATGAAGCGTTGCAGACCGCGATCATTCGACTTGTCAAGGAGAACCTCATTCAAGATGCAGACGACTATGGCCTCCTTTCACAGAAAACTACTCAGCCAGTTGCCTTGTCCTTGAAGCAGCGGTTCAACGAAGCGATGTTTTGCTGCCACCATGCCTCCGATTTTGTTGGTGCGCACTACTGGTGGAATGCTTCACGGCAGCTCGGGCAACGAGGAGAGCCTAGCTCATCTAGAACCACAGACGATTCATGGATCTTGGGCCCGATGCATGAGAATTACAGTCGTTCGCTGACCCAGTCACGAGCTGTCATTGAACGGTGTGAGAGTGACTTTGTGTCTCTAGATCACAGTCTCCACCGGCTCCAAACTCAAGTCAAAGACCTGACGGCCACATTTGGCAAGATCCGAGACAAGATGTGGTACATGAGCGACGTCAAAAACTCTATTAGATATGAAGAAGCCAAGCATGTGGCGATGGCTTTGAAAACGATGATCTACTCAGCCAGACTCTTCAGCCAGTGCCCCGAAGAACAGCGTTCGCGTTACGGGGCCAGGTCTTTGGGTGGCTCCTTGTTCCAGAAACCCGAAGTGCAAGTTATGAACATGATGAAGGCACCCAGTAGTCAGGGTGGACCAAATAAGCTGTCTGACGAGCAAGTTGAGCTGACTCAGAAATGGTTGTCGCACAATGGAATCGACAATTTCTGCAAGGGAGAAGAAAGAATTCATCGATTCTGTTACGAGGTCCAAATGAGCATCAATAAACTAGTTGGTGAAACGATGGCCGAGACACCGGTGTTATGGGCAAGTGAGCTTTTCCAGAGGGAACGCTCAAAATATGAGGGTTACGGCTCTCACAAATTCCCAGCAATGTCCACGCCTAGCACTCCTAGGCCCTCAACGACCACAAGCGAAGACACAAATTCTGCGTCCCACTTCTATGGTGCCAATATGCCTATGCCTGATCCCATGTCCCGTCTCTCTCAAGATACCCCGTCTTTGGGCCGTAAGCCCTCCATTCAAAGCATATTCTCCGATAAATGGAGGCCTCAACGTGACTTGCCTTTAATCGACATATCTTCTCTCGGATGTTCACCTAGCCGTGCTGCTTCGACATCCACCGGTGACACCTACAGTACATTCTGGTCTGCACCCCAGCGGCACCCTGTGTATGCCGCAAGCGCGTCGAGCGTGTACTCACGGCCACCGTCTATGTTCAGTGAGACGGCAACCCGTCAGCTCCATCGCGTTGAATGCAAGACATACGGGAAGACGGTGTTCATGGATAACTTGAGACAAACACTGACTAGTTTGCTTTTGAGCGATCTGGGATCTCCAGTATGGAGTTGTGGTAGTGAAACCGATGCCTGGTTCACCAATGCACTGGACCAGAAACGCATTCAGGTGGAAATGCGTCGACGAGCTTCTGTCCAGAAATTCTACGTCGATCATGAAGAGCGCTCCAAGCATCTTGGTCAGCAACGTGGCTCATTGAAAGGCTGCCGGAGCAGGTCTCTGGACAACTTGCGTGTACCTGAAGACAAGGCTCCTCATGTAGACGCTTCGTCGCAGCCACCGCAAGCATCTTTGGAATCGGACGGACAGTTTGCCTTTTCATATAAGGCAGTCTTCCACCGGCTGATCGAAATGTTCTCGCGTCATGGAAATCCCTTTGTGAAGCTCAACGCGTTGCGGGACCTGCGTTCGTTGGTGGTTGCATCGCTCATTCCGCTACAAGATTCCAATTTCCCTACTACTCCCAGCTCTTCCACGGGAGAAAATGACAGGATGCGGAGCAGTTCTCAACTCCACCGGGTTACTCGCCACAGTTTTTCAGAGGTGCGGCCTAACAACCTACCACAGATGGACCCAGTGCTGCCTTCTTCTTCTTCTTCTTCTTCTTCTTCTCCTCCCGAGTCGATCACATATGGCTCCCACCGATCTGACTACTCCACTCCCTCGGAAGCACAAATTGTGGCAACCTTGCGGGATCTAATTCTAGAAGTGAAACCGAAGACCCTTTTCAGGGACTTGCAGTTTATTTCAGCGTTCGTTCCAGGAGATCAGCTAAACAAGACGGACCGCGGGACAGCCTTCCTCCAATTCGGTCTGGCCGCACTGAGCCTCAAAGAAGAAATTTGCCACAGTATGGTCGAGATCGCCGACCGAATTGTCTTCCAGGAGCTCTCCCATCGTCATCCTCCCTTTGCCTCGGACTTCCAATCCCATCCCAGCCGCGCTATCCAAGACGCAGCGGGCATGTGGATCATCACTGCTAAAGAGGGCAACCCAGTCGCACAGCGCGAACTTGCAATCCTTTATCTGACTCACCCGGAGCTTCTCCCGCGCGTGACACTCCCTCTGACCCTCCCGCGGGATACTTTCAAGGCGGAGATGATGTATCGACGCGACAAAGACTCTAAATCGGACCCACAGAGCATGTGTCTGGCGCTGCACTGGATGCAGTTGTCGGCCAACGGTGGGGATAATCTTGCTCGGAACCGACTTCGTGAACGTGAGGAGTTTGACTCCATCGCATGATATGCTTCTGAGACTTCGTGGCCTGTCTGTTGTTTTGGCCTTGCTGTATGTTGTTGTTTTTTTTTGTCAATGGTTTGTTCGCTGGTTCGATCTTTCATTCCCTATCTCTTCTTTTCTCTCCCACATTTACCTTCACTTTTCCCCCTTATCTTCTACATCTTGATTATTACGTCCTTGCATATATATCCTTATACCCCTGTTCGGGCGATCTAGTTAGGTGTTTTTAGGCATGCGTGGACTTTGGAACTCTTGCCTCGGGTTTCTGTCTAGGCTTGACTCTGGAACATGACTAGCGTTCTTGAATGCATTGAAAGGCTTGGTGATTTGTCGTGCCGATCCTAGCTTAATACTATATGCCCTTGTATATGCGTTTCTACAAGCAACGTTCGTATCCCTCTGTGCTAGAGTTTTGTTTGTAGTCACTTTTGAAGGTTCAAGGCAAAGGTGTCATACGCTGCCAATTTTGCAAGTTGTTTTTACGGCTATCACACAGCGTCAAAGTAGAAATTTCCACCTGGACAACCTAGTAACACGGTATATCTCGTCAATCTGATAAACGTTAGCTAAGCTGGATTCGGTGTCGGGCAGATGACCGGGCCGACGTCATCGGGTGGATTTGCACCCCCACCACTTGACTTATACTCATTCTTTTCTTTGCTTCACCTCGTGTTGTGAGCTGCCTTTTTTTATCCGAGTCAGGCTGTTGGTTTGGATTGATCGGTTTTTCTTCGTACCAACCACATCAGGTGGTGCTCAGCCTGTGTTCTTTTTTTTTCGCCCGGATTGCAGAGAACTTTGTGGCTTGTGATATAATCAAAATAAAACAGGCCACATCCTTTTGATTTCTCTGATTCCCCACCCTTGAAAATCACTCTTCTTACTACATCGTCCACTTGCAAATTGGGCGACACCCGGTCTTTGCCTACCACCATCCCACCATGACTACCGCATCGCACATGCCGGCCAAGGCGCACAGCTCCGATGATGTGCATCATCGGCCAAGAGGTAAGTTCAAACTGCATCAGCATCTAACGGTGACCAAAAGCTATGAGAAGACCTAAAAAAAAAATGCGTTCTTGGTCTAACTAAACAGGCATTCTAAAGAACTCCAACTCCTTCCAAGGCGCCTCCGCTACGATGGCACCTATCTCCCCACCCTCCGCTCTAACAATCTCCGAGACCGAAGAGACGAAGGAACTCACCATCCAGAACACCCTGCAGAATGCAGGCCATCGGCGATCCTCATCCACCACGCACCCAGGCTCTCACTCGCGTCGACAATCGTTAGCCAGCGCCTATGACGAAAACGAGCCCCGTTTAAAATGGGACGAAGCAAATCTGTACCTGACCGAGCAGGAGAAGACAGCAAAGATGAAGATCGATGAACCCAAGACTCCTTACGCGCCCCACTACGATCCCAGCGAAGATGATGAGCAGATGCGGCTCGACGAGGCAGAGGCACAGGAAACCTTAATCGACGCGCAGGGTATTGTCGTCGATGAGCTGGACGAGCCCACCAACCCCACCCAACACCGGAAGGGTGTGTCAGAGGATGAAATCCCTGACCTGGAGCTCGGTGAGCCGGAGGAAAGTATCCAGGACACTGCTATGGACGACCCTCGCGTCTTCCGTGACCGTAGCATGAGCACGGATTCGCACAAGAGCGAGAAGCATGTTCATGTCGGCGTGGAGAATGCAAATGGTGCCGAGGCGCCTGAGCATGATCCGCTTTTGACGACTGAAGAGGCCCGCGTGAAGCACGCTCATTTTGAGCAGCAGCGTAGGAGGCACTATGAGATGAGGAATATTAAGGAGCTCCTTGCGTATGTCTGTCCGGGGTTGGTACTGATACTTTGTGATCTTTGTGAGCTGACGTTATATATCTAGCCATCCCGAGGATTTAGATGAGGAAATGGAAGATACCGACGAATCGGACCCTGGCCTCCCGCCGCCTGCCTCCAATGCCTGAACGGTTTCGCAACAACGAACAATGGAGATTGGCTGGCTTTCTAGTCTGCTTCTGGTCTTTTCCTGTGCTTTGTTATCTTTGGGTCTGGTTCTTTCACCCTACGGTGGTTCTTATTGATTTCAGATTACCGTTGAACCAGTCTCTCCTGTCCTGTATTCTGTCTTCTCTTCTTCTGTGTATATTCCCCCGGTGAGACTCCCTTTCCTGGGATTTTAATTCTTGCTCGTTTCCTAGTCCGGATTTTCACCTGGCAAATGATTTCTTCGCTCTAAACTGAGGTCCATCCTCTGTGATTCTTCGATTCATGTAAAAATGAATACCTGATTTACGCTACCGGACCTCTCGTAGCATTAGCATCTCAACTTCACATTTTCTTGTCTTAATAAGCTCTCAAGATCTGAAGATCGTCCCGGAGCTTGTCCCACACGGACATCAAGGCAAAAATGGCTATGTTTGTCGTGTCAGACAAGCCCTAATTGTCTTAACAATGCTATCTGTGCCAACAAGCATCTGTAATTGAAAGAAAGGCTCAGATTATAACATTCAGGTGGCATTCGCTAGAACCACTGGACATCAATGCACATCGAAGACGGGGTTCACATTGGTCGGAATTGAAAAAAAGCAATCATAACATTGGATTTGCAACTAAGGTATGGAGTACAGAGTACCGATGTCTCATAAATTGCTTGACTTCGGGCAAATCTAGGCTATGTCCCTCCTAAGCCATCTGCTTTTGGCACTTCTCTTTCACCTGGAATTTTCCCTCCCAACTTTTTTCTCCTTTTCGTTTTCTTAATTGATCCAGAAGAGCGGTTTAATTGATAAACCCAGCCTTTCTAAAATGTTTCCTTTATCGGATTACAAGACACAGCTTTTAGGACCAAAATGGGGGTGTCGCTGGCGCTCGTCGGATACATTTGTTCTCAGCAGTATGTCCATGGCATTATTTACAGGTTCGTGCATTGAAATAGGACATTGAAGAAACTGAATCTTACTTGATGACCGAAATTGCTTTCTCTAGACGAATTGCTCTTCGCCTTTATGGTCCCATTGCTCCCTCACATCTTCGAGATCCGCCTAGGGCTAGACACATCCCTCACGCAGCGATTGACCTCCATTTTTCTAGTTGAAGGGGCATTGATATCCATTATCTCGAGTCCATTTATCGGGGACATAGCCGATCGAGCTAGCTCCAAGAAGTTACTACTACTGGTGTTGCTAGTACTGACCCTGATCAGTGTGATCTGTCTGTCAATCACAACATCCCGTAAGTTTTAGGTCTGTTGCTGTGAGCTGCACTACCTCACAGCGTACTAACATACTAACTCGTTCCCAGTGCCATGGCTCTTCATCGGTCGTTTCTGCCAATGCATTGTCAGCAACGCACTATACATCGTCGGCATGGCCACAATGGCCGAGAACATCGGGTCAGAACACATGGGCAAGATAGCAGGGCTGAGCTCGATCCTCACAGCAGCTGGAACGTGTTCTGGTCCTGTCATGGCTGGGTTTCTCTTTGGAATCGGAGGATATTGGACTGCATGGGCCGGCGCGGCCCTATTTCTCGTTGCAGACATCATCATGCGTCTACTCATGATTGAAACCCCGCAGAAACGCCATCACAACGGATCCCTATGCGCTGAAGAACCTCTACCCTCGTCGGAAACAGGGCCGCTTCTCAGTGGAGATCGGTCTTCGGCTACTGAGGAAATCGGCGGCTGGCGCTTCTACCTTTGCCTTCTCCGTCAACCTCGCTTTGCAGCGGGGATTGTATCTTATTTTGTCTTTGCGCTGTTTATCGCCAGTTTCGAGTCCACGATCGCGATGCATGTCCGTGCTACTTTTGGTTGGGGTGTTTTCCCAGTCGGGCTTTTGTTCGCGTCTATACAGGGACCTGGGATGATCCTGGCTCCTCTGGTTGGGGTGTTGAAAGACCGTGTGGGATCGAAGGTCCCTACTACCACTGGATTCATCTTTCTTGCGCCTTTCATGTGGGCTCTTGGTGTCGCTGGGGATGAGCGCTTTCCGTGGGCTACCTTGGGAACTAGAGGCAAGATCATATATGGCGTCTGTACGACTATGATTGGGTGTTTTATGTGCTTGCTCATGGGGGTTGGGACGATGGAAGCAACTGGTAAATATGGGACACTATTGCTGGGATCCAGAATGCTTAATTTTTTTTTTTTTCAGCAACCGTTGATGAATTGGAGGGCTTGCATCCTGGCATATTTGGTCCCTATGGCGGGTACTCTCGTGCTGTTGCAGTCACAAATATGACTTGGATGTCTGGTTTACTCGTCGGACCCATCTTGGCTGGCTATATGGTCGAGAGATTTGGATATCTTGAGCTGCAGTGGGTACTCGGTAAGTTGTGTATATTCGAGGCTGGCTTCCCACTCTAATGACATATAGTGGTCGTTTCCTTGCTGGCTAGCGTCAACGCTGCCGTGAACCTCAGTTCAGCCAGTCCTCAAAAGAAAGAGTTGGATAATGACTTCGGGGCTGATGAACTTTAACTGCAATTCTAGAAGAGGATGAATAGGGCCATATATTTTGAGTCAGCTCATTTCACGCTCAATATGTATAGGAACATATTTACATGAGACAGCTGCCAGAAACATGCCAACAGATGTAACTGGCAATCATGGGATGCTAGTGATGGAGTGCTCCATCCCTTGTTGGCATCTGCACCGCGTCAATTCACTCACCTGCTTGGCCAATGTGCTTGCGCATATACAGCTTGAAGGTTTTGATCACATCTGCCTGTGTCCGGTTTCGAACGGGGTGGCTTGGTTGAAACCGACTGCATTGATTTTTGCTCTGTTTTGTACGAAGGAATCGTAGGTTTACCAGGATCGTGCTGTACATGGAAATTTAGTTCAAGCATCGTGCTATTCCAAGACGATTCATTTGTTGGGAGGAGTCTCTGGAGATGTGAAGACGGGTTGTGCAATGTGAGGTAATCTCATTGAAGAGTTGAAGAAGCCAAGTGCTGGAGTCTCTACGAAATGAAAAACTTCTAAAGAAAGTGATACATCCTACGCAACTGACCCTTTGACCGTCGCCCATTCTGTATACTCGGGCTAGGGTATGTGTGTGACAGCTACCTCCCCCGCAATTTGGTCCACCAATATGTCCCGCGCACAGCAGGTATAGACCTCGTTGGCCTTCTGAACCCTTTGTTCCTACAGATAGTGACAGACAATCTACCGGGCAATTGCCCATATCACCGGTGTGACTATGGTGAAGCTACGCCGGTATACGGTACAGGATCAACGTGTCCTGTGGCCCCACGAGCGGGATTTCGCCGTGCACCTTGACGAGGTTCGCCATCGACCTAATCTTCCACCCCCTCCCAATTTTCTTGGATAGAGTGAATGCCCCCAGCTATCATAAGTTGCGGTGCCTGGTGAATGCTTTTTCCCTACAAACTGCGCAGACACAAACGCTCTGGATTTCGAAAAGAGCAGCTGTATGCCTTCTGAAGAATGGGAAAGCATCTGATTCAAAACTGCAGGAAGAAGTTGAAGGCGGACCAGAACCAGAACCACATCATTCCAAATTACGCCTAATCGTAACCCAATCCCTTTGCTCTCAATTCGCTGCCTAACGGCCCTTCGAGTCGCTAAGCCCTTAAATTAACATACCGGACCTGTTCCAGATAAGAATTTGAGAGACGTTCTAAGGGAGCTAGGAAAAATCTCAGTGTTTGCAAAGCAAACGCTCTGTTTGACTCCTTGATTGGTGGCAAGTCGTCCGAGTGTGTTGCAAAAAGTGAAAATGCCTCCAAATTTTCTCCACTATTACCAAGATTCATGGTGCATCAAGTGCATTGCTTGAACAATTTAATGAGGGAGTCTGTACTCGATGAAGTCCGATGGAGTGACCTGGTTACATTCTGTTCCCTGCGTCTCCGCTTCAATTTCCCCGTGACCTTGATACCAACCTTGCATCATCCAGTTGGGGGCTCTTCGCTCTCACATCAACCAGCACCCTGACCTCGGGAGTGTCGAACTATATGTGTGATGGAAATCACCGCAGCATTATCCAACATGGTATCCAACATGATCACTGAGTAGAAGTAGTACAAGTCCTGTAAGTGGTAGCTCGTCTTCATTGACGCCTAGAGGACGATGGATGCATTTGTACCACTATTGCGGTGCTAGTGTAGAGTACTTAATTCAACATCCCATACTCAGTACTCACGCTGGCCTTCGGGCCCATAACACTTCTTTTTATTCTTTATGTAAAGTGCAAGTTATCTTCAGGACCTAGAAATCAGGACTCCTGGGGTTGTCGCTCCTTTGGGTGGCCTAAAATGCGCAATAGGGTATAGTAGGGCAGTAGTAGTCTTTTTCATGAGCAGAACGGTCGTATTGCCTGTCTTTTAACCTACCTGATCCCAGTACGTGTTGCTCTATACAAAGTCAGGGGGATTAAATCGGAAAATTTCGGGAGCAGAGATGCCGTCTCAAGCATCGAGCTTGGTACACATCTCCCACTTAATTGTAATTCTAACATCGTAAGCCACTCTGAGTAGCCGTCAGTCATTTTGAACATAGAAATTTCAAAATCGACAAAGTCCGAATGAGCCAATAGACTTGTAGTGGTCGTTATCGAGTCGTACCAGAGGTGTGCTGCGAAGTGACATGTACTAGGGGTAAGCAATTATACTCCAACTGTGTGATACCTCTACAACATACGGAGTGGTTGATTTAAAAAAAATACAAATAAAGAGGACTCTATATTAGTGAAGCTATTGAAAGCGATGTACGCTCTGCATGGTGGTTAGGAATCATCCCAAGATATATAGCCAGTGGGAAATTCCCAGCTTTCACCTCAACGCTTACTTTTCATGTCAACCCAAATACAACATCGATATTCACACAATCTAGCTTGAAAATGTTATAGAAGTAAAAGATGTGAACCGCCTCTGAAAAAAAAAATTTAAAAAAAGACTAGATTCATGTATGTGATATATCATGAAACAACGAAACATAGCTCCAGGGCTGACAGGTGGGGAGATTTATAAGTGGCCCGATTATTGACAAGGTAACTGCGACCCCTGTGAATTCAAAACCCCCTTTTCATTCTAACCTCAACACATCCTCGATTTTACTATCAATCATGCCAGATACAGCTGATCAGAATACGCCTATTGCGCCGGTTGCGCCCGTCGTGCCTGAGAACCCCGTGGAAGCAGTCGAGAAGGCCGTGGAAACTCCTGCGCCTGATACCCCAAACACCGAACAGACTGTAGCCAAAGATGAACCTGCCAGTGCCCCAGTCGAGGAGGAGGTAGTTCCAAATGATGTTATTGCCGCCACCGCTGCCACTGCAGAGTCTGAAGCGGCAAAGCTTGAAACCCCCCAGGTCGAGAAACCAGCCTACCTGACCAAGAACCCAGCGTTGGGTGAGTTGTTCAACCGCCTACCAACCATCCTCGGCAACGTTGGTCACACGGAGATGTGGGGAGTGCCTCTCAAAGATAGCCATGATATTCCTACCGTCAACGTGTTGATCAAGTTCCTGCGCGCAAATGAAGGCAACGTCAAAGCCGCCGAGACCCAACTCAGCAAGGCACTCCAGTGGCGCAAGGACGTGAACCCGTTGGCATTGGCAGAATCCGCGAAATACAGCGCTGCTAAGTTTGAGGGCCTGGGATACCTGACCACCTACGAGGAGAACGGACGGCCATTGGTGTTTACTTGGAATATCTACGGAGCTGTGAAGGATATGGGTACGACATTCGCAGATGCCGACGAGTAAGAATCCAAATTGGGAAGTTTTTTACAATTCAAATGAATGCTAACGGCAAACAGATTCGTCCAATGGCGCGCCGCTCTCATGGAACTCGCTGTGCAGGACCTGAAGATGAAGGATGCCACCGAGGTCATTGAGTACAACGGCGAGGATCCTTACCAGATGATCCAAGTGCACGATTACATGAATGTCAAGTTCTTGCGTATGGATCCATCTGTCCGTGCCGCAACAAAGAAGGTCATCCAAGTGTTCGCCACGGCATACCCAGAGCTTTTGAGTGAGAAGTTCTTCGTCAATGTTCCTGCTATCATGGGCTGGATGTTCACCGCCATGAAGTTTATCCTGAGCCGGAATACCACGCGCAAGTTCCACCCGATCACGAACGGTGCCAACCTAGCCCGGGAGTTCTCTCCTTCGATTGCTGCACAGATCCCTAAAGTTTATGGTGGCAAGGGTCCGGAGCTCAAGGAGAATGCTAAGTTCATCCCACTGGTAGAGGACAAGGAACAGGAAACCAAGGACCAGGGCAAGTCTGTCGAGGAGCCTCTCGTTGCTGAACCCATCAAGGAGGAGGCGCCATCGAAAGAAGAAACCCTTGAGCCCGAGGCCGCAAAGGAGCCACAGGAGGAGGTGCCATCGAAGGAAGAAACCCCCAAGGTGGAGGCACCCCAGGAGGAGACTGCCAAGGAGCCCCACAAAGCAGATGTTCCCAAGGCTGAGTCTCTGAAGGAAGAGCCTGCGAAGGATGAAGCCCAGTAGATCACTCTTTGGCTGTTATGATACCCGGGGGAGCAATGAACAACACTCCCCGCTCTTGTGTGCCTGGCTTCAGGTGATTGGTGTGCTCTCTCAAGATGCACTGTATTGTTAGTACCTATTGTTAACCATAATTAATTTTAATCTTCACGTCTTTGTGACTATAATGACGATCGATGGCTGAGGCAAAAGTCTTTCAATGTAGACCCTTGCCAGGCAGGCAGCCTAGCTAAAACGGGTGACTGCAGAACCACTCGCGCAACTCTTATCGACAAGCTTTCATCTTCTAGGCGCGGGTGCTGGTCACTTTGTTCCTGCTGTCCATTGAAAGTTGCCTCGTGTAATTTATCAGTTAAACACAAAACTGACTCAATAGAAAGGGCTGTTATTGCCTAATCTGTGGATCCGCTAGCGGTGGCCTCAGAATGCGACTCGCCTTCTAAACCTCATCTGCCCCCCTCGTTCTTCGCCCTTTGACCTCATTTTTCGCGATAGTGCCATTATTGTCTAAACCCAAACTTATCTCGATCTTCCCCCACACGTCTTTATTCCAGTCCACGCCCTTCCACCATGTCTGTCTGGAATCCCGATAACATCCGCGATGTCGCCGAATCCGTCGGTATCCTCAACCTCAATAACGATGTGACCGAGAATCTCGCCCGGGACGTCGAATATCGAGTTGCGCAGGTGCTTGAGGAAGCACTGAAGTCCATGCGCCACTGTAAGCGCACGGTTCTGACCACTCAAGACATCGCGCTGGCCTTGCGCAACCTGGACGTGGAGCCATTGTATGGCTATGATTCTACCCGTCCGTTGAAGTTCGGCGAAGCCTCTCTAGGACCTGGCCAACCACTGTTCTACGTTGAAGATGAGGAGGTTGACTTTGAGAAGTTAATCAATGCGCCTCTGCCCAAGGTTCCCCGCGAAGTCTCCTTCACTGGTGAGTCAATACCCTTCCCTACTTCAATGTGCTGTCTAACCACTAACGTCTACTTTAGCCCACTGGTTGGCTGTCGAAGGTGTGCAGCCATCGATTCCTCAGAATCCAACCGCTGCCGATTCTCGCAACCTCGAACTGGTCTCGAAAGGTCCGAACGCCAACTCTACACTGGCGGCAATTAGTGGCACAGGCGATGTGGCTGTCAAGCCACTTGTCAAGCATGTGCTTTCAAGGGAACTCCAGCTCTATTTTGAAAAGGTCTGCAGCGCCTTTTTGCACGAAACAAGTGAGGATTACCGCACCTCCGGGTATTCCAGCCTTCGTGAGGACCCCGGGCTGCACCAGCTGGTGCCATACTTTGTCCAATTCATTGCCGAAAAGGTCACGCACAGTCTCAAGAATGTTTTCGTTCTTACCCAGGTGATGCACATGGCCGAGGCGCTGGTCCAGAACCAGTCACTTTACGTGGACCCTTACGTGAGCAGAATCTGCCATCTTGGAAGAATATTGTTCAGACGCTAACCGCATTAGATCGCATCCCTCGTTCCATCCATTCTTACCTGCCTAATCGGCCGACAGCTTGGTGGAACCGCGGATCTTGTGGAGTCATTCGCTCTGCGTGACATGGCCGCGTCCCTACTCAGTCTCATCGCTAAAAAGTACTCCCATTCGTCTCACATGCTCAAGCCTCGACTCGTGCGCTCCTGTCTCAAGACCTTCCTTGACCCTTCAAAGCCATTTGGCGCTCATTATGGTGCCATCATTGGACTGCAATCTGTCGGCGGCTCTGAAGTAATCCGAGTCCTCGTCATTCCCAATCTGCACGAATATACCAAACTTCTCAGCGATGGCCTGGACGACTCTGCCCGCCGGCCAGCTGCAGAGCGAGTTCTGAATGCACTTGTGGCTGTGTTGGCCTCGCTGCGTGGTAGCCAACCATTTTTGACCAATGGCCATGCCGTCACAGAGGATCTTCGCTCCAAATTAGTTGAAAAGGTGGGTGATATCGTTGCGACGAGGATCGTGGAGGCTGGAGAGGTGCAACTAGCACATATCATTCTGGAAGCATGAATGGCTTTCTCGGTTTTCTCCATGATATTCCTCGGGTGCTTTTGCAAATGAGGTCACGATGATTTGTTCCTGCGACCTGGCGTTATCTTAGGCGTTGGTTCGGGAATTATGGATACCTAGGTAGACATGTTCAGGCTCTGGATATGTTTTTTTTTAAAAAAATTATACGACACAACCATTGATCAGCGTGTTTCGAATGGTAACTCTATTTATTGACATCCTATTTAATATTCTGAATTGCCTATACAACACCTACCTTGATTTTTGTTTTTCGTCCTAGTTCTCGGGAAACAAAGGGCTTCACGTTTTGCTTGCTGAATAGGCCTGAGCCAAACTTGGAGGGCTTCCTTGGAGGGCCCAGTTGACTCATCATTTTGTAGCGCTTGTCTGTGGTCAGTTGCGTTATATAGTCACCAGCGACTTGATCTCAAATTTACACGGTGTACTTTGTTGGTCTTTTCATACTTGCAGCTCTAGATGACTATAGAGACGTGCACAGTATAACTTCAAATCTCCCCGCTTAGGACTCCCCCGCTTTATGCTGAGTCAGAGTGATCTTACCTAATAAATTGCATCAGGAACAATGTTTAATTCTGCCAATTGTCACCGCGCGTGTGAAAACCGGGGCCTCGCCCACTCAGGCTTTTTCCCCCCTTCTTGTTTCCGTTTCCCCTTTCAAAGGTCGAAATCGTCCGTGACGATTTGCATGTTACTACAACTTTCAACTTGCCCAATTTGTGTGTAACATGTAACATTATTACATTCCCTGCCATTGAAACACCAACTGACGCTATCATGTTCCCTGATGTCAGACAAATTTTGATCCGTTTTGCCCCACCCTATCGCGGGCCCACAGAGAAAATCACTCATTACCAACCGAACCGGCCTTGAGCAAACATTTTGCACTTCCCCTCCCACACAAGGTCACCAAGGCCAGAGCAAAAACCGTTTTGCCAGTATATCTCATCAAGAGATCCCTTGTACTTTTCAGCCTTTGAGTAATCAGTTTTTTTGACCTCGGGCACCCATTGGGCTTCTGGGTGAGACTGTCCTACAGACAAACCCCGCCGATGTTCACGACTGTGGCCCTCCGCTACCTCGTGCTGATTTAAGCCGAACTCGTCTTCGCCTTCCATGAGCCCAACTGACCTTCTGCGATTTTTGTCCAAGCCCGCGAAGTAAGTGTGATTCCATTTCTGTCTTGAAAGGCGTCGATTGCCAATTGCAATCAAAGCCATTGGATCGGGATACCATAGCCAATGCCATGATTTCGACTACAACAATGAATTATCATGTGTCGAATTTGTCTTGAAGCACTGTTTCTAACAGCCACACTGCTCTAGGCCTCGATAACGCGACTCCCGCCATCTCGTTTTCCAACACTTTTTTTTTTTTTCTAAAGCAGAATTCTCGTCTGCTAGACCCGATACTTTGACCGGTATCGGTATCTTTCAGGACGAGGGCACAGACTGCTAGTCACAATTTCTCTTAGCATCTTCTTTTTGTCCTTCGCCTTCCGACCTCCTTAGCAGTCCTTTGGTCTGTTTGGAGATTATATCCGCTTGGTCTGACCAGTTAGGTTTTTGTTTCAGGGCCTTCTCTTCTCAGACGGGCATCGCCCCCTTGTTCGTCTGGGCAAGTAGACAGTGCTACTACAGCCTATCTCCATTGAAGTACATAGGGCGGTCCGACGTCACTGTTTCTCCTTCGTTCAACACACACAAGTACAACAGCCTAAGCTACATCCGTCATCATGGTTTACGTCGGTATTCCAACGAACTACACCACCTCGCCATCCTCGTTCGCGGGGACGCCATCTCTGACAATCAACTATGAGGCCACTCAGGATCTCGACTCGACCAGTGCTTTCGAAGGTCCTGAGAAGCTTCTTGAGGTATGGTTTGCGCCATCTGCCGCTGAATTAGGCACCGCCGGTCCTGAAGGCCTCAAAAAAGTGCCTGGGGAAATCTGGAAGGACATGTTGGACCTGGTCAACTGCCAGGTCCTTTCCGTCATCACCTCCGATGAGATGGACGCCTACCTTCTGTCCGAGTCCAGCATGTTTGTTTGGCCACACAAGTTGATTCTCAAGACGTGTGGAACTACCACCTTGCTTTCGGGGCTCCCTCGCATCTTGGAAATCGCTGCCTTGTTCGCAGGGTTCCCACGGGCCACTGCCCCTCCGTCCCGTGGTATCACGGTGGCTGCAGCTCCCTACCGAGTCTTCTACAGCCGGAAGAACTTCCTGTTCCCTGACCGTCAGCGTGGCCCTCACCGCAGCTGGCGTGATGAGGTGCGATCTATGGACAGGTTATTTGTCAATGGTAGCGCTTACATGATCGGGAAGATGAATGGAGAACATTGGTATCTCTACCTTACCGAGCCTGGCACAGTGCTCACCCCGCCGGCGAGTCCTAAAGAGGAGGTTGACTTCCACGAGACTGAAACAAAGATTCTCAACTTCCCTGACGCCAATCCGCGCACTGAATGTGATGAGCACGATGAAACCCTCGAGGTTCTGATGACCGACCTTGATGAGGAAAATGCGAAACAGTTCTACCTCGAAAATGCAACTGCCGTGGCCGAGAAGCGTCAACGCAAGTCGGAGAAAGATGATGGTACCGATCACCTCGACGTCTTCAGCAACACCTCCGACATGGACGAGGAAACTGGTGGCATCCTGCCACCGGAGCTAACCACCGAAGGCCATGCTCTGGGGACTGTCGTCTCTGAGTCATGCGGCCTGTCCGACGTGTACGCTAAGAGCAAGTTCCCGGATGCTCGCATCGACGCTTACCTCTTCACTCCATGTGGCTTCTCTGCCAATGGCGTTGTGCCCGCTCCTGGTGGCAACGCCCCGACCCACTACTTCACCGTGCATGTTACACCGGAGCCTCATTGTTCGTACGCATCCTTTGAGACCAATGTCCCGCACTCTCAGAATGGCAAGGCTACTGCCGACATAATCGAGCAGGTTGTTGCGATCTTTAAGCCTGGCCGCTTCAGCATTACTTTGTTCGAGACCAAGCCCGCGTTGGATGAGCTCGAAGAGGCGAATGGGCAGCATGATGTAGCGCACGCTCAGCGCCAGGCTCTCCGCCGCAGCAAAAAAGTGGAGCACGTGGAGGGCTACCGCCGTGTCGACCGCATCGTCCATGAATTGAACGGTTATGATCTTGTGTTCCGTTATTACGAACACAATGACTGGAAAGGGGGGGCACCGCGAATTGGAGAGAAGGGATTCTGAGAGGACTTTGTTCTTTAGTCATCTGCCATTGGAGTCCTCTCTCCTCGCGCGTGCGACCTTTCTATCCGTTTGGGTTTCTGTCACCTTGTCATTCAATCTTTGCACAGTTCTTTCTGTCTTGTTCACGTTTTATGTCTATCTTGTTTCCTTACATAGTGCGCAGCATCGCATGATTAGGCTGAGCGACACAATATTTCCTCATCTGTTACAGTGTGGTTCAGTCGAGAAAGCTCGAAACATGGGTACTTTGAGCTTCGATTTCTCTCGGAATTTCGTTGTTCTGTCACTCCTTTGATCATTAATCATACCTGGCTTCGGACACTCATCTGCGGGCACATTCGAAGCATTTTAAATCATATTTACCATTCTCTGCATCACATTGCCTTCAGTGTCGAGTGTAAAATCTAGGATTCCCGAACGGGTACCCGTACAGTGTCTAGTATTCAAAGGGCTAAAGCTCACCTAAGATGGAAGGCGGTGAGATGCGTCCTTATCTCGCGTCTCCAAATTGCTTCCAATCGATCGCAACCAGCTACTTTCACCAAAAGTCCGCCGCAAAATAGCACCACTATCTAAGGTCCTTCGAGAGAATCTCTTGCCACCTTTCGAAAAGAACGTTCATTCGCCATTCTCATCCGAGGTTGATATCCACCTTCCTCGCCCGGCGCAAAGCGCAGTGCGAAATCCTTGGCCCTCGAAAGAGCTTCAGCTTGCGCTCACACTCTATCGAATAGATTGAGTATTCTTGCAGCTGGCTGTTTTGAATACGAACTGATTGAACCTTTACACGCGCAATACACCTGCCCCTATCTATCCGCCACGTCTTTTCAAAATGTCGTCACCACCATCATACCAACCAACATCCAACCCCCTCAAACGACCCTCCATCTCCTCCTCCACCTCACAGCCGCTTGGAAAGAAGCAGCGCATGCACCCGCTTCGCCAGACTTCATTCCCGACCGGTATCGATATCGGAGATCGCAGTTTCGGTGCTACTAGTGAAGCCGGGAGTGTGACAGGCAGTTTTACGGGGAGTCTGGGTGGAGCAAGCGCAGACGGAATCTTCTCTGGTGCTGCACGGGGAAAGAAGCGGGGACGCAAGAGTAAAGCCGAGAAAGAGCGGGAACGGGAGCGTGATGATGCTCTCAGCACCAGGGCGGGAGATTCTACACGGTTTGGATCAGTCGATAATGAGGGTTCGGTCAGAGGTGGTCTTTCTGGCGGTGGAGGTGGTGGGGGGGGTGGTGATGATGCAGATGACTACGATGAGGATGATGAGGCAGAGCTATTTGGGCAGCAAGAAGGAGCTACGGATACAGAGGCTGAGAAGAAGAACCTGGCGTATGTCTTCTCCTGTCTGGTGATATTGAATGAAACTAACGTTGGTTTTGGACAGGATTCTGGTTGATGCTTTCAACCCAATGCAATCAGAGCGATATGATCTCTTCAAGCGAGCAAAACTGCGCAAAGAAACCCTCCGCCGTATCGTCAACCACGCCCTCTCTCAATCCGTCCCAGCCAGTGTGGTGACGACCGTCAACGGTTTCACCAAGGTCTTCGCTGGTGAAATGATTGAAATGGCGCGAACTGTCCAGGCCCAATGGGCTGAGGCACACGACCTCGCTGCACGCGATGCGTTTGAGGCCGAAGAAGCCGCCGCCGAAGCCGCAGCCCAGGCGAAAGCCTCAGGTGTGACCGCAAACTCAAAACCCGCTACGCCAACCCCCGCAGGCACAGCAGTCCCCGGATCGGCCTCTTTCAGCAACGGGGTTAAGAAAGAGCCACTTGACTCTAAGCGTACGCCTACACCTTCTCTCCCTACTCATCAGCACTCGACCACATCCTCTCTCCCAGCTTCCACTCCTCTTCGTCCCAGACGCGAGTTCCGTCTTCCACCAAACCCACACCGTGGCCAGCTTCTGCCATCACATCTGCGTGAAGCGGTACGGCGGACAAAGCGTGATGGTGAAGGTGGTGGAGTCGGTTACTCGGGATTGAGTCTGGAGAACCTGGGAGTTCGCGGCTCATTTACGTGGAACTCGGGAAGTGCAGGTGGAAGGCGGCTTTTCCGTTAGTAACCGCAACGGTCTTTTATTGCATATGGGCGGGCTTTGTTTCACTTTCTTTTCATGTCTAATACACTATGATTGGCGATTGGTGCTTTGCAGGGAACTTGTTCGCAGACTGGGTCTGTTTTGACTTTGATATCATGATTATTCTCTGCAACTTACAACTCTCAATGGATTTGAGATGCCCTATTCCATTTACCATGGAGCAGATGGAACCCCTTCAAATTAGAACACACTCGCATCCGTATCCAACACATTCCACTATTCCCCTATTTAACTCGATACGTCTAACCCGGCAGCCCTCAGTCTTGGCAGGGGTGAAAAATGCCCATGTCTCTTACTCCATGCGGACAAACATGATTCGGATTGGCCAGTGCTAATGCCATAAGTGTCTACTCTTTACATGTACGGAGTAGGGATATTTCAATGCTCCAATATCTTCCTATGGTCGCTTGCCGTTTCCATTCAAATGCCAAGTCCTGTGCAACACGCCCAGCACGGCCATGCCTCCCCTATAGGATTGGGCACAGCATTTTCGGAATGGGGGCTAATCTCAATGTCATACCACATACGGAGTAGAGATGGACGAGATGGCAATCGTTGAATCGTCGAATTATCCCCATCCAAAAACGGGAGGGCAGATCATTCGACCCTGCAGCAAGCCATCGCGCAAGGGCTATTCGAGTGGCGTTTTCCCATGGGCATCTTGGTCCAATTCAGCAATGTGGGACTAACACAGATCTTCTCAGGGAAAATGCAACTGGATCTGGACAATATAAGGGCTGCTTGCAGGGCCGCGTCAAGTTCAACACCCTTCTTTCTTGGCAGCCTCTTTCTTGATGTGATCGCCGAGGAGGGTGATTGTCCCAGTAGCCCAATGCCTTGGACGTTTCCGTTTCTCGTTGGGTCCCTTTTGTTCATCATTCTTCTTTGAACACCTTCATTTTCGAGTGAAGTGGGCTAGTCGACGCTCAATCTGCTTTTATTTTATAGCCTGGTTCTTGAACGGTGGCAACTTGGACGTTTCTTTATAATGCGATACCTCCAACCATCTCATCTATACACTCGATTAATAGATACAATCCCCACAACCTTGCCTTGGTCATCCGGGGATTCAGTGAAAGGAGACCCCAAAAAAAGTGTGAAATGGATTGATGTACGTTTTGAAAACAGACAGCGCCTGATAACAAATCTAATATCTTCAACTTGCAGGGACTCCGAGGCATCGCCTCATTCCTTGTAGTCCTAACCCACCTTGCCCGAGCCTGGGACTATGATCTGTTCTCACCACGCGACACTGAAAACGTCAGCCCGCGAATCCTCCAATGGCCCGTCCTTCGCATCCCCTGGCAGGGCCGTCTGGGTGTAACAATCTTCGCCTTCCTAACCGGCTATGTCTGTGCGCTCAAGCCGCTCAAGTTATCGCGAGTAGGCGATACAACAGGGGCATTTGAAACTATAGCAAAGAGCGCCTTTCGTCGACCTCCACGACTCATCTTCCCCGCGACGATTGCTCTGTTCATCTCGTGGACCATTGCGCAATGCGGCGGGTTCATAGTCGCCAATAGGTCTGATTGCTGGTGGTGTCGATATGCGGCGCCGGATCTGGCGGATTCCTTTTGGAAGGAACTCCTTCGTCTGCCGATGAATTTCTTGTCGACTTGGACGACGGGATATATGGCGTACGATGATCATCAGTGGGCACTTTTGCCGCTGCTTTGGTCCTCGATGTTGGTTTATCTGGTGCTTTTTGCAACCATGTTCGTCAAGTTTCGATATAGGGTTTGGGTCTATATCGGAATGTTGTTATATTTCCATCAGAATGCGAGCAGGGATATAGGCGAGTTTTGCTTGCAGATAAAAACAAGGCGTACCAGTTGCTAATGCCGGTTCTATAGAAACCTTCCAAATGCAAGCCATCTACGGAATCCTCCTCTGTGACTTCTCCTACCACACAGCCCTCAAAGACTGGATCGAAAAGCATCCGCGAGGCAGGAAGATGCTGACTATCCCGCTCACTATTGCCGCCTTGTTTCTCGCTTCCTACCCCGGTGAACATCCCGAATGGGCCGGCTGGTCTAATGTGATGCTCAAAGCAAGCCACTACATCTTCCCGCCAGGCGTCAATGTCGGGAAGCGATACACTGCACTTGCAATTGACATGATCATTCTTGCGATCTTCTTCTCCCCTTCAACCAAAGACTTCCTCTCCAGCAGACTGCTTCTCTGGCTCGGCAAGCAGAGTTTCGCCGTCTACCTCATCCATGGAACCATGCTGCGCGTGGTACTCTGTTGGATGCTATATGGTATCAGTGGTCAGCCGTGGGAGGGTCCTGAGCCATTGACTGATGACAAGCGTGACGACTGGTTGCGTATCCGGCCGCCGTGGGTCGTTGGCATAAGTATTCCGATCTGGATTGGGCTTGTGTATATCCTTGCTACGCTGTGGACGACGTACGTAGATACCTTCTGTGCTTCTATGACTCAGAAACTGGAGAAGGCTGTTTTTGTTGAGGATGAGAAGACGCCTTTGCCTATGCAATCGATCCCCATGCAGACGACTTGATCTTCTGTCGTTTTTGGGGCGTGCTACATGTTGGTGCTGGATGTTGAGTTGGTTTGACCTGGGTCTGTGTTGTCGAGAGAACGTGATTTCTTTGACGTGGCTGGTCCATGGCCATGGATGTAAATTTGACTTGTTCTGGCGTTTCCCTTTCCTAGCTCTTCCAGTCTTGATCAAATGCGGCAGCAAGATGAGTAATGTAAAGCTTCAATTCTATAGAAGTGTACATAGCCAAAAATGGAGATTGCGGCCGAACGAAATTCTACCCTTCAAATCACAAAAAGAGAATGCAAATGCCACTGCGCCATATTTTACAGTTTGTATAAACACACGCTGATTAAGCATGGCGAGAGCCACGTCGTCCGTTAGGTTTGCGAGCAGCCGTCTGACTGTTCTTCAAAGACTTGCTGGCCTTGGTCCTTTCGTTCTCCAAGGTTTGCATGTGCTCCTTGCGACGAGCTTCGTTGCGCTCTCTTCGCATGAGCTCATCCTCGTCTTTTCGCTGTTGTTCGTATTCATCTGCGCGCTTCTTTTGGTCCTTGGCAATACGTTGCTCGACCGTTGAAGTGCCCATGGTTTCTGAGACTGATTTAGATAGATTGGAGCCAACCTTCCCGAACTTCTGGTAGATGCGGTCAATGATGCTGATCTTCACATCCTCTTGTGCAGATGACACAGGGACTTCACTGAGTGCTTTCTCTTGCGCGGCTTTTTCCTTCTCAAGGCGTTCAAGCAGTTGGCGAAGGCCCTTGCTTTGGGTGCTTTGGGTGACTGCCGAGAACTTCGGCCCATTGGATGGCTTCTTCGCGATCGACAAGGACATCCACTTCCGGAAGGCATCCGAGTTGATCAGATAAGTTTGACCCAGGCCGAAAAGACCACTTGCCACAAAGTAGAACTGTAGGGCACTTGGCATGAATGCCATAAAGGCAAAAGACATGACGGGGAAACCATAGATGATGTACTTTCCTGCCTCAGTTTGCATCATGGGCATAGCGCCGGATTCGCCACCTCTCTGTTATCTATAGTTAGTGTCGCGGTTACAGTAGATCACATAAAAACCAAAACTTACCCTCAGAGATAGACATAGCGTGCCAGCAGCGATCATGGGCAAGATGTAAGTGGGATCGGCAATAGTCAGATCTTTAATCCATCCCGCTGTTTCCGTGGCCAGGGCCGGCACTGGCAACGCAGTCATTGCTCGAACGACTCGGAAGCATCCAAAACCAAGTGGAATTTGCAACATGGGAAGAATTGACTTCCATGTCTTGATGCCGTGGGCAGCGTTAATTTCCTGGAGCTGGGCTCTTACAATCTGAGCTTCCTGTTGGTTTCCCTCGGTCGACGCAGCGACCATTTTTTGCCGGAGGGGCTCAGTCTGAGATTTGGCGTTGGTCATTCTTGCGGCGTTCTCGGATGCGCCGAGTACAGGCTTCAGCATTGCTACACGAGTCAAAACACCGACAGCCACGATACTAGCCCACCATGGCAAACCGGTCCATATGTGAGTGTGCTCGATAAGCCATTGCATTGTCGACGTGAAGCCCCATCCGAAGTCCAGCCCGAGCTCCTTAAGATATCCAATGCGTTCCGGAATCGTGGTTATATCGTTTATGTTTACCGCGTTCTTCAATGAGCCGTCGAAAGCGAATTCGGGAAGTGTTGAGTCGGAGGAGGTAGAATTGAATCGGACTGCGGCCGGGCCGGTAACAGTTGGTGTCATGCGCCAGGGAGCACTTCCGGATATTGCTGACTTCAATTGGCCCCGCTGGCTAGGGAACCGCAGGCTTTGTGACCGCAAGGTGGACATCTGCAAAGCCAAGTCAATATCGATATTTTTGCAAAGCCGAGTCAACGGGAGAACAGACAGATCGAGAGGAGCGGGACATGGCGGTCATCCTCTGACGTGCAAGGACAGCGGCTGCACTGGACCCTTTCAGGCCAATAGGTCCGATCATTGTGGTTTGAGATAATGAGAGATGGGGAGATTAACCAAATACGGAAGAGTTGTTCTCCTGCCTTTCGGCGCGACTTTTTCTGCCCGGGCGGTAAATGATCCCCGGATCACGGGTACGGGTCAGGCACGGAGACTCGAAGGTGGAAATGTGGAAATATGCAATTTCCGAAGTCATGGACTTGGATATTCTTAATATCGTAACAAAAGCTGGCAGCAAAATGTAAATCCTAGTTCGCCAAACGCCAATCCCCCCCCCTCCTTGAGTCAACAAGTCTATGTACATCCACTAAATTCAGGTGTGCACAGTATGCCAGTTATCGATCCCAAATCACCTATGCTTCGGTTTTTGTCTCCCGCGAAAATGCAGTCATTCTTATACGGACCAAACAGCAAAAGAGACCTCGATCACTTATTCTAAAGACGCAGTATCCCTCAACCCAGGGCGTCTTCGCTCCGAAGGAAGCTCCCGCATTTCAACACCGGGGCCCACTGCATGTGAGCGGCGGTGGTTAGGGAAGATCTACATAATGAAGAGCAGCTAGTCAGTAATTGTAATAAATACAAGCTTATTACAATTCTACCTACCTTAGTGTTAGACCATCCAAGTCGGAAAGCAGCCTCGTGTGCGAACAGCTCTCCAAAGCCTAGCATGAGGCCGTTCACGAAGGGGAGGAAGAGGTTGATAGCCGCACCGCGCAGAAGACCCCAGACACTTGGTGGCTTGTAAAGCATCATAAGTGAGCTTGCGGAAGATGGCACCGAGGAAGATGTCTCATGGTTCGCGGAGTAGTTCTCTGAGTCGGAGGGGACGGTCATGGCAGAGTCGTAGAGCTCGGCGGGCAAGGCGGAGACGGCGTCGGAGGCCATTATTAGGGTCGGAAAAGACCGAGTAGTTGTTTCGTATCTTTTAAATAGAGGAGTCGTAGTTGACGTTGACTCTTGGTCTCGGGAAAGGAGCAAAGTTAAAGAGAGGCTAAAGTTGATGCGATGGTCCCGATGAGCTCGCCGGGGCCTAGGTGGTCATGCCGATTATGTCAGCACATTGCATGCCCACCCGGAAAGGCACACTGAGTTGTGAATAGCGCGTTGTTCACTCTAAGGAAAACATCTTGGAAAGTTCACGATCTTCAATGTCTCCATCTTCAAGTCTTTGATGTCGATGTCCACGGACTGGGATTGTGTTAGTGACAGCGTTCCAACACAGACCTAAGCCTGTTCAGGTCCGACTACAGGCCTAGTACTTGTAATCATCTATTTCTTCGAGTTTTCTCTCTATCCATGACAAGTAGTCGTTTTTAAGATTAAGAACTCGATGCTTAAAAAGGAGTGGTGGTTTGAGCAAGTAGATAAATGTACAAAATCAGTTAGCTCAACCGTTGTTAGATCTGTAAAGTCAACGTAATTTTCTCTTCCCATCACCAACCTTCTCATGCTTCAGGATTATCCGGTGTATTAAACCATCCCGCTAGATCAAAACGACTTCGACCTGTTCATTAAAAGCACTCATGATATTATGTGCGTTAAACACTTTGGTATTAAAAACTATCAATGGATATCTAAGGTTCTATCAATTATATATGCAACGGAGATGAAAAGACGCCGTGCCAGTGTCATCCAAGTTCTTTTCCACATCAGTCATAACAGCAAACCCATTTCCACATTGTTGCACAAGCTGAAAGAAATGGAAAATTTACCTCCTCTCTTAAAATTTCCCACCGTCAAACTCGACAGTAATCTACGCCTTGATGGCTTTCTCCTCATCGTCGTGGAAGGCGAATTTCGAGAAACGACGAATGGACGCTCCCTTGAAGTAGAACACATAGGGAATGGCGCAGCATCCCAAGCCGATAAACGCAAGAAGCGAGCTAGCCCACTGGTCGCCCAGACGCTCGTACATTTGCTCTGTGAACAGAACTGTGCTGGCACCCCAGATAGACCGGATGAAGGTCTTGGCTGCGAGAGCAGATGCTGCTTGATGCTGGTACGTATCAACTGGAGAAAAGGTTAGCAATGACACAGATGAATGTTGTGTTTATGAGTTCTGTACATACCAAGGTAGTTGTTGGCAGAGTTATAGAGCAGGATAATGCCGAATCCAATCAGGAAGCCTCCCATTGCCGGTCCCATCCAGTGAATGTGGGGGTAGGAGGTCCAGGCGAAGAGGAAAAGACCAGAAGGGACGCACCAGCAAGCCCACATCATGGGAATCAGACGTTTTTCGGCTGGAGGCTTGCCACCGCATGCTGTAGAGACCTCGAGGTAGTGTCTGTTGACAAAAGGAGCGCAGCATGCACTTAGGATCACACCGATAGCTAGAGGGATAAACATGAGACCAGTTTTAGACGCGCTCCATCCTTTGCCACCCTGGTAAACAATAGGGTAGCTAGAGATATAGTCAGTCTCTAGCCAGTGTTGATGCAAGGTATATTGATGACTTACGCAACGAAGAACATGTATAGTAAGCCATAAATGACCGACATGTAAAGAGAAATGAACAAGACAATGGGCTCGAGGAACAAAAGCTGGAAGGGCCGGAAGAGGAAAATTCGCAGCTTTTCACCCATAGGGCGAGGATCGAGCTCGGTTTCAGTGGTATACTTGAGGTCGTTCTCAGCAATGCGAAGTTTTTGGGCTCGCTTCTTCAGCAAAATTGGTGCGAATGTCTCCGGGACAGTGAAGGTGATCATAACCCAGGCAACAAAGGCCAAAATAAGCTGAATCCAGTACAGCCAGCGCCAACCACAGTTGTCCGACAGAAAGCCACCAGCAAGTGGGCCGATGGCCGGACCGATGAAGGGAGCAGCGCTGAATGCTGCCATCGGAACACCACGTTCCTCACTCTTCCACAAATCAGCCAGAGTACCACCGACTAGAGTCATAGGGGCACTAAAAGCGATTCCATCGATCAAGCGGCAGACAATCAGAGTTCCTATGTTTTTAGAAACGGCGCAGGGGATGACGAAAATAACAGCGATTGCAAGGGTCAGGGCGTAGACAGGACGACGTCCAAAGATTTCTGACATTGGAGCAAAGACCATGGGTCCTAAAATTAGGGTTAGAACTATCAAATCACATCACATGTGAGGCACTTACCAAGACCGAATCCAATAACGAAAACCGTGATAACAAGCAAGCTGACTTCACGGCCAATACCGAATTCCTCGACGGGTCCCTCGATATCAGCTGTAATGACACTACTGCAAAATGCGACAACAAAGCAGGTAAAGGCGACCACCATGGTACAGTACCACTTATACGCCTTTGACCAGTTCTTGGGGCTCTCAGGGTCGTCGATAGTGAAGGTTACCATCTTCCAATCTTCGATTTTGCCAGTAGCATTGGACTTGACCTGCTTGATGATTTCACCTGTCCTCGTCTCGGTGGTGTATTCACGCAAATCTGCAGTATCATTGATTTCGCGAACTGGCAGGTCCAGATAATCATTGGGCTGTTCATGGCTAAATTCGCCAGACCTGATGGAGGCTGTCGGGCTAGTTGCAATTTCGTGGGTCTGATCTGACTGAGGAATCTTCATATTGAAAGATATCAGATTGCTGATGGGGATCGTACCCAGAGACAAGTATAAAGTGTCGTAGTTTAAAGTTCAAGGTGTGGTGGTGGTGGTAACGTGAGGTCAAACAAGTTAGATCGTTTAGAACTCCCCGGGGGGGCATCCTTTTATACTTCATCTTAGTAATTTTGTTTCACTGATCTTTTGGCGGGCAGATTATAACCAAAAAAGAAAAAAATTACAAGAGCTATCCATGGATGAAGATGCTCATACATTTTTGCTCCAAGCGGAGCCTTTGATATCGGCCCGCACCCCCAGATGGGTTGCCTGATGTGGATGTCAGCGCTAGTCATATTTGGCAAAATGCTGCGATGAAGCCTTGGCATTCTTGGCAGCCTTGGCATTATTGCTTGGTTCCTGATACCTCTTCGAGAAGACAAGCCGTTGAGATTTTTCAATTATCAATGTGTATCTCACATTATTCATGTTCTAGACCCATATCAGGATGTAACTCTACTCATTGAGACATTGGTTATTGGATTATCCAGGGGTGGTTTTTCCTTCGAGCAAGGGGAGTAAATGTCGCATTAGAGAATGCGCTAGATTATGTGTTAATCAGCAACGTGTGTAACCGAGTAAGTTGTTACCTGAGGTTCCTTATTTTTTTTTGCATTCTTCCTATGTTGTTCAGGAGTCGTTTCCCGGGTTGCAGGGTTGCAACTTGGAATCACGCGAAGCGGATCGTGAGAAGCTCAATCATGGAGATACTAATATGTAGAAATCTACGATGACAGTCATCTGATTTGTCGACATTGTAGACCATACAAAATAGAAATTATCAGCATCTGTGTCCAATTACAACAGTTGCATCTACTGGTAAAGGACGACCTCGGAAGCGACATTGAATTCGGTTAGGTTAGCTCAGCTGAGGGGATATTACAATGTCACCTGAAGATGTACATGTTGTAACATGGAATTTTTATCTTGGGTGACACGGTCCTGAATCACAGTACATAGGTTAATAAGACAATCTTTTTGCTTTTCCCCTTGACCTCTATAGATCGGAACATCCTACCAAATTAGGAAAATTGAAGTGCACTTCCTCGTTGGGAACTAAACCTCAGGCAATGCGAATGCGGACTTCGGTTTGCCGCAACGTTACTTTAGGAATAGTATACAACACAGAAAACAAACACGTCAAGGTTCCTGTCTGCTGATCCTCCTCTTGACTACAAGGAGCTTTGATGTTGCGAGAAATAACTGACCCCAAGGTAAACAACGGACCAGAAATTATAGATTAGTCTCTCAACCAGATCAGAATCGAGGAGCCCGGCGGCTGGCGTTATTACGCCGTAACTGTTCTATCTGAAGGGGGCCTATAAAGAAAACAGAGTTGCTTACAGCTTATTGCAGTAGCCCGTAAGATGGGTCTTCAGCCTCTGAAGAAAACATTCGAATGGAAATATTATTCATCAATTTTGCTATGTACTGATTTGAGAGGTCATTTTGGCATGTTCGTTTTTTCAACTCCAGCACAAAAAGTATGTGGACAAGAACTCGGAATAAACAAGGAATAAACGTAAAAAAAGCTTCGTAAATAATAACTGAAGATTCTAACCAATCCAGCGTCTGGCGCTATAGAAGACACGTCCCCAAGGGCCAATCTCGCCCCAAGAATCGGCGTTCGGAGGCAACCAGCTGGCAATACCGTTCATGACGGTACGCTCAGGGTGGGGCATGATGGCAAGGACACGGCCGTCGGGGCTGCGCACGCCGGCAATACCCTCGGGACTTCCGTTAGGGTTGAACGGGTACTTCATCGTGGGCTTGAGGGAGGAGTTGTCGACAAAGCGGACGGGGGCAAGACCCTCACGAACGAAGTCGGAAGCCGAGATGCCCTGGGAGCCGACGAAAGAGGCACGACCCTCGCCGTGAGCAACGGCAATGGGGAGCGAAGTACCGTCCATGCCGTGGAAGAAGACGCTGGGGCGGGAGGGGTCGGGGTCGGAGATGCGGGCCATGCAGACACGGCCTTCGTACTGCTCGCTAGTGTTGCGCTCGAAGCTGGGCCAGTAACCCGCACCAGGAATCAAATCCTTGATACGAGACAAGAACTGGCAGCCGTTGCAAACACCTAGGGCGAACGTATCCGGGCGTTCGAAAAACTCCTGGAACTCCTTGCGGGTGTTCTCGTGCAGCAAAACGGACTTGGCCCAACCCTGGCCGGCACCCAAGACGTCACCGTACGAGAAACCACCGCAGGCAGCGAGACCGGCGAAGGTGGAGAGAGACACACGGCCGGAAATAATGTCGGTCATGTGAACATCGACGGCAGAGAAACCAGCGGTGTTGAAGGCGAAGGCCATCTCAGCTTGACTGTTAACACCCTGTTCGCGAAGAATGGCAACACGAGGCTTGTTGGCGAAGGGAGAGTATTGGGAAAGGCTGGTCATCATGGGCAAGCCCTTGTCCTTGGGGTCGAATGTAGGATTCCATGAGAGACCGGGGTTGGCATCGTCAAGGATATTGGCATACTCCTGCTCCGCGCATTCCGCGTTGTCACGGATCTTCTGCATGTGGTAGGAGGTCTTGGCCCAGATCTGCTGGAGGCAGGAACGGGTGTTACGGTAAATCAAAGAGGCCTTGTGGTAGATGACAAGGTCCTGCTTGGGCTGCTGAGCCACACGTCCAATTTTGTGAATCAGACCCGGAGGGGGACCGCAAGTGGCAAAGCATGAGCGGAACTGGATCTCGTGCTCCTTGCGGACTTGGAAGACAGCACCAAGCTCTTCAGTGAAAAGGGATTCAATGACATCCTTGGTGTTGAACGAGGCACAGATGTTATCGAGCATTATCTCAACACCGCAGCGGCCGGCGAACATCATTTCAACAAGAGTAGTCAGAAGACCACCATCGGAGCGATCGTGGTAAGCCAAAACAATTCCGGCCTCTTGAAGTTGCTGTGTAGCATCGAAGAAATCCCGGAAGAGATCGACATCACGAATGTCAGGACACTCGGAGCCGACTTCTTTGAAGACCTGGGCAAGGGCCGACCCGCCAAGCGTCTTGCGACCGAACGATAGGTCTACAAACATGAGGACTGTCTCACCAACTTCTTCGTAGCTACGAAGAGCCGGGGTCCAGGTCTTGGTGAAATCGCCAACCGGTGCGAAGGCAGAGATGACACAGGACATGGGGGCAGTGACCTCCTTGGCCTCATTTGAAGTCTCATCCTTCCACTTCATCTTCATGGACATAGAGTCCTTGCCGACGGGAATGCTGATGCCAAGCTTAGGGCATAGATCCATACCGACAGCCTCGACAGCTTCATAGATAGCAGCACCCTCGCCAGGATGGCTACCGGCGGACATCCAGTTGGCAGAGAGCTTCACTTGGCTGAGACGATCCACAAGATCGGAAGCAGCCAGGTTCATGAGTGACTCGGCAACAGCCATACGAGCAGACGAAGCCGAGGAGATGAGAGCCAAAGTAGGCTTTTCACCCATGGCAAAGGCTTCACCGGTCTTCACACCTGAGACCAAGGAAGTGGCAGTAACCGAGACATCTGATACGGGTGTCTGCCACTTGCCAACCATCTGGTCACGAGCTGTCAGGCCACCGACAGTGCGGTCGCCGATAGTAATCAAGAAAGACTTGGAGCCGACTGCAGGGAGAGACAGCACTCTCTTGATAGCCTCATCGACAATCTCCGTCTTTGAGGTGAGAGAGGGAAGGTACTTGGCGAGGCTAGAGTCCACGGTGGGCAGCTTCAGCTTCCGCGAATCGACAGTTCGGGTCATGCGAGGAGTCTTTCCGAAAAGCACAGACAAAGGAAGGTCTATCGGAGCTGGGTACTCCTTGGACTCTCGGTCAAGGAGAATGAGTCTCTTTTCTTCCTCGGACGCACCGCCGCCACGACCGACAACGGAGAAGCCACAACGCTCACGGTTAGCGATAGCAGTAAACTTGTTCATGCTCTCCTCACCGACCGCCATGACGTAGCGCTCTTGGGCTTCACAGCACCAAATTTGCATAGGGCTCATGCTACGGTCGGTGTTGTCAATTTCACGAAGCTCGAACGTAGCTCCCAAGCCCGAGTCGTGGATCAGCTCAGGAAGGGCGTTGGACAAGCCACCGGCACCAACATCGTGGATGAACTTGATGGGGTTATTGTCTCCCATGGCCACACAGGCGTTGATAACCTCTTGAGCTCTCCGTTGGACTTCGGCGTTGCCTCTCTGCACACTGGCAAAGTCAAGCTCGGCGGATCCTTCACCGGAAGTGATGCTAGAGGCAGCACCACCTCCCAGACCAATAAGCATAGCCGGTCCTCCTAGCACCACAAGGAACGCACCGGGCTTGACAACGTCTGGGTGCTTGATAGCGTGTTGAGGGCGAACGGTTCCAACACCACCAGCGATCATGATAGGCTTGTGGTATCCTCGAACTTCCTTCTCACCATTACCCACATCAATCTCGGTGAGCAGGGTGCGGAAGTACCCACCAATGCAGGGACGGCCGAACTCGTTGTTGAAAGCAGCGCTACCAATTGGTGCCTCCAACATGATATCTAAACTGCTGGCAATGTGGTTTGGCTTGCCGACATCAAGTTCCCATGGCTGTTTCAAGTCAGGAATCAAAAGGTCCGACACACAGTAGCCAGAGAGACCGGCTTTAGGGCGCGAGCCACGACCGACGGCACCCTCGTCACGAATTTCTCCGCCGGATCCTGTAGCCGCACCAGGGTAAGGTGAAACGGCAGTAGGGTGATTGTGGGTTTCCACCTTGGCCAGGAAGTGCACAACTTCCTTGGTGTGCATCCACTGCCCGGTTGTCGGATCGGGGGCCCAGAACGCGGCCTCGGGGCCCTCCAGAACGGCGGCATTGTCACTGTAGGCACTGACGGTGTGCTCAGGATGCTTCTTGTGCGTGTTGCGGATCATGGCAAACAGACTGTTTGGCATAGGCTTGCCATCAATCACCCAGGAAGCGTTGAACTGCTTGTGTCGGCAATGCTCCGAGTTGACCTGAGCGAACATGAAGAGCTCGACATCAGTAGGGTCACGGGCAATTGCACCATTTGGACCATAAGCCTCAGCCAGGTATTCAATTTCTGAATCATCAAGGGCCAAACCGAGCTCGATATTTGCCTCTTGAAGAACCTCCTTGGGGGACTTGGTGCCGCCCTGGAGAGGAATGGTCTTGAGAGGTTGAGGAGCGTGCTCGGAGAACATTAGGCTCAGCTCAGGCTCATCTTTACCAATAATCTGAGTCATGCGATCATGAAGCGTATCCAGATACTCTGGCTTATAGTCTTCTGCACTGTCACGAAGACACGAAATCTTCATACCCCGTTCGATCCGCTTGACGTATTTCTGCAGGCCACAGACGTGCGAAATTCCAGTTGCCTGGGAGCTCCATGGCGAGATGGTACCGGTACGAGGGAAAATGTAGAAGGTATCGAATTGACCGTCGGTAGATTCAAAAGTGGGAGGGACGTCTGTGATATCGCCGTACTGAAGCAATTGCTCGAGCACTGCACGCTGGGGCTCATCCAAGGGCTGGGTGGTATGCACATAGTGAATCCACTGGGCTCGTACATCCTGTACACCGATGCTGGTAGCAATAGCTTGCCCTCGGGAGCGGGAAAAGGCAACGGAGCCCGAAATGGCCAAGTAAGTGTCGGTAGAAGCCATCGTGAAGCAAATTGGGGATTATCCCAATGAGTCGAGTATGACACAGGAGACTAAAATCGATTCTCCTGGTATCGAAGTAGATTGAGTGGCTGGAGTGCCTCTCTCAAGTGGACTTGAGAAGATCGCTAGAAGAGGCCGGCGATGACTCTATCGCCGCTTTTTTTTTTGTAAGAGAAATGAGTTTCCCCCGCCCTAAGCCCGTTGCGGCTTATCTAGATGAGTCATGTGACGATAATAATTTTCAAGCTTTGACAAATTCTTCATTTCCATTTTCTGTTGTATACCATGACGTATCCATTTACCTGTGTTGAAAGAATTTGCCAGTTAAATATGACAATTACGAAATACTCTCGTGCCATCTGATAGTATCGAAATGAAAGCGGAGGGGTCGAATGGAGGGGTATTGCGGGGCACTGAGTCAACAACATTGGCCTGGGGGATCTCTTCGGTAGAACAACTATCAGAAGGAACAAAAGGATGTTTTTGGCCTTTGGGAACCTCCACTTTATTCAGTAGGAAGAAACATTGATGAAATTAGAGAAACTTTATCCATCGGTAAACATCACATAAAATGAACGGGAATACAATCTAAATGAACCCCGCATTATATCAATCTTGGGATGTTCCTCATCGTGTCCTGGTTTCTAGGCTCATATTATCTAGTTCCCTTACTGTGCGACAACAAAAGAAGGCCGAGTGATTCCCTTACTCGCCTAAAGTGTCACCTTCACGGTTTCCTTTTAAAGTATACTTTGACCTTGATCCATGGGTCTTATCTTCACCTATCCTCTAATACAACTGGCTGTTTACGCCCTTTAACAGCAACAATGGGATGAAGACCGTGTAGGAGAAGTCTGCAGCTCCATGCATCAAGGTTCTATATAGGAACTTGACAAGGCTGCAGTCAGCATAAGGCTCGAAGAGAAGACATTTAAATGCCTACTTGTTAACGGCACATGTGAAGCTCGCCGAAGAATATCTTGGGCGATGCGAATGAAGCAGGCATCAAACGCAGTATAGGACGTTCCTGGGAATGGAACCCAGTTCTACTGCCAGTGAGGACGGTTTAGCCTGCAGGCAGGTGAGCTTCTAGGGCTAATGTATTCACAGGGGTCAACTAGATACTAAAGAAAATGATATCCATTTGGTAACAACCTAAGCACTTCTTGCCGCTGGATAGGTTTGTCTTTAAACAAGTCCAATCGTCGAAAAATAACCCGCCTGGAGAAGATATAAGATGAGCAACAATCTGCTTCGAGGTTGGGCGTTACCCACATTCACCTAAACAGAGCAATGATTCTACGTGCGCTGCTTAAGATGTGAAACCAAAATTCAATACTATGCATGATATCTTGATGTAATGAAACGGAAGCATTCCAAGCTGCTCAAGTGTCGGAGGGAATGGAGATTAGCGGAGATAGAGCGGGGAGGTCATCGCTGAGTCACCCATCCCACCTTTCGCTTTTTGCTCTTCTTTTGGACAACTCTCCTGTCTTCTCCTCTCACGCTCGCTCACTCTATTGCATCTTAATATTTGAAATTCCTGTTTTTAGCCCACCATGGATTCTGCGGCGCAAGCAAGATTCGATCTCGTGAGACCCTACGCAAACCGCATTTTAAACCAAAGCTCATTTCTTGCAGATCAATTCGAACCTCGCCGAGTTCCTCAATCCAGAGATCATCCAGGACATATTGAAAAGCGGACGCAATCCTAGGGTGTACTGGGGCACAGCAGTTCGTAGAAAAAGTCTTTATTGCGACACACCCTGCTAACACCTTCCCTTTTCTAGACCACCGGTCGCCCTCACATTGGCTACTTTGTGCCAGCGCTAAAGATCTCGCAGTTGCTCCTCGCAGGCTGTGATGTGACGATTCTGCTTGCTGATGTACACGCCTTTCTCGATAATGTAAGCGCATATCTTTCGGAGTGACTCGTTCAAATCCCGATTTAACCAACCCTTTTTGAAAATAAATAGTTGAAAGCGCCGCTCGAGCTAGTGGAACAACGTTCGATTTACTATCGAAACATCATCACTGCTATTCTTCAAGCTGTCGGGGTTCCTACCGAAAAGCTCGAATTTGTTCTTGGTAGTTCCTACCAGAAGAGTCCTGATTATGTGCTTGATGTGTACAAATTGTCTTCTTTGATCTCCGAAGGTCAAGCCAAGAAGGCGGGTAGTGAGGTCGTTAAGCAGACTGGCAATGCTCCGTTAAGCGGGTATAGATATCCAATTCCCTCGTCCATATGGATTGCACAATGTACGAATACTAACCGTTCACCAGACTATTGTACCCAGTTCTTCAAGTTCTCGATGAGCAGCACTTAAATTGTGATGCTCAGCTCGGCGGAGTGGATCAGAGGAAGCTCTTCACCTCAGCGACGGAATGGCTCCCTAAACTTGGATACCGCATTGTGAGTTATCATCCTACGATTTTAACCAAACTATCAGAGGCTTACCTACGTCCAGCGTGCCCACCTTCTAAATCCTATGATGGCCTCCTTATCCTCCGGGAAGATGAGCTCTAGTGATAACCCAGGTAATCAACTCCCTCTTGATCAGAAGTTGTCTTTATCATTATGCTAAACTCCGATCAGATAGCAAAATCGATCTCCTCGACTCGGCCGAAAGTATCACAAAGAAAATCCGGAAGGCAGAGTGTTTCCCCAAGATCGTCGAAGACAACGGTGTACTTTCCTTGGTCGAGCACATTCTGTTGCCCGCAGCTGTCCTTAAGGGCCACGGAGAATTCCGCGTCGAGCGCAAGGACGCTGAACCTCTGGTCTTTACCGATATTAAGCAGATGCACGATGCTTACGCAGCTGATATTGTATGTCTACCTATCTTTCTCATCACACAGGCTCGTATCTAACAAACATTTTAGTTGACACCACAGCTGCTTAAGCCTGCTGTCTCGGCTGCCATGATTGCCCTTATGGCCCCTATTCACGCCGCTTACACAGCCTCGCCTGAATGGCAGGAGGTAACATTAAAGGCTTACCCGCCTCCGGTTGTGCAAAAGAAGGTCAAGAAGGTCAAGGATAGAGGCTCTCGCTTCCCCGGCGCAAAGCAAGAAGAGACAGCCCAGCCTTCGGAGCAAGAGGCCGCTCAACCTTCAGAGCAATAAATGGTTTGTGCAAATGAATAGAGCGCAAATCAGACCCTACGCGTACCTGGCAATACAAATTCTTCCCATTAATCTGGGCTCTAAGTCTCCAATTGGACGGGGTTGGTGATCGCTCCGTGGACATCCATGGAAGTCTGCGACCCCGGTTGAAAAAGGGGTCGCCTGTTTGAGTTTCCGAATCGGGTAGAAGAAACGCTCAGGGAACTTTATTTTGAGACCGAAGCTTATGTTCGTGGTTAAAAAAAAAAGTCATTATTGCACCTTCCACTACTCAGACCCTACATAACGCCAACTCCCGCTGGAACCAAAACAGGGGTATCAATTTCTATGCCAACTCCGCCTCCATTCGAGCTTGTCGGCAAGAATATCCCAACTTTGAAGCCCATCATCTGCACGGGCTAGATTTTTTAAGCCATCCGTGACAAGGGTGGTTAGATAGTTGAAGTTGGAGTTGACTGTTTTCATCTGCTGGCTGTAGGTCGAGTCACGAAATGAGATAGTGAGTGTGTGTTCGTGGTTCATATGATCGTAGTCCTCCTCCTCATCATCATCATCATCATCGGAGTCGAACTCGTTTTGAATGTCTATCTTTGTGCGCGGTGCGTTCAGACTCTCCGGATTTTGTTGGCCTTCGTCGCCGAGCAAGTGGGCGGCTTGTAGATCTGCGAAATGAACACACAGATCCAGGAAATTGATGATTGCGTCATGGATGGGTGATAAATCTTTGCGGAGGAGGCACTGGGCTTCCAAAGACGACATATATGATTGGTGGGCGCCTATCATGGCATCGACATCTTGTGCGCTAGACAAATCTTTTTGTAGAGATCGGGTTGCGGTAGATATTACGAGATAGGTCAAATGGCCGTAAATGAAATCGAGAACCCAGAGCATATTGTGATGTAGAGCGTGCACCAATTTGTCATTGTCGTCAGGTGTGGTGATGCGGGCGTCGCGAACACGCTGTTTCACCATGGCATGTTTAGCGCGTCTGATTTGCATCAGAAATGTCGAGATCCGTTGGTAAGTGTGCATTGCGCCCTCGGTAACTATGTTTGCAATAGGCCACGAGAGGCCATAATCAATTGAGATTGCTTCCAGAATGCCCACAGTTCGATTTTGATAAACCCGCAATGGAGTGCTAGCTGGCCGCATAAGGAGTCTTGACGTGTCAACGACAGATACTGAACTGAAAGCCGTCCTTGATATCTCAGTGAGCAGGAACCTGTCATCCCAGGAACGACCCCGATCGATCAGCTCAAAAATTTTGGCGTCAACTATTGTAACAGCGCTCATGTCTTTGGCGAGGTAGACATGTTGAAGAGCATCAAGGGAGGACCATAATCCGCATTGTTGGTCGAGTTCGGTTCGTAAGAAGCTAGCACTGAGTGAATGATCCACATCCACGAGCTTTTCAAAAGCAGACTCTACTAGTGCGGGGAAAGGAAGTACATGTAATAATGAAGAATCCTGGGAGTAGAGGTCCTCAAATCTCATGGCCTCAATATCTGGTGGCGCATTAAGGTAGCGCAGAAATACCATGCTTTTCCCAGCCGTGAAAACTTTCTGCACACCAGCTTCGAGGAATTGGGGAATCCTCTGCTGCCTATAGCCCGTGTCAAGCACAAACCAATCATGCCAAAGAGTTCGTAAATCCCTGTTCTCATTCTCACGATTAGATCGCACGAAGAAAGTGCTGTCCGAAGCATCGACCTGGCCTGTTTCCATCCATAGTCGGATCGAGCTTGAATATGTTTTGAAGCACATAAAGAATAGGCCCGCTAGGCGTTGGGACGTACTTTCGTCGCCAAGGGCTTCTAGCATGCATATTAAATTGTATAAGGAATCCAGGCAGCACATTGGTTGATCAGTCGAGTTATCGGCTAGTTTGGTGATCATTTCTGCGAGCAATACTAGCTCGTGAGAGTTTTGACGAACGTCAACAAGAAGCTGGATGAGACTGACAGTTGACCCGGCGGAAAGGTATTTGCACTGAACTTGAGATAACATTCTATCAAATTCAAGGAGACGATCTTCTAAGCCCCGGCAAAACGTTTGCATGTATGGAATGGTCTGTTGGAGCTTGGTGAAACGCCGTAAATCGTTGACTTTGGCGCCTATCTCGCTGAAACGCTGCAAAAGCGATGCTAGAGCTTCACTAGATGAATGTGCGAGTGTGTATCTTCGATCCACTCCGAAGTCATCATCCAAACGTACATAAATAGACGTCGGAAGGCCCTGAAGCATAAAGATGGTCTCTCTAGCAAGTTGAGATTCTGTGACAAGTCGCGAGGTGGCTGCTTCCCCCTGGAGCAACGAAGGGTGATTTTCCGCTCTCCAAAATTGAGCCTTTTCTAGAGAGGCCACAAGATCCTCATCCTCTGCCGGAACAAACACTTCATCTGGAATATTGTACCCTTCATCCACTGTCGTGGCGGATTGAGGCCTATGCTTTGGAAGCGATACATCACTGGCAACGGATGAAAAGTCGTCATCTGATGAGTCGCCGGCAAAGTCTACCTGTTCCCAGATTTCTTCGTCGCTGAATGCCGTCCCTTCCGCATTAAGGTCCGACCAGGAAAGAGTCTCTTTTGCTTCTGGTGCCTTGGCCACTTCCTCCGGACGTTTGACCGTAGATAAAAGAGCGGGGCGATCTGAAAGCTGCAGAAATAGACTCAGGATCTCTGGGTGCCAGGAGGTCCGATTATTTTCCAGCTCCGCAATACGATTGTGAAGGGCTTCGGCAAGTTCATCTCTATTCAATATTTGAAACTTTTCCTGTAGTCCTTCGAGTTGCTTGGTCACTGCAAACTGGTCGGTGCGCGTATGAGAACCAGTTCGTAGACTCCCTTGTACACGACGCTTCACACTTTGAACACGCACAGACCCCTGCACATATATTAGTACATTGTGAATGATGATATGAGAATTATGAAAAGTCATTATATTACCTTTTGGTCCGGTGGTATCTTAGCAACTGAAGTGATCAAGGCATCGATAAGCGTACTCAGATCAGCCGCGAGAGCCATTTTAAGAGATATTCTCGGGTCCAGAAACAAGGATCAATCACATCGAGATGTCTCCAGAAGTCATAAAGTGAAGAAACATAATGTTGAAGAGAGACCCGGATGTTGTGCTTGAATGACGCTAATCCCGAAAAGGTAGGATGGCCACTCTTGTTGCGCGCCTCTCCCTCCGTCCATTTTCCCCCTTAAGCAAAGACCATCACTATGGCTGTCGCACGACCGATTCGTATGCTGGGTGCAGCATGCATCCTTCTTTGTCTATTTCTTGTCTTCCAATTACACCAGAGCTCCTCTGAAGAAGGGTCTAGGTTGGTTCATGGCATGAAAAAGGATCCTCTTGTAGATCGTGCGTGGCCCCGGTTTCTTGCCACACCTCCCATTACAACAATCGCCTTCTAAGTGTCATACTAACTATTTTCATAGCGACCGGAGAACCTGTAGGAAACTTATGGCGAGCCGACGAACACGATTATTCCCCCAATAGCGAACAATCTGCCCGCACCAATGCTGCGCTCATCACCCTCGTCCGCAACGAGGAACTGGATCAGTTGCTCTCGACAATGAGTGACCTAGAGCGAACATGGAACAACAAGTTCAACTATCCCTATATCTTCTTCAATGATGTACCCTTCACCGAAGAATTCAAGCAGAAGACTCGGGCAATGACCAAGGCCAAGTGCCAATATGGTACGCATTCCAGTCCGGTTAGAACAAGATGAACCATACCTAACTTTAGATGCAGAACTTGTACCCAAGGAACATTGGGATGTTCCGGAATGGATCAATATGGACCTTTTCCGCGAGTCTGCAAAGGTGTTGGAGGAACAAGACATCCAGTACAGCTCCAAGGTCTCCTACCACCAGATGTGTCGCTGGAACAGCGGCATGTTCTACAAGCACCCTGCCCTCGCAGGCTACCGCTACTACTGGCGTATCGAGCCCAATGTCAAGTTCTTCTGCGACGTCGACTACGATGTGTTCCGATACATGGAGGATGGCAACAAGACTTACGGCTTCACCATCAACCTCTACGACGCACCACAGAGTATCCCGACCCTTTGGCCCGAGACTCAGAAATTCCTCGCCGCCAACCCGTCGTACCTCAGCGACAACAACATGTGGGAGTGGATTACGGATGATGTGGCCCGTCCTGAGCATACCAAGATAGCCAATGGATACTCCACCTGCCACTTCTGGTCCAACTTCGAAATCGGCGATCTCGACTTTTTCCGCGGCGAAAAGTACGAGGCTTATTTCCAGCACCTGGATCGTGCTGGTGGATTCTTCTATGAACGCTGGGGTGATGCTCCAGTTCACTCCCTCGGAATTGGTCTTTTCGCCGATGCCGCCAACGTCCACTGGTAGGTCACATTCTCTTTCTTTCATTTAAGCACCTTCACTCACATACATCTTCACTAGGTTCCGTGATATCGGATACAATCACATCCCGTATCTTAACTGCCCCAATTCTCCCAAATGCTCCGGCTGCAAAGCTGGCCAGTTCTTCCAGGGCGCAGACTTCCTTTCCAAGGAGGATTGCCGACCTACTTACTTCAAGTATGTTGGAACGCACTAATTAACACGATGTCCCGTTTCATCTGTTCTCTCGTCTCTTGTCATTCTGGAGAATTCCTCACGACTCGATTTCTTGCATCACCTTGCATACCCCTATGACTATATTACTGAATGTCAGTGGCTTTGGTACCCGGCGTTTAAGCGGACACATACCTGTGTGTATTGATGATTTTGTGTTCCTTTTTTCCCCTCTCCCCGTTCTTTGTTTAATTCCTTGTCACAAAAATACGTTTTTGGCCAAGTTGCTGTCTTCTGGAGAGCTACGGGTTGTATTTATAAAAATTGCGCATGGTCATAGTTGTTGGCTCAGTTCATCGCAGTTGTCATTTTGTGTGATATATTGGCTACTTAGGAACAAAAACTGAGACTCAACCCAGTCCGACTATTCTGTCATTTAGAGCAAGTAACATTCTCCGTAATGTAAGTGCAGTAACGTTGTCAACTAAGGAAAGAGGATTGAGGACTAAGGGCTGACATGAGCGGTTGATAATACAACAATGCAGGATGACTGAACAAGATGGAACCAAGATAGATTAAGCACCAACCAAGGCACCGAGGACCTTTTTCCAGCCAACAGCACTAACAACACAAGAGAACTCTAAAATATGTATACAGTTTTCTCTGCTACCTAGCCTAATCCTCAGCCAGTCAAACAGTGCTGGATAAACAACGTGCGAGGGGGTACTGTTTAAGAGAAAATTGACGTAAAATTGGAATTGATGATGGGAATTTACGCCTCCTCGGGGTAGAGCTCCTCCCGCAGAGCGACACCCAACTCGACGCGGAGACCCTCGAGGGACGCCAGATATTGCTTGTACTGGTCAGGGCTCTCGACCTTGGCCTTGATGCCTAATGACAGAAATTGCGTTAGCTGTGGTTCACCGAGCGACAACAGTGGAGCTCCAAGATAGGATGTTGCGGGAGCGTACCCTCGAAGACGCGGACAGCGGTAGGGAAGTCGTTAACACGACGGGCGGCCTTGAGAGCGGCAGTGAGGACCTCGACGGAGGGAACGAGATCGTAAGCGAAGCAGTTGTTCAGGTTGCGCTGTTTGCAAAGATATGCATTAGTCATTTGTCGAATCGGTGCGGATAAAGAAGCCTCAAGTCGAGTGACGGGTGCGGCTGATGCCTTGAATCGCATGCCGATCAATATGCTTCAGGTGAAGTCGAGAGAGAGTCATACCTGGAGCTCGAAAACGTCCTGCACACCATCGAATTCCTTCTCGAATCTGTCATTGGGACATGCGGTTAGTATGAGATGTCCCTGTCATGTCCAGATGATTGCCGATGTTGGTTCCGGGAAGCGCCTAACATGGAGATGCAAGGCGCTTCTGTCCGACTCCTCCGGCTTCAATGGCATGCGATTGGGGGCGTACCTGGCAGTGAACTCTTCAAATGTCTCATCCTCGTGGCCGGAGCGGAGCATAGAGGTGGTACCGAAGTTGTGGGCGCGGGCGGCAGCCAGAGTCACCGGGGACTGCATCCGAGACCGGGTCAATTGGGGAGCTCTAAAGACGCCGGTAGGGCGAACGGCGCGGGTCGCCACACGGAAGATAGATAGGGACGACATTTTCAGAACGTGACCACGGTGGACCGGACAGGAACAATGGTGAGGGGAGAAGTGTGGATGGGGACGGGAAGGGGAGGTGTGAAGTGCCTCTAGGATTTTGCGGGTGGTGTGTTGTTGACGCCTGAGGCAGCAATTCGTGTGCTGAGTCATCATCCGATAGGCCCCGTTCCAAGTCTTGATCTCAAATGATGGATGCTGATTGGCTGGACGGCTGTCACTTTCTAGATGCGTGTCATTGGCCGAGTCTTACGGTCATGACAGTTCGAAGGTTGGGTTCAGGTTATACTCCAAGATTAATTTGGGATCACTTGGGTATCGATTTCTCTAATCCGAGAAGGCTCAGTATTGAAGAAGGGTGTAATCTTAAAACACAAAAGATAGATTGTGAGGATAATTGGATGTCAGATGTTGTATTTTTTTTTCTCATCCCCATTGCGCAAAGAAGCCGGCTCAAATGATTATTGGGGAACTCCCCAATTCAATTAATCTACTGTGAGTATGGCACTCCATAAGCTCAGGACGATAAGCAGGTACCGGAGAATTTAAGTAAGTTGTACTCCGTAGTTACATGAGTGGTGGCTTTTAAGCTTAGACCTCGGCTGAGTACAGTACTCTACAGTTGACAACATCTCATTCTAAGATCTTTATAACTTTCAATCTTTTCGACCCATTGATATGGTGCCATTTTTATCTAAGCAAGAAACTCCCAAGAGATGAAATAAAGCGTGGATAAATTGATGTACATGTCTTTATTCTACGGAGATGCTCTTCATCCTCCCCTGTACGGGCTACCACAAGCAGGCGTACGCGACCTTGATATTCCTGTCAAGCTATGGCAAATTTCAAACTCCAATGGCATTCAGTTGTAACCCGAATATGTAATGTGAAATGACCAGATTTTTAATGCAACGCTTCGGGTGCGGATCTACTCCGTGGTTGAGGCGGAGAGAATCCACCTAACGCCTTAGCCTAACGCATTAGCCATTAAGAGCAAAAGGTGGTCACTTGCCCAAGATATGTACGGAGTGCATAGCACTTGATTTGCATAAAGCCTCGGTAATTTCGCGTATATATTCCAAAGGTATTTCTATGTAATATACAATGCACTTTTGGCGTTGAACCAGTCTCGCATGTGGTTTCACACCAAGGACAACATGGCATCTACACAGTGCACTCCATGTTTTGTGATCTGGAGTTGATATTAAGAGTATGATAATAAGATCTAATTCTAAATTGAATCTGATAATGGTTCCCATGTTCGGACAATATACTCCGATGCGATCGGAACCTGATCTTCCCCTTTTCTCATTGGCACGCTAAACCCTTTTGGGTCCTCAACGGACGCGCCGGACGTAAAAAGTAGTTGTTCTCTTATTTCTCCAGCTTTTCCCTCTCTCTTCCCCTTTTCCCACTTTCTTTTCTCCAGCTTTCTTTCCATTCATTCTTTGCCTTGCCTGTTTTGTTTTGGCGGTTCATTGCGGTCCTATCACTGCCCCGTCAAGAAAAGAACAGGTTGCCTTTCCGGGCTATCGCCATCTTCAATTCCACATCCATTTGCTTTGAGAGAACAACCCAATCTTGTCACAATGGCGTCTGAAATCCTCAAACATGTCTCGGCTCCGACTATCGATCGTCCCTTTGGTGTGCACTTGTGGCCCCTCTTCAATCAAGTCTACGAGAAGGTTATGGGATATCCTGCCAGCGAGTTTAACTTCACCGAGGGTGTGACCCCTCTGTCCACCTTGAAGGAGACTACACTGATGCTTATCACCTACTACACTATCATCTTTGGTGGCCGTGAGGTTATGAAGAAGTTACCTGCGTTCAAGCTGAACACCTTGTTCATGATTCACAACCTTATTTTGACCACCGTCAGCGGTATCCTGCTGGTCTTGTTCATTGAGCAGCTGCTCCCTACTCTCTGGCGACACGGAGTCTTCTACGCTATCTGTGATCAGCAGGGTGGTTGGACTCGCCCTCTGATCATTCTGTACTACGTAAGTTGCAAAGCGCTTGGACCATCAGAAGAGAAACTCACCCCAATCTCCATTAGCTCAACTACATCAACAAATACGTCGAGTTCATTGATACTATCTTCCTGGTTCTGAAGAAGAAGCCATTGACCTTCCTTCACACCTACCACCACGGTGCTACCGCTCTCCTCTGCTACACTCAGCTTATCGGTGTGACTGCTGTGCAATGGGTGCCCATCGCCATCAACCTGTTGGTTCACGTTGTGATGTACTGGTACTACTTCCAGAGTGCCCGTGGCGTTCGCATCTGGTGGAAGAAGTACATCACCATGCTGCAGATCGTCCAGTTCGTGATTGACGTCGGTAAGTCGTTTCAGGCCCGAAAACCTGTGCCAAATGGAAAACTGACAGTCTCAAGGATTCATCTACTTCGCCTCGTACACCTACTTCACCTCCGTCTACTTCCCGTGGCTCCCTAACATGGGCAAGTGTGCTGGTGAGGAATTCGCTGCCATGGCTGGTATCGGAATCATCAGCTCCTACTTGGTGCTGTTCATCTCCTTCTACATTGCTACGTACAACAAGACCGCCAAGACCGGACGTCCCCGCCGCAACACTGGCCAAAAATCGTTGATCGACATGAAGAACTTCGAGATTCCTTCCCCGGCCGGCCTCGGCAGCGCCAAGTCCACCGGTCGCTCCAACGGCCCCGTGACACGCTCTCGCAAGGCCTAAATGACTAACTGAAGTACAGTCGCGTCTGAAACTTTTCAGCGTGTGATTTGGAAGAAAATTAATTGCCCCACGAGTTTGGCTGTGGAATCATCTTCGGATGAGCCATTAATTCATCCAATGCTTGTGGCCAAACAAAGGCAGAGTAGCCAGACTGCTCTTCGGTGATGCGTCCCTATTTGTTTAATGAATGACCACCTCATGATGCCAGGTCCATTAGCCGGGCATGGGGTATGTGCCTCGGAGTTGTTGGAATACATGCGCCGAAACTTTTGTCGGAAAAACCTGCAGGGGGAATGCTCTTGGATTATCCCAACGGTCTCGTCATGATTGTACTCTATAATGTTTTCTTCTTCTGTTCATGTTTGTCGTTATCACCCGTTTGGTGGCGTGCCATTGGATTGTACCATTCGCCCTTATAATTAAAGATGCATTGATAGACGTCTCGTCAAATAAAGAGAAATATAATCGTGTCCGTTCCTGAAACATTAGCCAGATAGATTGGGAAAGAGACCACGTGCCACATGGCCGATTCGCATCTGGTCAGCACGACCGGTTTTCTTTTCTGGGCAACGTTGATTGCCCATGCTGTAAGCACCTTCCGCATAGCCGGGACTCACGATGCATCTCCCATGCACCGTCTGTGTCCTGAGAGACAAGCCCGTCTCATCAAGGCTATCCATGCAAGCCTATCGACTCCACCCCCAAACTATTGGAAGCCAAACAAATAGCCATGTTGGTATGGCAACATCAAAGCTTGCAGTCATACCTCTGGTCGCACCATGTGCAGGATCATACAGGAAACTGCACGGGAGAAACGGAAACGCAGGAACAGGCACCGCCAGGTGGAGCTTCGCGCGCATCATGGCCTGTGCGACAAGGCACCACCAACGCCACGAAAGTGATGTATCTCGTATGCCCCGGACATTGGTCCAATTGACCCAGTGAACCCGGCGATCATTGTCACAGTGTCGAGTGCCAAAACGGTTCGAGCCTCAGCCCCCCGGAGAGAGAAAGCCCCAAAAATAGGGTTGAAATCGGAAGGCGACGAGCAAGGCAGGTTATATCCAGCCTCCCAGGTTCCAAGAACGGTGACTATCATCACGTCTCCTCGCACCAAGCCTACCTAACCATTTGAGGTCATGGGGGCTGGACACAATTTAAGAGACCAAGGGCAAGAAGAAAAGTCAAAGGCCAGGACCCAATTTGCATTTTTTCTTTTTGCTCATTGCCCAATTTCGTGAAAATTTTACAAGCGCCTTGCTTGGATGTCATGCGCGTGGTTTATTCGGAGACTGGACATGTAGGGCCGGGCTATGCTGCCGGAGCATGGGCACCAATTTGAGAAAAGAGAAAAAGAAAAAGAAAAGATAAGAGATTAGCACGCAGTCGTAGCCGTGTTGACGTTTATAGTGAAGATCAGCATATGAACTCGCGATGGGCCTAGTCCGATTTGAAACGCTTTGGACATGCAAACGGAGCTCTGGTGCCGAATCCCTCTAGCGTTGAGACCCACTGGGTACGGGGTATATTGGTCAATGCAAGCCAGTTGAAGCAAAGGTCAAGAATTTGACGTGCAGAATGTGTATGTATCCAAGAGCTGGGAATATGGAGTCCTTGCCGGTGGCACTAGTAGAGGATTTTAGACTGATGATAGATGATATCGATGGATGCCGGGTGAGATCGATTGGAAAATCGCCGAGAAACGGATAGATAGAAGGAGAGAGTACGAAGGTAGGGAGTTATTCATCTTTCCAGCATCTTCGCTGATGTTAATCGTCATGGTCATTCCCCGTCCTTGAGCGCTGGAGACCAAAACCCCTGATTTCTCCTTGAAGAGTAATATACCTCCAACCTCCAACCCCCTCAAGGTTAGCATGTCCGGACCCCTGGCATCTTAAGGAAACTTTCCCTTCTCCGAAGGATTCCGAGTCCACCGTGTAAAACTAAAGAGAGAGGTTCGCAAGTGTGTTTGAGGTATATACGGCCCCACTGATCTCGGACTTGGCAACTTGTTAAACGCCGGATGTGATTCGAGTCCTTTTTTAGTTACTTGCTGTTCCACGCCGTTCCTACGGGTGAGTTCATTCCAATTTTCAAATTGACAAGTTGGTTCGCAATATAGAATGCGCACGGGGATGTCTCATTGACATCCCGCTCATGCGGAATAGATACTTGTCTACTCTCCTACTCTCCTACTCTCCTACTCTCCTACTCTCCTACTCTCCTACTCTCCTACTCTCCTACTCTCCTACTCTCCTAGATACAAAGGTTCTTTCTGATCAGACCCGTTGGGGCATTCAAGCTCTGCTCTTCATATGCATGTCCCTACCTTTTGAGGTAGAACAAAATCGCGGAGCATTAGGCGCATGGGCTTTGACCAATAGCTCATGATGATCTATCAGATCAGGCCGGAATACATGTGTTGGATGTGAGATTCTATCATCCTATGATTTTCTTCTCTTTTAATCTATTTATTCTTTTCTCTATCAGTCTAGTCTTCCCGCCTCAGTCTTTTTCTCCTTTCTCCCCCTGCTGATAAACCCGCCCTATTTTTTTTTCTACATGCAAGGGTGAGACACCAATCACGTCCAAAACCCTCAAGGTTCACACTGGCTATGGAGCACCAATTTAGTCCTAGCAAATTCAGGTTTATTGAACCCTTTCTCTGCCTACACGTGTCCAGGCGGTGGAAAAATGTTCCTGGATGCCTTTTCTTCCTTCTCCGTGCTCCGGCTTGAATCTATATACATCCCCTGCCCATAGCTCCTGGGTCCCACCTCGGTCCACTTCCTTAAAGAGCCCTTTTTGTCGCCCTGGTGGATTGTCGGATCTTCTTTACAGCGATTTTACCCTGCGATTTGATAGCTGTTATATCTGCTGGGGGATCCTCAGTTGGTCTTGGATTTTGGGGTTGCGGTTCCCTTTTGCTTCCGAGCTGCCTATTCTTCGGAACTGCCTACATTTTAGAACAGTCACTCTTTCTTCTCTTCTACCTTCAACCCCCAATTACAACCATACGACTGTCAGGAACATGTTTGAACCTACTCCCTCACTGAGCCTACACCGCTTGAGCAGGCATAGCCTCCAAGATCGATACGAGTCAGACGAGGAGGCTGTATCTGAGTCTGATACAGGCGCCCAAGATGTACTTTTCTCGCCCGTAGGTTCACGAGCCGAAATCTTCGATTCCGACCTCAGTGCCGATGAGAATTCACAAGACTATGATCGGGATGAACAAATTCGGGCTCCGCCAACGGTCAAACGGTCCCGGCCCGTCTCTTCTGCCACTATCAAGAGAAACAGCGATGCCACCTTTGACGAAGATACGTATGTCTTTGATCCGGAAGAGCAGATTATTCTTGAACTGCCACCGTCAGATTCTCCGCCACAACTGGCAGCCAGTACCTTTCTACCACCATCGATGTACGTTTGGCCAAAACCACCGCAGCCGGCCAACTCGAGGTCCCGCTCGACTTCACCCTCGTCGCTCTTTTCCGTAGAGGAGGTAGACATCCAGGTTGCAAAGAAGGTCACTATCATGGAGCCCGGAACTCGTCCTACATTGGTCTTGATCAACGCCCTGGGACCACGGTCAAAGACCTCAAAACCTCGTCCTAGTCACTCTCGCTCCCGGGAAAGCAGCCGCACTCGCTCTGTGCTTGTCAGGGCCGATAGCCGTCGCCTGACAATGCAACGCTTGTCAGACTCAGTCACCCAGCCACCACGAGTATCTGAGAAACGGAACACCATGAAGCAGGCGCCCAAGATAGCTCCAGTCCCAGCCCTGGAAGAAGATGCACAGTTCACACCCAGTGCAATCACCAAACGAGTTTCCGAGATCCCCTCTTTCCCAGCACCACCACGCACACTCCCATTCCCAGAGCACCGACCCCGACCCCGAACATCAGGCACTGACAAAGCAATGCCACCCCCGTCACTAAACCTGCGCACCTATCGACCCCCTTCAATGCGCAGTGTAAGCAGCATCAGCGTCCCAGCCTACACCTCCCGCCCATCAACACCGTCCTCGGCCGAGGATGGCAAAAAAAGCCACTACACCGATGCACCATCCAAACTCACCAGAGTCTGCAGCCCGGCCTCAAATGCATCCACTTCACCACTGCCATCTATCTCCTCTAAGCGCAGTGGGCCTTCCACCTACAGCGTATCGAATATTCTCACAAGTCGCTCGCCACTTATGATGCGTCGCATGACGAGAAAACACTCCTCCTCGAGCGTCCATTCGCTTAGTAGTCTGCGCTCAGAGGTCGGCGTCGATGGTCCCTCTTCGTCACAGATCTCGGTTGCTACACAGCCTATTCCGCATCCCAGCGCTGACTGCCATATCGTACGTAAGTCGAGCCAACGTCGCCATACACGACATGCTAGCGTTTTGCCCAGTGGGAGGGGATTTATGGGATTGAAGCTGGGGAGGAAATCGCACAAGACTTAGATGGCGTACCTGCCTCGTTGCTTTTTTCTTCTTTTTCTTTTCTTCCTCTTTCTTCTTTCTTCAGTTTTCAGTCTTTCAACCTTCTTATTACTATCTTCTTTTGGTTTTCTGGTGCTTAATATATATTGATCTATCGATCTAGTGGTGTTTTTATGGGGGGCATCTTTTATGTGGCTTGAGTTCCCGAGGTTTAATTCTGGTGTCTTTTTGGTGTTCGCTGGTTTCTTTTGGCGCAACTATGCTATTTCATGTCCCTCTCTCGTCACCTCTGCTTCTGATCAGCTAACTTATGACGGGCGTGGACTTGGACAAGGCGAAATCATGTCACCTTCTAGAATGGCTAATGTCGACTTCAATCTTTGGCGCAGGGGATCTGATTTGAGGAAATTGTGGGGTGGTTTTATCTTCTGGGTACGGATAATACAATCGTTCTGAATAACATTGCTTGCAAGCCATCGAGGCATCTCTTCACACTCTCAGCTCCGGGAGGTCAACGGTCTCCAGTTTCCCTGGAACCATACGAATCAAGACTCGTGGTCTCCCACTCCACCATCTTGGCTAAACGCTAGCGATTTAATGAGTTTTCTTGAAAAAAAAAAAATTTTTACATGTCTTGCGAGCGTGCAGGAAGCTGAGCAAGGGGTACTCGATCATTTCCTCATATTGGTAACCCGGAAAACCAGCCGGAGTCTGGTTTAGGTGAATTCCTAGCTACAGCCACTAGGGACATGGTCAACCAATCTTGAGTTGCCGATATGGCCATGTTCCGTGCTCGGTGCAATAGAGACGAGAATGTGAAAATTTCATATTTGTTTGACCCACTGACCCGATCGATCCGGGACTGGGAGGGCACAGCCCGCCAGGGGTTCGGGGACTCCACCATGAAGATCTTTATTAAAATGCCAAGTTTGGCATTCCCTGGATTGGGAGTGCCCCGTAATAAGAAATTGTTGCTCAAGGTTAGCACGTGCACTAAGAACTCGACCTACTGACATGATAGTAGTTAACCATTCATCCGGCGTGAGCTTGGAATTGAGCATGAAATCAAGCCACTGGGGCACAAGATGTCGCAGTGAACAAGGAGCGATGCACAACAGAAGATGCAGTCACAAAAAGACGATGGGTTCCAGGCGATGCCTATTTCCGTGCCTCCAGGGCAGCTTTGATGGCTGTTGGGAATAGATCAGCATTATTTTCGTTCGTAGATAACCATGCAAGTGACACTTACCGTCGCAGGAGGTCTTGGCATCGCCAAATAGCATCCGAGTTCCGGGCATAAAGAACATGGGGTTTGGAACGTCAGCTGTGGATAAGGTTAGATGGGTTCATTCATCAGGGACGGCAGAGAGCACAATCATACCATATCCGCTGGACATCCCCCGCTTCATTACAATAACCTCCTTGCTCTTCCATGCATGGAGGACAGGCATGCCGGAGATAGCGGAGTCGGGCTCCATGGCGATAGGGTTAACGGTATCGTTGGCGCCAATCACGAGGGTGACATCTGTGTCTGAGAAGTCCTCGTTGATCTCCTCCATCTCCAAGACGACTGCATCGATTGTCAGCAAATGGACTATCAGTCTAAGACGATGAATGACTTACTGTCGTAAGGCACAGAGGCCTCTGCAAGCAGCACATTACATTGGCCGGGCATTCGGCCAGCAACAGGGTGAATGGCGAAGCGAACCTTGACGCCACGCGCACGCAGCAAGCCAACAATCTCCGAAAGAGCATACTGGGCTTTGGCAACAGCCATACCATAGCCAACCACAATGATGACATTCTCCGCGCCAGATAAAGCTTCTACGGTGTCATCGATGCTAGTTTGCTTGATCTCGCCCTCGATCTTCTTCTGGGTTTGCGCAGCTGGAGTCGAGATTCCACCGAATAGGACGTTTGTCAGCGACCGGTTCATATTAACGCACATGATGTATGAAAGAATGGAGCCGCTGACACCGATCAGAGATCCGACACTGGTGAGAAGTGGATTGTCGAGCATCAGACCTTCAGCCACGAGGGCGAATCCGGAATAAGCGTTCAACACCGTGATGACCACGGGCATATCGGCCCCACCGATAGCTGCGGTCGTGGTGTAGCCCTTCAGGAAACTAAGGACGGTGCTTGTTCCCAGACAGATAGCAGCAATTGCAGGGCTTCCTGGCGCCAGTGTAATGAACGCTCCCATTGTTGCCATGTTACTGCCCAACAGTGTCGAATTGAGAACGTGTCGGCCGGGCAGAATCGTCGGCTTGGAAGACATACGCCCTGCCAGTTTCAGAAAAGCGACGATCGAGCCGGTAAAGGTGATACCACCAATCAGAACACCCAGGTATGCTGTTGTCAGGTGTAGAGTTGTGATGTCACCAACATCGGCCATCACACTTCCGGCGCTAGTCAAAACCGCAGCCAATCCTACTACCGAGTGAAGAGCAGCGACGGTTTGGGGAAGACCGGTTGGTGTGATGCGACGGCCCATCAATCCTCCGATCAAGGCACCTGTTCCAGCAACAGCCGTGAACTGCGCGAGGGTCTCAGGAGAGAAGCCTACCGCAGCTAGTGAGGCCAGAATACCGGAGGCTACTCCCAGGATGCCGAAAATGTTGCCGCGCCGGGCTGTTTGCTGCGATGCCAGACTAGAGATTGAGCCCATGCATAGCATCGTGCTGACGAGATATCCAGCTTGGACCAGGCCGGACATGCCAGTGCTGGCAGCCGCAATGAAGCCACCACCAAACACCACAGCGGGGACAGCGTACAGCCATGGGTACTCGGGAGGGTCGGTTGGACGCTTGAACATGTCCAGCATGCGCTTCGTGACCACAAAGCCGCCGGAGATGTTCAGGAAAGCCAAAAACACGGAGACAGCACCGAAATATTCCGGGATAGTAGTCGGCACATAGCCTCCTCCCATAATGAACAGTCCACCAATGCCTACCATGCCAGAAATGGCGTTGGTAACGCTCATGAGCGGCGAGTGGAGTGCAGGTGCTACTCCCCACACAGCGCGATAGCCGACCAGACCAGCAAGTCCGAAGGTCATCATGTTGCCCATAAAGACTGGACCAGCTGCCTTTCCCAGGGCTAGGGTCGTGCCCATTGCGCCTGTTACCGCTGTCACATCGCGTGTTGCCTTTTGCCACGGCGTCAAAGCGACTTCCTCCTTTGCCCTGACAGCTTGTGCCTCTGGCTTTGGGGTTGGAGGTGGAGCGGGTGGAGCAGCAGGGGGGATTATTTCGCCATTATGAGTCACGATAGAGCCGCGCACAACTTCATCATTAAAGTCTATTCCAAACAACTTCTCCTGGGGAGACATGGAGAGAAGGTACTTGGTAATATTGTTCGAGTACAACGTTGAAGACTGGGTAGGGAGACGCGAAGGAAGATCCGTGTAGCCGATGATGGTGACATCCTTGTAGCTACTCAATTCCCCGGGAACAGTAGCTTCGCAATTCCCACCTGCCTCAGCAGCAAGATCAACGATGACAGAGCCTGGTTTCATTGCAGCAATCATTTCCTTAGTAATGAGCTTCGGCGCAGGTCGGCCTGGGATCAGGGCCGTGGTGATGATGATATCAACCTCCTTAGCTTGCTCCATGAACAATTTCATTTCAGCTTCGATGAATTCCTTGGACATTTCTTTGGCATATCCACCCTGACCAGATCCATCTTCCTGGAAAGCAACCTCGACAAACTCGGCGCCTAAAGACTGGACTTGCTCTCGCACAGCCGGGCGGGTATCAAAGCCACGAACAATAGCACCCATGCGACGTGCAGACGCGATTGCGCTCAACCCAGCTACACCAGCACCAATAACGAGAATTTTACTGGGAGGAATTTTTCCAGCGGCAGTGACCTGGCCAGTCAAGAAGCGACCGAAGTGATTAGAAGCCTCCAGTACCGCCTTGTAACCTGCAATGTTGGCCATGGAGCTAAGGGCATCGAAAGTCTGCGCACGAGTGATTCGCGGAATGCGATCCATCGCAAAGGAGGTCACGCCACGGGCTGCAAGTGCTTCGACGAGGGGCTGGTTCTGGAGGGGATAGATGAAAGAGATCACGGTCGAGCCTTTGCGTAAAGCCTGAATTTCATTGAATGGTCCCTCCGACCGCGGGCTGCGGACCTTCAACACGATGTCACTCTGAGACCAGATTGCATCCCGGTCGACCATTGTCGCACCGGCCTTTTCGTAGGCATGGTCCAGTAACTGAGCGCGCTCGCCTGCACCGCGTTCGATGAGCACGCGGGAAACTCCCTTTTTCAACAGAAGGGCAACATTCTGTGGCGTGAGTGCCACCCGGCGCTCGCCCGGAAAAATTTCCAGCGGGACTCCAACAGTCAAGACTGAGTAGGGGGTGTTAGACACAGGCTCGGAGGGGGATGAGGCAAGGGAGGTTGTAGCGGTTCGTTTGGAAACGGAGGGCCATTGTGGCCGGCAAACGGACGGGCGTTTGTTTAGCGACGCGAAAAATGCTGATTTGAGGAAATGGGTTAGAAATCAGGCCAACTTGGGCTTTCGACGCCGTAATTTTGGAGAAGCTTACTTGATGTTACCGGAAGGCATGATTTCCCCGCGCGAGCCATAGACGCCCCATAACACGGCCGTAGGGCTGACCGCAGGGATGCTGGAGCACTCATTGCAAGCAATTCTGCAAGCTGTACGTTCTTTCGGGTCTTTTTGTGCTCATCTGATATCTAATGGGCCCAGAAAGGGGGAGCAGAACCAATGTGCCACATCCAGTCCAGAATGAAAGGCAGATAGACGCAATGCTAGAGAGAATTCAGAGCCAAAGCCTCAAGGGGGATCGGACTTCACAGCCAAAGGACAGAATGAAAGAAGAGAAAGGAGGGGCACTTGAAGCGAAGTGAAAGCACAGATCTCGGAGCAACGTCCAAGCAAAGAGGGGAAGCGGCTATGTACAATTCCTACCGTGTGATGAAACCGGGACATTTGTGTAGAGATTGGTGGCTTCAATTTTCCTCTTTTCACTTGTGTTGTCCTTTTTTTTTTAATGAGAGTTAGTTATACGCGGAGGAGGCGTTAGAAACGATTGGTAAAAAAAACCCTTGCTTCTCCAATCAACATTTCAGGAACCATGACAGGTATTGATAGCATAACAATTTGAATTAGCTAGAATTAGCTAGATTATTCTATGATCTAAGCCGGAAAGCCATCTACTGCAATACATAAGTCATTCTGTGCTCGGAACTAGGAGCTGATTACCAGTTACCCTTCCACATTCCTCTACCTCATCGACCAGTGTTCGATTCGCCATGGTCAGTGGAGCCAAGTTCCTCCACAGTCTCCGTAGCACCCTTAGTATCAATGAAGTGAGTAATGCGATCTTGAGGAAGCCAGGCACTCTCAGGCATCATGAAGTAGGAGATCAACGCCAAGATGGTGACTCCAGCCATGATAATGGGGGCATCTACCCCAGGAAGTTAGCAAGATAAATCCTACGGGAAAGAGAACAACGTACAATTCAAGTTCTCGCCAGTGACTGGGAACACGTAGGGCGAGAACAGGATAGCGACAACCCAACCATTCCAGAAGACACCAATGAACTGGAATGGCTTACTCCAGCGGCCGAGACTCCACTGGGGCTTCGGGAAGCGCGTCGGAGTGCACAAAAGTCGACCCAAGCAGATCAGACCGTAAGCCGCAGCGCTGGGAACACCGGCTGCCGAGACGAGGGAGGTAAACGCCGTCGCGGATGGAAGAATGGTGCAAGTGACCAGCGCGCTGACAATCCAGACAACGATAACTGCGTTCCGTGGCTGACCGTTGTTAATCCGAGAAACCCAACCCGAGAAGGGAAGGACGCCATCACGGGCGACGGCAAAGACAAGACGAGAAGCGGCGATGATCGCAATGGCGGTGTTCTAAGAACCGAAGTCAGCTATGAGAGATTCAGATCCAGAAACAGAGATGATAGCTCACCAGCCATAACGCGAAAACGCAGATCACGTTCATGAAGATATGACCGCCCTTGCCCAGAACCACAGCGTAAAGAGGCACAAAGGGTTGGGGCCCGCCAAAGCCCAGAAGTGTGTCGGCGTTGGGCTAAACGACCAACGAGGTTAGAAATTTGAAAAGTTGGAAGAGATTCATAGAGCCTCAAGGAGACGAACCGCGCAAAACAAAAACAGAATGATCGTAGCCAACCCCCCAAATCCACTAGCAACGGTACTCCAGAAGATACCCCGAGCAGCAGTAATAGAGGCATTCTTGGTTTCTTCCGCCACGTGACCCGATGCATCGAATCCAATCAAAATGCCAGCGGTAGCAAGATAAGAAAGACACCAGTTCCAGCCCGCGGGTGCTCCGGTACCGTTGTACGTGGTCATAAAGGCCTCGTGAGTGGTACGGAATCCCCAGGTTTGAGCGGTTCCAATGGGGAGCCAGATAACGTTGAGGACGAAGTCGAGCATGACCACTGCGGATGACCCCCAGAAGACATATCTGAAATATCGAGCTAAAACTGCTGTCAGAAGTAGTGAATCACAGTTAACCCACTGGGACATACGAGGCAAAAAGTTCAACAGGACGGCCAGGGCAAGCAAGATCTCAGTGCAGATCCACTGGACTGCGCGAAATTTGACACTACTTGGGTCTGATGGGAAATCAAGGTTGAATACGGTGATTTCCTGGAAAGCGATGTATCAGTCCAAATCCCGCGGGAATCCTTGAAAAAGAGAGCCTACCGCAAGCATATAGTTCACCGCAGCCTGGGTATTGCCTATTTTCAAATTCAGTTCGAATGCATGCCTTGGCGGGGTAGACACACGACCTACTTGCACAGAATGTGGTCCAAGCCGTTGTACTCCACCAGGCAACGATAAAGCCAAGGAGTCGGCCAAATCGAGGCCCACCAGCTTCGGCGGCCCACAAATAGATCGACCCGGCGGATGGAGACGCCGAACAAACCTCCGCGATGACAGCAGCGGTAATGAAGGTAAAGACCATGGTCACTAGATAACTAGTCCAATAGGCCAGGTTTCCCCCGGCGGCAATACCCGTGCTAAACGTAACGCGAACACCACCGACAAAGTAAAGCGCAGCTAGATTCAAGTCACTATAAATGCGCCCTTGCATGGGTGAACCGCAACACACGTACCGAATGTGGTCGAGAAATTCTCGACCAAAGTGTATGTCCGATGAAGAACCTGTTCAGCGACTCAGTGATCGCAGATCATCTTCATCTTTACGATTTGACCTACTGGCTTATAGCCCATAGTTTGCTGGAAGATCACAGATGTCAGTTGATTTGCAAGTTACAAAAATTTAAAAAACAAAAAAAAACAAGCCGGATTGCACCACTTACCAACAAGGCGGCATCATCCTGATTCTTGAGCTCAGCCCGATCAACTTCACCCTCACCTTGATTGGTAAAAAGGGCAGCGGAACCACCGATAGGTTCAGGAGAGGCCATATTTGACAGAGATGGGAACAGAAAGAGACCAAGGGTGAGAACTCAGAAAATTTGAGGGTTGACTTTTGGTTAGTCCCGCGGTCATAACGTCCCTAAATTGATCCACCGGGAATGTTAGGCCCCACAAGAATGGGTTGATTTGATGACCAGGACTATTTTTGATTAATAGCGGTTGTGTTATCATTTACATAAGAGTCTTGCGATGTTGAACTTTTTAATATTGCAAGGTTGGTAAACTGCGGTGAACATGATGAGTTCCAAAAAAAAAATAAAAATAAAAATACAAAATCAAAAATAAAATGGGGAGTTCGGAAAGGGTCCAAGATCAGCTCGGACTTGTCTGATCCGTAAATTGAACTTAATCTTATAAAAAAAAAACCATTGCACGTTTTTAAAAGTCTGGAGTGTGTAGAGACTTGACTAGAGATAGTTCTTATATTCTCCATCTACAATGTTCTTTGGTGACACCGATCAGTCCAATATCGCTGATTTTGGGATTTGGTGAGTGGATGGTCCACCCCTGACAGGCTAACATGACTAGTAGTGCTAGTCGTGTTAGCTTGCTGCGAGATGGACTATATAGACGGAGTACAGTTGACCACTATAGCTCTACCGTCTCCGATCTCTCCTTCAACCAGGGATCTCAGTGGGAAGACTTTTGTTTTGATTAGATCAACTTGTTGAGTTGTATACTTATCAGACACTTCCTATATCCCAAGTTGTCTTGCCAGCTCGGGGCTGTCCTACCACCTCAGCCAGATGACACATCGTTGTTAAAATAAAGCGGTATCTCAGCTCGAGTCCATCACATAAGAATCAGGAAAGAGAAGGATGGAAGCAACGTTCAAGGCTCACAGACTACCGACGACAACCCCATCCGCTCTAGGCTATCAAGATATGTTTCTCTGCCGTTTCTCTGCACTGCCCGCATGCCTACGGCATGTTCAATCATGTGTACCTTAAGGCCAAATCCTATTGTAAAACTCCCTGAACACGGAGCAAAGATTGTTGCACAGGGCGTCTCACTATGCGATAGACTAGGACTCTTGCAGACCGAAGGTGGACAAGCCCAACAAAGATAACAAGAAGATGATTGATAACTCTTAGTATCTTTAGTTTTAATAACTTTGAAGGGAATCGACAGGACTGCGTAAGTAGTAGACTCAAGAGACTCAAGAATGACAGACTCGCTACCTGGGGAACATACTTCTTAAATCCGTATTATGCGGTGCCCTTCCTCAGCCAGGCAGCTTTGCTCGCGGATCAAGCTGTCGTGCTTTTGGCTGAAGGCAGGGAAAATCTGAAAATTTGTGGGAAGAAATGAAATTTGGGCGTTTCGCGGTCGAGTATATCAACGACGTCAATGGTTGCTCTCTCGATTCCCTGTACTATATTTCTGCGCTGTTTGGGCGCCATGGGTGTTCCTTGGACTAGATCTGTTGGAAGATCACATGCTGACATCCCGTTTGCTCCTAGTACTAGTCAAGTTCATATCTGTAAATAGTTTCACTTTCTTCTTCTCTCTCCACACCATACAAGATTTCCAGTCAGATCTACAGCTTCATACTTGTAGATACTGTCTATCAGGATCCCTCCACAGCGATGTTGTGGTGATGACTACTGCTGCAATGGAAGACCCGCTTGGCATTTCTATGGACTTTGAGCTGGTCGAGAAGTAGGAACTAGTGGTCATATGTCCAGGGTACGTGAGTGACACAGAGCCTGATACCCTTGTCGGGAGACATGCTGTGGAATCTGATGCCCTGTTAAGATGTAAAACGTGATCGCTGTGAAGGGTGGGGGGCTGGCATTACAGATCTAAGCAGGAGATAGGAATCACTAGAGGCAGCAACAAAAGAATCAGAGAATGGAACCAGTGAAAGGAAGGGACCTCGAAGAAAACAAAAGGGGGGCATAATGATATTCTTCGAACAACCGAGAGCTATCAAGGCTAATGACGAATAGCCATTATTTCAAGTGTCCATGTCTGAACACTAGTTCACCTCCAAGTTTTGTGCCCGACGGAGATACACACGGAGGGCGTACCGTTGTCTGCCAAGAGCTGAACTAAACGGCTCACTTCTTATCTTTATTATGTGCTCTGGGAGTCAACTTTGGGAACCTTTCCACAGAGGTGGATGTTCTAGCTAAGGGGAGTCCAAAAACCTCGGAAGGCCCTCTGGCCCAGGAGGGGCGCCGAAGGCAAAACCCATCAAGTCTTGGCCAAAGGCTTTCATTGTAAAAATTGGAAACATCTCAATATCACAAGCTAAACAATCATAGACTCTAAATGCTCTATAGCGGTTTTCTCAGGCTTGAAGCTTTTAGATCGACATCAACGCTAAGGACTCGTGCACAGGGACTGAAGACAACACTGCTTTTCGAGTTGGCTTGAATTGAAGTCACACAATCACAAGAGAGTCGATACTCGAAAGATTCATCTATCGAACCTAACTCAACATCTAGCATATTCGGCTTGCTTCAGGGAAGCTCACCTCGAGCTTGTGGAGGCCGTTGGTTTGTACAAGTTGATCATTGAGAATAGGAATCAAACTACAAGATCAGTTTCAAATCCAAGCGAAACGGAAAATTCACTTACAATGCACTCTTCAAAAGGCACGCTGGAGTTTAGAATAGCCCCCATGGCCGCCCGAGCAATCGTCACTGGCACCCCAACATACACCGCCTGTTGCTCTGCCTGTTCAAGGACGGCCTCATTGCGTGAGGGAACGTTTACGGAAGCCCGGGTGGATTTGAACCGAGTTGCCTCGCGGACATATGCGGCTCTATGTAAGTGAAGGAGTCAATGTCACAGTCATAACAGTAGATCAGCGAATTCTTGATCTACGGAGGCCAGAGTACAAACCGCCGATTTAGGAGATCGAGCAATTGATTGTCGATCTCATCGAGCGCAGTGCGGATCTCGTCCAGAGAGTCACAGCATGTAGTCAGCGTGCCATTCATTGATGAAAAATGAACACTCGGGGTACCCCATGGCACGGGGCGATGATCCCCTGAGGGTACTGAGATCAGATTGGGACCATAACAAGCATCCGCGTTGGCCTTGACGTTGGCAGCTGAGCCAAAAGCAGTCCAAAGGGCTAACCCGCCAAAGAGAATCTGCGAAAACATGATCAAAATTCGACCGCAAGCAAGACCTTACGGAGTAATTTCCACAGGAATCATAACCATGACAAACCCCTTATACTCGTGCAAAGTCCACCACCACCCAGTGTTGGTGGGCCCCGCTGGATAATACACTCTCACCGGATCACAAATTCATCCAGTGAAAAGGAGGCATTCACCCGACTATTTATAACCATCCACGATGACTATTTAGATATGTTGTATATGCAGTCAGTGAATAGAAGTTTCCACCCCTGGCACCACCCCGTACACCCGTATGATTACATGAGATACTGCCGGTCCTATTTACGGAGTACTCGCCCAGGAATTCAAATTTAGCTTGTCGCATGCCTCCCGCTTTAACTAGGCGGTACGGATCGACAAGTGGCGGTGAGATGAGCGGGGCTCCAGGGGGTGTCAAAAGCATGTCCACTGTACGGAGTACTCCGTACTCTGTCTGGCCGCCATGACAGCTTTAGGCTCAGCTTCCACTAAATCTTTTTGAGAGAGATGGTAGACAGTCTACAAAATGAAGTTGTAGATGAAACTGGAAATCTCTGGATACGTGGAAATAGAGAGAGAGAGAGAGAGAGAGAAACTATCTACAGGCACTAGCTATGTTGTAGACTAAAGTACTGGGAGCAAAACAGGGAAGTCACATGACTTTCAACACTTTTGCTTCCTGCTCTCTCTGTGGAGCTTGCAATTCCATGGCTTGCTTAGCCTACTTCCCTCTCTAGCTTCTGAGCTTGGCATCTCCCTTTTTTCCCAAGTGATAGCACTGGCGAGCTCTAAGAATTCATCTCTTATTTTTGGGAGCATTCCAAGCGAGTTTAAGATATTGGGGTTTCTTTGAAGAAGCAATTCAAGATCGAGTTGCTACGCTACGATATAGTTCTGTCTAGGCTTCGTCAAAGATACTGTCTCACTTACTGAGCATAGGGTTACATGGTACAAAACACGCAACGTAAGAGAACTACTACGGGCAAAATCAGTCAGAGCACGTTGGAGACTGCTGCAGATCAGGCTGGTCAACGTGGAAGGGATGACGCAGCATGTCAAGTCCCCTACACAGATCAACTGCGTAAACCAATGCGGGGAAAGAAAATGAGCTTTACTCCGAGTTTCTTGACGAAACCCCTCTTCGGCTGTTAACAACATCTGAACAATGGGACGTGCGTCTCCATAACGTCTAATCACTCGTCGGAGTAGAACTTTGTACCTCACACACCCTAGGTCGTGCGCAGACGGGATGTGATCGGATCTCAAGGAAGATTCCAAGGTTTCTTTCCAGTGAACGATCAAATTGGCCCACTTATAAGCTCCACACGGTGGACTCGTCCAAACAAGCTTGCAGCCTTATCCATGGATGTGCCCATGGATTCATGGTACAGAGAATTTTACCTTCTTAGCGATTGTAGTTTGCAAGCAACAGGCAAATGGAAATGCCCCGACCCGGTAGATAGATTTATCATGGGCTTGATATGGGTCGTTGGGGAAAAGGAGAGAGAATGATAGGCGCCTAGCATATTAACTACCCACTCAACCGTATTGTAGACGAAGATCGACTCACATACTTTGCATAGTACCCAAGGAATGGACGGCATCGGAACGAGAGCAAAAGTCTGCCGATCATCATTAGAAGCAAACGCTTCAACGTTTCGTCGATTTCAACCGGGAAAGCGCAAGGTACTCTGTCAATATAAGTCTATGTAAAAAGGGCATTGAACACACCGATTCAAAGCTATTTTTTCCACCCAATCAATCCTCTCCAACTACGAACAGGAAGTGCTATCAATTCATCCTCTTTGCTCTCCCCTTTCTCTGTGCCTCCACCGGCCAGGGGGCAATGAAGGAAGAAGTTGAGGCAGAAACCTCGCATGTCTCTAGATGGTGCAGAAGCCATGAATGAAACTTGGCTAAGCTAAGGCTATATCTTCCATTGTTGGGCGTCCAATGATAAGAGGCCGAGCAAAAGTAGCAGAGAACAGTACTCAAAGAAAAGGGACTAGGAATTACTACAGAAAGAACGGATAGTGCCACAATAAAAATGATGTTGAACTGTGTAAGATTTTTCTTGCTCTCTAATCTAAAACCTCTTATCATCCATCATCTAAAACCGCCTAACCTCCACAGCAGGCTTATTCCCAAGAGCAACCTCGATCTTCTCGATAACCTCATCAGTCAACTTCTCCACCACCTCCAAAGCCCGAATATTATCAAGAACCTGCTGCGGTCTCGAAGCACCCGTTATCATGGATGAGATGTTCGGATTTTTCAAAATCCACGCAAGCGCCAACTGCGCCGTCGAAACCCCAAGTTCCTCGGCAACAGGCTTCAACGCCGCAACCTGATTCAGCTGCCGCTTCCAGGTCTCATCACCAACCGTCTTGCGCAGACCCTTCACATATCCATCCTCCGACTCTGCCAACCGCGACCCAGCCGGAGGAGCATCGACGTCGTTATACTTGCCCGTCAAAATATCGCCCTTCAACGGCGAGAACACCGTCAGGCCGAGCCCATGCGCCTCGTATAGCCAGCGGTACTCCTTCTCCACACGCTCGCGCGCGAGGAGATTATACTGCGGCTGCTCGACGACAGGACCGATCAGACCGAGTCTATCAGCGATGCGCCAGGCGTCCGCGATCTCACTCGCAGTCCACTCCGACGTGCCCCAGTAGAAAGCCTTGCCGTTGTCGATGAGGTAGTTGAAGCCGCGGACGATCTCTTCCATGGGCGTATCGCGGTCTGCACGGTGTGCGTAGACAATATCTACATAGGGCAGGTCAAGTCGTTTCAGGGAGAGGTTCATGCCCTCGATGATGTGCTTGCGGGAGAGACCATTATTGTTGAGGGGTTTGTCCGGATTGGCGCTGTTGGCTCTGCCCCAGTAGATCTAAAAGAATGAGTGAGTGGGGACAAGACCATTGGATAGGAAAGAGTGCTTCCGAGGTACCTTGGTGGAAATGACGAGGTCATTCTGCTTCCAGCCGAATTTCTTGATCGCCTCTCCGAGCACAATCTCTGACTTTCCGCCTGAGTAGACTTCGGCGGTATCGAAGAAATTGACTCCGGCATCGTAGGCAACTTTCATGCATTCAAGGGCGGTCTCTGCTGTCTGTTAGATTTGATCTAGTCCCATTGAGATGGATGGTCATACCATTCCCGACGTGTCCGCCATACGTGAGCCAGCTACCCAGCGAGATAACCGAGACTTTCAAACCGGTCCTGCCGAGGAACCGGTACTGCATTTCAGGAAGAGTGTCAGACATTGTGAGGGTCAAATTATGATAAATTTAAGGAAGTACATTCCAATGCAGGGAGACTTTATATATACGCTGCAGGGGTTAACGGGCCGATGCGGGGTTAAAAGAGACGGTATTTTCCCCGATTGGGACGCCGAGAGTGGCTTGAACCTTCCGTGGCGTAGAAAACTGGAGTAGTGGCTGGTCTGGGCGAATCAGAATCGAAACTTCTAGAATTGGCGTTTGATCCAAGGATTGTGGTGCAATAGAAGGTGACTATGACCTCAGTGACATCGTATTGTGTTTACTATGGAGTACACATTACGAAGTTCTCCCCTCCACTTTCAATGATATACCAGTTCGCACCCAGTCGGATTAGCACCAGGCCAGTCGGGATAGACAGGGGTCTGATGCGCTTGCGCGCATCGACAGAAGTTGGTTCGCAGAGGTACATCCGAGCACACGCCCACCGGCTGGGTGGCGCAGTACTCATTGATCGAGACAGAGGTTGTCATACCCCGTGGACAGTAGCTGTGCGGCATACAGAAGGTGTCGTAGTTTGACGAGCCTGGTAGTAGGGTCATGCTGTACCATTGGCTTGTAGCGCAGGAGCAGACGACGGCTACCAGAAGAGAGGACATTCAAGTAAGCCTCGGCACGCTCTACTTTTGCCTCGAACAGGAACGAAAACGTAGAAAATGAAACAGGAAACTTACCCTTGATTACAGTGGATTCTCCTCCCGCCAACGTGCCCTCAAACATAGTAGACGTCGAATACGGAATAGCCCCATTCGAGCATTGGGTGGTGATCCAGGGTTCGCTGAGCGGGAAACAGCTCGATTGCTCCATGCAATGATCTGGATGCCAGACCGACGGGAAAAATCCCCGCGAGCACTCAATTGGAGGCTCCTGGCTGAAGCAGTACGACATAGGGGTTCCCAATGTACAGTCTGTCGTGTAAACGGCAGTTTGTCCATTCGGGCACCAAAGCTCGGGGCCTTGAGTAATCAACGCCGGGGCTGCCATCGTGGCAATCGAGGCAGTTTGTTGAGGAATAGCCTTTGTGGCTGAGATGAATAACGCGAGAAGGAAACAGACTAGGCGGAGGGGTTCCATCATGATCCTTTCAAATTTCAATAAACAGGCATAGAAGGGTTTGAGATGAGAGTAGTGATAGAGCAACGTGCGGTTGCTGTGTCTGAGCCAGAAAGAGCTATCTATTTGGAGCCCAGAGCTGGATCCTGTTTTTATATTGACGCAGATTCAACAAGGAGCACAACCCAATTTGGGTACTTCTCGAGATTGTGGGCTCACTCAACTTGGCTGATCGAAGCTACCACGGTAAAGTAACAGTTGCTGATAGATTTCCTGGCGCATCGGAGCCAGTGAGTTTCAGCTCATCCTACCTTGCAACTGCATGCAACCCCTTGATCGATAGCGACCCCGAAGTCGAGAACCCTATTTCTAAAGCCTCAGCAGTGTAGGCTGGACATAGGCTTACAAAAATAGTAGCTTACCCCTCGTCAACAAGGCAAGGGATCCTTCTTTGGGCAGTCCATGACACAGACAATGCTTTCGCAGTAACGGGTTCACTGGCTGCCGATATTACTTTAGTGACCAAGTAAATCGGGGCCTTGACCTGACAGTATGGGAGCAGAGAATTGGTGCCCATGTTGCGAAATTTAAGTGTGCTACATGGACAGCTGGCTCGGAGACACACTAACGCGAGACAATTGGCATCGTTGCGACGCTGATCTGACTTGTCTATGATTGATGGGTGGGATATTTCTCAGTAGCAGAGAGAGTTGTGAGTGTTCGTACACCTTCCAGACCATTTGTCTTATTCTGTCTTGGAATCGATGGTCTCGCCACTGATGTCGGACCTCTTTGAGGTCCCCTTTGTCCCACGCGATTGTCGCACGGAATATGCACAGCATAGCCGCTGTCCACTGAACCAAAGTGGGCTGATTTTTTTTCGCCTTGGATGAAGATGCCGAGAGGTTGGGGGTGAAGTGAAACATTGGAAAATGGTGGAATATGCGAGTGGAGTTCGACTGCGACCTCGGTTGTACGTGCAATGCTGAGACTGGAGATAGCTAAAGTGTGGCGGACAGGGATGGAATGCAGGCAACTACAAAAGCTTGTACAGATTACTTGGACCCGATTCTTGTCAACCAATGCGGCTTCAATGTGTACCAGCCAGGACTATTTAAAACTTTATCACGAGAACGACAAGATGGTCAATGTACACTCTCCCCGGCTGACTGGGGGATGTCCAATAATCAGAATTAAATCAATGTGCAAGAAAACAAAGCTCCCAGAGTACGATCCAGCAAGTTCAAAGTGCAACTTGATGTAGAAGCATGGGGTATATCATCTCAGTCAAGGTGACAGAAAATAGAACGACGCGCTGCGTGCTTTGCGCATTAGGCTCCAGACACCCACAACGGAGGTTCTACAACCTAGTTGTGTGCGTGGCCATGGTGGTGGTGAAGATTTCTGCGGGCATGACCAGCAGCCTGTTCTGGCTCCACGGGTTCCGGGACAGTGTTTTTCTTCACATAGGACACGGGTGTGGAGGTTTCCATAATGGTGGTGGTGGTAGAGGAGACAGTACGGGGAGGGCCAGTGCTAGTCGAGCACGTGTCACCATTTCCATCGCAGTAGACGACAACTTCTCGTTGCATGTAGATAATCTCTTCGATGACAGGATCGACAATAGTCGATGTAACGGGGGTCGGAGCTGGCGAGGGAGTCGAAGTGGAAGCGAAAGAAGTGGCAGCTTCAGCAGTGCTGGGCACGGGGGCGTTGTTAAGCAAAGTGTTGGGATCAGTCGAGCTACCAGCAACGGAACTGGTGGGAAGTGCACTCGAATTGGCGGTGGTCGTGCTTGCAGCTCCAGGTTTCATCGAGGCTGGCTCAGGGCCCCACTGGATAGCCATACCGCCAGGCAATCCGCCGTCGTGCATATAACAATTTTCGTCTTTGATCACGGATGGGACGGGGAAATGACATTGACGCTGTTCATCATCTGACTGAATGTCGAAAACAGGGCAGTCGTTAACGATACCTGTCTCGCTCGTGCAAACTTCAATGGCCTGCTGTAGCACACCCTCCTCCCAGGCCTGCATGAAATCACCGTGGTAGCCGTATCCAGTCGGATCACCGTTGGAGAGGGAGAAATATCCATCGACGCCCTTGAATGCGTAGGTGTTCCAAATAGTCTCGAAGAAGAGTGATACCAGGCGAGTTTCGAAGCCCTCCGGGCAAGTACCATCCATAACAAGGGACGGGTATGCGACGTGGGATCTGTGGTCGTCAGAGTCGGTATCCTTGCCGTTCCAGCAGGATGGGAACATCAACTCGAAGCGGACTCCATCGGTGCAATGCTCATCAAGGAAGGCCTTGTTGGGCAGGAAATGGCGGTAGAGAGAGCCTTCAGGGGGTTTCTGATAGTTCAGGCAATTGAAACCAAGGGCCTTCTGGCGCAAAGCAGCCTGTGAGACCTGATCACCACTCCACTGGGATTTGGGAGGGTCGGGAACTGGCCAGGTGAAATTGCGCAGGTAGGGGTCGCCTGCCAGCATGCGGAAGTTATTTGGGAAGGCAGTGATATCCTGACCATACAGAAGATAGTAGCTGATCGAGCAGTATTAGTAGAGCCCACCCGTGAGAGTCAAGTCAGACTTACGCAAGCATGCCTCCTACCTCTTCCACTACCTCAGCACTACCATTGGCATGCATGAAGTACAAAGCGGGAACCCAGTACGCAGACTTGTCCTGGGTCACGGCACAGGAGGTGCAATCACTACCAAGGAGCGTTTCCTGAGTCGAGCTCATACCGAAGCCTAACCCCCAAGTCAGCCCATCCGTAGGTGAAGATCCAAACTATAGGACAATGCGCGCTTACCTCCACTGCCATGGATCGCGTGAACGTGAGGTGAGACCGCACCCGGATCCACAATGGGGTCCAGGCGGGCGAGACCAGTTCTTCCACGGCAAGGAAGACGCCAAAAGGCATTTGCATGGCCTGGGAACAGCGCTAAGCAGGCCATCGCAATGGCTGTCAGTTGAAGGTCCTGCATGGTATGATTGAGCCGCGTCCACGGGCTAGGTGAATGGAAAACCAAAAAAAAAACAAAAAACAAAGATTGAATGATCTCAAAGAGACAATTCAAATTGACCGACTCGCCGGGAACCGAATCAACCGGTTGAGCGTGAAGAAACGAGTGCGAGAGGTGTAGAATCTGACCGAAATGTTAGTCATGTCAAGCCATTGAGCACTCCATAGCACAGATTGAAGATTCCAAGCCCATCATCATCCTAATGGTCTTATATCGATTGCCCCTTCTAGTACAAGGGTAGAGGAATGATCCCTTGCTTGCGGGGCTGAGTACACCACTGTCCCCGAGGGATGCAGAGAAGGAAAACGGTATGCGGACTTACCAAACGTGTTTCCCTCGACGTCAGTAAACAAAGACGATTTCCGATATCTGCTGATGCGCCCATATTATCAGCCTCAACTCTATTTTCAATAGTCTGCCCACACAAAAAACGCCCAAAAATTACTTACGTGAGTTTTGGCAACCAGGTATAGAAAAGAATAAAACAGTCAATCAGTGACAAAGGTATGAACGAGGGACAGACCCTGAAATAGGGCAAAAGAGTGCGGCGCAGGACGAAGTAAGAGGGGGCGACTAGTTTAAGGAGCAATACACGGGGATCAAGGACTCCGTACTTTAGGGCATGCAAGAAAATATACACACGATTTACCCTCAATAATACGCTAATCCCCCCCCCCCCCCCCCCCTTAGTGCGCGGAGAGGGGCCTGATTTTAATGACCCGGCCAATCCCTTGGTGTCCTGGATATTAAGGTAGGCTGGGGGTAATCACCACTATTAGAACATCGGCCCCTCTATTTCCCTAGTCCTACGATTAGGTGTTCATCTGAGAATTAAAATGAACAACCCTGGGCTAATCCCAAGTTTGGCACCAGAACTAGAGGGAAAATAGAGAGATTCGATAACAGGTTCTGTTCAAGGTGGGCTTTCCGAGTCGCGATCTGAGACGCCGAAACGAACGGCGCGTCCCTAAACTGAATCACTGGCCGGTGGTGATTGGCCTGATGGGAACGTGAAACATCCCATTAATTATACCCCCCCCCTATTAGGACTTGCGGAGTAGAAAGGGGAAATTTGCAATTACGGCACTATATTCCGGAGAAAGGTGCAATTTAATGTAATATACGCTAAATGAACTAAATTTAAAAGTAGTTTCATAAATGACTATGTTGTATACACTTGGATACTTCTATGTTATCTTACATTGCACCCTCTATCGGCCAGGTTTGCCAACTACACCGAACAAAGATTCTATGCTAAGACTAGCTCAGACAGTAGCCGTTTGAGGTTTGAGGAGACATGATATACATCCCTGCAATGTCCCGATCCAACATCCTCGTGGTCCTGATGTCTTAGATCTTCTGTTGATGTGAAACCGCGAAGCGAAGCTTTTTAGTACTTTGTATTATGTAACGGAGTACGGAGTATGGATAAGTTCAACGGCACTTTGGTTTTCTAATTTTAAAAAAAGAAAGGTCGTAGATGGAATATCTTTTATTAGATCTGCTGTGGAGATGGGATTAGGAGCAAAGTTTTATTTTGCAAGGCTGTGATGAAGATCACACTATGGAGTGCTCCGTAAGGGAATCGGAGAAACCCATATTCCACTTTTAAAAGTGCTTACATGAACAAGTCTTCACGAAACGAAAGGAAACACATTTTCGTAAGGAGCAAGCGCATTGAAGTTGAAGATGCAGTCAGGACTTCCTTAACGGGACCCTAAAGCGGTAGGAATGTGGGCATTGATGACGAACAAGAATAGGTCGGCCTAGGTCCTTGACGCATAATTCTTCAAGACCGATGTGGGCTCGACCCGATGTGAGGGACGAAATCTGTAAGAACACTCCGAAGTCTTTCTAGACGAATACAACGATGGTAAAATGCACAAACTTTGGAGAGGAAATTTCACTAGATAATCAGGGGGTTATCACACAGACAAGAGTAGATTGAAGCTCTATAGGTCTACCCTGAGAAGGAAATACATAGACATTGATTGGTTCGATGTTGTACAGAGCAGATTATAACTTCAACTCCTCCAAAGCCTTTCTCGCTCTCGCAACGCAGTTTCGTGCATGGGGTTCCGACAGATCATTGACAATCCTGCCGCCACCCTGCACGATACCGCGAAGAGCAGCTTCGGTTTCCAGCAGTGATGTGCGTCCTTCCTCGCGGACCTCCGCCTCCCAAAAAGTACGGGCAACATCCCACCTCTTCTGCTGGCGACGCATGGAGTATATCAAACCCACGGCGGCAAGGGTACATGATTCGTAAACTCCGGCCGACGGAAGAGCCACATACGTCAGAGCGGAGAGAGCAGAAGTTAGAGTCGTGGTGGATACACTGAAAAGTACCAGACTCTGAGCGAGGGCTTGAAGGGATGGCACGGTGGTGGTGAGGAGCTTGGTGCGAAGGTCGGGAATCTGGGTTGGCCACGGAGGCATGACAGAATCCTTGGTGGAGTCGGGGATTGAAGATGAAGGCTCTTTCAACAGGCCGGCCTGCTGGTACTTGCCCACGGTCCAGATGACCTCCTTCTCTGCCCGGCGAAGAAACTTCCTCTCCAAGATCTCAGATGTAATCATGCTCACATCGTCAACACGCCAGAAGAGTTTCCACCATGCAAGACCGCGCCAGCGTGGACTGGCCAGTCCTGCCTCGAGGGAACTGCGGAGCTCGGAATGAGCACGCTCTGCCCAGGTAGTCACGCCCCGGGTCAAGTTGGATCGAATCTCCTCAGGGGCTACGCCGGCAGTTTGATCATGGAGCGCCTTGGCGTCTCTGACGATTACACTAGCGTCGGCTGCGTCAATGAGGGACTCCACAAGAGGGACCAACGCCGGGTTTAGCCCATTTCCAGTGGATGCTTCCGAGAAAGTTGCAAGCCAATCGATAAGAGGTTGCACGCCACTGCCATTCCACCCACGTTCGTAGTCAGAAGCATTGTGGACGGATTCACGGAATTTATCCAGTGCTGTGCTGGCACGGTCGACATCTACCAGGGAGAGTCGCTCGTGTGTGGATTTTTGGTCTGCCACGGCAAGTTCAATGGCTCCGCGCACTGAAGTGGCCTCATTCTTCAGGTTTGACCGACCAATCATTGTGCTGTACGACAGCAGGCCATCAACTCCACGTCCGCATACGATTGTGTGGTGCACGGGATACCGAATAACGTTATACCGACCGGAGTGCGAGGTCTGAATGGTAACTGTGGGGACGAGGAAGGTGTCGGCGTGGAACGTAGCAGCGTGGTGGTCAGGCTCGGAGCCTAGAGTGCTAACTAGGATCTCCAGGTTGCCTTTTTTTAGGATAGGCGATGGCACTGATATCGTCGGTAGCAGGTCATTGGGGATGGATTGTGAGATTTCGCCATGTCTATCGAAGAGATGATTGACATCAGTATTGGTCACAGCCGATCGTCACGCAGACAGAAGACTTGTTCAAACCTGATCAGCAGACCTCGGGATGAATCGGCATCGTATGAGTCGAGGAGATCTTCCCAGCCTTCTCGCGGTGCCAATGGGTCGGCAAGTAGTAGTCGAACAAGTTTGCGTGCAGAGGTCGCATCTTTCAATCCAAGGACTAGGTTTCAATTCGAGGAGAAATCAGTGCCATGCTTTGTTTGATGGGGGAAGGTTCAGTGCCGAAGGCGATAGCCTGATCCTATAACCACAAACTCACCGGCTATCCTAACAAGAGGTGTTTCAGACTCCAATCCCCGTAATGCAAATTGCAGTCGACTGAGATTCACTTGTTCCAGGGCGGCATCCTTCACTCCCTCGAGGGCGGCATGCAGCTCCTTGAACCGCGGCGGCACGCTCTTCGCGGTAATAATAGAAGTTGTGGTAAATGTCCTGGGGGCTGATGCTGTGATTGTGCTTTGAGCTCTAGCGACTCGCCGAGATGTGACGGGGAGGTCGATTCTGCGACTAGTGTTGGCGCGCGTGGACAAGGTTCGTCGCCAGATCGCACATGAGGGGCAGTAAAAGACAGCACTATTATCCAGTGGACGCGACAGACTCTTTGCGAGCGCGCTGCGCAATCTTGGGGCCATAGAGGCACGACGAAGCGAAGATTATAGGGAAAGTAGTTTTCACAATGGCATTTGGATGAACTTGGTCGAGCGGAAGTGGACGCGGGATCGGGGCTTGGCATCCATCACTGGCTGGATAGTCTTCCTAGTCCACCTAAAGGATGGATACAAGTAGCGACCAAATATGTTGGTTGAAATGAAGTTTATCATTATGTCTATATTTCACAATTTGAAAAAAAAGCCTTTCCTTTACAGTTGCATAATTTGTTGTGAACTCGGGGTAATAAGCACACAAGTTAAAACGGAAACTAAAACTGAAGTGTCCTATTTATCGCTAGAATTGTGGATTCACTGATTATATCGCCAGGCGAGGGGTAGGATCAAGCAGATAGATAGGGTATCGTATCGAGTGTGTCGGGACAAAAGGCGGGTGCGCTGGAGGACAGGAAGAAGAACTGCATAGATCATGTCATATTATCAACTCGGCTACATCTTAGATTTGATCAGGCATCATTGGAAGGATCCCTCTGTCGAGAACGGGGGCGACCTGAGCCAGAAGACCTGGTGATTTGAATAAGTGTGTGAAATAGAAGGGTGGTGAAATCTCAAGTGAACACTTACATGCTGATTCGTCGAGCAACTGTGGCGAGTCCAGCATCATTGGCAGCCTCATGCTCGGCCCGCTCCAGGGCCACACGACGACTCTCCTCGCTCCTTGCAAGGACTTCTTCTTGGCTAGGAGGCACGTGCTCGTTCTGGATATCAACCTTACGGGCATCCTCAAAGTTGTGAATAGCCTGTTTAATGCCTTCCGCGCCCAGCATGAGGGTTCCCGCAGGAAGACGACCGCCAGCCGCCGTCTTCAGCTCAGTGACACTCTCGGACTGCTCGCGGAGAACCTGGAAGACACGAGAGAGGCGGCCAATGGCAAGAATTTTGTTTTTGATAGCACGTCGTTTGAATTCACTGGATTCGGGGTCCATTGACGGAGGCAAGATTGAATCCTTATCCTTGTTTTCAGTGGGCGACACAGGTGTGGGGGCCTCGTCCTCCAACTCTTCCTTCGAGCAGGTGTTAAGAATGGCGATCAGCATATCTGTGATCTTCTCACCAACGAACGGCAAAGACCAGGTGAAAACATCCATAAAGTTGGGCAGCCAATATGGGTGAGGGGTGCAGTTGAATTGGCGGATATTCATCACATTGTTCTCATATTTGAGGACAGCCGCTTTGTTGTTGTAGACATCCAGGTAGTTGGGCGCACTGAATATAGTCATCACACTGGGGAAGCCGGTGGTTCGTGTCTTTCTGTACATGCGATATCCAGCATCCTGAGCCTCATGTGCTCTGATGATGGAGAGCAAATTGTTTTTCTCCAAAAACGCGCATGCCGCCGGATACGAGAAAAAGTAGGAGCAACCACGGACACTGTTATGAACGAAGAAATCACCAGTCTTTTCTTGACCAAATTCCTCCAGAGGGTCAGCCCATAGGATGTCGCACATAAGCCCGTGGGTAGGGGGTTCGCGAAAGCGATCAATCTATGTCTGTAAGTCGTCTGCTAATACCATCATTCAAATGCGACCAGAGTGGATACATACAGCCTTAATGTCTTCGAGGGTATGCAGCTCGGGACTGAGGCCACCGTGGATGCAGAGGAACTGCTTGTTCATAACCGCCGCCAGCGGCAGCGCACAGAAGGATTCCAGGCATGCCTCGTAAATCCGTTCACTATATTTGTGCTTGCACTCCAACTTGAAGGTGAAGTAGTCCGTCAGGTGACGACATTCGTGGTTACCCCGCAGCAACCAAAGGGAATCGGGATACCAGATCTTCAATGCCCAGAGATAGAGGACGCACTATGGAGACGAATGGTCAGAGTCTTTCTTTCAGATTCGAGAAGGAGACTTGGATAACGCACCTCAATGCTGAAATAACCACGGTCCACGTAGTCACCCAAAAACAGATATCTCGTTTCTGAAGGGTCACCGCCGACCTCAAACAGCTTCATCAAATCGTAGTACTGGCCGTGAACATCGCCACACACTGTAATGGGCGCATCCATTTCGAGCAAATTGGGCTCGGCCTTCAGAACCTGTGTACCAGCGTGGATGATCCACAGCGCCTGTTCTTCTGAAAGACGTCCTTCACGATAGAGGTGTTGCTTGAGGTACTGAAGATTGGGCTTGGAGGGATCCTCCGGCGACCAAAACATATCATCCGGAGGATAGCTGAGAGCGGGCGCTTGCACCTCTAAGAACACGAAAGCATGTTAGAAATCAGACTACCACATCTTGGGAAATCGACCGAGACCGCTGCGGCATTACCTTTGACTACTCTCTCCATTGTCGACACTTGCGTGTTGTCCTCCATCGTGTGCAATGTGAAATCGATCTCCGGGACCGGCTGCTTGTCGGTCACGGCGCGCGCTATAGCTCGATCCATTTTGACGGATACTGAAATGTAGTTTGAATTTTGAATTTCGGAGTAAAGGGGGGAGGGGGAGAGAAGCGCGGAGATGTCGCGGGGTGAGTTTCAGCGCGGGCGGGATAGAGCTCCCACGACTAAGAAGAGTGCAAGATTGATAGAACTCTTATCAGGCCGAAGTTCAAAAAGGGACCAAAGAAAACAGAGTCCAGGGGGGTTAAAAAGGGTGCTGGGGGCTGTGTGTTGGGGGGAAATGTGAAGTTGGGAAAAAGAGAGACAAATTGGATAAGCGGCTTATGGGCCGTCCTGCTAAGATCAGTGGGTCTCACACCGACCTCGGTCGTAACTGTGAGATTTTAATTTTCTTTTCCTGTCTGAAGAAGAGAGAGTGATGTTGGGATGCGAGTGAGACAAGAATTAGACCAGGTTCAGCCTCATGCCAACGTGATGACTTGATGCCTAAGGCAGACATTGCCCCTTTTTTACCCCACGCTATCAGATTCGTTCGACTTCAAATTTTGACACTTTCATCTTCTTCCGGGGCATCTACTTTTGCAAATCATGTATAGTTCAGTCTTGGCCTCAGCTTTGAATTTTCATCTGAAGCTGCACTTGGCGTCAATTGCGCCTAGTCGCGATTTGCCTGGGCTAGACTTGGGGCATGCAGGATTCATGCTTTGCATGGAAAGTCCTTCATAGCTGCAGCTATTGTTCATGAATGTCGTGGAATCTTGTGAAAAGAGTGTTAACATATAAGGAGGATACAGTGGTAGTACCCTACACCTATGGTACTACCATCTTGACAACTTACAGCTCACACCATCGCCACCAAATCATAGTTATGAAGCTGTGCTTGGACAATTGGGGCTAGAATCAAGATATCTGATTTTATTCGGGTAAATGAACATATTTAGTATTGCTTCCATTTGTTGATTCACAGTGACACCAAAAGGGGTCATTCTTCATCTGGGCAAACTCACCTGAGGAGTGTCCTACAACCCATTCGCAAACCAAATGGGTTCCATTGGGTATTCCACTATAACCTCACAATCGAAATGATGCTATTCTTGCCCGAAAGTCTTTAGATCCGCTCGAGTAAATCTATGTCACAAAGACACAAGTCACTGGGGTAGTAGGCACATAAGAAGTAGTTTGAAACACAAAACTGGCAAATATTGATTAGTCTCTTGCCATCTGATAATGATAGGCCCTTATCTGATCTCCGACATGACGCTAGCTTCCCTCCAGATATAACTTCTCCTCCAATCAACATCTCTTCAAACTGCGTCCTTACGCTTTCTCAACAGAAACCATCACTGGCGTGCTGTTCACCTCCACCTATCTTGGCTAAATGCTTCATGACACAGCAACCCCCGACAACCTACGTCTAGCTCTACTTCAACGAAGCGTTCAGGTTTTAATGTGCATGGGGTTAATTTTGACTATGAGAGTCGACAATTCCCTGAAAATCTGAACTCTGCGATACCAGAAACTCTAGAGGCCCGTTTCAGTCAACATTATGTTTCTCCAAAATGGTAAATGCCTTGCCTTACAAAAGATTCTCTACTCATCGCAGAGAATCTACCCACGGGCCAGGATATTTCCACTCTCATGCGAAAATTTTGTGCTCTCTATGACTTGCTTGCCAAATACCCCTACAAGCCAAAGATGTGCTCAAGATTCCCGGCTCTGTTCTGGTGCTATCGATATGGCCTCCTGGCCTTAACTAAGCGTACGTTGTTATTGAAAGCAGATCTAAATTCCCACAGATGCCCTTTTCACGGAGAAGCGGTGCCATTGATGGGAGCCGCAAAAGATGGATATGAGGGCATGGCAAGGCTGCCCCTAGAGCATGGCGCTGAAGTTGATCTCTTCAATCTGGATGGAGGACTAGGTGAACCTCGGTTGACATTAAATTAGAAGACTCACTGACGTAATTTCGTGGAGATCTGTTTCTCGAACACCTCCTACTTATAAATCTTTTCGTTCATGCCTTACTGCGGATGTTAGCATATGCTGCCAGCCAGATCCTATCACACAGTGCCCATGATACAGGGCAACCGCAGGATGACCCTCCTTCCTGCACCACTTGGGGTAGATTCTTCGGCCTATCACGGCAGTGTGGCTTTTTTGCCCAAAGTCTTAATCCTATGATCCACAACCACCACGGTCTTTCGCTACCTTATGACCCAGTGTAATGCCTCTAAAAGAACCAAAGCGCTTTATCAATTAACAAATTAGTCTATCTAGGCTGTAGTTAGGGATAATAGTCTTTGATGTGGCCTGGTGTAATAACGGCAGTTTTTTTTATTTTTTTTCCAATATGCTTCAAAAATGGAGTGCCGCCCCCCAAAGCTATTTGTACACGTCACATTAGGGTTACTGTGAAGTCCGAAATTCGGCACTACAAATTGTAAGGACTGCAGCCGTGATTGGACCCCTTCCCCAAGTAGACGGCTAGTTGGAGACGTGGAGCTGAGACTATCGAAAGCTTCCCCGCATCCCACACTCCCTAGCATTTCCGCATAGAATGGGGGAAACTCGACATCACGTATTGAAAACGGTATCTTCCACAGGCTGTTTGAAAATGTATTAATAGGTGACTTTCGGCTGCCATTGCTTTCCATTCTGGTGCACTTGGCTTTTTGTTAATACCACACACACCATTCCTCGCCCAATCGCTTTTAAATTTTCTCTACAAGCATCAACATGTCTCTCAATCCGCAAGTGCACTCGCATATTTGCGAAATTATAGACAAAGCCTGCGAGGATCAGAAGTCCGGTATTCCTGGGACCGCATTCGTGGTCATTGGCAAAGATGGCAATGAGCTATTGGCCCACTCTGCTGGTAAGCGAGGCACGGGATCCAAAGACCCCATGACCTTGGACAGCGTGTTCTGGATTGCATCTTGTACGAAGGTACTGGTTGGTGTTGCTTGCATGCAACTGGTTGAGCAGGGGATTCTCAAGCTGGATGATGCGGAGCAGACAGAGGGCTTTTGTCCTGAATTGAAGAGTCTCAAGGTTCTACAGCCAGATGGCAGCCTTGTGGAAAAGAGGCGTGGAATTACTCTCCGCATGCTGTTAACTCACACCTCCGGATTCGGCTACACAGTTTTCAATAACAGACTGAAGCAGTGGTCGTACCCGGTTGGCATAGATGAGTTATCTGGGCGGGTTGAAGATATGGTTCGGCCTCTGCTATTCCAGCCCGGTGAAGACTGGGAGTATGGCGTAAGTGCCCTACTTTCAAAATCCTGAAATGCATAGCTAATAAGTATAGGTTGGTATCGACTGGGCGGGAATCGCGCTGGAACGCGCAACTGGCCTGAGGCTCAACGACTACCTACATAAGAACATCTTTCTACCCCTTGAGATCAAAGACATGTCCATGATTCCGAGCCACGACATGCGCCAGAGACTGGTGCACATGAGCCATCGAAGCCCAGATGGCACCCTGAGGTCCCGAGACCATATCCTTCGAGCGCCTCTAGTTGTTGACCTGGAGAACGATGCTGAAGTCGCCAGGGTGTTCAACAGCGGGGGTGGGGGTATGTTTGCCAAGCCGCAGGAATTTTGCAGTGAGTCGCGAGTAGCTCCGAGATCTTGTCAAAGGTTCAATACGCTGACTCATCTCCACAGAGGTCCTTGCTGTGCTGTTGAATGATGGAACGTGCCCCAAAACGGGTAACAAGTTGCTTCGCAAAGAGACCGTCGACGAAATGTTCTCTAACCAGATCCCCCGGTTCCCTAACTTTGGCCGTAAAAGCATGGCAGATGCAAAGCCGGACCTAACCAACCCCATTCCGGAGATATACCCAGTTGCTGGGAACCCGCCACAGGGTTGGGGCCTCACGTTCATGCTGTGCAATGGCAGTGCGACAGGGCGGTCAAAAGATACAGGGCACTGGACAGGACTGGCGAATTTGGGGTGGTGGGCAGACAGGGAGAAGGGTGTGGCGGGATTTTTTTGTGCACAGATCCTGCCCTTTTTCGACGCTCAGGTGTTTGGGCTCTTTGATGCGGTTGAGGCTGAGATTTACAAAGCCCTCGATGAGGCCTGATGTGGGAGACATTCTGGTTCCTTTGCATTCAGCCTTTATTGTAGAATGACAGCTTCATCTCTCTTCTCTCTTCCATTTGACGGCCCTCAAACTATGCATTCTTCCTTACCCTTTCGCAACAATGCGGGATCAGCGGAAATCCGGGAAATCCGGGGTCGGAAGCCCCGGAAACTCAAAAAAACCCTATCGAACTATACAAAATGGGAACATGGCTCCCCTAGGCCCTAAACGTGAACCGAAGTTTTAGATTTCATCGAGTGGTAGAACTGGCTGTGTGATTTCCCACAGCATGAAACTTGCATGGAAGATCTCCGGGATTCTCCTGATTCCCCGCTTTTGGGCATCATCTCAGGTTCTCATCATCTCGGGGGGAAAAAAGAGAAACTAAAAAAAACGCCAGCAAATCCCAACAACAGTGGTCGACATGCCTATCCAGGAGCGAGGCACAGCGCTTGCACAAGGATCCAGATCCAGGCGTCAATACGGCTCTTGCGACCAGTGCCGAAAATCCAAGCGAGCATGCGATGCGCTGTGCCTGGATCTGACTAGGCGAATATCGGTCAACAATATCGATGGCCAACGATCACCCTGTTCGTACTGTGCTAGGACAAATAAACGCTGTACCATGGAATGGGCCCGATCCCACGCTCGGTCTGCGCTGAGATCGCCACGCCAACTGCCCTGTGCTGGTCGTGAGCATCGAGATATTCTCTTCCCACGTAAATCCAGTAAGCCCCAGGTTGAAGCTGGATTCGAGTCATGGAACGATCTCCTTGAACCAATTTCCACGCAGGGGCCTATGCCTTGGGAGTCGGAGTCAGCCAGCTTAGATTTGTCTGGGTCGTTGCTTGATGATGATTCACTGCTGCTCAGTTCCACGCTCAACGAGACCAAGGCCTCTCAGGGAAAGGCTGAGACAGAGACTGCCGACGCATTGGCATCTATACGATCTCTGTCTGATCGCATTCCATCATACGTCTCTAGTCCCCCCAAAACCTCGACTCAGCCACCCTCGGATCTCGAACTTAATCCGATGTACCATCAAGTGTGGCTAGCTTCCCGCGCTTCTCAGATATCTCAGACATATAGCAGCCTTAGATCCACCCCGGTCCAAAGCCCCCGGCGGCTGAGTGATACTGCCTGGATGTCGCTCAATCAGCAATCCTCTCACTGGGCCAGCTCGCAAAGATCACTTTCCCCATTTTCCATCGACCAACAAATGATCACCAGATCCAACTGCCACCTGACTTCAGCTTACTTGCTACAAATCTACCACGACGTGTTAGAGTATAACCTGTCGTGTTGGCTAAGCAAAATAACCTGTCCCTATCAAGCGAGTTCTCGAATTACCCCTCAGATTGTGCCCGAACGAAGCTCCTCACGGTCTAATATGATGTACCAGCGCACGATCAGGCTCGACCGTGTTGCACAGTCTTGCAATCTTCTGCAACTGACACAGGCTGAGGACCAGGCTGCGTCCAAGGCCCTGCACCTTGCAATCATGGCGTTTGCTGTGCAGTGGGCACAGAGCAGTCGTCGGCCCCGCGAGAAATACCCAGCCAGGCCTCTCGACAATTGTGAGGATGACTTGGCCGACTGGATTACCGACGAGTTTGATCTCATTCTCCAGCATCAGTTTTGGGACCAGGCACAGCGCGCACTCCAACAAGTCGCCGATTTAGAGTCGTACAGAGTGGCATGTGCCGAGTTTATCTTTGGATTGACACAAAGACCATGGAAGCCCAACGATCGGTCTCCTAGAGAGCGAATGCAAAAGCCAGGCCGCAAATTTGCCACAAAATTTGTCTTTTCAACGCTACAGGATATTATGAACAAAGAAGGGCCACCAATCTACATGGAGAGAGCAGCTCGCAAAATGCACGCACTCAAGTATTGCAGCGACGCCCGAGAAAAGGGCATCAGCAAGCAGTGTTGCAGTCGCGAGAAGGGCGCTCACGGCATTATGGCCATGGGTGCCGAAGATCGAGAGACCATTGGACTGCTCTATTGGATGGTCATCATGTGTGATACCATCTCCTCGTCCATAAACGAACGACCCGTTGTGGTACTAGATCAGGACTGTCAACACGAAGGGCAGAAGGAGATCCAGCAGACTGAGCATAGTGACGAATCTGTTGGAGGAAGTCAGTGGAATATTGATATTTTTTTGAAAGGGAACTTCAAGCAGACACATCGAACGCACTGGCCTTGTTCTTATGAGGCTGCCGCGGAAGATATCATCAAGTCGGCGCCGGTCAAGGTCCTTCTCTTCCGCCACCTGTCATATTTACAGAACGCGGTTCGCAAGAGTGCCCCTGAAGAGCAGATCGAAGAGGTGATCCGCACGGCGATGTTGCTATATGAACACTGGAACCAAACGCACGGCGCTTTTTTCAGTGAACTAGTGCAGAACTACCATGCGGTTTCGCAGCGCATACAGGGCTGGTTTCTCTGCATATCTGCGCACTGGTATCTTGCTGCCATGATGCTTGCCGATCTGCTGGAATTGATTGATGGTAATTCCCTGGGTGCAGAGAGTGCAACTCACATTCGTATCACCAGCCAAGTGGCGAGGACAATACGGATGCACAGTGCCAGGGAGTTATCAGACTTAGCACGAGTTGGCACGCCGTCTGCCAGAAATTCCGATCATCAGGGTGTGCCACAGATGTCAGACTTTTACCACGCTGTCAGCAAGGGCACGCTCTTAACCGAGCCCTGGACCATGATTTTGATCCGAGCGTTTACCAAAGCTTGCATGGTCTTTTTAAGTGACGCCGATGAGTCCTTGCGTTACTCCGGGCCTACTCTGGGGCACAATAGTCCTGATTTCGAGCGGAATTTGGAGCAGGCCCAGGATTGCATGAAGGGGCTATGGCTACTGGGTAAAAAGTCTGATATGGCACGGGAGATTACCGAGACTCTTTCACTTACGTTGGAAGAATTGAGAAATCATATGTAGCTTCTACAGTTCTGCAGCTAACTTCGTATTCACATTTCTATGTCCATCCCGATAGCCCGATCCGTTCCATTTTGTGAGTGGAAGACGGTGACAACCCTTTGTCTTCTCTTTTTCCTTCAAGCCATGCACAGATGGCTTAACGCAGGCTTAATGCTGAATGAACGATCTCTTAGGAGCAAAACCATGGTTTGCAGCTGTGTAGCATCTTTTCAAGTGTCTTTTCAAGTGTCTTTTGGCCTTCGTAGATAGATGGCGGAAAAAAGCCGAAAGAGGCTCAATTTGTGAATTGGGCTTCTTATGCGTAACCGGTAAATCCACAGCTACCGAGAACACTACACGTCTAGTCTTATGTCTGCTGATCTTGAGAGAACAAAGGCTTGATATGAATGGTATCTGTGGACAATGAATGGACTTGCGAGCATGGCAATTTACTCAGTTTGGCATCAACCAGTGCCGAGCCACACAAGTGGCTTTGCACAACTACAAACAACTGTGTGCTTGGCCAAAAGTCATCTTCATTGCCGAAAGCCCAAACTCTCCATTCTCGTCATCTCGACTCATGCTCAACTGAAATGACTACTCTTGATTCACTCAAGCGGGCTCTTCGGCAAAAAGCCACCGTATTGGGGTCGTTCCAGAAGCAGCCATTGTCAGACATACAATTCAGCGCTGGCTTCGATATCTTACTACAGGGATCAGGATGGGTCACGTACCAAAACTTCATCATCCCTCAACTTTCTGAGCTGATAGCTCCTCTCTTTGACTCGCGTCTCAATATCTCGGTGCTAGAAATCGGACCCGGCCCAAAGAGCGTGTTTGGATATCTGCCCGGTCATCTGAGGCAAAAAATCAGGAGATATGCTGCATTTGAGCCCCACGATCTGCTTGCTACAAGGTTGGAAAATTGGCTTTGCTCGACATCGGAGTCAGAGTCCCCTCTGCCCTGTCTGGAAAGTCCGGTTGATATCCATCGAATTTCTTTTGACCTGAACAGCAACACAACGAGCGGGACTGTTACGCGTGATAGCGACGAAAAATTCGACATCATCTTATTCTGTCACAGCATGTGTGACATGAAGCCCAAAGCCAGGTTCATCGAACGAGCGCTGGAAATGCTTGTTGAGCGACCCGAAGGAGCATTGGTGGTAATGTTTCATCATGACGAGACCCTACACCTCGAGGGATTAGTGTGCCATCGAACGGCTTCTTTCCCTACCGGGGCTGTGTGTGTGGCAGATGACGACGAGGTGTTGGACTCTTTCGCTCCTTTCATGACGGAATTTGTCATGCAGGATGTGGAGGCGGAAATGGCTATCCGGGTTGAATGGCGGAACGTTTGCCGCGCTTTAGGCCGTCGTGAGGAGGCCCACCCAGATCGTCTCATATTCAACTCGCCCAACATCATGGTGGCTTTCACCCACGATGCGACCGCGTTACCGGAGCTGACGGCGCAGGTGCCGTTGTTAGAGGGAGACAAACCGGTTAAGAACTGGGAGGCTCGCCTTCACTATCCCGCCTCGATTGTTAGGCCGACAGAGGTCCGACACATTCAACATTGCGTTCAATGGGCTCTCAAGCACGGTGTCAGCCTGGCCGTCGTTGGTGGGGGTCACAGCGGTCATTGCCTACGTTCCAACGTCGTTTCCGTCGATATGGGCGCCTTTGACAAGGTGCATGTTCTCACGGCCGAGGACGGTGGACAAGAATCTGGTCCGGATTCTGTTGCCCTGATTGTCGCCGAGGCCGGCTGTAAGACGGGCGATATTGTTCGCAAGACCATGGCGGCGGGCCTGACCGTGCCCTTAGGGGCCCGTCCAAGCGTGGGCGCGGGGCTATGGCTACAAGGCGGCATCGGGCATCTGGCTAGGATGTACGGGCTCACATGCGACTCCATAATCGGTGCTGTGATGGTCAGCGTCGGCTCTGGCCAGGCCCTTTGTATTGGCTGTGTACCAAGTGAACACTGGCCGGCCGGTGCTGTGTGCCCAACAAACGAAACTGATCTGTTATGGGCAATAAAAGGAGCTGGCACCAATTTTGGCATCGTAGTCAGCGTTACTTTCAAGGCTTATGCGGCTCCTGTTTTCTCGGCTCGCAACTGGGTTGTCCCGCTGAGTGATAACCTCGAGGCGCGGCGCAGGCTTCAAGATTTCGATGACTTGGTCGCCGGTAAGCTCCCCCAAGAATGTTCTGCAGATGCGTATCTGTACTGGGACATGGGGAAGCTGCGTCTTGGGGTGACCTTATTTGAGTCTTCCACGACTGGGCTCACTTCTGAAACACCCACGTCGACAGACGCACCCATAGAAACAATTCTCGGGCCAGAAGGCAATTTTCAGGTGGTGGACGGTGTCGGTTTATTCGAGACCGAGATGTACATGTCCCGAATGGACGGTGGCCACGCCAGTAGCAAGACCTCATCGTTCAAGCGATGCTTATTCCTGACCCGCATTGGAGCACCGAATATCGCCAAAATCTTGGTGACAGCCATTGAGACTCGTCCCTCGCCACTCTCTTATCTCTATCTACTACAAGGTGGTAGAGTTATCGGTGATGTTCCAGCCGATGCGACTGCTTTCGGTTGTCGAGACTGGGAGTTTGCCTGCGTGGTAACTGGCGTCTGGCCGCGCGACCAAGATGGGTCCGAAATTGCTCGAACTGCAGTACAGTGGGTGTACAACGTCGCTAGTAACTTATTGCCTGTGAGTAGCGGAGTTTACGGCGCAGACCTTGGACCTGACCCCAGAGACACCGCACTAGCGGCCAAGACCTTTGGGCCAAACCTGCTACGCCTGGCTCGCCTTAAGCACATATCAGACCCGCTCAATGTGCTGGCTTACGCCTGCCCACTTCCGAAAACGCCAATTAAACAGAAGCTCATTGTTCTTGTCACTGGTGAAAGCTGCGCCGGCAAGGACCATTGCGCCGAAATCTGGGTCTCTGCATTCCTCACTTGTAGCCGCAAAAGCCTCATTGCGCGCGTAGTCAGCATTAGCGATGAGACCAAGCGAGAATACGCGGAGGCCACTGGTGCCGACTTCAACCGCCTCCTTCGAGACCGTCTCTACAAAGAGCGACACCGGGCAGCATTAACAACATTCTTCCAGGGCCAAGTACAGTATCGACCTCGGCTGCCAGAGGAGCATTTTCTCAGTGTGGTATACGGCGCTAGAGACGTGGATGTGCTGCTAATCACCGGGATGAGAGATGAGGCGCCAGTCGCAGTCTTCTCGCATTTGGTCTCACACAGCAGACTGATCGATGTTCGCATCAATGCCAGTAAAGAGACGCGGCGTGCTCGCCAAGGCCACCGCGGTCTCAATGCTGAGGGTAACGACACCAATGACAACAATGATCGCAGACCAAAACTGAAGTCCTTGAACTATCGGCCCAGTCTCATCTTCAACAATGACGCGACCGGAAACGAGACAGTGAAAAGGTTTGCCGATGACTGCCTGCTTCCCTTCCTCAATGAAGACCTTCAGCAACTAGCCAACATGGTGCGTCCAGTGCCCAATTTTCCACACCCGGGCGTCAAGTTTCGCCATGTACTCAACATCTCCCAGCAGCCGGGTGGGCTAGCCCTGTGCACATCTCTGCTACAGACTCACTTCACCGGGGACTGGGCCAAAGTCGATATGATAGTATCTTGCGAGACTGGTGGCTTCATCTATGCGTCGGTTCTAGCCTTGCAAGTCGATGTACCCTTGGCGCTAATTCGTGAGGCTGGGAAACTCCCCCCACCCACTGTTTCCGTGCCCAAGAGTACATCTCATATCTCTTCGACATCCAATCCAAACGAGAAGAGGATCGAGATAGAACGAGATTTGATACCCAGAGGCGCGTCGGTAGTAGTGGTGGATGATGTACTCGCTTCAGGTAATACACTTTGTGCAGTGCTCCAGCTTTTAGGTGAAGTTGGCATCGCTGATGTCAGCATCATGGTCGTGGCCGAGTTCCCTTTTCATCGCGGCCGGGAACTGTTGCGCCAGCATGGGTTTGGTGTCAATATTCAAAGCCTTTTGGTCTTTGATGGTGCTTAGGATAGCGGAGAATGTTGGAATCTTGGAACCTTGGCGTGATCAAATTCAACCTTGTTTCTTCTTTTATAGTTGACATGTATGCATTTTGCTAGAATTACCAATTCCCTCTATAACATCCGAGCTTCTTGATTGTTCCTGATGTGTGAGAAGTCAATGGCTGGTGTTTTTTTTTTGACCTGATCATTGGTAGATCATCGTAATAGTGTTGCTTCAAACGGTTCCCACGCTCTCCGGGGGCCGTCATCCCCGTTGCTCCGCTACTCCGCTACTCCGCACTTGATCAGGTTCATCTTCAACTACTCAACCATGTACGACTCCTATCGTCAGTGTTTTCACCGTGCTTGTATATATCTGAATAACTCACAATCGTTTAGGTCCACATCCTCTCCTCGCCCAGGTCCCACTGACCGTTTCACCTTTCATCAACCTCCCCACCTCCGTCACATTACCCTACACATACAAATCCGTCCCCTCATCTCTCCCCTCCTCGGTGACAATCGATCCAAGCAATCCTGATGGTAAAGCCCGCTATGTCATCTCCCCAAGCGGCGAGCATGCAGCTCACCCAGACGACGTCCTCGCCACGTGCCACTCCCTCGAACAACATTTGAATGAGGCTCGCACCAACGCAGAGCAAGCCATCAACGCATGGATAGAGTCGATAAAGCAACGTGAACTAGCCGAAAAAAGACGCCTGGCTCCTGGGTGGCTCGACCGCGAGGAAAAGCTCCTTCAACCTAGCCGGACCAGTGCTTGTCCTGACGCACAGGCCGATGCCCATTCAAGCCTGCTGGATAGCTCTTCCCCTGACCAAGACTCTTCTCGATTACCGACCATGATGCCACATAACGATGGGGAGGAGTTGGATCGAGCGTTCGGTGGCCTAGGTGTGAAATGATGAAAGATGGTCTTGCAAGAGAGATTAATCCCTCATTGCTCTCCGCATCGCAGGAGTGCCTGGAAACCCAATTCTCGGAGTGGTACACTGCATTAATCTCTGAAACATGGTCTTGAAAGCATACACGATCTTTCGGGTGTACTTTCCCCGTACTGGGCTCTTCTGGGGCCTTGTTAAAGCAGTTTAATAACCCTCGATTCTGCGACATTTCGCTTTGCTGTGGTGGCAGTGGTACTTTGACTATCAGAGCTAAGATTTCTGTTGCGCTGAGGATGTATGTGGCGAATGGGTTCGCAATTGCTCCTTCGACTAGCTGCCCGTGAGGTGTGTACTGGGGACTCTCACATGGATCCAATTACTGCTACGAAAAGATAGCGTATGTCAAGTATCCAGGTCTTTTAAATTATATTGAATTAAAAAAAAAGTCCCCATACTGTATAACAAAACTAGTTTTTCTAGTGATTTGCACGAATGTATATTTCTCACTAATGTGGCTCTCTCATGCTCGCGGAAAAGCTCCACCCCGCCGGAAGCTCTTTTTTCGCTCCATCTAAACCTCCAGAAAGCCTCCTTCAACTATCATTTATCCCTTTCCTCTCTCTTCACAGCCACGCATAATAAATCATGGAGGTCATTGGCAGCTCCCCTGAAGCTTCCTCATTCGTGTCGCTGGCCGAACACCAGTCGCGCACCCCAAGCTCCTTCTACTCCGGACCCCCAGTATTGTATCACCACAGCCAGCGCTGCAAGATAGTCATTCTTGAGCGCGAGCTACTCGCGACCCCAGTACTGAATACCCTCCGCGGCCAGGACGCTGTGAATAACAGCGCCGCAAGCCAGGACCAACAGGACGGCGATGAGAAGGAGGTCGCAATCTCAGGCGTGGATGCCTGGGTGACATCTGAGTGAGCCTCTCAATCCCCATTTTTTATCCCAAGGCCAGGACACCGACTCATCAAACTCATCACTCCACAGCAAATTCTTCCTCTTCTCTCCGACCGCCTCCACAGGCGTGTCAATCCCCTACCCCTCGATCTCACTACACGCACTCCAACGGCTACGCGTCCCAGACACGGACGCCGAAGTCCAGGGCCTGTATATGCAGGTCGCGACGCCAGGTGCGCCCTCCGCCGATGACGAAGAGGAATGCATCACAATGACAGTGGTGTTGCCCGCCGACGCCACGCTACAAGAGCCCGTGGAGGCGGAGACGGATACACCCACCCAGCAGCTCTACAACGCCGTCTCAGCGTGCTCTAATTTACACCCGGACCCTGTTGAGCAGGGAGATGAGGATGACGAGGATGGGCCCAAGTTCATCTCGGCGGAGGAGCATGATGGAGTCTTCCAGCTTGGAAATGGTGATCTGCCCCCACCTGTTGATGGGAGCTCTGGGTGGATCACGGCGGAGAATATGGATCAGTTCTTTGATGCGGAGGGGAATTGGATTGCTGCTGGTGAGCCGCCTTCTTTCCCGCTCGGGCCTGGAGCTGGGACTGTTAGGGCCCGGGAGGGAGATAATGGAGTTGAAGAGAATGGAGATGGAGACGAGACGAAGTGGCGGAAGACGGATTGATTGGGCTTAGGCTACTTTGAAGGAAAAATGAACTACCTGTGTATGATTGGCGTTCAAAATTTTTGACTGGGTATGTGTGATAAACTACCAAAGGATCATTGTGTTCGGGGTTATTGTCTAAGAAAACACAAATAGAAAACGATCAGATTTCTACTAACGACTTCCTATTTCATGACGATCAACCTTTGAAAGCACACATCAAACATAAAAAAACAGCCTTAGGAAAAGACGGACCACCAAGCAACAAGAGAAATAAGAAAAGGTAAGGTTAAATGAACAAATAAAAACAGGTAGAAGAAAATGGAAAATCGAAGAAAAGGTCACTGAAGCTTTTACGTCGACGTCAGTCTCAGACACTGCACGATCAAAAGGAGTCAAAATGAATCAACAGAGAACAATCGCTTTCAAATTTCACAAAATAGCAGCAAAATCAAGTTTATTCCCGGAGGAACCCATCGCTGTCGTAAAGGCTGGCAGGCGTGGCAGTTCCAAGTCCAAGTGCGGGTCCTTTGCCAGTGGGAGTAGTCATCCCTCGGTGAGTGGAAGTAGGAGTTGGGGGTGGACGGTGGCTCGACATATGAGGCGGTAGTTGTTGGTTCGTTGGAATGGAACGGGGAACACTATTCTTGCCACGGGTGGGAGAGGATTCAGGTGTGCGGAATGAGCCAATTGGGGGCTGGATAGAGGGTTGAGGAGGGGAGCTGGTCTGGTTGGAGTCTTCGAAAATAGTGACGTGGTCTTGGACCATCGAGGACCGACGGGTACCATAGAATGCAGAACCGCCAATAGGACCCAGCCCGTTGTTCAAGCTGGACACTGAAACATGATCTCGGCGGAATGAGCGATTCGTAGGATCGGTTTTCGTGCGTTGGAGCGAATCCGTGGATCTGCGCCAGTCACTACCTTCCGTTCCTGTGATACTCATGATAAGAGGGAGGCGGCTGGGCGACAAAGGACTGTCGGGTGCAAGATCGGAGGTGAAGGGGCCGCAAGTCGACTGTCGTCGAGTGAGAAGGGTGGCGGGTTGGTTGCGAGGCCCCTTTACAGCTGAGCGTCGTGGGCTACCAATGGCAGGGGAGTTCTCGTGGGATGGTAACGGAGTTTCGGACAGCTCCCAGACAGGTGGTATTCTTTCGGGAGAGGGAGTATCGATGAGAGAGTTGCCGAGAGAGGTAGGGAGAGATGTGAAGAGTTCAGGGAGAGCGTGATTGTGGTCGAATGTGGGCTTTTTGGCACTCAACGCAGATGAAGTACGATTTCTCTTCTTGCAAGGACTGTCATCGTACACTGGAGGTTGCGGCTCCTCGACTAATGGCCCAAGAGATCCAAGGCCGGGCTTGCCGTGTCGACTGCCGTACTTACTGCGCCGTGAAGAAGACAGAGGAGATGCTGTAGTGGGTGGCAAAGAAGGCAATGGTTTTGCTGAGTTGTTGATTGAGATGTCAAGTAAATCCAGCTCCTCCATCTTCTCGAAGTCTTCTGGTTCCTCTACGACGGTAGGAGAGAAAGTCGATGACCCAAACGTCATAGGTGGATGGATAGAAATACGAACACAATTTTGACGTCGATGGCCCTTGCGTTGTGGATTTCCACCCTTGAGTGCAGAGGGAAGATTGCCCTTCTGAGAGAGACTGGAACGCTGCATCGGGTTTCGTGGCTTAGTGGTTTTGGTTGCGTTGCCTGGGGATCTAACTCGGTGGAACAGAGTGCCACCCCCAGGTGAGGCAACGTAGAATGGGTCATTCTCCATATGGTCATTCTCATAGCCCGTACTGTTTTGGAATTGAGTGCCATACGGTGCAGAGGACATATTGGAGCCCCATGACCGCCAGGTTGAGGCTGAATTTTGATACCCCAAACGCCCCAATGGTGTTCCAGATCGCAGGGAGGCATGCCGTGAAGAGGAATTAAATGAGGACATGGAATCGGTTCGACATGGAGCACCACCGAAACGATCGCCGGATGCACCTGAGTGGTGAGTTGTCAAACTTCGTCGAGGTGATAAGGATGCAGATTTATGACGATTTTCAATTGTCGAAGAAGAGCGGACTGGGAAGTTGTGCATAGGAGGAATGGAGGTGTTGGTGGAAATGAAACTTCTACGACCATCCTTAACTCCAACATCGGCAGCGCTGAAAGGCACAAATGTGCCTGAGGGGAAGATGGGTGAGGCTAGATCGGCGTCAGCCGACCTAGGACCATTTCTACCGTCATCTAAAATTGAGCTGTTGGTGGTATCCAAACTCATAGAGGAAAGTCTCATCACAGAGTCATTTCTAGCATAACTGAATCTGTCCGTGGGAAATGCAGTTGGTGGGGGAGGAGGTACTGAGTGACCGGGCATAATCCCAGCTGTTTGACTAGCAATACTTCCCCCACGAAAATGAGTGGGAGACTGTTCGAAGGTCGTGGTTGAACCAAACCCGCCAGTCGAGTTACGGTCTTCCGACACCGGAAATAGACTTGACCGCTCTCGCACTAGAAGCGACCATCCAGATGAAACGGGCTTCATACCTAGATGGAATCCAGTATCATCTTCGTTGGGATCGGGTGTTTGCGTTGGAGTTCTCTCCGCTGGCAATTCCAAAACCCCTTCCACAGCCGAAAGTGGAACGTCTTCTTTTGATATTGATATTTTTGCTTTAGGGGGCAGACTAGGAAGTTGATTTGATTCGCTCAAGCTCATGCATTTGTGGGATGATCGTGATAGGCGCTTGGAACGAGATCGAGAAATGGAGTTGCGAAGAGATCGTGCTTTCTCGGTGAACGGAAGAGATGATACGGAGTCGCCTTTTAGACGATTCAAACTTTCTCTTGAAGTTAATTGTCCCCATTCCGATGGTTTACCATATGGGAGCTGCCCATACGCCCTTAGTACGCTCCCTTCGGCCCGGCTCAGCTCAGTCAAGGTGTCCACTGGGCAAGCTTGCAAGGCCCGACTGCGCCTTCCGGGCCTCTGCGTGAAGCCCATGAGCCTCATTGTATGGCGTTCTTTGCGATGCCTAACCCAAACAACAACGCTGGCCACCGACAGGGCAATGAACATGGCCGCGCCGCAAGCGGCTATGGCGATAACGGCTGGCAGCGCCAGCATGGTCGCCTCGCTGGCGTCTGTCACCGGGCAGATTCAGAGACTGTATGGAAACACTTAGCGAAGATTGTCCTCCGAACGCCTCACCCGTGAGTAGCGGGTTGGTTCTGAGCATGCGATGTCGCAAATTCTCGCTGTATCAAAACGGCAACAGTGAGTCTTCTCAGGGCTGAGAACTTTACCCTCATGGAACACAACAAAGTTTTACAGGAATAGGAAACAACACGATTTGCTCGCATTCCATGAAAAGGGCCACCATTTGTCATGGGAACATTGATTCTAGCCGAGGAATGTTCATTTTATCACCACTCGGTCCAAAGAATGCTGGCGACCACACTACCCCCTTCGATCCCGTTTCAGCCATGACAACGCCACCGCATATATCTGTGTGAGCGAATGAACCATTGGCAAAACTGAGGACCAACATTGGGTGGTGAAATTAGGGTTGAATGCCCTCATCGATCCCGGCCTATACTTGACAGGGACATTTCGCCATCTCATGTGCACTTTCCATGCCTTCTTTGACATCTCTGCCAGATGGAATCCAGGGTGCCTTTTGAGACACATTTCTAATAAATATCTGGATGAGTAACAGACCCAAGAACGTGTTCAAATATCAATCACGTCTTTCAGCTGATCGTCTTTTTGGAGATTCTGGCGCACAACAAGATCAATGTGTGTCCTTAACCTCTTCTTGTCCGGATAGGTGATCCATCTCATTTTGACTGAGTGGATTTGTTGGTTCCAGAATATCGATCAGGATGCGTCATAGTTAAGCGTTGGCCTGTAGACTGATACTGCATTGCCCATGATAATTGTTGAACTCCATGGAATAATACCTCGGTGAAACCAGGTATTGAAACTCGGAATATTCTCGGGCCGTCGTTCTGATCAAACGCACGTTGATCTGAGTCAGCTTCCCGTGCCTCTTGTTTTAGGTTTAGTTCAAGTTGTGCATATGCATAATGTATGTTGTAATTCACACGCGGGCCTCAAAAAGACAATGACAAATGCGATATTTTTTTTTCAGCCTTAAATGGTCTATCTCAACCAAAATATTATGGTTTGATTCCAGTATCCTTCGATAACCATAGATAAGGCTTGTTATCATTCAATTACAATCGTTCAGCAAAAGTCGACACGGTTATCAGTTTGAAACTGCCTGAAAATTTCATTGCTGAAAAAACAGATAGACCTTCCGTAGTCAAAATTCCGTCAATGTCCGACGTAAATCCTGCCGATCTTTCTACACTGGTCGTTTTTGAGATTTTATTTCTTCCCACACAACTTACAAGGAGTAGAGAGTACGGAGTACCTGTAATACACCGCGCTAGTAAGGATTAGCGTGTTCTTGGCGGGGCCACATGGACAGAATTTTGATTAGAACGGGCATCGATATCGTACTCACGAAGTCATAGAAGGGGTTGAAACTCCTTAGAGAGGCTAGGTAGCTACAACTAGTAGGAACCCTCAATACGCATCACCGTCGTTAAGCATTCAAGTTGTATTTGGTGTATCGCATTCACCGTGAATTTTTGTAAGCCGGCCCACTCACCGAGGAAAAACGTTGTGTAGGAACGGCGTGCTCCGTAGTTTTAAAGTCTTCCTTGATCCATACCATCCATGTTTTGCGCACCTACTCCGTAGATTTCCATCAATTTCTGTCAACAAAAAACCCTGGGGTATACAGTTCCCGAGTTCAGTTGCATGCCACTGATAGCAGAACTTGAAATCTCTTTGGTTCCCAGTCATTCCTTCCTATGTAAACCCGGTTAAAGCATCTACCCCCTCGTCTACGGTCGGGAGTCGGGATGAAAGTTGTCCTCTTATCAAAGTTTCTGGGATCTCGGCATCCTTGCCGTTGACCAACGGGCCAGTCAGGATGAGATTGGAGGATATATGTTCCGGAGAGCTCCAATCCTATGTCTCAATTCGGAATGAAACCTTGAGCAGAAGATTTCTAGAAACCGTGATAGATAAGAAACGTGTACAACATAGAGGGCAAGTTCCACGTGAAACGGCCACGTTTCCCCAGTTCTCGGGTTCACTGCCTCGGGTGGAGGAGAGTATGCCCAGATGAGAATAGTCTCTCTTTCAACTGACAGTTCTGGGCTTTTGGAACAAATGTATGGGACCATGCATATGATCGACATACAGGGGTGTGTACAGGTGGGATTCACCCACCCACGTTAGTGCAAATTAGTGTATGTTATACGGAGTAATTAGTGCATAACTTCTGCCAAATTTAATCGGGTATTTTGACTTCCTAGTGCTTCTCAGATGGCCTGTCCAGACGTATATGATAGATAAAGAAAAGTCTAATATCATCGATTTAATTTGTCACTAAGCTAACTTATCTACCAGCTAATCTAATGCTTAGTACTCCGTACTCCATAGGCCTCTCCGAGTCAACGACTTGTGAAAGACCGCATGATGATAAGATGATATCATTGCTTCACAACAGCATGAATGGAGAGTACTGAATTCAATTGGAAAGAGAGATGTAGATCTACTAACCGCTTTCGAAGTCGGTGGGTGAATCCCACCCATACACATCTTTGTATCTAGGGAAAAGGCCACGGGCTAGTCTGATTCTCTCGCCAGCGCATCACTCACCGTCTACCAACTTGGGGCGTCTGGATCTGCCCCCCCCCCTCCCCCTTCTCCTCCCACGAGCTCTATATTTAAGGGGTCTCCCGGACTTCCATCTACCTCCTTCTCACATTCATTCTGACCTCTATCTAACTACTCCGATATCCGCAATGGCTGCTAACCCCATTACCAAAGATGGACACTTTTTCCACAACAACACCACTGCTCCTGAGCACCCCAGCCTCATGAGCATGTTCTCCCTCAAGGGGAAAACTGTGATCGTGACTGGGGCTAGTGACGGTATCGGTTTGGCCGTTGCTCAGGGTCTGGCCGAGGCAGGTGCCAATGTGGCCATGTGGTACAATAGGAATGCGAAGTGTATTGAGAGGGCTGCCCAGATCGCAGAACAATACGGTGTTCAGAGTGCGTGATGAATCAATGCTATGTACTTGACTTCCCATAGTTCTAACTCGATTTCTTTCACAGCCAAGGCTTATCAGGTTGAGATCACTGATGCAAAGGCTATCGAGGACGCTATAAACGACGTCGTCAAGGAGTTCAATGGCCGTCTCGACGTCTTTGTTGCTAATGCCGGTATTCCCTGGATTAAGGGCCTCGTGGTAGATGCTCCCATCGACCACTACCGCGAAGTCGTCGGCGTCGATCTCGACGGGACCTTCTACTGTGCCAAGGCTGCCGCCCAGCACTGGCGCCGTCAGAAGGAGGAAGGCACCGATATCAACGGCAACAAGCTCACCAACTTCACATATGGTAGCTTCGTTGCTACCGCCTCTATCAGCGGCCACATTGTCAACTTCCCCCACATGCAGGCTGTCTACAACGCCTCAAAGGCTGCCGTGATTCATCTTTGTAAGTTGTCATTCAGACTCCGTAAGCTCCATCGCTCTGTTAATACCCTTTCAGGCAAATCCCTTTCTGTTGAATGGGTTCGCTACGCTCGCATCAACGCCGTATCCCCCGGTTACTTTGAGACTGATATCTCCAGCGCCGCGTCTGGGGAAACCAAGAACATCTGGCGCGACAAGATCCCCATGGGCCGTGAAGGCCAAGTCCACGAGCTGAAGGGCGCCTACCTCTACCTTGCGTCCGATGCATCTTCCTATACTACCGGGACGGATCTCATCGTCGACGGTGGCTACTGCGCCCCCTAAATTCGCTCTAATGGGTAAAAGGCTGGACCTTTGGTTTGGAGTGTAAATTTTAGAGATACGGATGCCAGCGATTTCGATTTGAACGTGGCGATAGACGAAAGCAACGATAGAAAGACACATTAGATAGACAAATTCGAATCCAATTTGGAGTTGTTTGCAATATTTCCCTCGCTCATCAGGCAGCAGACTTCGAATGAATCTCGGTAAAAATGGGGCCCAAAACACATCAATGCCGGACACAGACGGAAGCGTTTCCCCATCACCGATGCCAGCAACCAAATTTCAGCTGGTGCACGATTGCAGAGCCAATGAGGATAGGAGACCGTTCTGTCCTTGTACAAAGTTTAACTTTTCATGTTCGGATCCTGGTATCGTTGCAGGAAGAGCTGGCTCAATCCCTTTTGTGGCGTTGATAAGCCCCGCCAATGACATCTGGAATGTAATCTCTCCTGTGACAGGACTCATGGACCGATGTGAACCGAGTCGACCACCTGTTTCGATCAGAACACCGGCAACCTACGAGATGACCAGCAGCATGACAGCGTTCCTAGGGTAGAGATTGAAGACTGAAATGACGTTGGTTTCGTGACCATCAATTTGAATAATGATGCGGGAAAAAAAGTATCATCACTCATCTCATCATGAGCTCGGGCATGCTACCAAGCCGGTGAATGTTGTCTCAATCCAAATTTCAATACGCTCACACCCGTTGTTCGATGATGTCGGGAGAAACAAACGCAAAAACACCCTGGGATGTCCACTCAACAATTTCGTCCAACCAAGCCACCGGTCCCCCTTGCTCGTGGCCAAGGGTATACATAGGACGCTCGAGTTCGAATCCCCAGATGGGGATCTCATCGACTGGGTTGTGGGGCTCGAAGACCGCCTCCTCGAAAGCGGTATTGGACCAGTCAGAGTCATACTCGTCAGAGGACACTACAGATCCAGAAGGACTTGATGATTGACTGTGAGTGGGGAAATTGGCCATCTCGGCAAAGCGTCGCGGACGGTATGGGCTTCCAGCATAGGTAGTGGAAATGCTGAGATAGTCAACTTTTATTTCACTATCCATTGGGGGAAACTTTTTGACTGTGTTGAGATCACGGTCTTCAACGTGCCGACGGTAGCCAGGTGCTGGTATGCTTGAAGTCGCGAGGGATGGAGGATATTGCTCATCTTCATCGTTGGCTACAAGGTTGATTGCCTCATACCCTACCTCAGGCCTACGGATTGGTAGGTTTTGGTTGGTGGGATGACGGCTGATGAGCTTGCGCGCCATCTGTCGGTATACGGGCAGGATGGTTCGACGGTAGAAGGCGCCGAAGTGCCGCATTATCGAGGCATTATAAACAGCAAAAACAAAAAGGAATGAGAAGGTCAAGCAAATCATTGGGAATGCAAGAGAGGCTTCTGCCATGGATAACGTTGTTGATTGCAGATGTTCCTCGGAGTGAACGGGCGATTTTTGAAGATGAGAAGTGCGTTTGTGAATTTGGGGAGGAGAGATGAAAGAAGTAACACGGCCAGAAGAACGAACGATTGTGAAATTGGTTAACCATACGCCGATGCAACAAACTGGAAAACTTCTTATGATCATTCGCTACATTTCCATTGTATGTCCTAGGCGTGGACATACAATGTTCACCTCTGTAAACATCAAAAGACACAGCAGGTTCTTATAGTTGACCACTGACTATGACCTTTTTATAAGAAATTATCCTACTCTTCATATATTTTCCTCAATCCGATGATCTAAGTCACAGTGTTCATTTACGTCGAGTCACGCCGCTCCGACTCAAATGCGTCTTCCCCATATGGCCTTCCAGGCCCACACGTCATTAATAGGAGTTGGAAGGAGCTATCTTAATGCTTCCTATATTTAGATTGATGCTATAGCTCTCTCATGGATGCTCATAGGATATCGACGTATCTCATTGTGAGGCATACATTGTTCAATCTTGCCCGTTCTTCTTTCTTTGTTTAACTCCAATCAACGGGCTAAACATAAACCATCGTTTGTTGTGATTTAATTAGAGTCCTGAAACCGATTGTTTTCTCTAGTCCTTTGTCCGTAACGTTGAGACAAAGGCCTTTTATACATTGTATATAAGTGCGTTCCAAACAGAACCACTTCCCACTCAAATCTTTCTCACCTCTCGATCAGATCACAAAACTCTGTATATACCGTATTCCAATCATCCCTTCTGCCTTACCACGTGTGCACTCACATAATCATTCATTATGAGAATTCCTGTACGAGATACAAACCGCGTTACCAAGCGCAAATCTACACCAAGAAATGACTGGACAGAGGCTGTCAAGGAAAAGATTGTACAGTTCTTCACTGGCCAATCACTTGTTTCTGGTTCAATTGCTGATGAAAAAAAGTCAGCGCAGAGCGCCGCTCGTCTAGATGCCCTCGAATGCACCGGATGTGAGGATCTGCACATTATTCCATATATGATGAATGCAGACATTGCTGCAGGATCATATGTCACCTCGGAGTACCCACCTTTCTTTGCCACCAAAGGCACACCGGAAGATAATATACATCCCTTCGACACAGACACCTTAGCCCACCAAAGCAATTATGTGACTTTCTGGGAAGATGTCACCCCCATCGAACAACATCATTACTACAAGAAGATTGACACTATTCTTAAAAAAGCCGAGACTGAGTTAGGTAAGCCAATAGACGAAGCCGCTGTTCTTTTCGCCCACTACCAGGTCGATTTCCACATCCGCCAACACTACCTCGGTCCGCGAAGTTTCCTGCATCTATGCCGCTCAAAGGATGATGTTAGGGAGCTGACCCACTGGCAGTGGAAGTGCGCTGTGGCAGAGGAGACAGCGCTTTCAGAATTCTCCAACTGGGGTGTGGGATGGGTGCATGAGCCGAGCAACTCGATCGGCCGTCAGATTGCGGTCTGGCGGATGGGCGAAAGAAGGCGAGAGCAGCACCTCGCAGAAGTGAAAGCCCAGTGGGCCGAAATCAACGACGAGAGACAAAAACAGAGGATGCAGACAATTAAAATTTGGTTCAAGGGTGTGCATGTTAGAACTTACAAGTATGAGCCATGCGGACCGTCTCCGACAGAAAAGGAGATTATGAAGATTGCCAGGGACAAAGCTGCAAGTCACGAAACCTTTTTGAGCGAGTTTGACAGATGACGAGCGAACAATTCATTGCACACTATTTTATACCCCATTTGAGTGGGGCTGTTTAAGGAAGAATAGAATCAAGGACCTTCAATACTTTCACTTGAATTAAAAACCGACACGACCGCCTGTTGATAAGGCGAAGTGCATATGTAGATGGATTTGGCAGTTTACGGCGATGATCTGCGAGTGTCTGGTATGGGAGGTAAAATCAAACTAGGGTAAAAAGGGAGATATGGTATAACCCAAGAGAGAGAGAGAGGGATGAGACCTGTTTGTACCTACCTATAAAGCCAACTGTGCCTAGCCCTTGTCAATTTACCACGACTCTCAACCGTAATGCTTTCCCTGTAGGGTTTCTCCAACCGGGGAAATCTTGTGACGTTGTGCCAAAGATATGGAAAGCTAGCAAGAACTCCAGCGAGCAGTATTTCCAAATTATTCAGAGTAATATGACTGACGTTGAGGGAGACGGTTGGATTCCCATCGAAGGGGAAGAGAGGGACAGTTTAGATCGACGCAGAATGAGTACAAATCCCCAAGATTCGAAGTATTTTTCCGTCAACAGACAAGTTTTCCCACGCTTGATCTTGCCCACTTACACGCCTAGCTCCCGGCATCAAATCATCACGAGTTTTATTACCACGCAATGATAAAAATGAACCTTTTAGCAGGTGTTTGTTTAAGTGAATTTTATGCAGGTATGCCGACATCTCCAATCGACATCACAGATGCTCACGTGCAGTATTGGAATGTGTCACAGCGAAGATGTCAAGGCAAGTGTACTCCGTGCCCTGATCTGGACTAGCAACAGCTGAAATGATCTGTTATGAGACATTATTGGCCTGCAGTGCATGTTAGTTGGGAAGTCTAAAGGAGTCGAGGATTGGAATTTGTTCATAGGCTCCTGGCGTGTTAACCCTTGCCTAGTCCTCCAGTTCCCTAGTATTTTCGCCATTTCTTTCAACTAGCCGCCCATAACGACGATCAATCTTCGGTGTGAGGACATTGGCTAGAAAGGTTTCGGGCCCAGAACAATATCATGCGTAGGCCCTCCCATCATGCTGCATTCCCCGCGAAAATTACGAGACGGACCCGAGATCTTCTCTTTTGGTTGCTTTTTTTGGGAAGAACCCCCAAACTCAAGCAGCTTTTACCCCACCAAATCTAGAGATTGATACAGGCGAACAACGAAAGCAAAGGCTCGCAAAGTTGGATTGGACTGTCGACTTCATGGGCAAAAGGAAGGGGAAACGCCAGGAACAGATCTCCCGGTTGTGGCTCCCCTCCCCCCCTTCCCCCCTTACAAGGTTATGATCGATCAACTCTCATGGCTCCCAAGACTTCAACTGTCCGGTCTTAGGGAGGTCACAAGCAATTAGCCCGTGTAGTATCCGACATAGGTACAGCCTTGGAAATCTCCATGAATCTTCCATGATTGGCGCCTCACAGCCATTCGAAAAAAGTCCTCTAAATTTTTAAAGAGGTGCTGCGCCACCAAAGAAACCCAAGCTCTGACTAATCCTTGCCATTCCGTCACTCTCGTCCACGGGTTGTGGACGTGTGAAACCTGACTTCAGTGCTGTGACCACGCAGATCGGGATTTGTGACGTGGGGTTTCAAGATTCTGCATGGTGAACAAGGGGGTATAAAGGGGCCCTAGTTAGCTACGAGTTTGGGTGTCCGAAGTACTTTCGGATCCGACTAAACAGGCAATCCATGATCTCCTGATCAGAGGGAAAGACACGTACTTGTTTAGGGTCAATGGTATCTTTAATCTATACATAATCTACGTCTCTTAAGACTGTTATATATAGCCACCAAACATCATAATTATCCCATGTTCCTTTGACCGGGAAGCCGCAACATATGACGTAACGTCACCGACCTAGGGTTGTCCCGAATCAGCGGCCTGTGAAGGAGGCGACTGGCCATATATACCTCGATGTATATCAGATTGAATGGTAAAATAATGTAACCCAAATAGAAGGAGTACTTCATACGCTAATGTAGATGTGGTCATAAGCAAGAATGAAAATGGGCAGGGAAATAAAACTCCCCCTCAAAACGAGGGGAACGAACATCCACCGACCCACTGCAGCGGATGAGAAAGTGGGTTGAGCCTTTGGGAATTTATAACGTCGTCTGGTCCTCAACCTGTTACCCAATCCCTGCTTCTCTTTCTCTCTTCCTTTTTGATCTTCCCCTCTTCAATTTTTTTTTAAAAAAACTACCTCTTCCCTCTTATCTCACCTAACCCCCACCATCTCGATTTTTGAACAACTTGGATTATTATGTCCACCAAGGTTTTGCTCGTCGGAGCAGCGGGTGAAACCGGAGGTTCTATCGCCAACGGACTGTTGGATACCGGTAATTTTGTAAGCATAGGCTCCTCCACGTCTGCCAATTGACCCCGGACTGATTGTCTTGTCTTTCGCCGAACAGGAGGTCATCGCTCTTGTGCGCCCTATCTCGGCCCAAAAGCCAGCTATCACACGCCTCCAGGATCGGGGATGCCAGATTCGGAAATGTGACTTGAAGGCCCCAGAGGAGCAGCTTATCGAGGCGTTGACTGGTATTGATGTGGTGATCAGCTGCGTCGGTCCTGCTGAACAACAGGACCAGATTCCTCTCGCCAAGGCAGCCAAAAAGACCGGCGTGAAGAGATTCGTTCCATGTGGTTTCATCACCGTCTGCCCACCGGGTGGTATCATGTGGTTGCGTGACGAGGTATGAGAACTCTGGTACTGTACTGTGGTCAGTGGACTGATCGGGCGTTTACCACGCACAGAAAGAAATTGTCTACAACCAGATCCGCCAGCTGTGGCTTCCCTATACCGTCGTCGATGTCGGCTGGTGGTACCAGCTCGCCTACCCCCGCCTCCCCTCCGGGCGTGTCGACTACGCCATGACATCCGGCAACGATGAAATTATTGGTGACGGCAACATGCCCACCGCACTGACCGACTTGCGAGATATTGGTCGCTATATGGCGATGATCATCTCCGACCCCCGCACTCTGAATAAGAAAATCCTCGCCTACAATCTGGTCTCCACGCAAAACAAGATCTACGAGCTCATGGAGGAAATCAGCGAGGAGAAGATCGATCGCAACTACGTAAGTTGCACGGACTCTCGGCTCGGAATGAGCCAATGTGGCTAACCGATATTTTTCTTTTTCCGGAGCACAGATTCCCGAAGAAACCATCTGCAGCAGAGTCGTCGCGGCCCGACAAGCTAGTGAAACCTATCCCTTCGACCCGATCAAATTCATTCCACGGTATCTGGCCGAATACCAGCTGTCTTGGGGAATTCGCGGCGACAACAACCCCGAATACGCCAAGTACCTCGGCTACCACACCACACAGGATCTGTACCCCGAATTCCAACCAACGGATTTCCGCGAATATCTCGCGTCTGTCATTCGAGGCTCGGCCAAGGGCATTTACACCGATCGTGTGATCTCACGGAAGCACCAGCGACACTTCCCGCGTACCGAGTCCAGCGATTCCCTTTACACGCGTATATTCCCTCGCACGGAGTCGAGCGACTCGCTCATGTCGCGATGAATTGATGAATAGGAACCCTTTTTTTACGTACCTCGCGTTACCTCTCCGCCTCACCCAGGGAGCGACTGTTCTAGGCAAACACCCGCCCCAAACCGCTGCCATCTGGAATTACTTGACAAAGAATTTTTATAATATCTTTTCCCTCCCCACCCCCGCGGGCCCCATTTGACGGGGCCAGGGAACTCAGTATGCAACCGACTGGTAGTTTTTTTTTTTTTTTTCTTTGGGGGTGTCGACAACCTTTTGGGCGTTTGTGATTTTGTGGCCTCGTGATAGACGCTGGCTACTTTTGATGCCTCCTCGATGGGCCTTGGTGGCAATCCTTAGAGCTGGCACAGGACATCCTTTTATTTATTTTGTTGATGCTATTCAATTTCGATTCTCCCATGATGGGATTTCTGCATATAGAAAATATATCCCAACCATCTTTAATCCCAACCAGTTGTGCCTCGTCCTTTCCCACATTCGCACTTGCATAATTACCATCACCCTAAGCTCCTCGGGTGCTTTCCCTGGGCTGTTCACTTGATCACTGATCTTTGATTCGACATTTTTGGTGCCTAACTCATTTGCCTTGCCCAAACTCGATCGCGAGAGATTCATGTCTTTTTCTGTTGAAGCATACTATAGGACATGTTTCCGCGACGCCGACCAGGATCGCGATCCTCTGCTTGCGAACTCGGGCCCATCAGAACTGAGACAACGACTCCACAAGCCACCCCCGAAATCCATCAAAATGAACATGCCCTAGGCTTCACAGACATATATGGGTCGTTGACACCCCGTCAAATCAGCATCATCAGTCTGTATCCTCCATTTTGTACGATCACCTACAGTCTAACATAGGCTTGTAGCCATTGGATCGGCGATTGGAACAGGCTTGATGGTTGGCACTGGAAGAGCACTGTCCATGTGAGATTTGTTCCTCATACCAAGCGGATTTCTTCTATGCTGAACAACGTTAACCCCAACACAGGAGCGGCGTAAGTTGTCCCTTAGGAATCTCACGGACGAACATATTGATCTATGATAGCCGGCGGCTATAATAATCTCCTACACCATCGTCGGATTCGCGGTTTACCTCGTCCTCTGTGCATTGGGTGAGATGGGTTCATGGCTACCAAAACCATATACCGTTGCAGATCAAGCCGTTCGATTTTGTCATCCTGCACTTGGATTCAGTTTGGGCTGGATGTAAGTTCCTCTTCGCGACGCGAGCCGCATCAAAATTGCTTTGTTTCCTGACTGCATCCCTAGATTTTGGTTGAAATATGCCGTAGTCACACCGAACCAGCTCACAGCAGCAGCGCTGGTAGTCTCGTATTGGGTCGGTGCTGAGCGAGTCAATCCTGGCATCTGGATTACGGTTTTCCTTTCGATCATTGTGATACTCAACTTCCTCAATCACCGCCTCCCGAGCAGAATTGAGTTCTACGTCTCTTCATTCAAGCTGGTCGTCATGCTTGGACTCATGATCCTTTCCACCGTCATTGCTCTAGGAGGAGGACCGGATCAAGACATGAAAGGTTTTCGATATTGGTCGTACCCCGGTGCTTTCGGCGCCAAACCTCATCACGACAACGCGTTGCTAGAGAAGTTCTACATAACCTGCTCGACAATGTCATCGGCTACGTTTGCATACATCGGAAGCGAGCGATCTGGCATGACTCCCTTCCCGAATGTTCGAAAGGCTACCTCAAGGGCTATCCAGAATACCTTTTATCGAATCATGGTTTTCCATCTTCTAGCAATTACCCTTCTTGGGATGATTGTCCCTCAGGACTCGGCCACCATGGTATTTTCTAGCGATTCGTCCCATGAGGCTGCCGCATCGGCATTTGTTGCAGCTCTGTATCTGGCAGGCATCTCCGTGTTGCCGGACTTGTTGAATGCATGCATCCTGTTGTTCGTTTTGTCGATCGCAGACTACGATCTCTATCTAGCAACCAAGGCAATGTGCGATCTTGCAGTGAAGCACCGTGCCCCTGCATTCCTATCACGCACTACTCGGAGAGGCGTCCCGATCTACGCGTTGGCTGTGTGCTCGTCCATTGCAACATTGGCATATCTCAACGTCCGCCAAGATTCGACTGTTGTTTTTGGATACTTCGTGGACATGGTCACAATGCTCGGGCTGCTCACATGGATTTCCATTCTGATCACTCACATATCTTTTGTGCGAGCACGAAAGGCTCAAGGCATTCCCGACAAAGCTCTAGCTTTTAGAGCTCGATTCGGTCTGCCTGGGACGTGTTTAGCTCTCATTCTCTGCTTGTTCATCTCTGTCGCCATTGTTTTTGACTCCTTTAGCTTCGATTCGGGCGTCCGGACATTCGACGTCAAATCCTTCATTGCCTCGTACATCAGCATTCCTGTCTACATCATCTTGATGGTTGGCTACAAGCTCGCTGTCCACAGTAAACGTGTTGACCCCAAGGAGGCTGATCTATGGACCGATAAAATTGAGCTGGACAGCGAGAGAAGGGAAGGCCATCGCTGAACGAAACTGGGTGGAAGCCATTGTTCCATAAGGTCATTCTGGTCCGTTGTTGGGGATCAAGACTTTTGACCATCTTTGCTGATCGATGGGGGATAAAGCAATTACCACTCACTAAGTTCTCCTGAATTTCTATTCTGTACCTACATCTAGGCACTTATTCTAGCCTCAAGTGTCATCATTCATCCACTATCTAGCAAGTCCTTGAACAGCCCACACTTCACAATTCTTAGCAAGTCTTATGTGATCGATCGCTTGATCTGGAAACATCCAAAGCATCATTACTCCGTGCCTTGAATCCTACATAAAAATTGTACGGAGTACACTTGTCACAGAGAAAAGTTGAGTGGGGAACGCTAACAGCTACTACCCGAAGTTGGCGTGGGTAAACAGTTCTTTTGCACAGCAACCACCCGTGGACCTACTCCAGATATGGGAATAGGTTGAACTTCCGAGTTTGACAAGTCAAGTAAGACTTTTCTGATTTAGGATTCTTCTGCCCCTTAATTCCTCAACTCTCAACTCTTAAACGACTGCGCACAAGGGATCTCAATGCGTCTGCAGTTTGTTTTAACCCCCACGATGCCTTCGCATGATGCTAACAAAGGACCCTCAGTAGCAGTCGAATTCTGTCGATTCATTTTTCATCCAACCCTCCAAGAGGGGATCAATCCTTGCTCTTGAAAGGTTGAATGGGAGCTCCTATGCTCTACATTCCTCACACGAACATGGATCCCACTACTCCACAACACCAAAAAGAGGATTTCCGCACTTTTGTCACTAGAGTGAACGTCAAATTTGGTCTTGAGATTCCCCTCCCTGGAATTGAGTCCCCTTCAGCCCGAGAGAGAAATAACAGCCTCCCTAGTCAGATCTACAAGCATATCCGCCCGCTGTTCTTCAATAACCAGGTCGACAAAAGAAGCCTACTAAACAATCTCGAGGAATGGGTCCGCGGGAACCTACCATTGGCCGGTTCGAACCAGAACCATGTCTATCAAACCAACGCAGATCGCCGGGCTAGGCAACGGCACCAGAGCGAGGAACCAGCGCCCCCACTCTCGCTCACCGGCCCTGAGAAGGATATGTGCATGAAGCAGCTACTAGCGCTCATGGAAGACGAGGAATATCTTTTAGCAAATGGCCGTGTCGTAAACACGAAAAAAAGGTTAGCCGCTAATTCTTTGGGAGATGCCAAGGGCTTATCACCAAAAAAACAAAGGTTTGATGATGAAGATGAAGACGAAAACTTCCACACTACACCGAGTTCCCCCGTGAAAGGATCTATGCTAGTTCAGTCCCCTCTGGGAAAGAACGGGGATGGCGGTTGGCAATCTCCAGAGATGGTGCAGGTTGCCTTTCAAAGACCTCGAAGGATCTCTGGGACTGTCAACTTGCCAGTCAATAATCAACGATCAATTCAGTCTCTTGCGCAGGGGTCGGTGGGAATTGCATCGCCAACAAAACGTCAAGTCAACGCGGCACCCGGAAGGAACGATAGACTCATGCTGTCGCCTGGAAATAATAAAGAGAAATTCCACTCCCCGGCGAAGTATTCAGCGACCTTTCCTCCGCCAGCAAAGGCACAATCACCACAGGGTCAAGTGCGTCACCAACCGGTCCCGAGGAGAGTGGTCACAAAATCACCATCCAAGCCACAAGGCTATGTTTCCACTCAGACAAGGAAGTCGACGAGTATTTCGTCGCCAGCGAACACTCCATGGGCTGCTCAATCACCCGCGAGGAATCCTGGATCTCTCCGATCGCCATCGAAAACCCCAACATCAGCCAAATCACCCTCCCAATCGTCGTTGAGACAGATGGATCTTCGATCTTTTGGGTTTGGCAACAGCTTCAACAACGGAAATTCTTCTACCGAGGAAGACTTTGAGTTTAAGAAGCCTACTTTGTATGAAAAGCTTAGGGCGGCATCCGATGAATCGAAGCGCAACCAGCCAGCCAACACTAGCGTTTCAACAACGGTCACTTCCTCGGTATTTATGTCTCGCGGTGCCAGCATGGAGCAATCTTTTGATACGGTCGTGACCGAAATAACAGAGCCAATGAACACACAATCAACCTATGCAGATTCAGTTATCGGGTACATGGTTGGCGACGAGATGCAAAGGAATGTGGATGCTGCTGCTATCTCCATGATGGTAAATGCTGACCCTGCTGAGACGGAGTTTTCACTGAAACAGGAGTTTGTTGGCGAGCTCCTGTCCTACGGCCCATTTTCTGCAGAAGAATCCTTCTCGGCGACAATTCCATTGCGATTTCGATATGAGTTGGAGCGAATTGGACGTGCGTGGGGAATGCCCTTCAAACAAATCCTCGTTGGCGACCGTGTAACGTTCAACACCCAAGATAATTTCTGGTCATGGGTTGGCGGGCTTGGGCGACGTTATGGCCGTCCGTTGCCAGAGAGATCGCCGCGCCGTGCTTGGGATGCTGCTATTGGTGATTTCAAATCAGACAAGCACTCAGAGGTGGTGGTGCTATCAGGAGACTTGGACTGGTGTAATGAGTCCGAGCCGGGTATTTTCAAATTAAGACTCAATCCGCTCAAGCCAGAGCGGACGTGTCGATTCCACCGAAGATTTGGTTCGGATAGATTCCTGACTCTTACTATTCCAGCCGCAGATCAGCCTCCCAGCCATCAGAAACAACCTTCGTACCCATCTGCTCTTCGTGAAAGTATTGCTTCCTGGCTCACGCGGAATGACCATCATTGTCTCGGACGGACGTGGCGGGCATTCTACGTTGAAGAAGTAAAGACTAAGCGGAAAGCCAAGGCTGAGGCTCGATTTCGAGTCGAGCTCTTCGCTATTGATGGCGACGACTTTGATCACGGGTATCAGTTACCACCAGTAGTGGCTCCCCCTCAACAGCAAAGTGACAATCATACTCCGATGGGTGTCGATGCTTTGCTGGAATGGCATATGCCCAAGACTGCGAATGCGAATCAAAGCAACTGCAAGCTCTTCCAGCGTATCTCTTTGGGCTTGTCGAAGACATTTGCGACGGTTAAGTTAAAACCAACGCAAGTGCTTCGGTTAAGAGACGATCCAACCAGGACTGTCATGAATGATGGATGTGCTTTGATCTCGAGACCTCTTGCGAACCAAATATGCGATCAATTGGGCATAACCGCCGCGACTCCTAGTTGCTTCCAGGGTAGAATAGCAGGTGCTAAGGGCCTCTGGATGGTTGATTGCCACCAATCTAGTATCACTACCCTGAACGACGATAATATCTGGGTTCAGATCTCGGACTCACAGTTGAAAATACACCCTCATCCACAGGAATGGGTCGACCCGGTTGACGACGAAAAGTTGACCTTCGAAGTTGTCAACTGGGCTAAGCCATTACACCCCGTTGATCTTAATATCCAGCTTCTTGCAATTTTGGAATATGGAGGGAACGTGAAGGAGTACATTGCTAAGCTCACGCGGGATGGTGTACAGAGTCTTTACGACGACTTCCTTGAGGTTCTTCGATCAAATAGCCCCGTGGGTTGTCGAGCCCTGCTTCAGAAGCTCAGACCCTCCGGCGAGGATGGAACTGGCAAAGCTCGACGATTAGAGCAGTGGGTGACTAGTGATGCCGAGTCTATCATTCGTTTCTCAGAGGCTGGCTTTGCCCCGCGCGATTTTTTCCCCCTCCGGATGAAGCTTCGCAAATTCATAACATGGCTTCTTGAGCGACATGTCGAAGAACTCAAAATCCAGGTCCCTCTCTCAACTTACGCATACTGTATTGCGGACCCATATGGAGTTCTCGGACCGGATGAAGTTCACTTTGGCTTCTCCAATAATTGGCGGGACCCACAGGGCCAGTTTGAGGACAACCTACTTGATGGAGTAGATGTTCTCGTGGGCCGACTTCCGGCTCATTTGCCATCTGATATTCAACGGCGCAAAGCCGTTTGGAAGACTGAACTACGTCATTTTAAAGATGTGATTGTCTTTCCCACTACGGGAAACTTTCCTCTAGCCGGTATGCTATCTGGGGGAGATTACGATGGTGACACGCCGTGGATCTGCTGGGATCCTATCATTGTTGAGAGATTCCATAATTCCCCAATGCCCTCACATGAGTATCCTGTAGAGCATTACGGGCTCACGAAACACTCCGTCCCGATGGCCTCGCTGAAGTCGACGGAAGACTTTTTGGAAAGTGTGTTCGATTTCAATCTCAACCTTTCAAATCTGGGTCGATGTACTGTCGAGCATGAGAAACTGGCATATGATGAGTCAATTAACTCTGCAAAAGCGAAAGAGCTGGCCTGTCTCTTGGGTCATCTTGTGGATGGCCGAAAAGGTGGAGTTCATCTTTCGGAGCAAGCCTGGAAAGAATACCGCAAAACCATTAGCCCTAAGCAACGTGCGCTGCCCGCCTATCGGAATCCAGACCGCAGGTCCAAATCGTCAAACATCGTCGACTACCTCAAGTTTCACGTCGCACATTCGGAGCTTCGTAGGATTCTCTCGGGCCTCAACGAGGCATTTCCCGAGAACGATACCCAAAATCAGTTCGATGATGACCTCATTCGACCGTGGCGTGAAGCCGACGAAGCTTCCAAGAGCAATTCCGAGCACAGTCAAGATCTCAAAGACGCTCTCGCCGAAGTTCGAAGATCGATAGACGAGCTATACAAGCAGTGGAACCAAGGACACTCTGCTTCGACTGGCGATGAATTCTCTCCCATATCACGCCAAGCTGCCGAGAATGCAGCTGCGCTCGCTCCTCCCAACGCGGGCAAACACCCGCTCATCCACACCTGGCAAAATAGCCTCAATGAGTGGCGACGGTTAGTAGCTTCATATGCCTACCGTCGATGTCCAAACTCTCGGTTTATCCTTCATGCCTTTGGCGAGACATTGTGCGAGATCAAGGCGTCCGTCTCCCCATCCCGCCTTGTCACTAATGAGGTGATCGCCTGCTACCGAGTGAACCAGAAAATGGTGGCACATCTCACAGCCAATGAATTGCCTGTAGATGAGGTCGACGATGTAGATGAGTATGAAGACGGGGAAGCCATAGAAGCCATGCTATCTTTTTAGAAGGGACCGGTCTGCCATTGCGATGATGGATAGGAGGACCACTTGTCCATCGAATGAGATACGAATGACGCCACCAACGATCCTGCATTTGATTTGCCTATTATGAATCTGAGCGATATTTTCTTGTGATGCCTCTTGGAAGTTGACTACCAGGTAACCCGTCACATGTTCCACCTAAACATAATCAGAGAAGTACATGTGCTTTAACAAATCATACCGTCTTACTTTTGTCTCAAGGACTACCAAGCGCAGAAAATTTCATTCTAGTCCTCAAACGTTAACTGCTAGAATGCCCCCCCCCCCCCCACCATCACATGGCGAGCTCAATCAACTGAAACAGGCAATAAATGGCCCAATAAATGTAATCTTGGGCCTATTAAGTGAACCGAAAATCATAACTAGGGTACTTTACCCAATCATAAATTACAGTAATACCATTTAGAGAAATCAAGATCGCCAGTACACCTCGTGCCGGCAAGTCGACCGGTGAATGGGAATCGCATTCCAAAGAGCTAAGAATCGCCTACCACATAGACATGTGATATTACGGAGCATGGTCTTCCGGGTGAGTCAATCTACATTGTACACTACAATACGTTCAACGTACGGGGTAGGGGAAAAAAAAGAGGTGCAACCGATGTAGCGAGCTGAATACAATGCACAACTAGAATTGCAATGTCTGGGTCATGGAGAAAAGGTGTCAGGGATCATGAGTGATCGCAATCACTCTCGGATTCGACCTGTCAAGCATATCCTAGTCCATACTATCACATGTTGGAGTGCATTACATTCCGCCATCTACATTAGTGGCGATAAAAAATGGGATATTGCACATAGGAGAATGATGAGTTTGCAACATAGGAGAGGTTCATGGTGCCATTTCCAGGATCATGGAAACTTCTCCGTAGGACAAGTGTGCTGATTCCGTATCATGCTATGTTTTGCAAGGGGGGTACATCGTACTTGAGCGGAATAGGAATAGTGTACTGATAGGCCTACCATTTGGAAAGCCCTACGGAGTACCCCGCTTAGGTAGGCACATTATTAGACGTACACCGTAGCAGCACAATTTTCGGCATCCGTATACGAAGGCGAGGAGTAATTTTCGGTAAGATCGAAGTTCTAAAGAGGCATGCAAGTCTGTTGGGGCGAGGGCCAACTGGGTTTTTGACATGTGATGATTAAGAGGGTACGGAGTGCGGAGTACATGGAGTACATGGGCAGTCATAGTGGATTGTATGGCCGGGCAGGTACCGTGGGAACGTGATTACCTCACCTTCTTGTTCCTTCCTAATTAGGCCTAGTGGCCGAGTGACACTTTTTCACGTGAAAGACGATACGATGCGAAACTCCGACGTCTTTGGGGTTCATGACTCTCTCTCTCTAGATGGATGAATTTATGACCCGCCATGGAACCCCCGAACAACGCTAGGCCCAAATTACCTGCCCGAAACACAAACGCCACATGTCTAAGCTCGTCGACCAATTCGCTTCCCTCCGCGCTTACAAGTAACCTTGCCCCATCACTTACGGCTCCGCCTTATTATAACGCTCATATATCCATAATGGATGTCGACAAAGCAGAAGATCGATCTGGTCGGGCTGCCAGTGTACTATCGATGGATGATCTTGAAGCTGCGCAAGCCCTCGAGGGGCTTCGCTCCGGTATGTGGCACCGATATCCCGAACCAGCCCACCGAAAGTGTCGCAAATTTGGTTCTTGCTGAGTGAGGATTGCTGTGCGACGGACATTCGGCTAATCTCATCAACAGATTTTGGACAATCCCCTCGAACAGTGCGACAACCACTTCACATCACTTCACCAGATCCACCGCAGCCAGAGCCACTATTGTCTCTGTTAACTTCTTCCCATCCACTTATTTCCTCTGCCATCCACGGCTCAGTTTCTGCTTACGCCACGTCGAAGTCATACTCGTCGCGGTTCAAGTCTGGTGCCGAGTTCATCGAGCGCAATATTGGATCACCTGTCGCGAACACCGTCGGCACAGTAGGCCGCAAGACTGGCGTCGAGAGCGGCCTCCGTTGGGCACTGCGGCGACGAGACTCTACAAGTGACGACTCAAAACACATCGCTAAGCGACGAAAGATGGATGGGGAGGTGTCACCGAAGACCTTGGATGCGGAGAAGGGACCGGATGGTTCAGGTCACCCACCGCGCACACGGAGCTCGTCCGATCTCTCCATGGAGGAGTCGCTCCCCCCGTACGACGAAACAAGATCCCCTCACTACGAAGAGAAACCAGGGAAACGGACTAAGCCAACATGGCCAAGCCGACTAGTGATTTCGACTTCTGGACTTGGAGTCGCCATGAGCGATGAGTCGCTGCGTAGTCTGCAATATTGTCTGACTTGGCTTCGATGGGCAAACGGTCGATTAGGCAAGTCCATTGTAGCACTGCACAGCGCTGTCAACGAGTGGGAAAAAGACAAAGCACGAGCACCGTCGGATATCGAGGCAGGAGGCAGTGGCCAAGAAAATGCCTCGTTGCTCACCCAGCGCATCCAAGCTGTCAAGGCCGACGTGCTATCAACCTTGAAACAAGTGGTGGATGTGGTTTCCAAGTATGCGGGAGGCGCTTTGCCGGAAAATGCCCGCTATCTAGTGCGTCGACACCTGACGTCTCTGCCGCACCGCTTCCAGGTTGCATCTACATCGCAGCCACCACCAGACTCCCCAGCTGCCTCCTCCGATGCCACCGTCAGTGCTCATCGCATTCTAGTGTTGGCCCAAGAGGGTCTAGATATAATGGCGCAAGTCAGCGGTGTCGTTAACGACACATTGGTCAGTGCTGAGCACTGGTGCGAGCGGCTTGGCCGGAAACGCCCTGAGAACGGAGCTTCGTCCGACGTGCCAGAAAAGCAGGGTGATTCTACTTCCGACGCTCAGCCTTATGGCATGGATGTCAAGCAGTCTCTCCCAGAGAATGCGATTCAGGACGACGTCTCGATGTCCGGAATGGAGAAGGTATGACCTCGTCCAAGAGCTTTCTCTCGCCTCTCTTTACTTTTCTTTTTCAATTTATGTCACCTCTTGCCTTTTGTCTCGGCAGCAATTCTTTCTGTCTTTCTTTTCCGAGGTCTTTTGTTTTTCGATTTTCTCATGATTGATATCCTTTCTGCTGTCTTCATTCCATCTGGAGTGACAGCCAACCCCCCCCCCCCCCCACGGAACGATGGTGTTGATTTGTTTGATGGTTTTATTTTTTTCCTTCGAGATGGGCTCGGTTATCCTACTGTTATAGTGATGGATGTTATGGTTTTCGGTATAGAAATATGGAAGAGGCTGCGCGCTCAAGCTGAATGAATGCAGGCTATTCATCGATTTACACCTGAAAATCTCAGAGGATTGCGCAAGCGATCTAAATCCTGCTAACCATCTGTTTTTCCGGTTGTAGTGGCCCCGGAACTGTCTACATGCTCAAAAAACAGCTATGTCTGTGTTGTCGTTCTAGCCCCGTTGGTCTGCCCTGTCCATTCATCACATCATTTCCGCTTATCCACAATGGACTCTCCAAGCGACAGACTGAGCCACTCCCATACGAATGGCTCCAAGACCACACATCCTTCTGAACAAAGCCCTAGGATACCCGGCTAATAATCAGGCAACGTTTCACTGTTGACGTAAAATGTGTCGTAAGTACTGCTGAAGCCATTGAACTGAGTGGCAGTGGTACTTGTGTATGCTGGCCTTCAGTTAGTTTCTATTGACATCTCAAGTAGAAATGGTACTACTCACCTCCCATATTTTTATATTTGAGCCAATCGCCAATCTTGACTTCGGAATCAAGTGTCACCTCGCGCACAACACAATCAGTGCTATCACATGTCGGGCCCCAGATTGAGTATCGGTGATCTGTTCCTGGCACAGCATCCCCTGATTTTGGTTTATTCAAGAAACCCCTGGCCTTCTTACTCTTGACCACAGAAGGAACCATGATCTCTTTCTCCATAATCACATTCATAAAATTTCCGTATATGCCATCGTTTTGATAAAGCATGTCGGGAACACCAGATCGAGCAGCACTCCCAAGCTGACGGCGACGTGAGATCACCCGACACACAAGCGTATACACACTACGAGCCAAAAACCGTCCCGGTTCTGCGATTGTTGTAATACCAGCCGGAAACTCCGACCGAATCGCGTCGCGGATAACGGGGGCCATCGACTCAAAGCTATCGTCTTGAAAGCCACCGCCGATGTCGAGAATTTTGGGGTGGAACCCTAGACTTTCAGCCTGTGAAAACGCCAGACGGGCATCTTTGATGGCCTTGCAAAAGGATGCCGGGTTGGTAGCACCCGTCCCTGCGAGTTCCGAATGTCAATACCGTCTGACCAGCTTGCTCAATCCGACGTACCCAGGGTACTTACCGACATGAAAGCTGACACCAATCACATTCAGTCCAAGCTCCCAAGCTCTGGAGAGTAGCTTCTCGGTCGTATCCAACTGCGCGCCAAACTTTTCACCCAGACAAATAAAGGCACTCTCGTCATTGGCATAGATACGAAGGAACAGCTGAGCGTCCGGCATGTGTGTCTTGATGGTATCCAATTCGTCGATGTTGTCAAATGTCGTTCGCATGACGCCAATCTCGCTGGCAAAGGCTACGGCGGCCGGTGCTTTGCATGGATTGGCGAACACAATCCGGGCTGGATCCACGCCGAGGCTGAGAACGGTGCGTATCTCTTCAATGGAAGCGCAGTCAAATCCTGTCCCCAGTTCGGCAAGAACTTTTAGGAAGTTGGGGTCACAATTGCATTTCACCGCTGCGGGACGATGTTAACTTTTCGGTTCAATGGGCAGACACCGTCTGGCAGAGAAGTTCCATACCATAAAACGGTCGTATTCCGGGCATGTTCTGGGTCCAACGACGATGCTGTCGAAGTCCCTGACCCAAATCGGCAATGAAGAAGGATTCATCACCACCGACAAGAGAGCGTTTGATTCCACGCGCAATTTGACTCTCAATTGCGAGGTCCACTAGTTCATCTGCTGAGAGGTGTCGATATCCTGTGGCCTGTATGACTTTGGCGGCAGTCACTTCACTGGGGGCAGGGAGCAGCGCCATGATTGTGGAGAGTAGTCGATCGAGAAGAACTGGGGGAACTGGAAAGTTCGGCAATTGAGACAGCATAACACAATGTCGGACTATAATACAAAGCCCAGGAACAGATGTTCTTTTGAACAAGAGGCACTGTGCTCTTGGGGGAACACCGTGCAAATCGATCGGTTGGAGAGGCTCGGATGAACGCAAAGACCAAAAAGCCATTTAAAGGCAGGTTTGCACGCAATTGAGACTCTGCATAAAGTTGGATCTCACGGAAAGGAATAAGCAACAAGTCACACGGGATTAAGGCCTCACTTCCCCAGTTACAAGAGAGCCAATGAGATTTTTCATCGAAGCAAGTTGATGTGGAGTTTTCTAGGGCCTCGAACATTATATGCATGGAATGCAGATCAATTAGTGACTCGATCGGCTGGATGCAAGCCTATTCCGATATGGGGGGTGCTTAGTACTCCTTGTAGCGACTGTGATCGGCCCATTGGTAGTCTTTAGATCATGGAGACCCTACGAGGATGAGAAGCTGAACGCATGTACGAACACTCAGAGTCCCGCAAGACCATCTACACTAAATCCCAAGTAGTGCGACCAAGATATTGGCAATAGCATAAGACGACAAAGCTGAATGGGACGATATTCCCCGGGAAGATTGAACCTGTGAAATGAACTATGTCCGAGCCATGTTCTTTTTTTTGATGTCATAGAAACTCGATTCCAGTTTTCGACATGCAGGAACCACTTGATTTCCAGATGTGAGCGATCTAATGAGGCGCAGCTGAAGCCCTACAAGAAATCTCGATCATTGAACATTAAGAGGAGATGAGTGAGGGGTTCACCTCCGATTATTCCACTACTCCATCTTTCTTTTTGAGCTGGATCCATCGGCTTTGTCGGGCGATTATACTGTTACACATCGAATGCACTACGCAACACAAGTCGAACTTCGAAGGCCTTGAGCTCTGTAGAATGTTTTCAGATTTGCTTCTTTCATCGAAATCAATATCTACCCAGCTGGGACCTCTACAGGAGTCAGACTGTCTGTCGATGACAATTTATAATGACATGTAATTTTAGAATCCCGGGAGCTACCCCAAGCCCCCGATAATTTTTTTTTTTTTTTTTTTAGTTTTCACGGGCTAGTTACAGTCAGAATGACCGGGAAATAAAATCCAGGAGCTCAGAGACATCTTCAATCGCAGAGATGCCGTGGAATGTCTGAGTAAGAATTGGTCGGTTTCCAGACCTGAATGTGGATGCACGTTGACAAAGCGTTGCAGACCGATCGTATTTGTGGTTGTAACGGATGCCACGTCCTCGGACTCATTGGGTCTCACTTCATTGCAGGAACCTGCTGGGTGACGCAGTGAAGCACTCCCCCAGTAAGGGGGATGGCGTTGGCATACACCTGCCGAATCGCCCGCTCAGGGAGCAACGCCTGAAACATTTCCAGAGCCTTTTGATCCCGTTCTCCGTCACCGAACATGGGGATAATCAGACCTCCATTTACGAAATAGAAGTTCACGTAACTCGCCGCGAGTTCATCCTGGTCTGATTTCACCAAGCCTCGTGAGTCGGGCTCTTCAATGGTATGAATCCGCAAGCGCCGACCCTTGGCGTCTGTCTCACGGTCTAGAATCTCCCGAATCTCCGTCGACAACTCCTTCCACAGGTCAATTGCCATTGCGTGTGGTTTGGAGTAAACGATGACACCAGGGCGCACGAATCTCGCCTCGGCATCCATGTGCACGTCGGTAATGTCGACATTGCGACGCCCAGGGAACCAAATCACTTTTTCAATCCCGAGCACCCGCTTCAACTCTGACTCGATCGCGGCCTTGGACATCCCTGGGTTGCGCACATCACATACAATGCTACTCTCCGTGATGAGCAGGGTTCCTTCGCCATCCGTGACAAGACCGCCGCCCTCGGCGCGTATCGAAGTCGCCACCTGCGTAACAGGGCTGGGCTCACGGTCGTGCTCGATGACCCACCGCGCAAAATCGGTGTTTTCCTGTAGTGCCTTCTCATCCATCAAGGGCCATCGCTGACCCCAGCAGACTCCATCGTCTTGGGGTTTCTTCCCACCCCATTCATTGAACCGGAAGTTAACTGCAAAGCGTCGATTTGGGAATGCGCCTGTCGTGTCGTGCACATAGACTGGACCTGTGTCGCGTACCCAGCAGTGATTGATTGGACACGGCATGATCGAGATTTTTGACCTGTCTTTCACAAAAGTCGTGACGAGGGACTCGGCCAATTGGAGTTCGTCGGGCCTCACATACAGTCGAACTGCTTCGAACTCGGTGATGGCTGCCGCTAGTTGGGCTAATTCCATACACACAGCATCATACTGATCGGGGGGGAGGGAACATCGAGATGGAAACCCCATGATTGTCGCTTCATGGGGCTCTGACTCTGCTGGGAAGATGTAGCTTCTCTGACCTTGGAGTTCATCCCTGCTCGTATGAGATAGTTGGAGCCAAGTCCGTGTGGTAGTATAGAGGTTCGACAGCAATTTGTGAAATCGCTCGAAAAGCTTCATTTTGATACTCACCCGTAGGTCATCACCCTTCTCCTTTCAAGCTGGAGTTTCTCTCCTTCTTAAAGATGCAATTCGGCTGCCTTGATCCTCATATTCCCGTACATCGTCGACTTGGTGTAACTATGACTGCTTCGAGGTTACTCACAATTGTTGAGTTGTGTTCTCGTCACTGAGTGGACTTTCCCCGTTACATCACCGGGAGATTTAAAAAACATGATTCTCGGATTTCTGTGGTGACTACCCACGCAGAAGAGAAGTGGCAAGAAGAATGCACCTGGCGAATGGGCGTTTTTTTTGGGGTCCCAAAACTATGTTGTAAGTGCTCAACTGATCTGATGGCTAAAACTTCACCTGTAGTGATTCGAACGAATACTCAATTTATCTGGGCTGACTTGCGATGGCTTCAAAATCACTGCATGAAGTCACTTTTGTGCTACCAGATTACAGCCTGACGCATGCTACTCCGTCAGCAGAGGAGCACGCTCCATCTCTTCGTCTGCAGACTCTGTCCAGGAGACTTCTTCCATAGGACCACTAAGCCATAACATGGGCACCGCAGTAACTGCGGAAAGAACTCCCAGCCCAAGAGTTATGTTATTCCAGCCGGATCGGAATTCCCCAAACCCACCTACCATAGGGCCCAAGGCCAATCCGCCAAAATGTGCCATATTCTCCAAACTAAAAGCTTGAGCCACGGCGCCTCTACCCCCAAAGACTCCAGGATCTGCAGACTCCATGTCATCCAGCACACGTTGCATCTCCACTATTAAGGCAGGCTCGCTCAAGTCGATGCACATTCCAACGATCCCCAGGATCACACAGAGAAGACCGATGTGGGATGGCGAGTTTTCCTCAACAAAACGAAGACAGATCAGACTCGGGGCTAGAATGGCAAAGCTTGCGAAGGTAATCACTTTTGTTCCAAAACGGTCCGATAGAAATCCTGGAATCTCAGGTCAGCATCATGGAAGAGAGTATGATGATGTCGGCGCACCAAAACAGGGCTGGAAAATGGCCGCTGCAGCACCTGGCAAGAAGATGAGACCTGCGCCAAGAACATTCCAGTGAAAGTGGTTCTCCACAAAGACGGGGAGTGTCTACGGAGAAGAGTCAGTACAATCCCAATAAGAAAGAGTAGAATCCATACCGCATCGAATGCCGAGACCACCAGAGCCCCGATGATAACTGCCCAGAGGCTCAGAAGAATCCGTGGCTGCTTCAAAAGCTTGCCCAGCGCCAAGGGACTCGTCGAAATTTCTGTCACAGTCTGACCGCAACTGGTTCTAGTTTCCAGAGCTCCATATGGTGGCTGCTCGGGGATATAACCATTCTCCTGAGTTGGTTGCTCACCATCAGTCAGACACAGCCAGCGTTCAGCAATCCTCTTCTCGACAACAGCGAGCCTAAGAAAGAAGTCCAGAGCAACGATCCCAAAAGCCATACCAAACACGGCATAGAATCCCCCGACTTTGTAAATCAATCCGCCCAGTAGTGGACCGGACATGAATCCCAGTGTCATGGCGGTCCCAAGATATCCAATCATTTGCCCGAGACTCGCTCTATCGACTGCCTCTGTCACAATTGAAAGACCAGCTACCGAAACCATGGCCGTTGCTGCGCCTTGGACCACTCTCGCAATGATATACCATGTCACCGAGCGGGAAGCTGTCAAAATGACCATCGATGCAAATAAGAGCCCCAGTCCGGATAGATATGGGCCCTGGCGGGTTCCAGAAACGTCTAGCATGTATCCGAACACCGGACAGCATGTCAGGGCCGAGACGGCCTCAGCGATGAGGAGGACGCTGTTCCAATACCCTCCTATCAACAGTGGAGGCTTATTAGTAAGTGGGCATCTATCTTGGTAGCTCTTTCCTACTATCTTCGAATGCTACTCCAGCTCGTGAAACTAATGCCTGGGGCATGATGGGGACAATCTGCCATCGTCAGAGAAGAATCGAAGGTCTCAATCAGAGCATGTGTACCATGGCATAGAGAAAGAGGTCCTACTTGGAATTTGATTAGCTGGGGCTTGTTTTATCTGAGACTCGGGGGACTAGGGAGGATACCGTGAACATTGATAGAGAAATCGTCGTCACAATGAAGGATTGGGACGACCTCAGCGGCAACAGCCACGGTCGCTGGTCTCGAAGCTTCAGAAATGGCTTTGACCATGTCATGATTAGTGACCCGGTTCAACCACCGTGCGTGCTTGGTTTTTTTTTTTTTCTAACGGTATGAGGATGGAATTTGGAGACGATTCGCCACAAAACGTCGGACAGGTGGGCTTGGTCGTCTTGATATTTTCGTTCTCTGTAGTCCAATAGTCAATCTGCACTAGTGGCCGCAATTCGGTCCAGATACTTGTCGAGAGGGGCGATGTGCTCGACTGTAGCTGCATCTGCAATCAGGTTTTGTGTCAGCCGCTGTAAGGGAGACTCTCGGATCCCTGCTGATCTTCACAACACTGTGGCTTAGATGTGTGAATGATGTTGCTGTAAAGCATATGAATTTGAGAACAAAGAATGCCTATAATCCACTCTTAGATGTGTGGCGCAAATCGTCCCAGGAATGAAAAACAGCCCTGGTTCCAAGTGATGAAATCCACCAATCGAGATAGTACCATCACTGGCTAAATAATCCCAAGGACGAGGAGGTGCTCAAATAAAAGGCAAAGATTCACGGGAAACCGCCGGAGTCCTAGGTCGGACAGATGTCTGCATCAATCTCCATGAATCAATTCTGTGAAACGCAATGACATGGATCAGCGGGGAATTTGACGTACGTGCTAGCCTCTTACGCAGATACTCGAGCGACTCTTGATAAAAGCTTGGTTGGAATCACTTACAAGTTCCCTCTTTCTGTTTCAATGGCACTGTAGGTCTTGGGTCACATTAAGGCTCTCTTTTCCTCTCCTAGCTCTTCCACGCCTTCGATCAAGTTTTTCCTTCGCTGCGGTCCCCTCTTGGTAATCGTGCGGTAAATCCGTGCTTCACATCTATGGGAAACTGGGCTTCATCTCTGATTCTATCAGCCTCAGCCAAGCTGTCCTGGCGATAAAGCGAATTTCTCTATGCGTCTCCAAAAATGACAACGATAGGATCCCGAGAAAAGGAGGCGCAAGTGTAAAGCATGGAACCAATCAGATGGTTATTTTACGAGCTTGGATTGTACTTGGCAAGACATTGTGCACATCATCGCACCAGGGTGGAGATTGTGTTGGTTGAAAACAAGGCTACCTTCGAGATGGATCAACTTGACCTAAGAAATGTATCTCGAGGCCGCTTGTTAGTTGTCCCTAGCGCCAGGAAAGTCGCGCTTGATAAAGGCGAAAGCCATTGAACTCACGATGAATGAACAATGTCTAACTTTGGCGGTATAGGATCCTTATGTTAACCCAATGTCCTATGGGCGGAGTATAGACTGCCAGACGCAGCCATCATCTAGTACGCGACGGGCTTCCTAATTTTCTTCACGTCGATTATCCTTCCAACCCCTAGGAAGGACAAGGACTATATTAAATGAGTCCTATTCAGCTCCAGGCTCAACTTGAGTCATGTTGTAGGGATGTCTTCCTCAAAGAAAGTAGTGTGAACGGCCGACGAAAGCACAGCCGTCTGCACAGAACAGTGGCTACCAATAAAAGTTCGATTGGAGTAGAAGGCGCAAGTTTGTGTATTAGGCGAGAAAACAATGCTTCTATGGGAGATATCACATTGCAACAATCTGAAACAAATAAAGAGGCAGTCGAAGAAACAGAGTATACCACAAGGCTCGTAGAACTTTTCCCTCTTATAGAAGAGACTAACTCCAGGCCGTCAGGCTTAGAGGATGGAGCCAAGAGCAACACAGGGAAGACCGGCCCCGACAGCGTCGCTGCTGGCGGTGGAAGGGGAGTTGGCGCAACAGGCGATGTTCTGCTTGCATCGCTGGTTGAGGATATCCTGGAGGCCGACACCAATGAGGATAGGGACTGGAGAGAGGTTAATCATAATTCCAACCATAATTTGAAGTGCCAAAACATACCCTGGAGGTCGAGCTTGGAGCACTGGTCGAAGAGACCAAGACCGGATGCACCAGAGCCAGCCCCGATCAGGTTGGAGAGGGTGCCGGCAAGGAGGCCGGAGTTGATGTCAGTAGTGTCACCGGCGTAGGTGGCCTTGTTGCAGCAAGATAGCTGAGCCTGGTCACCACACTTGGCCTGGGCCTGCTCGACAGTCAGGCTGTCGGGAACAGGGAAGCGAGGGGCGCCGTCCTGGTGCTGGAGGCCATGGTTCATGGACTCAGCGGGCATGGCAGCGGAAAGGCCAGCAAAGGCAAGGACAACAGCGGAGAGAGTGAGCTGCATCTTGACGGTAAGGTATCGAAAGATTGGAATCTGGTGTTTCTAAGAAGATGGTGTTGGTGATTTAAAGGTAGCGAAGTGGAGAGCTGATGAATGGGAAAATCGAGGGGCGACCTAGTGCTCGCCTTTTATCTTCCAAGTCACAGAGCTTAGGCATGAGGCAATCTGCCAATATTCAGAGCAGAGGCCAAAAACAACACTCCCATTTTTGCTGGGGGAATGTGCCACGCAAGGGCTTAATCCTGAGCTTGCTCCGATCATCTCCTCCTCCTCGCAACATCATTGGCCTGCTCCTGATTCCGGAATTTAACAATCAATAAGATTCCCCCTTGGCTCCTGAGATGCATGGGCCCTGCATTCTACCCTGTCAACGGTATCTGTGAGGGCTACTCTCCATGTCCAAATTTGAGCTTACGGGCTTCCTAACCCTGCGAGCCTCACATGAATCCTAATCAACCCAGAATCCACCACACATACGTTCCAAATCACACATATCTAGATTCAGTGTCCTTCTAGCGGTTATCAAGGTGTGAGCAGCCCCTACCGATTCAGATACTGCCCCTGCGCAATTGTGCGACCGTTTCATGTCCGTGGCGTGGATTTGCCTGGTTTGGAGGCGTTTGGAGGCGCTGCGATGGCGGGGATTGTCCGATGCCATGCATTTAATTTTCTAATCTTTATTTCCAGATTTGATTAGGGCTAAGTGTTTTTTTTTTTACAGCGCTCCTTGCCTTCTAGGCCTTCTAGTCTCTTGACATTCGTGCACATATTATAGTCAGGGACTCTGTTGAATTACTGTCCCTTATCCACAATGGGGTCCACCGTCCCCTTGTGTCTCAATCGCAGGGATTTCGGGATCGCCGGACCCATGTCGATCCTGATCACTTCAGATTTCCCACCCGGCTCTCAGGCATAGCAAGCGATGTTACGATGGGCAACTGCTGATCTACACTCTCCCTTCTTGATGCAAAATCCAAGCCTTACAGGTAGTGGAGGATGGTGTTTGTTGAAACTACAAAACATGGCTTTCAGGATGTTCTCTTAGTTGGGCTTGGTCTAAATCCAATGCTTTCGGGTCCGATAATTACGGAGCTAGGGAATTCCAGGTAGTCTCCTAGCGAAACCCCATTCGGTGTTTGGAAGAAGCCGAAGTGTATATGTTGCACTGTCATAGAGGCAGTAGTAGTCAGTATCTTGAACTGTACCTTATCTTCGCTGAACTACGGCTTGGTATCTGTTTACTATGGGTGGAAACTGTATGGAACTTTGGATTGATTCAATTACAGTTACATCGACAGTAGACCAGATTGATATATACTGTGGTTCGGCTTAAATCTAGAACTTGGTAGTGGTTCGAGCTAGATCTCGTAGTCTGGGGCACCTATCGCTTAGTTTGGGGGGTTCAGGAATCTTAATCGTTGCAAGCATGAATCCAACGACTGCAATCTGAGAAGACACTCGATGATCACAGAACATGTACGGAAATGATTGATCGGTTCCAACGTCGATCGTTGGTGCAATAATTGTGTGTAGATATATCTCGAAGCAAAATGCCCAAACCACAGACTTTCTTTCACCCCATTCAACTCTTGGAACCGCGGACGCTCACTTCTAAGATCAACAGTGCAGTCCTGATTGAGATTCATATATCTTCACCAATTCGAGATCATCTTTGACGATTGGGCTTTGATGGCGCAGTAGTTCGCCCGCATCGGGGGGATGTTCGTCCGCCACTAAACCCATTCCAGCCTAGCGTGCGTTGTTGGGCCGGTGTGGACCAAACTACACGGCCACACTCCATCTATAGGCATATTACATCCTCACTTTGCTGGTAGCCTGAATCGGAGACGGAAAGATATCCAAGGGTCAATATGAGTCCACCGAAAGGATGGGATGTCCCGATACTAAGTATAAAGGAAGCTTGAATTCTTAGTTGTATCAACGCCACAAACCATTTCGAGCTCTGCGATGCAAGCAAGCCTCAAGCTCCAAGCTACAATCGACAATTTACACGTTGAGTTCTAAAATTCTACACACCACTTAATCTTCCAAATGACAACCGTTGCCTTCTTCGGAGCAACCGGCGGCTGCGCCAACGCCTGCTTGACCTACACCCTTCTCGACGGCTACAACGCCAGAGCCCTAGCCCGTACCCCCTCCAAGCTCACGACGATGCTCCTCTCACAGCCTGGCATGACACCGGAGATCATCTCTCGCCAGCTGGAGATCATAGAAGGTGACGCAACAGATGTGGACAGCATCCTCAAAACCCTCATCACCAACTCCAACCCCCAGAACGCACCCAACGGCACTTGTACTCTCGTAACAAGTATAATCTCCGGCCTAGGCGGCACACCAGCAATTTCGTTCACCAAGGAAGCAAAATGTGCAAAGACTCAGTTGCGCATGCCTGCGCTGCCGCACATTCAACTCTCGAACCCGCACATCACCGAACAGACGACAAGCGCTCTGCTCGGGGCGCTGGCGAAGATTGCTTCTACTCGGTTTGACTCGTTCGAGGCGTATCGCGCTGTCGCACCAAGGGTCACGGTTATCTCGACGACAGGGAATTTGCCTGGTAATAAAGATGTGCCGTTCTGGTTTAGACCTATGTACTCCGTGCTCTTGCCGATCCCGCACGCGGACAAGCTGCAGATGGAAAGGTTACTTGAAAAGGAGATTGGGCTAGGGGATGCTGGTGTCCTTGCTGCTGGAGTTGTTGTTGTGAGGCCTAGCCTTTTGACAGGGGAGCATCAGGTTCATGTGCATGAGGCGGGGGAAGGAGGCGAGGGGGTGGGATTGGAAAAAGTAAGAGTTGGGACAACGAAAGCCCCTGCTATCGGGTATACGATTTCTCGGGCTCTGGTTGGGGAGTGGATATTTAAGGAGATTGTTAAGGGCGGTGGAGGGAAGTGGGTTGGGGAAAAGGTTACGATCACTACCTAAGGTTCTGGCTGTCTCTCAAGTTTCACAAGGATCGTACATTTTCACGTGAAAAAAAAAAAACTAGTAGTCGTATCGTTCTATCTGTGTTGAATTCATGTCTGAACAATTCCACTCAGTTGGCAGGAAACACTCGGATCATCAATTGAATTCAAGGTTCAACCTTATATCCCCAAAATCACATGGCACCGCATAGTGTCAGCTGAAAGCAAGCTGCCACCGTAGGCCAGAGAACGAAATCACAGAAACGCAAATCTGATCCCCATATGAGATACAAGGAAACTCCGTAGCTAAGCATATGTAGAACAACCAAAAAATAAAAAAAAGAATGAACGACTTGTAAAAAGGGGGAAGGCAAAATCAAGAAACGGGTTGATACAGCTGAACCAACGTTCCCAATGCCCATGTCATGACGTTCGTAATCGAGACCATAGAAATTGCTATGATCAGGTGCCGCCATAAAGCACTGTATGGTCATGTTGCGCACTGGACCGCTCAATCTGGGCACTGGACCGCTCGATCTGGGCACTGGACCGCTCGATCTGGGCACTGCGGCGCTCGTCCTTGATCTTCTTCTTTTCCATCTTCCTCATAGCTTCTTCGGTCAGCTGTTGGCGGAAGAGCCGTTCAACAACATCCTTCTTTCGAGTTCGCCGATCGCCGATCATGATCATCACACCGCCCGAGATGTTACAGGTGAGAGAACAGCAAAGAATAACCGTCGTCAAAGCAAATGGGCGCTTTTTGGGGTCCTCCATACTCCAGGTACAGGCGCCAAGAGCCATTTGGAGTATAGAATGACAGTCAAGAATGACGACAATGGCAATGAGCAAGCGAAGAGGGAATGCGTGGTGGGTCATGGTTTCGTGTGGCTTATAGAAAGTGTGCGACTTCGCGAACTTATTTTGGTGATGCATTAGTCTCAACTGTTGGCGAGCATCGAGGACAGAGAATTCTTGTTCGTCGTCCTTGAGCATATCCCCAAATTCAACGTCGACATCCTTCTCCGGCTTCGATGGAAGATCATTCTTGTCCTTGAGGCCTGGCAGGGCTCGCTTCCGACGAAGCTTCCACGACAAAAATGTATAATGGGCAATGAAACCCATGTGATATGTATCCACAGCTCGGAAAGGAGCCAGCCCATCACCCATGATGGCAAACAGGGCAACCAAAACGTTATCTATGACATTGACAACATAACTTTGTTTTCCACCGACATTGATCCACCCTGAAGACACTGTCAGCATAATGATCAAAAGCATCGGGCCAAGAGACCTCACCGATCAAGAAAAGAACCCAGGCCAAACCGAATAATGTAATCAAAATTGCGTAGAGGGTCACAAGAAACCCGAGGGCTAGGCAAGATTAGTATCAAGCTAAGATGTCTTGGGCGGGGAGCATCACTCACGCTTCCGTATGTACTGCCTAAATCCTTTCATGGATCGTTTGAACTTGGACCGCCGAGAGTGAAGCATATGTCGAACATGATCATTGAGTTCGGCATATTCTTCTCTGGTCCATCCATCAAGTCCATGTCCTTCTGGAAGAACAGCATACTTGGGACCACGCAACGCCAATGACATGCTCGAGAGTGATCGGAGTTGTTCTAAAGTCGGTCGCTGTTTGGCTTTGTCGCCCTCGGGCGGTTCTCCCTCGTCTGTTGTAGTTCCCTGCTCTTCGTCGGAAGAATATTGTGGCCGTGTAATCGTATAGGTGGGCATACGATTGATGAATCCACCCAGATTGGGAACGAAGAGAGAGTTCTGGACGTTGGTGAGAGTGGAAAGTGCAGAAACCTCGGGATCTACATTCAGGCAGGTTAAAAACCATAGTTTCTGTATCACAATTTGCACCAATACTTACCAATCACGTCCAGTAGGTCGACTACGTGAGATCCGTATTCATTATCTCGTTGCTCCTCTTGCGTGCTTAGAGTCGGCGCAGTTCCTGTCACAGTGCTTGCACGGTTTCGAGTAAAGCGATTCAACGCAGCTTGACTAGTTCGCCGAAGCCGACCCGCTGGTCGTACCTCTGGAGGTGCTTCGCCGTGCTCCGGATCAAGTTGTTCGGAGTCGGAATAAGTTTCTCGACTATGCGATATTGCCGCTGGAGAGGGGGTTGCCGGACTTTGATGTGAGTATTCCTCGGTCACAGGCATCATTCGCATGGGAGTCGCCACTGGTGAGGGGACATCGGGAGGGGGAGATGACCATCGTCCCGGATTTGGCTCCGAGTTACTGCGCCGCCGGTTTGCCAGCCATGCTTCGTCCTCTTCATTGGGAGGAGGGAACTGGATGGGCTGCGGCTCAAAATACGCTTGTCCTTGACCCTCTGGTTGAGAAGGCGGTTGATTAACGGTATTGTCTAGTGAAGGGGTAGATGGGAAGCGAGATAGGCGAATACTCGGTCGTCGCGACCGTGAGTCGCCTCGAGTGCGCAATGGGGCAGGACCTGGTGGCCTGACGGGGCCAGACAGTGTGGGTTGCCCTGTGGGTTGGGTCCCCTGAGGGCTCCCATAAGGGGCGTTGGGGTCCTCGACCGGGTCGATGCGATCCATGTTGGTGGAGCGATGAGTTTCAGAATTGGGGACAAGATCACACAACAAAAGTAGCCCCCGAGACCAAAAGAAAAATGGAAAGCAAACCAGAGGACCTAGAACTCGCCTCTTCGGTCCACATGGAATACAGTCTGCAGACGTTCTGGGTCTCTGGGGGTGTTTAAATCCAAGGCTGACTCAGCCCTTTCCGATCCTTGTTTTTTTTTTTTCTTCTTTTCCGGAGTGACGAGCCGCACAGTCCGCCAGTGTCACGCTAAGCTGGCGACCATGAGTTGTTTGCTTTCCCAGGTTTAATATACGTCTGTTTATCGATTTATGGAGTTTCTATTCAAGCTTCTAAATCATTTGTTCAACTGTGTATGTATTCCGTAAGTGGCAAGTCCTGGCTCTGGTAGCCAATAAACGATATACCTATATCAACCTTGGAAGCGTTCATCGACACCACAGAATCAAGGTGTCGATAGACTTTGTGCGGCGATGCCGACATCCGACAATAGGATGCCACCAGAAAACACATCTAGACCTACATTGTACCTTTCAAACTATCGTTTAAAATGCAATTTAGGTGTCTCTGATAGCAGTTAACCGGTCAATTGTCCATAGAAACTCGGTTGATTCATTCCACGATCATTCATGGATCACTAAACTGTTTAATGTATCATTGTGACACTGGCGGTGACCGCTATATCGCACACCGGAGACAAGAAGGCCCATGTCACCATGAAGTCTTTCTTAACGCCAATTCCAATTTACACATGGAGTGTACCGAGGCAAAGATTCTTTGAGATGACTTTGCAACGTACAAAGTACAGAAAAGTGAATCTTTATGTCATCAAACTAGACCGAAGCTGCTCGTGAAGCATTCTTGGTCTTATCTTGAAAAAGATTCTCAAAAGTAGGATCATAGTGTCTAAACTGGGGTAGATAAGGAATTGACTGACAGAGATGAGCCCCAGGGCAATACAGTGATGTTATAAATATCAGCTCACGTTGAAGAGAGATCTTTTGTAAGAGGACTGTGATATTGTGCTAGAACACTGTCACTGTGTGTCACCTGTGTGGCCTGGACTAAGATTTTGTCTCCACTGAATTATTCTGATTGAACATCAAAGTAAGGATGAGGTAGAAATTTTGATATCCCTGCCATCTGCTACAAGACGAGATGAACCTACAAGATACAGAGTAAAGGCGTGAAGAAGAAGAAGAAGAAGAAGAAGAAGAAGAAGTGGAGATCATTTGAGGTGGAAGATCGGCCAAGGTTTGATTATTTATAGGATATGTCACACGGGTACTGCCATGCACATGCATAGAGTTTGAATGGTATGCAGATGTGCAGCTGAGTAGTTGAGTAGAAGATGAATCGTGAAGAACAAGGAATGACGGAGTAGAATTATATGGAAATAGAAGTTTGGGAAGAAGTTGGGAACAGATCACAATTGGTTCCTCAGGTCTCCAGAATGACATCAGGCCAGCTGTTCTGAGTCAGGCTTCCAAGGCGGGGGGAACCGCGGAAGGATTTGGGGTTGATGTGCCTAAAGATTAGGGGGTCCGATTTAGGGGTTAGTTGGGCGTTCATTGGGGGAGGGGCTAGGGGATAAGGGGGGCCCAAGAGAGCCTAATCGAGTGGTCGAGGGAAAGTGCACCTCTCACTTGGCCAGTGCTACACCGCCTCTCCTTTCCCTTTCCATCTCCTTCTTCCATCCTCCTCCTCTCTCTCTTCAAGATCCAGTGCATCAAAAACTTCAATCCCATCTTCTCTTTTCAATTGGTATCTAGGGCACGAAGCTACCCTGCTCCTTCCCTCGCTCCACCTCCTGTCAAGTCTCTTTCAGCTTTAGGCAAATAAACAACCCGACACTTTTCATCCTCCAACATCTCAATCTTCAAGATGTCCGACGTCGACGCACTTGCTGACTCCGTGGCTGCGACCACTCTGACCGATAAGCCCGAAACCAACGGTGCTACCCCTTCCAACCAGGCTGCCGATGCCGCGGCCGCCAGTGCAGATGAGGGTCGTCGTCTTTACATCGGGAACCTCGCATACGCGACCACCGAGGAGGAGCTCAAGGAGTTCTTCAAGACCTACACCATGTGAGTAATGCCTGGGTCTGTGGATTACATCCAAAAAAACCCCACCTTCGACAAACATTGAAGCACATGAGTCCATTTGTTGGACCCTTTCTGACTCATTTCATTTCTCAGCGAGACCACCTCGATCCCAGTGAACCCCCGCACCAACCGCCCCGTTGGCTATGCATTTGTGGACATTGCTACTGCCGCGGAAGCTTCTGCCGCTATCGAGGCCCTCTCCGGCAAGGAGATTCTTCAACGTAAGGTGTCCGTGCAGCTTGCTCGCAAGCCCGAGCCCGCCGAGGCCAAGGAAGGTGCTGCTAGTGGCGGCGAGGGTGCCAGCGGTACTGAGGGTCGCAAGCGTGCTGGTGGTCGCGGCCGTGGCCGTGGCCGTGCCCGCGGTCGTGGTGGCCGTACCGGCCGTAGCCGTGCTGTATGTGCCCAATTCCTTTCTCTGCTTGAATCCACGCACTTAGACACGTTAAAATGGATGCTGACTTTGCGAAAGGCCCAGGATGGCCAGGAAGCCACTGAGGCCCCTGTCAGCGAAACCCCTCTTGCTGACACTACAAACGAGAAGGACATTGCCCCCAAGGCCGGCGAGGCCCGCCCCGCACGCCCCCAGAAGCAGCGCGGTCCTCCCGAGGATGGCATCCCCTCTAAGACTAAGGTGATGGTTGCCAACCTGCCGTACGACTTGACTGAGGATAAGGTGGGTTACATTCATTTTCTTCCGTTTTTTCTCCGCCTGTGGTTACACCGACTGACATCCTCCTCTCCTTCAGCTCAAGGAGATCTTCGCCGCCTACGAGCCCGTCTCTGCCAAGGTTGCTCTGCGTCCTATCCCCCGTTTCATGATCAAGAAGTTGCAGGCTCGCAACGAGCGCCGCAAGACCCGTGGATTCGGCTTCGTCAACCTGGCCTCAGAGGAGCTCCAGGCCAAGGCTGTCAGCGAGATGAACGGCAAGGATATTGACGGCCGTGTTATCGCCGTGAAGGTTGCCATTGATAGCCCTGGTAAGGAGGACGAGGATGTCAACGCTGTGGCCGAAACCGAGGAGACTGCTGCTTCTGCTGCTGCTCCTGCTACTGCCCAGGAAAACGCTGCTCCTGCTCCTGCTCCTGCTGAAGAGAACGCTGCTCCTGCCGTCACCACTAAGGCTTAAACGCCCAACTCATTCCACTCGACGGAATAAGGTACTTGGTAACTGGCTTCGGAGTCGAAAACCAGAGGAGGAGGACTCGACTGAGAATCTTATTGATATGCTCATCGTGCTCTGTAAATCAGAGATCACCGTGAATATCTTAGCTACTCAACGATTGTGAGGGGGACTTGGGGAGAGCCCTGGAGGGGGTTGGATTCATGACTTTTATCGGACAACATGGATCGGTTGACCATGCAGGAGAGCCATCTTAGCTGATGTGCTCCCCGTCCTTGACGACTTTTCTTTTTTTTTTCTTCGCCTTTTGTATTGTACCTTAGCGCACATTTACTAAATGATGACGATCTGCTACATGGCATGTTGTGTATGTATTAATGAGTAGTTCCTTCACACCTGTACAACGGATATTGCAATCTACACAAGTGGACATGTCCAATTTGGTTGGCAATGACGCGAAGTCCGATCCTTGCCGATCAGAGGCAAAACAACGAACTCGTGTTGTTTCACTTGTCTACATTTGAAACTTTTTTTTTTCTGTCATCGAGCCAATTGCACTAAATTTGTGTCCTCAGTACATTCCAGTCTCCGCGCAACTCTATCGAAGCGAGAAAAAGGGGTAATCACTCAACATCGGTGCCGAGTCGTTCAACCCTACAACATACTAGCGCACTCCGTCATTTGAATCGTGTTTCGAATTCTCCTCTGGTCGCCTTTGTATATTCATTCCATATAACTATGTCTCGTATGTGGGAAGTCGACCCAGAAACGAGGACAAAGGTGTGCTGCCTGGTCAAATCCCGCAACGCGCCATGGTCACTGACACAAACATGTGCCACAGCTCCTCCAAATCTCCAAGACGAACGGAAATGACAAGTGCTGCGACTGTGGTGCTCCATCGCCTCAATGGGTATGCACAGTCTCTCCCTCTCGCCCATCGCCCCGATTGTCTTCGAGAGGCATCATTATTCCAAGTGTCCCACACCCAGTAAACCACACAACCTGCTAACTCTTTGCCTGCAATGGGCACATGAACCAGGCCTCCCCAAAGTTCGGAACATTTATCTGTCTCAACTGCGCCGGCACACATCGCGGGCTAGGCGTGCATATTTCCTTCGTCCGCTCCATTACCATGGACGCCTTCAAACACGCCGAGATCCAACGCATGGAGTTGGGAGGCAACGATCCCTGGAAGTTCTTCTACGACGAACACCCTGTTACTGTCTCGGAAGGCCGCACATTTGAAGACTCGACTATCAAGGAACGATATGAAAGCGACTCGGGCGAAGAATGGAAGGAGCGGTTATCGTGCAAAGTCGACGGTCGCGAGTACATCCAGGGCCAAGAGAAAAAGAACAATTCATTGCGGTCGAGCACGCCCTTGAGCTTGGCTGGCACTGGTGCGGGTGCTGTAGCTGGCGCTCGGGCTGGGTCGCCTGCGACGTCGTCGATTCGCTCTGGTGACAACCAGCGGGGTGGTCTACCCAGCAAGAAGGAGCAGAACGAGGCGTATTTTGCGAAGCTGGGCAGTGATAATGCTAGTCGCGTCGATAACTTGCCGCCCTCCCAGGGCGGGAAGTTTACTGGTTTTGGGGGTGGTATGCCCACGTCCTCCGCGGGTGAGCGGCGCTCTTCGCCATTTGGGGGATTCGGAGGTTGGGGTAATAGTGGCGGTGGTCAGCCGTTTGAAGATCTCCAGAAAGACCCAATGGGCACTATCACCAAGGGATTTGGGTGGTTGACATCGACGGTTGGTAAGAGCGCAAAACAGGTTAATGAGACTTATCTACAGCCAACGGCTAAACAGGTATGTGCACGACCTCGCTTGAGAAATTTTATGATGTGTAGTCTCTTTCGAAACCATAACTGACGTAAAGACCCAGCTGGTCGAATCCGACTTCGCAGTCCAGGCCCGTGTCCGTGCTTCTACACTCGGCCAGAATCTGCAAACAAGCGTTCGCGGCGCTGCCGACCAATTCAATAAGTTTGTCGAAGGAGAAGACGGACAAGGTGACGGACGCCGTAATCGTGTTGAGCCTGAGCGCCGAGACTTCTGGGACGATTTCTCGTCCGTGGGAGACCAAGGTAGAACCAACCGCCGCCGTAGCGCATCACAACGGTCTGACGTTGTTGGAACCGCTGCCTTGCGTAAAGGCCCCACTGCCTCCTCGCTGGCTCACTCTACGCCTGGCTTTTCTGGTACAGAAGCTGGAGAGAGTAAGAATACAACCGCGTCGGCGGCGGGTAAGGGTAAGGATGAATGGGATGACAACTGGTAGCATAAAAGCGCCTCATTTAACTCGATCTTCACTGTTGGTTTGTGGGATGGTGTTCTGATGCCATGGCTTTATGTCCCGTGTGATTTTTTGTGTCTACTCTGGCCTCTATCTGCATCACACATATGCCTCGTTAGAATTTCCCTTTTTGGCAAAGGGAGGAAGGATCAGATGTATACTCCATACACTTCATATTAGCTTGACCTAGTGTCAATTGGGGAGACGGGAGAAGGTGGCTGAAAAGTAGAAGAATCTTGGTACAATGATGATACTATGAGATGTAATGATATACAAGAAACTTCTCGCTGAATCCGACTTGACGTCGAAAAGTCAGCATTCAAAATCCGCATCTCAGCTCCGCAAGTACGGCCTTCTGTCTCTGACCAGACATCTTCTCAAATCGGTCAACGCTCATGACAAAAGTACCCCGACCAGCAGTCAAACTCCGCAAATGCTTGAGATACCCGACCATCTCCTTGAGCGGCACTTTTGCAACAATTGTGCGCGACCGAGTCGCAGCAACCGGAATTTCTGGACCTACAGAAGGCGTCTCGAACGGGTCCGGTGGCGCATAAACGCGACTGTGATCAATGGGCGGTAGCGCCTCTTCTTCGAGTGCGAACGCAGAAGTCGACGACGCGTCCGTTCCAGAGAGAGGTACCTCCTCGTCCAGTGAGATGATGTGTCCACCTCGTGAGGAGGAAAGATCATGCACGACGGAGCCGAGACTCGCCTCGTCGGTGCTGATAATCACATTCATCACCGGCTCCATCATTACTGTCCCCGCGCCAAACTGCACATCCTGCAGCGCGGCGGCGGTGGCTTGGCGTGCGGCAGATGAGAGGGCCGAGGTGGTTGTTTCGTTGCCGAAGAGGTCGGCGGCCGGGTCGATTGTTAGTGTGATGCGCGTATTATGCATTGGGAAGGTAAATTGAGGCCCGCGTGCGAGCGCCGCCACGGCTCCATTTTGCACCGCTGTGCGGAACGTGACGAGATCCATGCCTGGTGGGAGGAATGGGCTAGTTTCTTCTTCGCTACGGGAGCAGCGATCAATTTGTAGACCGGGGGCGCGGACGATAATCTGGTTGCCGTCGTAGGTTTCGACGAGTAGCGTTTCTTGGTCTACCTCTTGGGATTCAGTATCTTCGTCCAGTGGCTCCGCGACTGCCGTGCAACCTGCTTTACCCTTCCGCCCGGCGATTTCCTTGTCGAAGAGTTTGGATATTGGGCTGGAGGTGCCAAGTGCGAATTCTCGGTAGCCGATCTCGATGCGGCCCATTGTAGCCTTGGCTTTGAGATCGTTGATTAGTCGGTCACGGGCAATTTCGAGATGCAGCTCGCCCATGCCGCTTAAAAGTGTCTGGCCTGACTCTTCGTCTATATTGACGTGGAGACTGGGATCTTCACGAAGGAGGAGTGCGAGTGACTCTTTCATGCGTTTCTCTTCGCTTAGGCTGTGCGGTTCAACGCTGGTGAAGAACACTGGTGGTGGAACAGCAATTGGCCGGAGTTGGAGACTGGCAAGTGGCTCCGGGGGAGTGGCTCTGTTCCCCGCGTAGGACACAAGGGTATCGCCTGTCCGGGTTTGTTTGAGCCCGACTACGACTCCGATGTGCCCGGCAGGAATCGAGTCCACTTCCACGGCATCGTTGGCGTACATCTTCAGCAAACGTGGGGCACGTTCGGAAAGCTGCAGATTTGTGTTGAAGAGAAGGCTGTTGCGATCTAACGAGCCGGAATATACCCGTATGTAGACTAGGACTCCGCGCTTTGCGTCGTTAACCACTTTGAACGCCAGTGCACAGCTTTGAAGTTTGCTGATTGCATCTTTTGAGCTGGTCTGCAAGGACAAGTTTTTCTTCTTGGGTTGTTTCCCTTTAGATGGCACGAAAGCCTTCTCGCTCTGCTCCACAATTAAATCTCCTGACAGTAGGTCCCGAAGACCTCCTTTGACACCGGCAATGCTCACTTCTGGGTCGGGAGCTTCGGGTGGACTCGGGAGAAGATTCACGATGGAATCTAGCAATGGCTGAACTCCCATATTCCGGAAACTGGCACCTGCAAACAGAGGGACAATCCGACTTGTCTGGTCCAACACGCACCGGCGCAAGCTCTCGATGATATCCGCTGATGAGACCGCGAGATGATCTTCGTCACATTCAAAGAACTTCTCAACGATGTCTTCGTCATGCTCACTTAGAAGCTCGATCAAGGCGATTCGTGCCCGCCGCAGCTCTGCGGCTAGGGTCGGCTCCTCTGCCTCTAATTGCGTAAGGTCGGCCACTTTCACAGTGCGGCCATCCTCACCTTCCTTCCATCGTAGTCCTTGGAGATGGATTACATCTGCTACCCCAGTAAAGGGGCCATTGCCTCTTTCGAACCAGGGTATCTGGCATACTGCTGGATAGACACCCAAGCGGGAGCTTACCTCTCGCACCGTTCTACCAAATGCCGCTCCATCACGATCCAGCTTATTCACATAAATGACCCGAGGAATTTGATATGTGTTTGCCTGGTTCCAAACCTTCTCTGTCTGCGCTTCGACACCAGCAACACCATCCAAGATGCAGACGGCGCCGTCGAGGATGCGCAGAGAGCGCATGACTTCGAATGTAAAGTCTGCATGGCCGGGGGTATCAATCAGATTGATAGTATGAGGGTAAGCAGACCGCGGAGTTGGCTCATTCTGCACCCCAGCCTGGGGGCCTGACGCTTCACGCACCTCTCCAGGAGGCCAATGGAAGGTAATGGCGGCTGACTGAATAGTGATGCCGCGTGCGCGCTCGGCTGGAAGGAAATCGGTCACTGTTGAGCCTTCGTCCACATCGCCAATGCGCCGTGTGAAGCCGCTGTAGAATAACATGCGCTCCGTGGTAGTAGTTTTGCCTGCATCGATGTGGGCGATAATCCCGATGTTCCGGGTCCGGTCCAGAGCTCCATTCTGGCATGCAGATGTCGTGGAAATCCGTTGGAGCTGTCTGTAATTGGAGCGAAGACCTTTCAGAGAGGAACATGCATTTTTACACTTAACATTGCTCGAGGTCTTGTATAGATTGGAGCTCATACAGCGCACCCCGAGGGGAAAACGCAACAACGGAGTCACGACCATTCCAAGAGGAAACGATCATGTAGATTGGAACAAAAATATAGGAGATTGTGTTGGACTTGGCATTGGGCTGTATGCTATTGATATTGGTACAGTTGAAGATCAAGCTCCAGAGCAAAATAAATTAGACCGCAAAGCGGACTGGGGATCGCGTGGCTTGGCGCATGCATTCCTCCATACGTGACTGTCTCCGACACCTACAAAGTATCTCTCTTCAACTACTCAGGTCTTTTTACTCATACCCTTGCTGTCTTTTGCTTTCTTTGCTATGTCAATTTAACTAATCCCAGCTATTCTCTCGTTTTGAAGCTGCACGAGGTATGTCCTTGAGTGCCTTAAAGCTGGCTGGTCGTTGCTGTGGGGGGTCCGATCTTCCGCCGTTTAATACTGACGCCTGCCATGACCAGCCACTCCCCCTTGTCAGCGACGATACTCCTTACATCGGCCTTCAACCAAGATGGACTACTCTACCATCTCTACCGATCCAGATCATCCCACTGGTACTTCACCCTGGGGTTCACCGCGTGTTGAACGAGGCACCTTCCCCACTTCCAACATTGACATCCCGACCTCCCCTTTACCCGGCCAGGAGCAATCACCGGACGTTGGCAGGGGCCGCATTGCTGAACCACAATCTCCAGACCTCTCTGTACAACTGCAGAGCGCACAATTAGGAGACCCGGACTATCCCGAGCATCCTCCATTCGGTGTGCACCATTCTCCAAATGTTCACCAACAGCCATCTCCTATACCCGCACAATACCAGATCGGAGCACGACAAGACCTACGGCCTCCAGCCCCCGTCTATAAGATCCAAGCAAAAATTACTGGTCTAGAGAGGACGGGAAAGAAAGACCCAATTCTGCGTTTCGACGTGCATGTAGGTTTGCCCCTTCGAGTATTTTGCGGCAATGTTATAGCTAATTCCTGCTTGCTTTGGAAACAGACCAATGTCCCCAAGTTCCGCACGACCCAATACCGGGATGTGCGTCGAACCCATTCCGAATTTATCAAGCTCGCAGACCACCTAGTCTCCGCCAACCCAGAAGCTCTGGTCCCTGCCGTGCCATCACCAGTGACACCGGCCGGCGCAGGCACTGAGGAGGACGAGATTCGCATAAAATCGGCAATTCAGAGATGGCTCAATGTTGTGCTAAGCAATGAGGTCCTCATCCAAGACGACGAGGTTGTGCTGTTCGTGGAGAGCGACTTTGGTTACAGCCCCGTGCTGCGGATGAAGCAGCCGGCAACAGGCGTGCGACGGAAGATGTTGAAGCAATTCGCGCCGCCTCCAGATGACACACCTGAGTTGCAAGCTGCTCGTCCAACTGCGAAGCTGTTCTACTTGGGATCAATGGACACAAGCCACAAGGTGGACCGAGTTGTTAAGGCCCGTCGTGGTACGTTATTAGAGTTTCAACTTGTTTTTGTCGCAAATTGTTCCGATGGGATCTGACAGTTTCAGGGCTTGGATTGGCTGAAGCCGATTTCGGCGTGAAGCTCGGTCAGATGAGCGTACAGGAGACTCATCCCGGCTTGGGCGCCGCTTACCGTAAACTTGGCAAGATTATTCAAACTGTTGGCGACTACCATGCTGTTCAGGCCACCGCCGAGGCTACCACGCTCGGCGAACCGTTGAGTTATCACTCTTCAGACGCCTTCATCGTGAAGGAAACCCTGACCAACCGTCATATTCTCCTGCGTGATCTAATCCAGGCTCAACAAAGTGCGCGGAGCAAACGTGCTGCGGCAGACCGCTTGAAAGTTAGCTCATCGGTGCGTCCGGATAAGGTAGATGAAGCGATCAATGCTCTTGAGGAGGCTCAGAACCATGAAGATCATTTGACGAAGCGGACCCAGCGTGTCACCTCGAACCTTCTCCAAGAGAAGCGCCGCTGGTTTGATCGGACCACCCAGGATCTTCTATCTAGCCTGCGTGAGTACACTCTCCGTCAGATCGAAGCCGAGCGTCGTACTCTGGCTACCTTGGAGAGTGTTCGACCCGATATCCGTGCCATTGACGCTTCCGGTGGGCTGAGCCGGCTTGGTCGCGAATCTCACCCAGCGACGCGCCGGCCAAACATGGCTTCGAGCCAGGGCCCTAAGGGTGACTCGTGGAGCGGTGTTCCTCGCCGCAATGACGCCGTTGGACGCAGCATGAGTGGCAGCTTTACTGCACCCTCGCTCCCTGATGATGACGACGAGGCGAACTCTAGTAAAGGGCGCAACCGAGCTTCTAGTCAGGTTGGGTCGATCGCGGAGGAAGATGATGACCGTCTGGATGCGCGAAATGCAGCCAGCCGACTGGCCACCAGCACGTTCTAATTTAATTTAGGACGCAGCGAGTCTGTACATGTAGCCCCGGCACGGATTTGTGATTCCCCTATGTTCCTCTTATAACCTTTTTGTGTGCTCCTAGTATGTTACGTTACCTAAGCCTATTAACAATCTGTATTTCTTATTTTTTTCTGGACACTTCACGGGTATCAAGTTGATTATAATTGCAACTGTTCTATATGACATCCAAAAATTCTATGGTGGGCATCCATTCCCTGCACCAACATGAGGCCCCTCAACTGCTGTCAAATCACCCAAATGCTACAACCTGCTATACTCCATCTGTTAATCCCACAAAAACGCTCTCTCACTAAGAATGATGTGATGATTTGGCAGTGGGATGGGAGTCTTCCCTTCGTCGAGTGTCCTCGCAGCTGTTGCATCACTCTTCGGATCACTATGCTAGGAATGCTTTTATAGTCGAACTGCATTGAGGACATAATGTGCGTGTAGCTTCATTGGTTACCTGTCCTTCTGTGGGATTGACATGCCATCGGATATCGTCAGTCGTGAAGATTGCCCAAGTCTGATAGGGTGCACCGGCTTGTTTGCGGCAGGTTGTGCAGTGGCAACTGACCAGGTAGGTCAGGGGAGTGCAGGCCGTATAAATGATGCAATGACACCGGCAGCTGCCAGAGGCCATTGATCTCATTGGATTGGATCAAGAAATTGTGTGACTGGGATTTCATGCGAAGATACTCTGACATCATGTGGGGTCGCTCTGCCTCTACATCTCCACGAAAGTGGACAAGACGGACGTGTTCCATCATTACCTAGGCTGATTTAGCATGTGTGTATACAACATGCCCCCCCTCTTATGTTGTACATGCAACATAAGTTACAAATAGTCCTCTCATCATCCCTCACTTGGAACTCGGCCCGAATCTCTTGATTTCAAAGCATCTCAACTTCTGTTCATACTTGCATTGCTTCACTTTTCCATTTGGGCAATATAATTCCCCTTCTTTCTTATTCCAACATGACTCCCAAGGTTTTTCTGTAAGTAATTCGGTGTATACTGAATTTTTGATCTGATTAATTCCTACAGGACTGGCGTAACTGGCTACATCGGCGGCGACGGTCTGTTTGCCATTGCTAGCACCCATCCTGACTGGCAACTCTCGGCTCTAGTCCGTAACGAGGAAAAGTCCACGCAGGTCACCAGCCAATACCCACAGATTCGGACCGTGGTTGGTGATCTAGACTCGTCCGAGCTGATCGAGGAAGAAGTCAAGAACGCAGACATTGTCTTCCGTATGTTCTTTTTTCCACGATCATCTATCAATATATAACGTCACTAAAAACATGTGCAGACTTCGCCGATTGCGATCATGTGGCTGCAGCTCAGGCCATTGCCAAAGGCGCTCAGCACCATACTCCCGAGCGTCCATTGTGGCTGATTCATACCTCCGGCACTGGTATCTTGACTGTCGAGGACCAGCGCGCTGGTACATACGGGATTGAGCGACCTAAGGAGTACAACGACTGGGAAGGCGTCAGTGAGCTAGTCAACCTTCCATCAGACGCCTTCCACCGTAACGTGGATGTGATCATCCTCGGAGCTGGTCAACAGAACCCGGACAGTGTGAAGGTCGCAATCGTAGGCCCACCTGCCATCTACGGCCCTGGTCGTGGTCCCGGTAACATAAAAAGTATCCAAGCATACTTGCTCAGTGCCGCGGTATTGAAGCGCAAGCAGGGATTCCTGGTTGGAAAAGGTGAGAACGTCTGGCACCAGGTTCATGTCCAGGATCTGAGCAACGTCTACTTGGCGCTGGGTGAGGCAGCCTCAGAGGGAGGTGGCAAGGCCACCTGGAATAATGAGGGTTACTATCTCGCTGAAAATGGGCCCTTTGTGTGGGGCGACATTCAGCGCGCAGTTACACAGTCTGCTTTTGATAAGAAGCTCATTGCTTCTCCTATTGTTGAGTCTCTCGATAGCGCTCAGATAACTAAGCTACTTTCTTTTGGAACTTATGCCTGGGGCTCTAACTCTCGAGGCAATTCAATCCGTGCGCGCAAGCTATTTGGCTGGACACCCCAGAAGCCGAAGCTGATTGATCTTATTCCTGAGATTGTTGAGGGTGAGGCTAAGGCTCTTGGCTTGCTGTGAGACTCGGGCCTTTTATTGGTTTCCGAGGCCCCATAATGTGAAAATGAAATGAATTTACTAAAGAACACTTTGCTCGGGACTCTCGAGTCTGAGGATATACATGGAAGTAGGTTGCATTGTACGGAGTAGTCAAGGGTTGCTTTAGTGTGTTCTACTTGTGCATTTATACAAAGCGTAAATGATGTCGACCAGCGGTGTTTGCATGTGATTATCATTTATGACCCTTCGAATTCTTCCATGATAATCTATCTCCACAATCAATAGCGAGAACAATGGGACTTCACAATCAATCATGTCGGTAAATGAGAGTGAAAAGGTGAATGCATCTTGGACACCTCAGGCATCAGTTAACATTTTGGGTCCAACAAAGCTTTGACCGTCAGCATCATCTATCTTCACCTTACACGCCTTTAGCTACTCCGCCGCCTATTTTCAACGAACGAACTTGCTGGTACGTTAGCTTTGCGCATCGTTCAACTTCTTTCTTTACTTCCCCTTATTCGCTACAGGCGCTGACTTTCATTGCTCCGGGCTCCTACAGAAATAACTGCATGAGTTGCAACCTTTCAGCGTCTCGTTCCACCGTCGTAACCCTTCGCGTCTAACCCGGCCACTCATCATGGCGCCTGGGTATGGGCATGGTGGCAAGCGGAAACGCATTGATCGCTCGTGGTCCGGCGAGTCAGGGAGTAATGACCTGCGGCCTTCACCCCATCGCCCTGGGACCCTCAACATAGCATATCACCCTACCAACCCCGGACACCAATCCCCCACTCCCCGAGAGCAAAATGACACGCGTGACAGATCTCGGCGACAATCGCATCGCAGCCGGGCTGGTTCCCGGCGCGGATCCCATGATGGTCAGAATTTTTCGAATTCGCAGCATCGAGAGCCGAACGCTATGTCTCCTCCCGCAATAACTCAGCCCAGGGAAGCTGTCGAACTCGCACCGTACAATGGCGACTCAACCACGTCGCGACCTACCCCTTCTCCCGCGCCAAATACCCTTGCTTCACAGCCTCAACCTAACCCGCCGTCTCGAGCTGGCTCAGAGACTATCACTCGCCAGCCCTCTCTCCCACCTCTACCTTATGACTACGAATATGTGACTGACGACGCTGTTGAGGAATGGACTTCAGCGGGCAAGCAAAATGTAGTCGAAGAAGGGACCGTGGCTCGCCTGCAACAGGACCTGGCTAGGCTTGCATCTGTATACCAGGAACTTATTCGCTCCGCGATCTACGGTCGACTTTCACCTTTGAATGCGGGTATTGCTGTCAAAGAAATCATCGGCGAAGAATCTGTGTCCCAGGATGTGGATATGGATAGCGACAGTGGAAAGTCCTCGACCCAAAGCGTCGACCCGCGCTCTTTGTTCCTCGATACGCTTTCTATCGTGACTGACGCCGATACCTCGAACGTGGCTCTTAAACCACTTGTTTTCGCGACAGGTATTGATCCATCTTTGATGCGCCTTCAGCTTGACACCCCGTTGTTGCAAGCCCTGGGCTTGGTTCGTGAAACCTTTGCGCGAATGGGAATTCGTAAGCAGACCAATCTGCTCTACCGACAGTCCAACTACAATCTTCTCCGGGAAGAATCCGAGGGATACTCAAAACTCGTCACCGAGCTTTTCACCACGAGCAACAACGAGCCGCCGTCGAGCGAAGTGGTTGAGGATACATTTGAAAGAGTCAAGGCTATGATTGGTGCATTTGACATGGATGTCGGCCGTGTGCTAGACGTCACGCTAGATGTGTTTGCTGCGGTCCTTGTTAAGCAATACCGTTTCTTCGTAAAGCTTCTGCGAGTTAGTTCCTGGTGGCCGAAGGAAGACATCCTCTGCACCCTAGAGCAAAGCCGTCGCCACTCCGGAATTCCGAATTGGGCACTCCCTGGATCAACTGGGTGGATCACAACCGACGAGGAGCGATCCACTACTATGCGCGCGAATGAGGAGCGCGATAGCCAATTCTGGGATCGAGTAAGGGAAATCGGACTTCAAGCCTTCTTCGAGATCGGCCGCAAACCCGTCTCAGAGGAAGAAAAGCAACGAAGTCTTTCGGAAAACAATGGTTTGTCATTTGAAGAAGATGCTACACGATCATGGCTTGAAGAGACCGGCACTCTACCCCCGAAGGGCAACCGGGTTGCAGCACAGCTGCTTGGTTTCAAGTTACGATTCTATTCTTCTTCAGTTCGAACCAAAGCCGATGTTCTCCCTGATAATCTCATATACCTTGCCGCCCTGCTCATCAAAGTGGGCTTCATCTCCCTGCGCGACCTTTATGCTCACCTATGGCGATCTGACGACACCATGGAGATTTTAAAGACCGAAAAGATGACAGAGAAAGCTGAAAGAGTGAAGGCTGGCCGACCAGGTGGCGGAACTAACGCTTTGATGATGGCCGGCGCTTTGTCGGACGACACAATTCCTCCTTCCCGCCTGCGCGATGAGCCGCGAGTGGCGACTCCTGGGAAAGACCAAGAATCCGACAAAGGCACACCTAAAACAGAAAACGAGTTGCCGGACCCATCAGACCAGAAAGTGCTGCTCCTCAAGAGTCTTCTCGCTATTGGCGCCATTCCCGAATCTCTTTTCGTCATCAGCAAGTTCCCCTGGTTGATGGAAGCTTACCCTGAGCTGCCTGAGTTCATTCACCGCATACTCCATCACTCTATGAACAAGGTCTACATTCAGTTCCGACCATTGTCATCTACCAATGACTTCCCCGGAGCCCAATGCATGGTGACCTCCGATCAGAACAGTGCGAGGGGTCAGATTGGACTTACGCCCCCACCTGCGAGACGAGTTCTGCGATGGGCTCAGCTTGATAAAGAAGACACTAACGATGGCACCGACTATCGATTCTACTGGGATGACTGGGCTGATAACATCCCAATTTGTCAGTCTGTCGACGACGTTTTTGCTCTTTGCTCATCTTTCCTAAACCTCTCTGGTCACAAAATTGGGCAAGATGCGAGCCTATTGGCGAAGCTTGTACGAATTGGCAAAGGAAGCATGATCCAAGACGGATCCGAGGAGAACAGAATACGCTGGCGGGATCTTTGCAAGCGTCTTCTCCTACCCGCTGTCAGCCTAACAAAAGCAAACCCTGGTGTTGTCAATGAAGTTTTTGATCTCATCAGCTTCTTCCCTCGAGATGTGCGATACAACATGTACGCAGAGTGGTATTCAGGACAGACGTCCCGTCTGCCAGACATCAAGGAGGCCTTTGATCAGGCGAGGGCGGAGACCAAGGACACCCTCAAGCGACTCAGCAAGACAAACATCCGACCCATGGCCCGCGCTTTGGCCAAGATTGCTTACGCCAATCCCGGAATTGTCATCAATGTCGCCATGAGCCAAATTGAGTCGTATGAAAACCTCATCGAAGTTGTGGTTGAATGTGCACGCTACTTTACTTACCTTGCTTACGACATCCTATCCTGGTCTCTCATCAATTCCCTTGGCCAGAAAGGACGAAGTCGAGTCCAGGAAGGTGGACTGTTGACCAGTCGATGGTTGA